AGAACTGCAGCTCTCAGCGGAGGCGCAACGCTGTCTTAGCCTTCAAGCTCAAGCACACGCCCTCATAGACAGCATACCATGGTGCACCATACTTCGAGCGATCTCCTATGCATGTACAGGTCAGATCCTGGGGGTAGCAAGTTTTCGAAGCGGGTCAAGCTTGCCCTAATATCGCGCCCCTAATATGTATAATTCCTGAGTGACTTTACGTGTTCACTATCTGGGTTACGCGACTGGCCAACCGACGGCAAGCAGCGAGATAGCGGCAGGTCTAGGTCAGGCCCGGACCCTTCGGAACCTACCGGCTGTCTTTGGCGGTGAGGGCGAGCCAGTGAACAACTCCTCGGCGGCCTAGGCTAGCGACTGCCTTCGAGTCCGACACGGTCGAGCGAGCAGTGCACGATGGCCAAGAAGAAAAGCAGGGCGCCCGGCCGACATCATGCCTTCTACGTGGCCGTCATGGTCACAGGATGGCTCCTTCCACCTCTGGCAGTCCTCATGAGGTCAGTATCTGCCTCCCGTGCCACGACATCTCGTGCGACAACGGCGTGACTCTGTGCTGATCAACCGGCAATGACACTGCAGGTTCGGCTTCGGCAAGGATTTCGGCATCAATCTCATCTTGACCATCGCCGGCTACATTCCCGGTCACTTTCAGTGCGTGCCTACTGCTCACGAGTATCGCGCCCTCGCTAACCATCGATTATCATTCAGTAACTTTCTCATTCAAAACTGTCGAGACAATCGCAAGCGAGGCAGAACACCCAAATGGGGTACGTTGTTCACACTCTATCTGCGATCACAACATTGAGCGAGAGTGCAGCTCTGCGGTACGGACTCGTCAAAGATCACGACAAGGAAAAGAAAGCCAAGTCGGATTGGGCGAACCGGTTCGACGAGCGGACGACGACGAATCGCTACGATGGCGACGAGCTCGCAGAAGACGAATGGGGCAATCCCATCGCAGCAGACAGTCGGACGAATGCGAGTGCAAGCAAGCCCTCGAAGAAGCGCAATGGCGGCGGCTGGGTTGCAGAGGCCGAACGCGCAAGATCTGCCAAAGCGACCCATGCCACCGTCACCGATGGTCCCAACGGTCTCTCGGGACCCAACGCGCGCGATCTGGAACGCGTGGAGTCAGATGACGATGCCTCTCTTGCACCTGCAGAGCGAGAAGAGTTCTACAGCTCGACCGGACGAAGGAGATCGAGGAGCAATTCGATCAGCGCCGGTTCCATGCACGATCCCCGTAATAGCAGAGTCCAAGATCTTCTGCCAGGCGAGGGTGACAGACAGGCGAGAAATGCCAAGGGCCGGAAGAGAGGATTCGTCAGGAATCTCGTCACCGGCTCCTCGGGCACAAAGAAAGGGCAAAGTCACGCCGACCTCGATGCCGGCGGTCCTCGTTTCGATACGGAAGAGGACGACAGTACGAACCATCGGGATGCGAGTAACTACGGTCTCGGTCAGGGCATTGATGAGGTCGCCTCAGCTCTCGCGCCTTCGCATGCCAGCAGAAGCTCTACGCCCCGTCGATCGGGTGCCAACGACCTCGACCACCAATTCTGAGCGTGTCCGTTGCCATTCTGTCTTATGTATTGTATAGCACCTTACAACATCTTGCCGAACCCATCACATCACCGGGACAGGGGGGTATGCATGAGCGTCAGAAGAGCGTGTCTTCGTCCCTCAGATACTCGCCCACGTCTGCCTGATTGAAGACGATGATGGACGTCGGATCTAGCTTCCGTGTATCCACCGTCGACCGCGCGGTTACGCCGAAGCCCTGTGCTCTGCCCGTCAGCTGATCTTTGGAGTGGATGCACATGACAGGCGGACCAGCGGTACATCTGCCATACTGTAGATGACGACGCCTTGGTGCTCAGGCGTGTCCTCTGTGATTCTGCCCAGGTGCGCCTTGACGACATGATTACCATACAAGAACGGCATCTCCCCGTTCGGCTTTATCCAGACCTTGTACTTTGCATACTTGCCCAGCCAGTCCAGGGCAGTCACATGCAGACGAAATTTGCCAGTCTTGCTGAATTTGCCCATACATGTTCCCAATGACATCAGATTCGGGCGGCTGATCGAGAGTGCTTGCTTCATGATGGGCTCTGAGACGTAGTACACTCTGTCTCGGTGTAGCCTGAAGACGTAGGGCTCGTCTGGACGGTCGATCAACTGGACGAGATTGCTGCCCAGGTAAGCCGACAGTTTTGTGAACATTGTCTTGTGCTCGTCATCTGTCAGTGGCCGCCTGCGAGCAACAATATATATCAGATCAGACGGGGAAGAAGGCGGGCGAGGACTGACATGCTGGCTGTCACAGACGAATGATCGATGTCAATTCTTAATGGGCCAAAGAGCAAAAAGTCAATCGACGCGTCGCCTTGCTCTGCTGCTGCGCCAGCCAGCGTGTACAGCACAGCTGCCATCATCGTCGCAAGACATGGCTTCGGCAGAAGCTGCACAAGCCGAATGGAGCGACATGACCGGCGAAGACGGGATTATGGACGAGGCAGAACTCATACTGCAAGACAAGTTTGATTACAGCGACTTCCGTCCATTGCAAGCTGAAGTCATCAGACGGTTGCTCGTACACGACAAGAGTGCTGCTCTCATCCTACCAACAGGCGGTGGCAAGTCACTCTGCTTCCAAGTACCCGCGCTGTGCCTGAAGGGACTCACCTTGGTCATCTCGCCTCTGATTTCCTTGATGAAAGATCAAGTAGATGCCCTCAAGCGGAAGCACATCGAAGCTGCCTCGCTCGATTCCTCGCTCTCGGGCACAGACTACTTTGCCGTCATGGACAAACTACGCGAAGGAAAGCTCAAGATACTCTATGTGGCCCCCGAAAGGCTCGAGATGGAGTCCTTTGTCAACATGATCAAGCAGACTCGAATTGACCTCATGGCCGTCGACGAAGCGCATTCGGTATCTGCATGGGGTCATACTTTCCGACCTACCTACCTCAAGCTCGTCAAATTTGCGCAGGATCTCAAGATACCTCGTCTTTTGCTGCTTACCGCGACCGCGACGCCCCAGGTCGCGAAAGACATGTGTGAGCAATTCGGCGTGGACGCTGTCAAAGGTCTCTTCGTTGCACCCATCTACCGACCGAACCTCCACATTTCCGTCGCTAGCGTCATGGGTGAAAAGAGCAAATTCGACAAACTCGTCGCTTTCTTGCGTGCAACAAGGGGATCCAAGATCATCTATGTCACCACTCAGAAACAGACAGAGGATCTGAGGCACAAGCTCTCAGCTTCTGGTTTCTCCAAAATCGACTGCTACCATGCTGGCCTGTCTGCAGATGCTCGTTCGTCTGCTCAAGATCGATATATGAAATCAAAGGATCACATCATCGTCGCGACGATCGCGTTCGGTATGGGACTGGATCATCCGGAAACGCGCGGCATCGTGCACTATTGCCCGCCTCAAAGTCTGTCTGGCTACTCGCAGGGGATCGGCAGAGGTGGCAGAGATGGCAAACGATGCGATTGCTACCTGATCCTCGATCAGTCAGATCTGCCTACGCTCAAAGCACTCATCCGTGGCGATACACCATCGAACAGAACGGTCATCGGCTGGCTCAAAGAGTTCTTGAGTACCCCAACGGACACAGACAATACGATCTCGCAGAATCTGATGAGCATGTCGAGAAAGTGGGATATCAGAGAGACTTCGCTAGCCATCTGTTGCGTCAAGCTCGAACTTGTCCACTGCATCTTGCGAGCCACTTCGCCGTTCAACGTCACATATACCTACGATGTCCTGCGTCCCGACGAATGGGCCAAGGACACAAGTGAGGTTGCGATGGCCATCAAGTCATGTAACACCAAGAAAGTCGATACTGTCAATCTGGCAACAAGCGCCTCTATACCTCGTGCACAGATTGCTCAGAAGTTCTCTGAGCATGAAAGGTTGGGCAACTTTAAGATCTCGCTTGGCGACCGCCGGCATCGATACGTCGTGACCGGCAGGATCCCCAAGGACCTCGATACGCTCGGCACGCAACTGGGCAGTGAGATTCACGCAAGGGAAGAGGAAGCAATCGGGCGATTGAGCGACGTGTTAGAATACGCAAAAGGCGACACTTGCTACGCGCAACAGCTTGCCACCTACTTTGGTGACAAGGATGGGTCAGTCAGGTGCTCCGGAGCGCACAATAGAGCTGACAAGATGACAGAGTACCGAACGGCCAGTGTGGAAATTGCAGTCGATGCTTGAGTGGCAAGCCTCTCGAGCTCTCACCACCGGAGCCACCGCAGGCTTTCACCCGAGCGATCTTTGACAAGATCTTGGCTACCTGTGGCGTACGTGACGATCCGCGATGTCTCGCACGATTCGCAGCGGGGATCCGATCACCCCGGCTGAGCTACAATCTGCGCCTGACCTCCCATGCAGACTTTGGCGCGATGTCAGGCGTCCTCTGGGAGGACGTCCTCTCGGCGTCGGAAGAAGCGTGCAAAGAGGCCAACTATGTCAATACTATCCGATCGAGCTCGCCGACAAAGCGAGCCTCTGCCTCTGGATCTTCGAGCAAATCGAGCACTGCTCGTGGACGTGGGGGATGGAACAAGCGAGGTAAGCGCTAGATGGACGCTCTATAGAGATCTGTGTCACGAAGTGTTGTTGCCATCAAATATTGCAAAATCGCGTCTTTAGCTTTCTTTATTAGCTTCAGCCCGTCACTGGACAGACCGAAAATGCCGTTCTATGAGCTCGTCTGCATCGCAATCCACTATCCCCAGTATGCGCCCATCAAAGATCTTGCTACAGGGCTGGCGAGCTTTGTGAAAGCGCAAGGAGGATGCGTCAGAAGTATCGACTACCAGGGCAGCAGAGTATTACCGACGTAAGCTCTCTTTCTCTCGTTCTTGGGTTCGCCCGGAGCACTGCTCATTGCATCGGAGCCAGCATCATGAAAGCACACAAGAGTATCGATCCAAAGAGTCTGCCTGGCGAGACGAGAGCCCAAACACAGGGAGAGTGCGTCACGCCAGGCTAAGATGTCTATCGCTCTGTAGCTGATACACTTTCTCGATCACACAGCTACTGGACGATGAAGTTTGATGCCAACCCGCCAACGCTGAAGCAAGTCCGAGAACGATTGATGAACGATCCCCGAGTGCTAAGGTCACCCGCAAGCTCTGAATCGTCTGGTTATAGCTAATGCAATGATGACAGATCCACGTTGCTCAAGCTCGGCGTGACCTTCGAGGATGTCATTTCACCTAAGATGGACATGACCATGGCAAAGAGGCAGGAGAGGTAGTGATGCGATCTGGCAAAAAGAGGTCACACTGTTGTTGTACAAGCACTACTATGCAAATCAAGCTTCATCTTGCTTACGTCTCTTTGCGCTCTTGACTGATGCTACAGGCATACTCACACCATCCTCGCCTTCGCCGCCCGATGCCGCTCCATCGCTGCCCTCACCAGTATCGTCTGCCGTCGTCCGTTTGAGAGCCTTCATCTTGCGCGATTGCAGCTTGCTGAGATCTTGTCGTCCCACGTGGATCCTGCCCACTTTGTCGCCCATCTCGTCAGTATCGACATTCTTCTTGGCCTTTGTCGCAGCGGGCTTCTTCGCTCGCTTCATCGCTTGCTTCCACAGCTCTTCCACGGGAGCACGATGCCGTCGCAGTCTGAAATCGAAAGACGGTCCCATCTCTGACAGTTCGACACGAGGCAGCCTCTGGCCTGACTTGAGCAGCCTGACGTTGTAGACTCGGAAGTGTATGAGTGGCAAGATAGAGGGCGCTGTGCCCGAGGTAGGCAGGTCGTCATCTACAATAGACTGAATGGGCGCGTCAGATCCAACTTGCGCATCGCCGGGCAGACCAGCAGAGATGCTGATGACATAATCGAGTCCGGTCATGTTGATCGCAGGCACGACTTCGCCCTGGTACAGATCTATCAGCAGTGAGCGAAATTGAATGTAGAGCGGGTGGGTTTCGAAGAGCTCGCCAGCGAAATGAAACATCGGCTTCAAGCCTGGCGCGACTTTTGCTCCCTGCCGTACTGTCTGAGCTCCAACGCGCTGTGCACGCATGCATGATGCTCACGGGGAAGTCTGTGATGGGACGCGCGTGCTCGATGCCGACTTCGAGCATATCGAGTATCTGATGCTCGAACAGGCGAGCGAGTACAAGGTTGTGCGGTCGTTTCTTCGAGTGTAGGCCGACACAGAAGAGCGAGGCATCGTTCTTCTGAGACCAGAATTCGAGTGACTTTGCGTCCTCGAACGGATGGACATCGTTGCGCTTTGAAAATTGTAGACCGTCTGGCTTTTTCAATTGACCCTGTTCGAGGCAACGTCAGCTCGGCAGGAGAGAGTCAAGAGCGAGCTTGCAAGATCCCGCAGTGCGGTGTTGACGAGCTGACTGGTGGACGTGCCTCTGACAAAGATACATTTTTTGGCTCCTTCGGCTGCTTTCGACTCTCGCGCCTTGATGATGCGCTTGCCCTTTGCAGTCTTGGGTGGGCTTGCACAACTAGGTCAGCTGAAAGTCCTGGCAAGGAGGCGGGGCGACTCACTTGACTGCCAGCATAGCTCTAAGACCCAAGACGAGCAGTAGCTTTTCCAAAAAAGTTGCCGCGACACGCTCGAAGCTCAAAGTCGACGTCAGCGTGAGCGAGAGTGACTGCCAGCTGCTCGGCTGGCGGTGCACTCCGCATGCGTGCAGGCACAGCTTGATCTCCCATGCGATGACGTCGGTCCTCACGAGCTCGATCGCCTCACTGGCTCTCGATAAATCTCAGCCTACCTCATCGAAACCCCAAGCACTGCCAGCAGAGCTTCTGCTCCACATCTTCACTCATCTCGAGCACCGTACACGCGATCTGGAAGTCCTCTCTCGCTGTTCATGGCAGTTTCACGACATTGCAGAGCCGCTGATGTACGAACGCATCCGCATCCGAGACGCCAAACGGATTGCGCCGCTCTTTCGTACGCTCGTCAATGGCCGCCTCGACAGGTTGTCCTGGCTCAGGCATCTCGAAGTCAGGAGTTGGCCCCTTTCAGAGAAGGAGAGCGTGAGGGATATGCTCTCTGAGCAGGCAGCTCATATTGTCCGCCTTGCCAAGAGATTGGAGACGATCATCTGGACCCGAAAGGGCTCAATGTCAAGGCAGCTCTATCTGGCTTTGATAGGCTCCTCACTCATCAGGCTCGAGATCAACGGAGATTCGCTCAGGTTCTTTACACACAGCGACCTCTCCGCCCGGTCAGCTATGCCGACGACAGGCTGCGTTGTACCCACGCAAATGGTGCCAACACTGTCCGCCGACACCAGAAGTCTGCGCTCCTTCAGTGTCGTTCTGCCAGACGAAGAGGGGATTCTCAAATTATGTCTGGTGCTCGATATCATGCCCATCGAAGACCTGTCAATCATATGCGGTCAAGGAGCAACAGTGTCAGCGGATATGGTCGAGTATCTCTTCAGAGTTCTCGAGGCTCGCGAGCATCCGTTACGTACTCTGAGGCTCTTGGGCCTCACGACCGGCGCAGACACACGCGGCCTCGCAGGACCCGAGCGCGCCTTCGCCTCGCTTTTGAACCGAGGCCAATTGAACTATCTGGCGATCGATGGTCCTCTCGCTTTGGCACTGCCTCGGCTAAAACGCGGGCACGACATCGAAGAACTAGTCCTGGCCGTTCCTGATGGCCCCTTAGATGTAATGACGACCACGATGGCCTATGGCATCCGCAGGCCCCACTCGTTGAAACGACTGACGATCTACAATCGTCACCGACCGGGAGGACCAACGTTCGATCGCCTAGGACAATCCATGCCATGGATCCTCGCTCGACCTGGCCTGCCGGATCTTGAAAGTTTGCGGCTCCAAAATATACTTTTGGAGCTCGAACAGATAAGTGCTATCGAGCGTACGGCTAGCCTGACGGAACTCGTGCTGCATCTGACCTCAAATGTCACCCTAGACGACTTGGCTTGCATTTGCGAGAAGAGAACGAATCTGCAAAGTCTGCATTTCTTCTCGGAGAATGAAGCGACGGCGGAAGACGCCATGGGCACGCTCACGCAACTGGCGCAAAGCCTGCCGCGACTGACCGTCATCGGATGGAAGACAAGGTGCCTTTTCGATCGATCCTCTTCTTCTTGAGATCTGACGTGAAGCGCCAGAGTATGGGAAGTCGAAAGATACTTTGCTCATCCGTCTGATGAGCACCGTCGTGCAAAGCTCGTGCCGTGGGATCAGCCATACTGGCCGCCAGCACTGACGATCATGCAGATCTAAGCACGCTGTAGCAGAGCATGCAATCTTGCATCGGGCTGCTTGCCATTCCAGCCCTTGTCGTTGAGCCTGGGTAGGCCCCACTGTTCGATGGCATAGCTGGCCGAGACCGATCCATAAGCGGCTGCCTGGTGCGCGTCGCCCGAGCAAGTCTGCATGCCATATGCAAGACCGCCCAAGAAGGCATTGCCTGCTCCTGTCACATCCACGATCTTGGTTGTCGACTGGTGGTATGCCGGGCACCATTCCCCACGTCCATTCTGTAGGGTATAGGCGCCAGCTTTGCCTGAACGAACGCAGACCACCGAGTCGGCGCGCATGCTCTTCGCTAGTCTGGTCGCGCACGACTCTATATGAATCTTCTCGCTCATAATGCTGGCCGATAAAGCGAAGAAGCCACCTGCTTCGGTATGGTTGGGCGATAAGATATCAATGGAGGGTAAGACACTTTCAAGGTCAGCGAGATTGTCTGCTATGCACGAATCGGGTATCGGCTCGTAGAGCAGCTTCGTAAACTGATAGTGCGGTGTAGATGCTCTGAGATGCTGGATCTCTTTGCAGATTTCTATTGCACGACTTGGCGAGCAGACAAAGTGAAGCCAGGCAGGATCAAAGACGCGTCCCTGCTCGAGCGAGTCGATGTGCGATGCAGGCGTCAGCCGGAGCTTCGGCGTGAGATAGGCAAAGCCTCTCTGTTCTTCTGGCATGTAGATATTGACCGCTCGGGTCGTCTGTCGAGACTGATCATCTCTGAACGTCCACATGGAGCCGAATGAGTCGAGAACAGCTTGAGCTTCCTGTAGCCAGTCGTGACCACGATCGACGATCATGCGTATGCGAGCAGCATCGACCCATATCCTCGCACCGACCGAGGCGTACGTGCCACCGCCGCCAATCTGTTGGACGAGACCCTCTTTGGACCGCGTTGGCAGAGCTGCGTGCAAGAGGGAGTCTGGCTCTGTGACGCTTTCGAACTGGAATTGATCGAGGATGAACATCCCCAGGGTTGCCAGCAGGATGGCATCCATCGGGTCCTCTCCGCGGTCTTATCAGGCGATTGGCCGAACTCGCGTGGAGCAGCGGGACGACATGTGACGGACCCTCCCTGATGCTTTCTCAGCAACAGTGCCCATTCTCCAGCAGCAGACACTCGTCAGGAGAAGCACTGTCGCAAGCCGAGATCAGAACACAAAGCAAGCATGACGGGCACCATGAAGGCTATCGTCATGAGGGCGCCTGGCCCGCCTGACTCGCTCAAGCTCGAAGAGATGCCCATCCCAGAGCCAGCACCGGGCAAGGTGCTCATCAGAGTCCGGGCAAGGGGCATCAACCGCTCCGAAATGTTCACTCGACAGGGTCACTCCCCCGGGCTTCAGTACCCGCGCGTCCTCGGCATAGAAGCGTGTGGAGAAGTCGTCGCTGCGCCCTCTGGGGAGTTCGCGCCTGGTGATGTGGTGGCATCCATCATGGGTGGGATGGGAAGACTCTGGGATGGCGGCTATGCGGAGTACTGCCTCGTACCGGCCACTCAGATCCAAAAGATCACGGTCAAACTTGACTGGGCGACCCTTGGTGCAATGCCTGAGATGCTCCAGACTGCGCATGGCAGTCTCTTCCGATCACTCCAGCTCAAGGCGGGCGAAGTGCTGCTCGTTCGAGGCGGCACGACTTCTGTTGGACTCTCAGCAGCAGCTCTGGCGCGCAATGCGGGCGCCAAAGTCATCTCGACGTCTCGTAGCGCTAATCGTGTCGATCTACTGAAAGCGAATGGAGCAAGCGAGACGATCGTTGACTCGGGCTCAATTGCTGCTGAGGTCCGCATGCTGTACCCGAACGGCGTCGACAAAGTGCTCGAGCTCATCGGAACGGTAACGCTGCAGGACTCGCTACGATGTACTCGAGAGGGAGGTATCGTTTGCATGACTGGTATCGTTGGTGACTCTTGGACACTGAACGATCTCAACCCGATGGACTTCATTCCCACTGGCGTCTGTCTCACTTCCTATGCTGACCCGAATGCCTGTACGTCTGTTGCGCATAGGCTCTGTCCGCCATCTGACGAGGACTTGCCGCAGTCATGAAGATACCCATGAATGAGCTGGCACAGCAAGTCGCCGACAAGACGCTCAATATCACGATAGGCCGTACTCTCAGCCTAGAAGAGATTCCTCTCGCGCATGAGCTCATGGAATCCAACAAAGCCGGTGGCAAGATCGTTGTGCTCTCTTGAGTCCCAGATGGGTCAGAACGTGGCGACCTTGCGTTGCTGTGAGGCTCGAGATGGGAGGGACTGTCGTCACTGTTGTGGTGGAGAACGCGTCAATTGATATTTGCGCCCTGTTTCTGTCGCAGCCTGTGTGACTAGCGTCCTGTCCCGGTCCGCTATCAGAGCATCTGCAGGATGGGCTTCTTCTGCTGCATGCAGGATCCGTCCGAGCACCCGTCTACTCGTGGATCAGTGGACGTTCATGCTAGGCCAAATGGCGAGGAGAAATTGCCGGCCTACGCTGCAGCGAGCTCTCACTGTACCTACGATGACACGACGAGCAAGCAGATCTCCTTCATCGAGAAGATCATCGAATCACATTCATCAGCACTACAAAAGCTATCGATGGACATGTGGAACAATCCAGAGACCGCCTACAAAGAGTTCAAAACTCGAGACTTGTTCGTCAAGTTCCTCAAGAAACAGAAAGGCTGGCAGGTGACGGCCAATTGCTATGACATCACGCCCGCATACGAAGCCGTCTTCACGCACAAGCCTACATCCTCGATTGGTCAGACTAGGGTCGTTGGCTTCAACTCGGAAATGGATGCGCTGCCGGGCGTAGGTCAGGCTTGCGGTCACAACCTCATTGCGATCGCCGGCGTAGCTGCAGCGCTAGCAACTGCTCAATCTCTGGTCAAATTCGATCTGCCCGGTCAGGTGCGCTTATTGGGCACACCCGCCGAGGAAGATATTGGCGGCAAGATCGATTTATTGAAAGCGGGCGCATACAAATCGATGGATGCCTGTCTGATGGTCCATCCTGGGCCCATAGACGGTATGCTGCCAATGCTTGCCATAGCCGAAGGCTCGATCGAGTATACCGGAGCGGGATCACATGCCGCTGGTGCACCTTGGGAGGGGGTCAATGCGCTCGATGCCTGCGTCATTGCCTATACATCTCTGTCTGCGCTTCGGCAGCAGATCAAGCCGAGTCAGAGGATACACTGCATCCTCAAAGGCAGCGAAGACTTTGTGCTCAACATCATACCTGCCAAGGCCAGGCTCGTCTTTGCAGCAAGATCAGAAACGCGAGCAGAACTAGAAATACTCAAGAAGCGCGTTGTGCAATGTCTGGAAGCAGCAGCGCTTGCATCTGGCTGCTCGACGAACAACAGCCTCGTTTGGTCGATGGACTATGACGAGCTGCGCAATTCGCCGCCGCTCGCAAAGGAATACATCCGCTATATGAGGGAGCGACAGGACTTCAATTTCCCTGACGAGGGTCCCACGCTAGGCTCGACAGACTTTGGCAACATTAGCTACGCCTTGCCTGCGCTGCATCCCATCTATTCGATCCCCATCGAGCCGGGTCAGGGCAATCATACGCCGGGTTTCACGCGCGCCGCGGCTACACCAGAGGCTCACGCGAAAACGCTACGTGCTGCCAAAGGCATCGCTGCCTCTGGCTGGCGAGTTTTGACGGACCACGCTTTTTCCAAGGAAGTGAAGGAGGCATTCGAGGAGGATGAGAGGAAAAGACCAAATCTTTGAGCTCCTGTGTACTATCTTGTTGTCAGCCAGTGCATTTGCATTCGCATCAGTCTGGCTTGGTTCAGCATCGCCTTTACATCGTCACTGACGACCACTAGGAGACGATGCTTCCCAAAGGGTCGCTCGCTCTTCTTACTTGACCGAGCACGGAGCTCATCAATGGGCTGTCTGCCGATTACTAAGTTGATCATCCCAGAGAAGAGGGAACACAGATGCCAATACGAGAGAACAGTAGCTCACCATGCATTTGACACAAACAAGCGAGCGACAGAAGTTGTGAGGCTCGTCAGGTCATCCCTTCAGCATACTTTGCAAGCATTCCTACTAAGATTGGCAAGCAGAGATCCTGTAGCGATGGTTTTGTATATCGAGCCTATCTGATTCGATCTGACGTCCATGTCTGGTCATCGTAAGCGTGTATCGCTCCATTGCTGCAGCGACAGAGTGCCTAGACGAAATTTGTGGTCGTCCAAAGAGACGAGCCAATTTTCGCGACTCATCTACACGCACGCGAGGCTGCAACGTGGCATGCGAATCTGCTGGCTACTTCCATTGATCAGGCTTGTACAGACTACCCGATGGATCTAGGGTAAACGTGCGACCCAGACCACGATGAGCTTCGACCTGGAAGGGCTCATAGGGTACGCTCTCGCCATCGATGGAGATGTACTCTTTCGCAAGCACCGGGCTCACTTCATTCGATTTGACCTCTTCCGACTTTTCATTGTGCACCTTTGCGACTTTGCCCTTTGTCGCTCGTCCCTCTGGCGTGAGTCTGTAAGCTTCAACGCGATAATATTGCACATTGGAGTGATGAAGCGTGTTGCCTTCGCCTGCGCCATCCAGACCCTGTCGGACTTCATCAATGCAGCCCTGAACCAGGAAGACATACTTACAGAGAGACCTTCATAGCGACTGAGAGGCAGAGCAATAGAGATGTCGATGAGGCCATCGCCACATGCAAGTGGAAAGGGCATGTAGTCCTTTGCAACATACGGTTGCAGGCCCGCATAGACTGTGCTGACCGGCCCTCTGAACGTCGTCCATTTGCTCAGACCAGGCGCAACATCTAATGGCTTGTCGATAGAAACTGGTATCGCTTCTTGTTCAGGCAGCGGATCTTGTACTGTTCCGAAGCGTAACCTCGGCAGACTGTAGTCTTTTGAGTTAAGACTTCCTTCTTGTGCTATTGTGTCTGTTGCGCGCTTTTTGTGGTCATCTACTAGAGCTCCTTTACTCTCCTTGGTGGTGCCTTGGCCAACTATGCGCATCGACAGCGTGCAGTTGTATGTCCTTTCGCTCAGCACGCCTTGCACAAAGCCAAGCACGAATCGCGTGTCGCCCATCCATCTATTGTCCTCCGTCCCCAGATCGACATCTGCCATCAAGCCGAAAGCTTGCGATAGGAAGGAGAAGTATCTTTGGCTGCCTTGGGTGACCGAAGCGAGATCGATAGACATGGGACGACCTTTGATAGCTACTAAGCACTGATACGCGGGATTTCGACCCCGTGCAGGCGAGCTGACGTTGACGCCGAACGCGTTTGCTGAGCCGGCAGGTAGTGCGGCGAGAGGTGTCATCAGAGCTTTGCGCGCGTCTGTTCGCAGTGCTAGGCCGTTCAAGATCTCGTGCACCAGACCATCCCCGCTGACGATAGCGATACCGTCGTATTTTTCTAGATCTAATGTCTGACAGGCTTGCTTTGCATGATCGCGCCCCTCGGTGACTGCAATCGACATAAGCTCGCGCTAGCTGCACTAGCTTTGTATGACAACTCACAAGAGACGTCAAGATGGCAACCGGCTGCTTCAAAGATGGGCTGGCACTTGGTCTGCCATATCGCCTTTGCCTTTCCAGGCCCGCTCGCTGGGTTTACAAAGACTTTGAATCTGCGATGTCGTCGCGTCGCTGTACCTGAGTCAGCCGAGCAATATCGTCGGCGGCTGCTGGCGTACCTGGATAGGCATGGGCGAGCAGACGCTCGATCCATTCTTGTGCGACAAGCTCGTGATGCACAGGCACTTCGTACTTGAGCGTGCGTAGTTCCGCGTCTGTAGATGTTTTGAGACAATGAACCGTCAAGAGCAAGTCATCCAGGCTAGGCTGTCTTTCCAGCTTAACGTCCAAGATGATGTCATACGGTATACGTTTCGATGAGGTCCTTGAGCCTGAGTCAGGCATGCATCAGTCGCCGCCGCGGAGGTAGCGACGGAGCGCGAGAGGCCTACCGCGTTTAAGGACGAATGAAGCTGCTGCACTCGTGATGGAGGCTGCAAACGCTTCAGCATGGCCCGGAACAAGAAGAGTGACATCACAAACGCCTGTGGGTGCCTGTGACGACAAGCTCTTCGGGGCCGAGGAAGAGATTGGCGGGATGCTGATCTGCTACGACGAGGAGCTCGTTCGGGTCCGCTGTTGTCTGCATAGACGCTGCCGAGCCATTCGATGACATGTGACCGTGTGCATGCTTCCTTGTCGTTCCCGAGCTGGCGTGACCCTTGCCCGGACTGTGCATAGCTAGCAATTTCAGCTCGAAGGCTCGAAGCTCGAGCGCTCAAATGGGCAAAGTCAAAACGCGCTACTTATCGAACTGATCGACTATCACGAGCCAATGGCCAGTCTCCTACGACGAGCACACAGCTATGTCGCACCAACAGATACTGTCGACCACCTCGTCATAGGCGGCGGCGTTGTCGGCATGGCTATTGCGCGCGAACTGGCTAAGATAGCACCGACTTTCGTCATCGAGCGGTACGGTCTGTTTTAGTCGTCCAAGTCCACGCTGAGGACCGAGACGCGTCAGGAATGAGAACACTGGAATGGAGACAAGGTGAGTGTGCATTCATCATTTCGAGAGCTCGGGCAGGGCGCTCATTGTATCGCATGTAGCAATCGCGGCTCTTGGGTCGTCCACTCAGGTGAGATCATCCCTGGACAGGCTTTTCGCCGTCGAGGAGGTCGAGGCTGACGAACGGTCTGTAGGCATATATTATCCGGAGGAGGCTCACAAGACCAAGCTGTGCATCCGAGGGCGGCAGCTGTTATACAAATATTGTCTGGCGAACGATGTGCCTCATCGCAAAGTCGGCAAATTGATCATTGCTACGTCCGGAGAACAAGTTGCGCATCTCGACAAGCTACACGAGAAAGGCAAGAGGCTAGGCATCCCACTTCAGATGCTCTCTGGCGCCGAGGCGCGAGAGCTCGAGCCGGATCTCTCTCCGAACTGTCAAGGCGCGCTACACAGCCCCGAGACGGGCATCGTAGACGGGCGCAAGCTCATAGATGCGCTCCACGCCGATGTCATTGCTGCTGCCGAGCGGTATCCTGGCGGCGGTGGCGAGGTCTTGACGAACCATAGAGTCGTACGCATAGACCGACATGCGAGCGAAACCAGCAGTAGCAAACGAGGTAAGGAACATCAACAATACGTTGTACAGATCCAGACAGGAGCAAATCCGTCCGATAACATGTCAAACGGGGAGACCTCGGCGGTTTTAGCGAAATGTGTCATCAACGCAGCAGGTTTAAGTGCCCACCATATAATGTCGCATCTGAGGCCGCCAGACGATCCGCAGCCTATACACTACTGCAAAGGATCGTATTTTGCTTATCAAGGCGAAGGCGCAAAGCATGTCCGCCGGCTGCTCTATCCTTGTCCAGATCCCGACTTTGCCGGTCTCGGCACGCATCTCACCATGAATCTCGATGGCAACATCCGCTTTGGTCCCGATACAGAATGGCTCAAGGCCCCGAACGATGCGATACAGGCTTCAGAGTCCGATTGGTGGCAGGAACATCTAGCGCCGACTGAGTCACGGATGGCCGAAGCGATCCAGGCTGTCAAGACTTATCTGCCCAATGTGGTAGACAGCGGCTTCTCGCCAGATTGTGCGCTCTTACTCTCTATTCGTAACAAGCTAAACATCGAGACAGATGCGGGTATCCGGCCCAAGCTCAAGCCGGAAGGACAAGCGGCAGACGACTTTTCAATCACGCATCCATACCCCAATTTCATCAATCTGCTCGGCATCGAATCACCCGGCCTCACGAGCTCTCTGGCGATTGCCGAGTACGTTCGGGACCTCGTCAAACGAGAAGTCTGGGGTCTTGGCCGCAGTCATGGCAAAGTCATCAGCGGCGCCGGTAGGCTCGACGAGCAAGCAAGCGCTTGGGCTTGACAAGTGCGCTAGCTATTGCCGCATACAACCTCTCCTCGCATCACAGGACGTCTTTGGTACTTGTGATCTCGAAATGAAGTACAGCCCGGACTTCAGTAATGGCTGATGCATCTGGCGATGTCTAGATCCGCGATATTCGTCGGGCGCTTCAGGTAGCTAGCAGGAAGATGCCTCTACGCATACCAGAGCCACCCATCGTAAAGCGGTATGGCTGACGCCTTGCGAAATCGCTTTGCCGTCACATCTGCATACCGGCGGTCTTGTTACATTGCGACGTCGATACAGACTTCCGGGCCAGTCTGAGTGTCGCTACTCCTGATGAAGCCACGCAATGACGGCAAGCTGCCTTCCTGTGTTGTACCGCGCGCAGATTTGTCTTCGATGAACAAGAAATCCAGCATATGCCCATGAGGTGTGCCACTCGGGTTCATTGCTTACCAAGAATTGCTGAAGCGACGGAAGCGACGTTGTCGAATCTGGGAAGACGTCGACACACGCGACGGGCCTTCGAGCTTCGAGCATCGTGACGACATTGGCGAGTCCACTAGCTCGCCGGAGCTGGCGTAGCTGTCTGAAGCCATGGCCAGTGCCCGGGGCATGGATTCATACTCGGAGCCCGGCAGCGCCGAGTCAAGTGCCGACGAGCAGCACAATGCCTATGACTCAGGACGTCACTCAGATCTGGACGAGTTGTCACTCATGGATGAACAAGAGCCGGGCGCTGGCATAAGCTCAGACTCCGATGAAGTCTCTCATGTCACGCCTCGGAGAAGGGCACTGGATTCGGCTGGCCCTCAGATATCTCCACGAATCGCCTCTACCCCGCCGAGACGACCGCCCGTCAAGATCACAGACAGTCCAGACCATTCCAAGGAACCGAGTCCATCGTACACTCGGCCAGGGTCTACCGCACATGTACCTTCGAGCGCGGGCACGTCGACTCCAACGACAGCAAAGACGCGGCCGATGTCGCGTATGGCTGATGCCGAGGCTAGCGCAAGGTTTCACTCGCTTGGCCCGGACATCGCAAGCCCAGGCAGGCGGGATCAGTACCGCTCAAGCGATAATGAGATGGACGACTCGCTTGATGACAGCCTGAACACTTCAACGTCTACAAAGGTACCGGACACCAACGATGCAGGCGCGTCGAGACAGCGTAGGCTGCCAGACTTTGGCCTTGTGGAACAGCAAGAGGTGAGGATCCTCCCCATACTATCTGCGTACATGCTTAATGTCAGATCGCAATGACAGCGGACTGAAAGCTTGTCATCAACGGTGGTTGCGTTGCTCGAAGAGCGCAATGTCTACAGAGCGAAACAGTACTCTAGCCCGGGCGCAAACACAGCGGGGCTTCTGGCAACCATCAAAGCTCTCAAAGAGGAGAAACGGGAGCAACAGAATAGCCTTGAAGCCTTCAAACAGTCGCAATCGATGATGGTGCAGCGCTGCAAGTCAATGGCCGATGAGCTCAAGAATGCTCAAGCCGAGACAAAGGCGGCGAACGAACGAGCCGCAGACTTGCACAGACAGCTTGCGCAAGCACAACATCGCATCAAAGACCTCGAAGCAGACGTGCGTGAGCATGGCTCGTGTAGATCGACGTGCTGATCCTGGCTCGAGCAGAGAGAGCGCGCCGACGAGCGTCATGCAATCGAACAGAGACGTTCCCAAGACAGCTTCAGCCGTGACCGCGATCTTCATGATGCTGCCCGTCTTATAGAGGTTCGTACATGGGCACGTATCGCAACGAAGGCTTACCCTCCGGGGCAGAGCGAAAATGAGGATCTGAGGGCACAAAGCCAAGGCATGCAAGCGCGGTTAGAGACAGCAGATCATCGGATAAGAGATCTTCAGGAAGCAATACGTAGTCTGGAAGACGATAGCGAGGGCCGCGTCGATCCGGCTGTGCGTGGTCGCCGCTCGGTTGAGGTGCATCACTGACTGTGCATGCAGGTTGTCGACGAATGGCGCAACAAGTACCAGGCAGAATACCTCAGAGGCAATCAATTGCAGCTCAAAGTTCTGGGGATGGAGCAAGCGACTAAAGAGCTATCACTCCAATGCGAGACGATCACTTCAAGAGCAGAAGCGTACCAGCAGGCGATCGATACTAAGCATAAAGAGGCGCAGCTGCTGTCTGTCGACCTTCAAAAGAAGCAATCAGCCAATATGGCGCATCAGCGCGAATTGCGCGAGGTCAGACAGCAGATGCAAAGCCTTTATGCGACCCTACAAGAGTACGAGTCCAGATGGCAGAAGCTCGCTGAGAAGGGCATGATCGATGCACGCAACATCGATAGCCTGGAGACTGCCTTGCGTAATTTGCAATCGGAATACGATAGCGAAAGCGAAAAGCTGAAAGAGGTGCGTCCAAGCAGCCTCGGCAAAATGACTCGTATTGATTGGTTCTTGTCAAACAGCAAGTTGCACAGGCACGCACTCAGTATTCGAGCACATCAGCAGCCCTGGTCCAATCGCAGGCCAAGTCTTCGCAGCACGAAGCTCAACACGTACAGGCGCTCTCTGAGCTCAACGCAGCTCTGCGAAAGCTCGAGAACGAGCTCCAAAGCGCCAAGCTAGCGCATGACGACTCACAGAAGAAGCTAGAAGCTGAACATGCGCTACGTAATGACGAGCTTGCTGCCTACCGCAGAGAGCGTCGCAAACTTGAACTTGACTTCAAGCAGCGACTTGCGGAAAAGGATCAGCTGCACGAAAACCTAAGAAACGACATCAATAATGCCGAGATCCATCTGGAAGCGGACAAAGCAAGTATTCGGGAGCTCGAGGATGCGTTGCGAAAAGCCGGCGCCAAGGACAAGTCGCAGCCAAATTACCAAACTGCAATCTACCTCGAGCATGATCGTTTGCAGCGCGAGCACGATGACTACCGAGCGCGATACGAAAGGGCCAAAGCCGAAGTGCAAACTCACAAGCAAGCTATTGGCCAATTAGAGGCCCAGAATGCGACGCTCAGCGCCGAAAAGGGCGAGGCGGAGAAGGCTCTGTCAACTCAGATTGAGAACAGATTGTCGATCACTGCTAAGCTGGATGACACTCAAGCTAGGCTGCAACGAGCAAAGGCCGCGTACGACACGCTCAAAGAGAGCACGCCCGCAAAGGTGAGAGTCTCCGACACACACCTGACCGGCCAGGTCACCGAAAGAAACAAGCTCCTGGAGACCGCATTGACGGCTATAGAGGAAGTGCTAGGAACAGGCTCAGCACGGACAGGAATACCTCAGCCCAAACCGTCTCAGGACTTTACGAGCTTTTCCAGACAGCTTCAGAGCAAGCTCAAGAATCTCGCTGGCATCAAGGCTGCATTTCGTCACAGAGCCTCAGAGATTGAGGAGAAATTCGTGGCCCAGCTGGCGATGCTGCGCAAAGAGCAAGATAGCAAACTCAAACTTATTGATCGCATCGAAACGCAGCTCAAAGCAGCACAGGCGTTCTCGCAGGGATGGCGCGCAAAGGTAGCAGCTCGAGATGAGGAGAATGCTACCCTTCGAGCAGAGGTTGAAGAACTGCGGAGCAATCTAGTCAGCTTCTACGCTTCGACAGGCGCTGAGCCGGTGATGGCGCTGAGGATCAAATACAATAAGATCAAGGAGCGATTGCGCATCTCCGAGACACGCTTGATAGCTGCCAAGGCCACGGTAGTCAAAGGTAACGAGAATATCAAAAAGATGGATGTGGAGCTCAAGGCCAGAGATGATCTCCTGGACAAGTACGAGGAAGATCAGAAGCTCGGCGCGGAGCAAATGACGCGTCTACAGCATGCTCTCGGGCGTTTGCAAATACAAGTAGATCGTACAAGCAACACCGAAGCTTTGGCGGCAATCGTCGAACGCACTCGTCAGAACAGTCACAAGTCATCGTAAATGTTGTCGTCATTCATATCCTCCCAGATGTATCTGAATTTCCCAGTCCGTTGCGCTGTGGTCGTGCTTGAGCGTGAAAGCATCCTCGTCCACAACGAGAAGTATCATGCCGTAGAAGATTGGTTGGATCGAAAACTTTCGCGTTGGCTCGCCATCAATGAGGATCATCAGATTGCCCAGTTGAGCCGGGCTTGCATTTGCCAAAGTCATGGCAAAACGTCCTCGCAAGCTCAGTTGAACGCTGAGGGCAACGCTGAAGGCTTTGCTGGAACTTTGCACAGCGTACGAGCTCTTTTGGGAACTGTCGCCTGTGATGGCCGGTCTGATGCGGTTTTGCCAGACGTAATGCGTGACCAAGAAGGCAAACGCGAACAGGGCAGAGAACAAAGTCTTGACTGAGCTGTAAGGAGAGCATACTACGGAGCGAGCAAGCGCTTGTACATCCAGATCTTTCGAGTTGGGTTGGAAGCGACGTCGCACGAAGGGTATGAGCTGCGGCATAGCTTCCTCTCTGCGCGACTGGGTCTGCGCAATCTCTGGCTTGTTCTGGCTGCGCGTAATGATTTCGACGCGCTCAACAGGGCTGAGGGATGCATACTTGTCGATGAGGCCGAGAAGTGAGTAGCTGACGCGCCCATCAAACTGTCGAACAAAGGCAGTCGTCATCGTTCGCCAAGTCTCTGGCTGCAGCACAATCTGGGCGATCGGCTGGTCAGGATCACCCTCGAGCGCGTTCATGATGGACGCATTCATTGTCTCGGCATCGAAGAGAAGAACCTGATCCGTGCCACTCGACAGTAAAGGCTGAAGCTCGCCCCGTGTGAGCATGTGGTACGCGCGCGCGTCGGGCTCGGCTCGCGTGTTCCAGAAGCCCAGAGTAAGACCATGTTCGTGTTGGCGTGCGATGAAGAGAGCTGGTCCGAAGCCTTGCCCAAGATTGTCTTCGAAGACGCTGGCTCCGACTTTGCCTGCAGAGCTCGTTCGAGCTTGGCATGCTTTCCAAGCACCGGACGAGTCCTGTGCAACAAGTCTGCGAATGACTGCACCGTCGTATTTACCAGGCTCATCTGTCAGGTATAAAGGTGCCGTCGTCATCGCATTGAAGGCAGCGTGATACGTTGTGAAGCCCAAGGTGTTAGATGATTGAAACATGTCAAAGTCTGGGAGAATGTGTAAGGCGTTGTGAAGCAGCGCAGTCGTAGCGTTGTTGTAGACGTGATGACGATGTGAGTCTCTGACAAGAGGCAAGAAGTCATCGCTTGTACGAAGAGGCGCACGAACTCCCTTGGAACTGAGACCCACCGGTCCGCTCCATGTGCGTGGTGAGCCAGCCATGCAGTCTGTCTGGTCGAGACCAGCAGACTTCGCTGCTTCTCGCATCGCTTTGGACATCGTCTGACGCCATTTGCCAGCGGCACGACCAGCAGCATCGCGCAAGACATAGTCCAGATGAGCTTGATTATCGACCTTGACAAAGTCAACGCCTGCCGACTTTAGAGCGTGGAAGAAATCGGACCAGAAGGCATACGCATCTGACTCGCTCGGAAGATGCCATACATCGCCATTAGGAGGACCGCCTGTTGGATCACGGAGCAAAAAGTCGCGCATCTGGTAGCGCTTGGACAAGGCAGAGTCGGGCGAGACACCACCCCAGTATCTGTCCAAAGCCTATCGTAAGTCTACGGTAAGGTTACAGCTCATGACAGACTGACCCTTGCATTGTGAGCCATACGCCGACTCGACGGATGCTCGGGAATTGAGCCTTGATGTGTCGGATAGCATGCTCTAGGTCATCTAAGCCATCCTTGGGGGAGGTCTTAGCGCCTGCTGCCTTGAGATCGTTCCAACCAGGCATAGCGCCAAAGTTGACCAAACGGCGATCGTTGCCTTTCTCAGGCGGTCCGTCTACGTATTGCCAGCCATCATCAAGCAAAAGAGAGTCAAAGCATTCGAGCAAATCTGCCTCTTCAAGGCTGGTGAGCATGCTTTCGACTTGACTGAGCTTGTAATCTTGTCCAAGCGCATTCCATGTGCATACTCCGAGACCATACGGCGTGCCGGTTGTGCCCACTTGCAGTGAGCTTGGGATCGAGCGCGGTGCGTCGTTCGCCAGGGTCTTCATCAGATTCTTGTTGTACTCCCGCGCAGCGCTGACCATTTGCTCGATGAGGGCGGACAATTGTGACAGTGGCGTCCATCCGACCGCCACGACTCCGCGCGCGTCCTCCGAGCTGTTCGCGTCGAGCTCGCATCGCAGCCAGAAAGACGAGTCGGCCATGTCGCCTCGCAATGTCGAAGTGACGCTCGGTGTGCAGAAAGGATAGTAGACCAATGCTTCGTCTGACATGACACTCAGATTTGAGTCTGATTCTGACTCCGTTCGGAAGATGAGCAATTGAGCGTCGATATCCGCTCGAAGCATTGCGTCTTTAGCCAGCAGACGAGGTACGAACCACGTAGGCTTTGAGCGCTCGAGCACTAATCCATCGCGCATTTTCGGCTGAGCGAGCTTGAAAGACTCGAGCTGACCAGACTGCAAGTCTGCCGAGAGATCACATTCGATGATCAGTACTTGTGGCGCGGCAGTCGACAAGAGTCGTGCGCGATCGTCCACAGGGGTGACCATGTCTGCGAGCGATGCGACGCCGACGCGAGATGCATGCACCTTGATGTGAGCATTCTCGCCCGATCCAAGCCAGAGAATGCGATCGTTGTCTTGCGTGTAGCGTAGCCGGTAAGTCAATTCGTATGCGCTCTTTGCAAGAAAATTGTGCTTCGAGCCTTCCAGTGATACCACGGCCTCCAGCAAGACCGTCGATGAGTCACCAAGCGAGAGGACATCGCATCGCTCGAACGGCACTGCGCGCCACTGATCTCCGTCAGCGCCTAAATTGGTCCATGCCTCCAAGACGATGCCGGCAGCAAGCAAAGATGGCTCAGAGCAGTGTGCGTGCAGCCTGATGGAGCGAGTCTCATGCGTGATGGCGAATGTTGTCTCCGTGCCCAGCTGCTGGTTGAAGTGAAAGTGATGCGCCATCTGGCGGCTGTGATGACGCTGCTTTGTGCCTTGCCCTTTGCTTTGCGCGCGCTGTCGCGATTCGCGTCGATCCTCGATCGGCTCTGCTTTTTTGTCTGGATCCACAACGCTGGGAGACCGTGTCAAGCATTACCATGGCCAGATCTCAGCAGCGACGTATCTTCGCTCGACATGTCTTCCTCGATGCTGCTTGTGCTTGCGTTGGCGGCGGTCGGATATGTCTGGTTGCGCACTTGGCTGAGGACGACCAAGCTACCGCCTGGACCGTCGGGTTGGCCGGTCCTTGGCTGCACGCTCGATCTGATTGATACCACAACCAAGCCCTGGGTCCGCTTCGAGGAATGGTGGAAGCAGTCAAACGCAAAAGTCGACGTGATCTGTGTGCCTACGCTCAATCAAACGAATATCGTCCTTATGAGCGCCAAGGCTGCCAACGAGCTCTTCGAGAAACGAGCGCACATCTACTCTGCTCGTCCGGTACGCTGATACGCGCAGTTCTGTACTTGTACTGAGGCATATAGCAGAGCTCGCACTACCTCAGTGACATCGTTCGCGGCGGCATTCCGCTCGTAGACATATCAGACTTGGACAGGCGAGTCTCCTGCTTCCCTTGGGTGGCCTCGCGTGCTCAGGCCGAGCGCAGAGTATCCGCTCAGCGCAAGATGCTACATGAGCAGCTCGGTGTGAAATCTGCTGCCCAATGGCAGCTCATCCAAACTGAAGAAGCACGCGAAATGATTGGCATGTTCCTGCAGTCGCCTAGGGGCTATCTAGACATTTTCCAAGCGTATGTGATATCAGTTCAGTACATCTCACTCGCGGTTCTGACGTCCCCTTGCAGCACGATGGAAAATCTCGTGAGAAAGACGACATATTCTTCAAGCGCGACAGTGACATCCGAACGCGTATGGGAGCACAAGCGCAGGTCTTCAGCGAGAACCCATACACCTTTGGCACCACTTCTCGACATCTTTCCAATCTTACGATTGATGCCCAGCTGGCTTCCCGGCGGAAGTTATAAGATAACGGGCAAGGCTTATTTCGAAGAGGATCGTCGAATCTGGGAAGGCTTGCGTGATGACATAGCCTTAGATCTCGCTAGCGGTACTCTGCGACCATCCTATATGTCGCAATTGATTCACACGCAAGCGCCTGAGCGTCACGGCATCTCTCAGCTCGACTTGGCCTTCATCGCGGGCAATCTCTTGACAGCGGGCGGTGACTTGCCGGAAATTACGCTCGAGATCTTTGTTCTCGCAATGGTCCATCATCCGATGGTCGCTCGGAAAATACAGGAAGAGCTCGATTCTGTGGTGGGCCGAGATCGCATGCCAACGTTTGCAGATGAGGCGAAGCTGCCCTACACTCGGGCAGCGATCCTGGAAGTACAGCGTTGGCGCACGCTCGTTCCTATCTCTCTTGCACGCCGCGTACTCGAAGACGATGTCTACCAGGGCTACACGATTCCGAAGAATGCAATAGTATGGCCCAACCTTTTGGCGATGAGTCAAGACGAGTCCGTCTATCCCGATGCGAAGAACTTCAAACCCGAGCGATTTCTGACATCAGCTGGCGACTTCACTCGCAAGGATGAGCTGGCTACATTCGGCTGGGGCAAGAGGTTGTGCCCAGCAGTGCATGTCGCACGCAACGTCGTCTTCATTAATGTCGTGTCTCTAATGTGGGCATTCGATCTCGTGCCAGATTCGACACCGGACGGTATACCTATCCTGCCTAGCGCCGACATGAGAGATTGGCGTGGTGTCCTTCCATGGTCTGTAGTCCCCTGACGATCGACAAAAGGACTGACGCTGCACTGCAGTCGACCACAGCCATTCGCCCTCGAGGCTGTCCCCCGGAGCAACGTTGAAGCAGCGATGCGAGCTCGCCGCGAAGAGCTCGTCTTCTCTCATGACGGATAGACGTCCGATGCAATGTTTACGCTCAGTTCCGAGTGTCGCCTACGTCAATGCACTGGTGAAGCAGTGGAGAGCTGCGCTTCTTTTCGACGACTGGTGTGGCTGCAAGCGACACGATCACCACTGACACCCATTGTGGGACGCTACCATCGCATCTATAGGGCCACTTTCGAAGTATAGATTGTCGCCTTGTATCTCATTCAACATAAGACTTTGCCACAATATTGCGTCATCAGCAGCATCACTGGCCCCATACACCCATAGCACGACGACTGATAACGTACCATTTCGCAGCCGCGTCAGTCCAGTAAGACTCTGAGAATCCTCTTGAAAGTAAATGGCGGCATATGCAGTGGCCAGCTCCTCACGTCAAAACAGGTGACCGTACCCGGCCGTACAGACTACTCAGACTGATGGCCACAAGCTGCTGATGAACAACAAATTGTCGTACCCGGCCCCTGACGGCCTCGTGAGCGCGTTAAACGTGTGCGATATCGATTTCGTAGCTTCAGACCACATTGCCCGCAACAGTCTCAAGAGCGTGTTGCCTTGCAGTGCCTGGAGCCCTGTCACTTCCTACGTCCGTGACATACGCATGCGCAATTGAGAAAGGTTCACTCGCGCTCGGAGCGAATCGCACTGTTGCAATGTCGTAATTTCCATCTTCGCGTTGCGCACGACTCTTTCGCGCTTAGGCTTTGCTTCGAGATGACAACTCTGATGCGGCAACATAGGCCAGTTAGGGCTCTCGTACGGCCTCATCTTCTCGTCGGTTCACTGCTCGGCGCCAGTGTCGGCGTCTACGCCGGCAGCTCGACTAGACGCACCTTGTGGTCGAAGAACGCAGACATCAAATGCGATGCAGTCGAGCCAAGCAAGAGCAAGAATGTCTTCTCGCTCGACAAGCTCAAAGAAGCCTTCCAGCTTCCAGACGTACCCGAGCAACTCAAGGACTGGGGTCAATCGTGGAAAGAACTTCGACAAGGCTATGATTCTATCGTGTCAGAGCTATCTAGAGCAAAAGGCTCTTTGTACAGAGACATCGTCGACAAGCACTCTGAGGATCTGGTATCCAATCCAGAGATTGACTGGCAGGCGCACGTCAGACTGGATGGCGAAGACCGTCCTCCTGCGCTTCCGCACGCCGAAAGAGCTTACCTGCGCAACCGACGTGAAAAAGCGCGCCTGGCGTTTGCCCGTCTGATCGACGTTCCGGTGGACGAGATAGATGCGCTCGATGTGCCCATCATTGGTATCGCTGGGTCTGGCGGTGGCTATAGGGTCAGACTTGGTCTACTTGCGCGCGTACAGAAGCTGAGCACAGAGTAAGACTTTGCAGGCTATGGTCAACACGATTGGCTCACTTAGAGGCGCGAAAGCATCAGGCATCTTAGACTGTACAACCTATCTCGCTGGCATATCAGGCAGCTGCTGGGCACTCACTCTGTACTACTCACTTGGCAAGGGCGATATCGAACACTTGATCAGCCATGTCCGTTCACGAATCACCACATCATTTTTCGACAAGACGACGTTCGATCTCCTCACTAATCCTCCCACTAATTCGTATCTGTTGAGCGGCGCAATACTCAAAGAAGCCTCGGAAGCTGGCGAGTTCTCTCTTGTGGATGCATATGGGACGCTCGTCGCTTCGAGGCTTTATATACCTGATCATATCGATAAGCTTGACAATAAGCATCTCAAGCTTAGCAACCAGAGGCAGTACATAGACGATGGTGACTACCCACTGCCAATTTACTCAGCCATCCGTCATTCGATTCCGCAATTTGATACAGTAATCGAGCTGAACAAGCAACAGATACGCAAGCTCGCAAGTCGTGACAAGGACAAAGTCGAGACTGCCGAATCGCTTGAGAAGCAAAAGCGCGAGCTGCTCTCGAGAGCATCTTATCAGTGGTTCGAAATGACTCCCTATGAGATCGGGTGCGAAGAGCTGGGCGCATGGATACCAACATGGTCCTTCGGTCGCAGATTTGAAAACGGCAAGAGCATTGACCGGAAACCAGAGCTCAGCACGACCATCTTCGCTGGCATCTGGGCGAGCGCCTTCTGCGCAAGTCTTGCAAATTACTACCGCGAAGTCTCACCTCTGCTCAAAGTGCTTCCCTACTATAGTCGCATCAACGAGATAGTGTCTGCATACAACGATGATCTGTCTGCGCTCCATCCATTCCCACCTGCCAATATTCCCTCGTATCTCAAGGGCATCGATGGGTTGAGAGCAGGCTCAGAAGATCTCACTCAGACCGATACGCTCGGCTTCCTCGATGCAGGAGCTGTCTGTAATTTGCCGTACGAGCCTCTTTTTAGGCGTAATTGCGATTTGATCATCGCACTCGATGCCTCTGCCGATTCGCAAGAGGTCTGGTTCCAGCGAGCTTCTGATTATGCCAAGAAGCGCGGCATGGCAGGTTGGCCCAAAGTCGACTATCGTCCGCCCGCTACGTTTGCAAAGAAGCAGGCAGAGGTCAACCAAGGAGACTCGAAGGATGTCAAGCCCAACCAGACGAAGGAGCCCAAGTCAGAGGATAAGGTCGGAGAAGCGAAAGATCAAGCCGATCATCAGAAAGCCGGCACTACTGATCAGCCGACGGGCGCAAGCGACGCCGGATCAGCGCCTGAGGATGGCCCGATGCCGGAAGTATCGAGCGACTCTGAGCCGCCGATAGGTCGTTTCAATTGTTGGGTAGGTGACTCGCAAAACACAGGCGACAAATCTGCTCGTCTGGACGAGCCTACTGTCGAAGAAGTCAGAGATCGAGATGGAGTCGCGCTCGTCTACTATCCTTTGCTACCTGGCAAGAAGCTCGACAACGTCGCAGAAGTGTGGTCTACTTGGAAATTCGACTATACGCCTGAACAAACGGATCAGCTTCTTGATCTCGCGCAAAGCAATTTCGAGACTGGCGATAAGAAGCTCAAAATCATTCTCAAGGGTCTTTATGAGCGCAAAAGAGCACGTAGACTGCAACAACAGGATGCATAGAGACAACACACACAGTTTGCTTGCCTTGCTTACATACGGAAGACGCCGAAATTGCCTGGCGACTGATGCTCTCGCTTGATGTCGAAGCTCTCGTGCGCTGTGGCAAGCGCTAAGCCGAGGATCGATCGAGTCTGATCTGGCCGGATGATGCCATCGTCCCAAAGACGCGCACTGCTGTAAAGCGCGGTTGCTTCGTGCTCGATCTGGGCTTTTAGCTTTTCTCTCTGGCTGGGATCGCTAGACACGGACGCCATCACCTCGCTGAGTGCCTCGCCACTATTTGGCTGCATCAGCTCGGCCCATCGATTATGATACATGCCTACCTCATGACAGAGATCTTTGCGTTCGGCCACATGAACAGGAAGCGAGGATCGTAAGCTCGCCCAGCGCAGCCATAATTGCCAGCACCGAAACTACCGCCAACGATGACAGTAAATTTGGGCACAGTCGTCGTTGCGACTGCTTTGACCATCTTGGCGCCATCACGAGCGATGCCGCCCTGTTCGGCATCCCTGCCTACCACTGTAGATAGAGCAAGTTCAGTTGTTGTATCGCATTATCACGGAACACGCACTGTATCCGGAGACGTTGACGAGGAACAGCAGCGGGATACCGCGTTGCTCGCATAGCTGGATGAATTGCGTCGCTTTTAGTGCTGCAGACGAGAAGAGGACGCCATTGTTTGCGATGATACCGACGGGATAGCCGTGTAGATGCGCAAAGCCAGTGATGATGGTCTCGCCGTACAGCTTTTTGAAGAAGTGGAACTTGCTACCGTCGACTAGTCTCGCAATGATCTCGAGCATATCGAAAGGCTTGCGAATGTCCGCACTGACAATACCATTACAGTCTGTGATATCGTACAGCGGTTCTTCAACGGGCCGTGGCTTGCGAGACGATTCATAAGGGAGAGGTTTGTAGGAGAAGCTAGCGACTGCCTGTCGGGCGAGAACGAGTGCATGCTCATCGGATTCTGCCAGGTGATCTGTCACGCCCGAGACAGTGGAATGCATCAAGCCTCCTCCCAACTCCTCTGAAGATACGACTTCGCCTGTGGCCGCCTTGACGAGGGCAGGACCGGCCAAGAAGATCGCGCCTTGATCACGCACGATGATGTTCTCGTCCGACATGGCGGGCATGTATGCACCACCTGCGATACTGAGACCGTGCACGACCGATAGCTGAGGTATGCCAGCTTTGCTCATCTGAGCTTGATTGTAGAAGATCCGGCCAAAATGCTCTCGATCTGGAAACACTTGAGATTGGAAAGGCAGAGCGGCCCCGCCTGATTCGACGAGGTAGATACATGGTAGCCTGTTCTCTGCCGCAATGGCTTGTGCGCGAAGATGCTTCTTGACGCTGATGGGATGGTATGATCCCCCTTTGGACGTGGGATCGTTCGCCAATATCATACAACGCGTGCCGCTCACTGTACCAATCCCACTGATCATCCCCCCTGCAGGTAGCGGGTCTTTGTAGAGCTCATGACCGGCAAAGGGCGACAGCTCGAGGAAAGGCGAAAAGGGGTCGAGCAAGCGATTGATCCGGTCGCGTGGTAACAATTTGCCTTTACTCGTATGCTTCTCACGGGCTTTCTGCGAGCCGCCGAGCCTGATCTTGTTGGTGTAGAGGTCATCTAAATGATTTTGCAGGCCGTCCATGGAGAGTTTATTGCTCTTGAACGCAGCAGACGAGGTATCAAGCTTGGAAACGAGCGCTGCGGCGTGATGCTCGTGGCTGACACTGCGTTGAGCCGTCGAGCTGATCAGTCGAGCCGACCATGCCAGCCTCGGCTTGGACAACCGGCGCGGCAGCCATTGCAGCGGCATGACGCCCGGCAGCAGGGGGTTGATGAAGTCGCGACGTGGAGGAGAAGCGAGAAGCACGCGACCTCTTTGACAGGTTTCGCAGCAATCTACCCGCTCAGATCTGGCAAGATGAGGCTACAACTGGCATCCGGGCTGCTTGCTACGAGCTTGTTGTGCGTCACCGGGCTTGATCTGTACGACGACGGCGCCCAGACGGTGTTCAGATCGACTGCGACAGCCGATGACGTCCTCGCCAGCCGACTCGAGAGTCTCCCTGAGTCTCACCTGGAGCAGCTCGTCGATCACATGCGTAGCCTGCCCGAGAAGCGTCTGATCAGTACATCTCCCGGCGAACAGCGTTGGATCACAGAGGGCGAGAAGGCCTTGCTCGTCCTGTCGGGCACACGGTTCATCGATCTGACGGACAGCATCGATGAGCGCGCACTTGAGAGCAAGTCGATGGAGACATTGCCTGCTTCCCTCAAGCATGCAGACAAGCTGTCCGCATACTTTGACGCACTATCGACCGATCGCATGAAGGCCTTTCTCACGACTTTCTCTGGCTTTCGTACGCGCTACTATCGCAGTCAGACGGGCAAAGAATCATCTGAGTGGCTACAAGCTCAAGTGCAGCAGCTCGCTCTCAAACACAAATCGCTCAACATGAGCGTTGCTGCCTTTCCGCACTCATGGGGCCAGTCCAGTGTCATCGCTCGGCTACCGCGAGCTACCCATCCCGACGCTGCTATCGAGGCCCAGCTAGCCCGAGACGAACAAGTCGTCATCATCTCTGCACATCAAGACAGCACAAACCTGCTGCCCTTCTTGGCTGCACCCGGCGCAGATGACGACGGCAGCGGCAGCACGACGATCTTTGAAGCTCTCACTGTTCTGGTCGAGAAGCAGCATCGACCCGTCAATCATACTGTCGAATTTCATTGGTACAGCGCAGAAGAAGGCGGTCTGTTGGGCTCGCAGGCCGTTTCGCAAGCATATGCTGGCATGGGTCAGAAAGTCAAAGGTGTTCAACATTTCGACATGACCGGTTCGTCGCTCAATCCGCTTGCATCATCTTTGCTGACTCTGCTTGGATTGCAGCCTGGGTCAAGGCAGGCACAGAGCCAAGGATGGGCATCATACAAGACTACATCAGTCCCGAGCTGACCGCCTTCGTCGAGAAGCTCGGTAAGGAGTACGTACAGATCCCACTAGTACAGACTCAGTGCGGCTATGCATGCTCGGATCATGCGAGCTGGACCAAAATTGGTGCACCGAGCGCATTCGCCATCGAGGCGACGTTCCAAGACAGCAATACGCAGAACATCCACTCGACGCGCGACACTATCGATCACCCAGAGTTCTCCTTCAAGCATGCTGCACAATTCTCAAGGCTGGCAATCGCCTTTGTAGCAGAGCTCGCTGGCTAGATCGACCCAGTGTGACGTGTAACCCTTGACGCATACACCGATGCATTGTATTGTCTGTTCATTACAGCCCACCTGCAAGTATGCGCTGGGCCATCCTGTCGCGCACCGTCGAAAAGGCGTTCATGATTGTCTGCTCGCCTGGTTCAGCCGGACTGAAGCATCTAGAAAGAAGACGCACTTGTTCGTTGATCGTGATATTGCTCAAGTCTACTGTCCCAGAATCGGGTCTGGGCCGCGAGACACGAGAAGCAATGGCGTTGGAGTCGGTCTCTAGGATGATGCTGCTCTCGACTTGTCAGTCTACTGTTTTGGCGCGACTGGGACACGGACCCATCGTCTACAGTCTCGTCAAGTGCAAGTACGACGAGGTCGAGGTTCTCGAGCACCGAGCGTTTTTCGACCTGGTGTCGTAACAGCAGCGAGACGGCATCGTAGAACGCGTTGAGCGCAGATTGCAGCATGAGCTCATTCTCCCCTTCCGGTCCAATGATGTAGAACGTCAGATCGATAGATGCTCTGAACAGGACCAGATGCGAGGCGTAGAGTATGATATCGCCTTGATCCACAATCAGCAGTGCTCTGCATAGCGATAGGAAGTGAGCCTACCTTGAGCGCGACGTGTCTTGTCCCATATCGCCGCTTCGAAGGCTTTCTGGTCTTTCAACGTCTTGAAGGGACTCACATAGGTGCCCAGGACGAGCGAGCTGTGCTTGGCGTTGGAAGTCGAGTCGCCCAGGGCTGATTTGCTCGTGTCCGAGTGAACGGGCTGGAAGTATTTGGCTAGCAACCTATTGCCGTCGCTGTCGATGATGACGATGGCCGTCGTCGAGAAGAGCGACAGATTCTGCATGCGTGAGATCAGCCCATGCTCGGCGGTCTTGCTTGTAGCCGCTTACCATGCTGCCGCCGTCGTCACACTTGCGCTGAGCCAAGCTATGGTCAAGTCGCGTGTCGACCATCGCTACGTCGCCCAGTCTTGGTCGTGTGGCGATCAGATCATGGCGGGCTCAAGCGCAGCGAGTCTCTCCAGTGCAGATAGCGACGAGGCTGCCAAGCAGATCCACGCACTCTACTGCTTCGATGTCCTCTCCGCACGCTTATCGGGCTCACCGATCCCCTCTCCGTCGTTCGATGACCGATTACAGGCCTAGTGCGTCAGCTCTTGCTCTCAATCGATCTCAACAGCTGATGCAGCCATGCACTACAGCCCGTTATTCGTCACTTGGAATATCCAGTCGAGCAGTTCATCCAAACGCTCGCCGAGGTTGAGGGGCTGCATCGGCAATTTCACTGCTGCACCGCTCGGCACCGGTCTGCGAGAATACGCAGAGATCTCGTAAGCTCTGTCTCGAGCCTGTATGTCAGTCTGTGCTCATGCGTGAGGAACAGCGCGTTTAAAGATAGTCGATTCAACCCCATCAACTCGGCTGAGCTACCGCGATTGCAATGCAGGCAAGCATCACGCCCCTGTCAAGACTATCCTGATGGAGCTGACATTGACCGGTTGAGACAGCGTCTCGCTTCTCACGCATTTCGAGGAAGCAGACGATTATCTGGACTGGCAGATCGGGCAGCATGGCATCTACATCCATCTCCCCGATCCACATGACCATACGAGATCAATCGCACAATCACTCTCGCGACGAAGCGCACGAGAGCTCTCTGCAACCTACTTGCCTGACGTCATGCCCGAGCAAGGCTGGTCAAAGCCAGAAGCAGTCAAGTCTGCCGTTCGCAAGTCTGGCTATTCGTTCGTCATCGCTCTACTTAGCCTGATCAAAATGTTGATTACAAAGCGCAGTGGGCGAATCACCCAGGAAATACTGAACAGCATAAGATTGACGCGCTATCAAAGCAGCAAAGTCACCGTCACTTATGACGAATGGCGAGCAGCATCAGCAGCTAGTTCGCTCGCATCCTCGCCTTCACCGGTCTCATCCTGAGTCTCGCAAGTCCACTATCTGTCATCCTCGTCCCCTCTCGTCATCGTCATCGTCTGCACATGTTGCATGTTGCATGTCATACTTACGTCATAGACTTCATCCTAGACGCCGCCCATTGTTGTCAAACCAATTCACTCGAATTCTCTTCACCCGAGTATGTCCGTCAGGCCTCCTTCCACTCGACCGCCTACTGCTGCACTCAGCATCCGTCGACCAACGACTGCTGCAAGCACAAGAGAAACTACCAATGGCGGCGATGCAGACTGGGTCGTCGCCGTCTTTGAAGCCAAAGGCTCTCATCGTCAGGTTGCTGTCGCCGCCATCGATGTCGAGAGATCTCTCTGCTTCCTCAGTCAAGTCCGTCTCAGCTCACACTGGTCAGACGCTTCGGCTGAGGGCATTCTGCAGGTCTGCGATACGCAGACATACGTCAAAACGCTCCACATCATCCAGCAACGCTACCCTGCCACGCTCGTTCTACCTTCTCAAGTTACTACGACTATGCTCACAGTCGACAGCCCAAGTGCTTCTTCAGTCGGTCCCTCCCCTGTGCTCTCTTCGCTCACCATCCTCAGTCGTCTGATCAAGAACAACTTTGAGATGACACCTCTGCATGGACTAGCGAAGAAGCACTGGGCCATCGATCAAGGCATCGAGCTCATCGATAAGCTGGCTCTCGATGAACCGGCCAAGATGACCCTGCTGGCCACAGTCACAGAGAAGCAAGTTTGAGAAGCCTCTTTGCCAAAAGCTCGTACCTGACCCAACCGAGTAGCACTCTCGCTTTGGCTGCTTTTGCAGGACTCATCCGCCACCTCGAGGGTCATCATCGCATACTCTACGCGAACAATTCGCTCAAGATCGTCTTCACCGCGCTAGAAGGTACTATGGTCCTGGGAACCGACACGCTCAGGGATCTCGAGCTGCTCCAGAATGTATGTCAGAGCGTCTCGCTCGCACAACAGGCTGCTCATCCTGTCAGTAGACGATGGACGGCTCGAGTAAGAAGACACTGTTTGACTTGCTCAACTCTTGCATGACCCCAATGGGCACGCGCCTTCTCAGAAACAATATCACCTCGCCCTCTGCAGACCGCTTCACCCTCAACAAACGCCTCGATGCAGTACAAGAACTCGTCATTAACCGCGATACGCTGGAGACATGCCGTCAAGCGCTCCATAAACTCGCAAAGACTGACTACGACAAGGTAATCGGCAAAATTTCGACCAATAAACCTCGCGATTTCAGAGGTCAAGGCGATCCTGCTCGAGAAGCGGAGAAGAAGATCAGCACTGTGCTTCAGCTACGAACACTGCTGGAATCGTTGCCTAGTATCGCTCTGTCGATAGATGCCAGCTCGTCTGATTTGTTGAAAGATCTCGCGAGCGGGCTACGGGGCCAAGCCGACGTGATCCTTGACTCGTTGCGCGACACGATCAACGAAGACGTTGTCACGAGCTTCCAAGAAGGCAAAGGACAATTGGCTTTGCGCAACGTCCGGGTCTATGCAATCCGCTCAGAACGCAAATTGCTCCTCGATGTCGCTCGGGTGACGTACAAGGAGAACATGCAAGATCTACTCGACATGGCAAACGAAATGAGCGCGATAGCAGGCACCACCGTCAACCTTGTTCCAGTCAGCTCTGGCTTTGCATTCTCTTGCTCCAAAGACGGGCTGCCGGGCGGCGTTTTGCCAAAGGGTTGCACAGAGGGAAAGGCAAAGTCTGGCAAGAGGATCCAGTTCGCTTCGGCTGACCTTGTGCGTCCACACTATGCAAGTATGACTGCATTGACCCAGATCTCGCTGGGTCAGAAGAAACGTAATGCCCGCTTGCAGCAATCGCTCGAAGAGGTCTTTCTGCTCAGTGATGAGTCTGTCTGGCTTTGCGCATCTCGAGAAGTACTGACGAGATAGGCAGAGCGATCGACGAGCTCATCGAAGGTATCAAGCAGCACCTTGCCTTCCTCTTTCAATGCGTGGAAGCTATCTCTACGCTGGATGTGATCGCCAGCCTCGCCTATGTGGCTACAATCGAAGGCTGGACGCGACCCGAGTTCGAGAACGCGATGGCCATAAAGGCAGGCCGGCACCCCTTGGTCGAGCGATACCAAATGAGAGATCGAAACGACTTTATTCCCAACGATACGTACATCTCGAACAATCGATCATTCCAATTGATCACAGGTATCAACGCGGCAGGCAAGACGGTCTTCACAAAGCAAGTCGCTCTGCTCGTCATCATGGCACAGCTGGGCAGCTTCGTTCCTGCCGATCTTGCTTCCTTTGGTATCCACGATGCATTGCTTACTCGACTCAACAATGATGACGACCTGGGCAAGAGTCTGTCCACTTTCGCAGTCGAGATGCGCTCTGCAAGCATGATCACGCTCGCACTCGACGCTTTCCGGGCTCCTCTTGTCGTCATTGACGAGCTCGGTCGAGGCACAGATCCCGTCGCTGGCTTTGGTCTGTGCCATGCCATCGCGGAAGAGATCATCAAGAAGCGCGCTTTCTGCCTCTTCGTTACTCATTTTCGCGTCGGTCTGCTCTGACTGATCTCGCTCAATTCTCATTTGTCTTGCAGGAGCTGACTCTGTCACTATTCGGCTACTCGAATGTCGCGCAGTTCCATCTCGAGGCGAAAGCGCGTCGCTCGTCGTCAGCGTTCAGCTTCGAGTATAGACACCATGTCCAGCAGGGCAGCAATGCAGAGACCCACTATGGTTCACTGTCTGACTCTTTGCCGGTTTGCTCGCCTGACGCTGAGGTCAAAACAGGTTTGGAAGCGGCGAAGCTTGTCGACCTGCCCAGCAGCATGCTAGACTTTGCGCATCAGGTGTCTGACAAGCTTGCCCATCTCGAGCGCAAGTCCCGCATTGACGCTCAATCGACACGGGACGAAGTTCGCCGGAAGGAGATGCTTCGAGTGAGTCCATCTCCGTTTGGGTGACAGGAAAGGCCGACTAGCTTGACAGATCGTAGATCAGCTCGAAGAACTCGCCTTGGCCAGAGAGCTTTCAGACGTAGAGATCGGCGATCGTATGAGGGTTCTCCAGGCGGGTTCTATAGAGATTTTTGTCGAAACCGCGTAGAATTTTGACGCCCTAAGCTCTACGCTGCATATGGTCTGCGCCATCTTTGGACGCGTCCAGACCTCGTCGAAGGGCTAGTGCGCTCCAGCTTCGCGGGTAGAGGCCAGATCAAGGCTGACGTAAAGCTTGAGAATAGACCAGCCTGCGCAGGACGCTGGTCGACGTTCGTGGCGGTCATGACCAGCACCTACAGTTCTATCCTCAATGACCTCAACCGCGATGTTGCGAGGAACCAGCCGGCTGACATCTGGCAATTCTGCGCTAATTGGGTGAGCGGACTGTTCGCTACCTTGAGGCACACGAAACTGAGTGCCTGTGCAGTTCAATGCGCGCTTAGAAGAGCAGCGGGCAGCGACCCGACCGGTCGAGCGGTCTGTCACGCCGGCTGATCAATCCCGACCTATCTCACCTCCTGCAAACGTCATACCGGCGATGAGGAGCTCGCCGACAAAGCGTGAGGTCATCCGGAAGAAGTCAAACCCCAGCATGCTCGGTGCCGCTTACTCTTTCGGCGGCCTCGGATCAGGGATCGCTCCAGCGGACCCTGCTCCGTCGCCCTTTTCAGAGACTCCGCCTGCGTTGAAGCATCAGACAGCAGACTCGTTCGGCCACGATCATCCCGTTGTGTCCGGCAACGGACGCGCCAATTCGGGTCTGCGCAATGAAATGCCGTCAGCCTGGCAGCGGAGTGGCCGGCCACGCGCACCTATGACGAGTGCGCCCTCAGATGATGAAGGCGACTCGGGCGGCGATGATGGACCTTCTTCGCCTGGCCCGCCGCCCAATTACAACATTGGCAGACGGACTTCCGTCTCTGCAGAGTCACTCGATCCAGACGCAGCACAGACCGCCCTGCCCAAGACTGTGATCCCCAAGACGGCTTCGCAGCGTCAACGAATTGAGCATTCTATCGAGCACAACTTATTGTTCCGCAATCTAGACGAGGATCAGTACAATGACGTCTTGAACGCGATGAAAGAAGTCAGAGTACCTACTGGCTCAGAAGTCATCGTGCAAGGCGCCGTCGGCGATTACTTCTACGTCGTCGAAGAAGGTGTCTTCGAAGTATGGGTCAGACCCAGCTCAGCCGGGACCTATGGACCGGACGGTCAGCGAGCCTCGGGTCCCAACTATGGCAAGGATAGCGATGCAAAGCATGTAGCGACAATCGAATCCGGCGGCTCATTCGGCGAACTAGCACTCATGTACAATGCGCCGCGTTCCGCTACCGTCGTGGCCGTAAGCGCTACATCCACGCTTTGGGCACTCGATCGCGTCACTTTCAGAAGTATTCTCATGGAGCACACCAGTCGCAAGAGGAGGATGTACGAGACTTTCTTGAGCGAAGTACCTATCCTCGTCAGTCTCGAGTCCCATGAGCGTGCAAAGATCGCGGACGCACTCGAAGCCAGAATCTACGAAGAAGGTGAAGCGATTGTCAAGGAAGGCGAAGTCGGCAAGAACTTCTACATTATCGAGAGCGGTAGTTGCGAAGTCACCAAGCGTCGGCCGACAGGCGAAGAACGCGTCGTGATTCTTCGAAAAGGCGACTACTTTGGAGGTCAGTCTTTCTGTGTCATGCGCATGCTGCTCGTGCTAAAGCAGAAGGAACAGAACTCGCATTGCTCAATTCGGCACCTCGGGCAGCAACAGTTCGCGCGATCGGCGACAGAGTCAGAGTCGCTACGCTTGGCTCGAGGGCTTTCCATCGTCTGCTCGGTCCCTGCGTCGAGATCCTCCAGAGAAGGGCAGGCTCGTACAACTCTGCACCTGCGGCAGAGCCCAGGCGAGGCTTGCCTGGCAACACGCGATCGATCCAGCCTGATACCGCGGGTCCCCGTTCAAGAGGTCTTGGGATGGTCACCGCCGAGCAGTGAGTTCGGTATCATGTATGATAGAGTGCACAGTGTAGATTGCATTTCACGAGCTAAGCAGCGTGTGAGCAAAGGTCGCGACGCGCCGCGACGCCCGCGACTTTGCCACCCGGTCAACGCACGAGCTAGGCATTGGAACAGGCATCACGCTCGTCCACAAGTCACAATGACAGATGTTGACGATGCTGATTTGGTGAGCGAGAGCCAATACAAAGCTCCTGCCGCGCCGAAAGATCTGGAAAAGCTTGGTACGTCATACAGCTCACTTCTCGCGCATAGCCCACACACACATGCGCAGAGTTTCGAGATGACTCGCTGAAGAAGCAAGAAGAAGCGTTGGGTGTCGGGGCGAACGCTACAGGCAAAGCCAGAGTCACGGTACTTGCTTTGGTCCTCACCTCGGACTCTAGGCCAGAGCCAATCGTGCTGGATCTCACCAAACCACTGCCGGAAGCTCCTCTGGTCATCAAAGAAGGAGCAACGTACACAGCTGAGCTGCGTTTCCAAGTAGAGGATGCGCTCGTTTCGGGCTTGCGCTACTTGCAAGTCGTCAAGAGGGCAGGCATCAAAGGTAAGCATGCTGCTGATCACCGACAAGTTCGTGCTGATGCCTATCGACTGTGTCAGTGGATCGCATCGAGGTACTTTCCGCCTGGCTGTCAGATGATTGATACGTATTGAGAGACACTGCAGGCTATGATTGGCAGCTTCGCGCCGTCGGCTCAGGTACTCTCCAAGAAATTCGAATCTGAAGAAGCGCCGAGCGGCATGATCGTCCGCACTGGAACTTACAATGTGCGCTCGAGATGCACTGATGACGACGGAACGATTTGCGCCGACTTTGCTTGGAGCTTCAAGGCGGGTTTGCTCAGCAGCACGTGTTACCACGCGCTCATGAGCAGCCGGAGCAGATTGGCAAGGACTGGTAGAATGATGAAAGTGTCATGGTTGTGTGTGTCATTACGCAACTCGCATCTCAGTAGACCAGCGGCATAGCATAGCATCGCGTTGCGTGCCTGTACTAGCCGGACTGACAATGCATCTGCTTGGATGCTCACACGCTCGCTGGTCAATGCGGCAGAGATGGAACAAGCGAAAGGTTCTGCATTGACTCTTATTCGACTAGATACTGATAGTGAAACATGAAGCCTGATTTGGACCTCTGTTCCCACAGCTTCTCCCAGTCAAAGTAGAAATATGCGCCAGACTCATAGTCGTCAGTGACGACGGTCGGCTCGTTCGCCCGCTGGAACCAAGTTAGGTATTGCTTGTGGAACCGCCAAGACTGGTTCTTGAGTGCCTCGCCAGCGAGATACCTTGAGTGGACAGAATATCAGCTATGACTTCTCGACAGTAGACGAATGACTTACTGCATGTAAGTGCCCGGATGATAGTAAAACACGTAGAAGAGCGTCTCTGTGTCCAGACGAGCGAAGAAGGCCGGATTGTCAAATCGTGCAGGCGTCTGAGGGTAGTATGCGGGCGTCGGGTATGGGTTCTTCGGCACATAGTACTGCGGCCTCTCCGAGTCTTGCGGCTGTGGCACATTGGAGTAGCCCGCATCGAGGATTTGCTGCATCTGAGAGGGATCGTTGTCCCTTCGTTGTGCTTCGTTCCTCGTATAAGCTTCGGATCTACATGAGTAGGAAAAAGACCTACATTTCTGCTTCGCGCTGTCGAACGTATTGACGAGGTCTACCAGGCTACTGGGTAGTCGCTGCTCGGATGGGTTGGGCGTCGATGCAGGTGGCTGACTTATCGCTTGTACGCTCGGCGGGCGCAGCATCGCACTCGCAGGCGGCGCGCTCGTCGCTTCTCGAGGTGAAGGTGATCGCTCTGGTTCTGGCGCCGGCGCGCTCTGATCGAGACCTGGCGGCGGTGTGGGCAGAGCTATACTCTTCTGTTGTGGTGGTGAGGCAAGCGGTACGCTGGCAGCGATCGATTGTGTCTGAGGGGCGGACGACTTTATCGGACTCGCGACGGGTAATGCGGGCGGTGAGGGGGCAGCTTCTCGTATCGCTATGGGCTTTGGTGGCTCGACTGCTACTGGCGCCGTGACCGGCGGCTCCGATTTCGGCGGTGCTGCAGGTGTGGCCGGTGGTACGCTGACTGCATTCACCGGCGCATTTGGTGTCGTCGGTGTAGGTGCGGCGGGCGGTACGACTGCTCCTGCTGCAGCGGCGGAATATCGTATCGGCGGTAGTGCAGCAGGCGCAGCTCGTTGCGCGGGCGCAGAAGGCGCGGAGGAGGAGGAGGACACTTTGGCAGAACCTGTCGCTATCGCTGGACGAGTGGCACCCTCTAGCGTCGCTTTCCTGACGGGCACGCCTGGCTTCGCTTTGGATGCTATCGGGCTCTTGCTGCCATCCTCTGCCACCGGCTCTACAGATGCACGAGATGTCTTTACATCTTTGCCCGGTGTCCGCGCGGATGACTCAGAGGCATCGACAAGAGAACCGGTGTCGTGTGAGGAAAAGTTGTCATCGTTGACGATGCCGAACGCTTCTTCTTGGTCGTTCAGATCTAGATCGTCGTAGATGCCTTCGTCCTCTTCGAAGTCTTCCTCCTGTCATGACGAAACGCAAGGTGTGAGCAGAACATCTTGCGCGTGTCTTGCTTGGCACTGACCGTATTGCTCTCCACAAAGTAAGAGATGTCTTCTTTGACCGAGTTGACCTTGTCGGGCTCCATATTGCCATTTTCGAGCAGGCGCAGTATGAGTTCCAGCCTCGAGACGTGCCAGTTCCTCCGATCGTTGAGATGTTCAAGTTCCGCCACTCGTTCGGCCGTCCGTGTGTCTTTCTTCTTCTTCAGTCCGCCAGCTAATGACTCGGCCTCCGCTTCTGACACCTCAACCTGCCGCCCTAGCTCGTCGACCATATTGGATATCCAGCTGGCCGTCTCCATCTTCGCCGCTTCCTTCGGATCTAGCTTTGTGGCAGCATTGAGGCCTTCTTTGGAGTAGGCCTTTGTCTTCATCTCTTTCTCGCACGCTTTGAAGCGCTCCATTTGCTGTCCGCACCACAGATGCTTGAGCGCGACAGCCGCGCATGTAGCAAGAGAGCGTACCGTCTCTATGAGCTTTCGAGTATCGGTGAGAGGCTTCTTGTCCTTGATGTCGTTGCTCGACAGCCAGGTTTTGATCTGGTCCCTCAGCCGTTGGAGCTTCTTGATCTGAGTCTTGAGATCCGCTTCCACTGTCCGCGCCGAGGCAACATGAGTCGCGAGCAGTCTGACAAGCCGCTCTGACTGACATTTCTCCTTCTGCGCGACGTTGTTGGCCATCTGCATCTTGTCATAGATGCCCTCAAAGATCTCGACTCCCTCGGTGACCTTTTTGAGAGTCTTGTCGATCTCTGTCTGCAGTTTCCTCGCCGCCATCTGCGCAGACCGACGCAATCGAGTCAGCGCTCTGTCTTATCAGTCTCTGAGGCAGGTGGGAGGCGAATCTGGCGAGGAGTTGCTCGGTCAAGTGCCCGTCAGCGTCAGCTCAGCGGGTGACTTGTGCCTTCTGCAGAGGCGCTTCTCGCAATCTTTGAGGTCTTTGATGATGGCGATGCTACGGCGAGAGCACAAGTGGCCCACCTTGGCAAGCTGAGCTGAGCTTCACGAGTCGCAATCGCCAGTCAAGACGCCCTTCAACGCCAACAACCTCGCGACCCGTCTTGTTGTCGCCAGTGCTTCCTTTGGTCTTGCTACAGAGCGTGATCCGCTTCCCGCTGTTCCCAGACTCTCCGCTGCGACGTATGCTCGCCTTCTGAGATCAGCGACTTCGCTTCGCTCGCTCTCGACTCACTGTCGCGGTTCGGCGGGCCGGCCTGACAGTGCTGACGTGGCAAGCTTGAGGCCTCTCTGACCGGCCAGCGCATGCGCATGAGCTTGAGGCCACAGGGTCTCGGGAGCACGAAGTCTGTAAGTCTCAGAGAGCTACAGCAGCCAGCAGATACTCACGATCAGTCGCAATTCGCATGCAAGAACACAACGGCAAACAGCTGCGAGGACAATACACGAGAGATTGCAATGTACCAGAGGCAAGGCGCAGAGGATGCGCTTACTCAGCTGCTGCAGTCGCACGGGCTACCAACAAGTGACGTCAGCACGTGTATACTTGCTGAAAGGCCCGAGCTGACTGTAAATCAGTTGACCATGGTGGTGAACGATGGGTTTGATGGCACCCTCCTTGGCCAAGTGTTGAATGGCTAGTCGTGCTAGGGACCCGTTGATCTTCATTCGGTCGATCAAGACAGACTGACCATACCACGATCAGCTTCGGCAATCGCTCAAGAGGCGCGAAAAAGACCGACTTGGGAGATCATCTTGAAGGTAGGAACTTCTTTGAGAATTTTGTCATAGGTGGGTTTGTCGAGGACGACAGCGTTGTTTGCCTTGTCCTTGACCTTGCCCCTGTAGGAAAGCAGAGAATCGGCTTCCATCTCATGAAAGTCAGAGGCCGCTGCTCACTTTGACCACTTCTTCTTCTTGGCTGCCTTGCCCGCATTCTGGGCACCTGCTGCTTTAGCCTGTCGGGAAGAAGCGCAAACATGAGCCGCTGATCTCTGTCACCATCTGAGAGCATGGCGAGGCATGCCCAACGACGAGCGATCTCGCAATTCGAGACTGCACAAAGGCACAGAATCCATCGCAAAGCTGGTCGCTCGTCTTGTAGCCCATGCATCTGCCTCGCGGGGCGGTGCCAGACTGATGAGAAGGAGCGACTCACCATGCTGAATGCGTAAAGAAATGCCAGGCAAATCGCTTCGTCGTGGCTGGAAGAAATTCTTTGTAAGCTTCTCGCGCCGGTCGGCTCTGCGATCTACGGCCAAGGCGACGAGGACGCGCTGGGCGCTGGGCAGAGACGCAGAGAGCTGGTCTGCAATGGCAGGCAAAGGCAGCCGGAAGCGCAAAGCAAGCCCGGGCGAGCTACCGACAGCATATGCTAACCTGCTGTCGACTCACGCAAGCTTGGAGCGAGCAATGATGGTGCATCTTGCCAAAGACGGCGCAAGAGCTGCTGCGACGGCCATGGCGTCTCCCACGCCGCCGCCGCTCATAGACTTCAGCAACCCCACCTCAAGCTTGCAGTCTTCACCTTTGGCGCGTACGAGGACGCCAAGCGGAAGCTCGATCATCCGCCTGCCCAATCTCATCGCGTTCAATGACTTGCGACCGCTCGTCGAGAATGGGACTGGTCGGCGGTTTAGCGAGAGTGAGCTCAGCCAGCTTGTGTGGCTATGGCAGCTCGCACAGCGTGGCGTGGATGTCACGAGCCAGATTGCGTTCGACTCGTCCTGTTCTGATCAGTCGGATGACGAAGTAGATCTGCTCAGCTCGCCATTGACGCAAGGGCGACGAACGCCCGCTCCCACGTTGTCCAGTCCCAGCGCACGCTTACTATCCTCTCCCAACATTCTTGCATCTCCTACGCAGCAACGCACATCGCCAGGCTCGATGCCATCCTCACCAGACCTGTTTAATTCGACCCCCTTTGAGCGTAGACAGCGGCAACGTCAGATCAGCGAATCCTTGCAATCCCGCTCAACATCGACAGGCGGCATGGGCTTCTTGGTCACCGTCATGCGCAAACTAGACCGTCAGACGGGTCGCAGAGTCGCAACTTGGGGACTCGGTATTGAACTCAATGTCAAGCGAAATGTGCAAGTAGCCGAATTTGAACTGTTACAAGATGCGGCACCGCTTTCGAGCTCAGACGATGAACAAGACGTCCAGCAAGCTCGTGCAGAGTCAGCATCGGGCAGACCTCGCGATGGAATGAGTGTCATCGCGCTCTGGTCTCAGGGAGCAGCAGCTCGCAAAGATCTCATCTCGCGACGGCTGCGACATTGGGCGAAGCCTTACATACCTCACGCTAGGCATGAAGAGGCGCAAGACGTCACTCTCCTGGACTCAGATCTCAGCAACCCGAGCACGCCTCGCAAGCGGAAGATCACCGACATCGCCTTGCCAACGCCGCCAGATTCGAGAAAGCGCTCGCGTCTCGTGCCTCCAGAGATCCCTCGAGCTCGTCTGCCCGACCTACCTGCCGCAGTGCCCGTCAGCGCAAACACACGGCTCACGCGAGACGACACTGACGATACACCAATCGGTAGACTGAAAGGCGGTATCAATCTCATGACGGGTGATCCCCTACCGGTCTCGCCACCAAGCTCGCCTACAAAGGGCGGAAATGTAGAGACGCGCAAGATGAGCTTGTTCGAAAGGGTGAGCGCTTTCGCCTTGATTCTGCAGGAGCATCTGGCTCATCGTAGCCCAGATCAAAGCAAAAGAGGCCGCTCAGAATGTGAGGTCGAATGGCCAAGCTGTCAGCCTGGCTTCGCCGACCATGCGCAAATCTTTGCAAGCAGCACCGTCGTCCAGTGCTATGCAATCCGCTGCCCTACGCCGGCGCAGCATGCTCAGCCGACTAGCAGATGTAGCCGACCAGATCTACATGTACGCAGAGCATATTGTCATTACGGGAAGCACTGACTTTGCTCGTCTGATCTCACAGGTTGTTCAATGCTGGTGGTCACGCACCGGCTTCACCTTCCAGCTCCAATCCGACGCCGCCAACGCGCAGGAGACGCGCTATACCCTTTTGCGAAGTCGCCAAGGTCGTCTCGCAGAGCTCAAAGATCTCTGTCTCGACCTTTGAAGCCAACGACGCCTTGCAAGCGTTGTGTGCGCTCTGTCCAACATTCGTCGAGCAGCGCAAGATCGACGGACAGTCTTGGCTTGTTATGGTCTCGCCAACAAACGAGATCGAGCCAATGACGCTCAAAGAAGTCAAGGAACGCATCGCAATCACGCTCGCCGCTTGAGCACGCTGTAACGCATTTTGACGTCTTGTAGGCAATGTAGTCCATTACAGCTTGTGGCAGGCAAAGTACAAGTACAACAACGCGAGACTTTATCAGTGATGAGACAATCGACATGGACGATAGCGTCTAAGCCCTACATTAAGAGTGACTTGCGAAGACTGCGCAGCCTCTCTTCTATAGAACGAATGACTGCGAACCCATCTATACGTCAGTTCGAGATCGCGGCTGTTTAGGGCAGTACTTACACTTGCTGAATATGAGCTTATCAGCCTCGCACCTCTCTTCTTGACTGGGATCGTCGAGCACAGCTAACAAGAGCCAAAGAGCGGCTTCGTACGTCGCCTCGCACTCTGCAAGGTTTTCGCGTTTGAGCTCTTTGACGGCAGCTGCCCGCGACATCTCCAGAGCACGATCGTAAATCAAAATTTCTGGCGCGACTGCAGAATCTGGCAGGGTCTCTTGGGAAAGTCGTCCCTTGGCGAACTCTGCCTTGTCGAGACATTCATTGAATCGTGAACGAAACCATTGGACGGCTTCGTTGAGCTCGGTGCTGAGTGGCTGCTGCGATGTACGCTGGGCCCAGAACATGCTTGCCTGGTCTAGCCCGCGCTGCAGAAAGGCAATCGCTTTGAGATAGAGGATGAAGGCTTCAGCGGCAAGCTCCTCGACACGTGTGGCCGACAGAGCAGACGAAGGAGCGATGACAGGCTGCTCCGTTGAAGAAGAAGAGGTGCGGCGCATCAGAGTGGTTGCGAAAGGGTTTGGTTGTGCAAAGTAAGAAGGCGAAGAGCCTTGACCGCCAAAGCCGGTTGAGACAGACAGCGGCGTCGGGGGCAAGAACTGCGCGAGCTTGTAGTCCGCAAAGTCGAAAATGGCTGCTGCACGCTGAGCACACTCCTCCAGTTGTACGAGCATCTTCTCTTCCTCTGGATCAAGAGTCTGACTTCCACGCGGCGTTCGCGTGAGGCGAGATGTTCGTCTGACCATTGTGCCATCCGAAGTGCCGAAGAACCTCGCGCTGGCCATGTTGAGCACCTTGGCAATAGCGCCAGATGGGTTGCCGACGAGCGCCAGCGGCGAGCTGGCATAGCCAAGACTGCGAGGAGAGGCAGAGATAGTTGGTCTGTTACGAGGCGACGATGACGTGAGCTGCAGCGCGCTTGGGGATGGGCTCTGGCGCTCTTGGGGCGGCGGGTACGGCGTCGAGCCCGGCACGCCTGCGACGAAGCCATGACTGAGACTTGAAGGCGCGTTGACGGTCGGGCTGAGAGGTCCAGCTGGCCTGGTCATGAAGCTTCTCGATGAGCGACGGCCAATCAGAGTAGGCCGTTGAGGAGATGCCATAAGCTCTGTAGGTGACAAAATCAGCCCGCATATGCACAAAGAGGAAAGCAGCATACCATCTGCAAGTGCATTGATCTCAACGGTGCGTTTCTCGACGACGACGTATTCATGCCCGATGAGCGAGTCGTCATTTGCGGGCGAATGCGCCGCGTCTTGCGTCTTGCCAGGTGCTAACATAGCCAGATTGCTCCGCGGTGTATACGGCTGAGCCGGCGAATGATCATCCAGACTTGAACCTGCGATGAGTTCAGGCGGTGTATGACCGCCACTTCGAGGAGAGCTAGATTGAGCAGTACGCAGTCGCTCGCTTGTCTGTTCATCTTGATTCGCAGCAGTCGAGCGTGCAGGCAGATCGCCGACGACATACTTGGGCGCGAAGCTAGACGATGGACGTCGAGGCGCATGCGGGCTTGTAGGCGATGGCAAGCTGACTTGTTCGAGCTCTGGGCGGTGCAAGAGCTCTTGATGTGGGGCCTCGGCAGACTTGAATGGTGTCGGCTCTTGAACGAGCTCCGATTCAGCGACGGTCAACGGTATGCTGACGGCAGTGGGTGCAGCGATAGGCGTTGTCGAGCGGGCGGCACTGCGCGAGGCAACCTCGGCTGCCATGCGGAAAAAGTCTGTAAAAGGCATTCGCTCCGTTGGATTTCGCTTGAGCAGGAGACGGATGAGCGACTTGATATCATCAGAGACTTTCGGACGGGGCCCTTTAGGCTCTTCATCTGTCGGCTTTGAGGAGCGCTCGTCCGGGAATTTGATCCTGTCCTCGCCTCGCTCTATCTTGCGCAATAACTCGACATGGTTTTGCGCTCGGAAGGGCGCCTTGCCAACTGCCATCTCATAGAGGACTGCGCCGACTGACCAAAGATCTGCCTTGGCATCATACTTTTCATAGCGAAGTATCTCGGGCGCCATGTAGAGTCTGCCAGTCTGTTAGCATTTGCATCGCAAGAGCCTGAAGCACCCACGGAGAACCGCACAAGGTCTCTGCCATGCTTGCTTGGGGCAAGAATCGCGCGAACCCAAAATCGGCGACTTTGAGAATAGGTATACCTAGCGGATGGCCTCCTGCCAAGTCGGTCTCCGTCGCAGGCTGCAAGAGCAGGTTCTGTGGCTTGATATCACGGTGGATGATGTTACTTGATCGAAGGAATTCGAGAGCCGTTGCTGTTGCAGTCCATTGTCAGTCTATTACATATCGGAGAGTACAATCTCCGTACCTAGTTGGCCAAGAAATTCACGGACGATGACTTCATTCAGGCCGCCTTCTGGTGGATGAGGATACCTGTCGAGCGCTGACTGACTCGTCGAGGGCGTAGCGAGCGTGGCCGTGGAGAGTGCCGCAACCTGACCGCGATGGCGAATGTACTGCGACAGATCGCCAGCAGAGCAGAAGGCCATCACCAAGTAAATATGCGAGCTCGTTTTCTGTGGTATTGACATCAGCACGATCTTGACGTCAGAAGACGAGACGGACGAGGCAATCGACCAATTCGACGACATTTGGGTGAGCTATCCCTTTGAGCAATCTGATCTCGCTTTCGAGGTTTTCGAGGAGCTTTGGGGTCAATTTGCCTCGATTGACTGCCTTGATGGCTACCGGATGTTTCGTCATCTGTGCATGACAGTCCTATCAGCTTATGGCGGTCGCAGTGAACGGAGCGAAATGTACGGTGTGATAGCCACGGTAGACCGTCGCAAAGCTACCTCGGCCGATCTCTTCTGCTATCGTGAATGGACCGATGCGATCCCTATCGTGATCTCGTGCGCGATGGTCGCTCGAGGACCGATGGTCTCTGTCCTTGCCCGTCGTGCTCGGGCGAGCCGAGCGTGCTGATTGGTTTGACTCTGGCTCGCCCATGGCGCCCGTCTGCGCTCCGTCATGACTCGGCGTGGCCATTTCGACAGATGTGCTGAGCTAATCAGACGCGGGATGCCGAGACGGTGATCGTGTGTATGTGTGTGTGCTGAGCGGCTAAGCTTGGGTCAATGCTTCGTCATCAAGATCATAGTGATCTGTCTCGATAGGCTACAGCGACGAGCGCGAGATCAGGGAAGGCAGTGCAGGCTCTTCTTGTCGATCAGGCGGCAAACAAGGTGACTCCGACCTTGCGAGGTCGGCAAGATAGGCGACTATCGCTGAGTGACAATCGGGTCGCCGCAACGGCAGTCTAGCGCGTCACGAGACTCGGCAACGTCGAGCCTGTGCCTGACAGACGACGGGTCTTGTGCGATCAGCAGCGTGACTGTGATCTGACTCAGCCTGCTTGTGCGTCGAACCGAGTCACGCACTTCGCTCGATCACGCGACGGCCTGGTTCAACCATCTTTGAAATTGTGTGGGGGCACCACGCACAGGCGCCAGGCACAGGACACTGCGGCAAGAGCCACTTGGCTAGCGCCGACAGAGCAGCCAGGACTAGCGTACGTCTCTCCTCTCGCAGCAATGGCATCATTGGCGCCCGATTACAGGAGCGCAGACGATAGCGTTTCAGGAGAGAACGGAACTCTTTGCTCTCACTCTCTTCCTCGCGTGTTGCATTGGCAAAGGCTGACTTGATTTGGACCTCTTCGTTTCTCGTTCTTCAATCTACTTCTGGCTCTCGTTCGACCTTGCCCAACTCCGGCGGACCTGCAAATGACTCGCCAAATACGCTTTGCATTGCCGCGCCTTGGTGTGCACTGACGGCGGACCCATCGACTTGACGACCTACTTGCCAACGACTGGGCTCGTATCTGTTTGCACTTTACATGTATCACCAACGAACATCATCATCGCGCGAAACCATCGCCATGACTCGTACCAACGACCTGACCACTCTCGGTCAGTTCATCCGCTCCATCCAGCCCGAAGCTCGAGCTGATGTAATGAGCCTACAGACACGGACACGAATGCTACAACCTTGCCCATCGCTGCCATGCATCGTCACACGCGCTCAGGTTCGGGCAGATTTCTGCCTACCTTCAGGGCAAACGCAGAACCGCCAGGCGACTCGCGCATACGATCGGCCCCATCCGAGACTCATCATACAGGCAAAGGACTGCTTCCGTCCGCTAGACCGCCGAAGAGTCCAGAGAAACAGGTCCGTCCGCCCGCAAGGTTGCAGAAACGACCTACGCCTGTCAGTTCACGTGCGGCAACACCCTCGCGTCCTTCCGCTTCGTCCTCTTCAGTCAACCGACAGCGCTCGCGATCGTGCCTGCTCAACCCTGAAGGCATACCTATACCACCGAGGGATCAGTCTGCTGATAATTGGCCCAAGCAAGCTGGTCCGTGGTCGCCCCGAACAGAACGCTCCAGAGACGATCAGATAGGACGTGCTGCGCCAAGTCCTGCATCTTTCACGGGATCATCGACTGCTTCATCTGACAGCTCGATCCGACGACGACCCATCACAGCGTGTGATTCGATCCAGGCCTTGTCTTCGGCGGGATCCTGCCTTTCTCATCATTTTGGAACCCGTCCTGCCAGTTCACTTGCGCTCCAGCATACGGCTATCTCTGCGCCAAGTCAAGACGAACCTGTACCAGTCCATCGAGCCGAACTCAACAGATCGTCGCCACCCTCACAGCCGCACAAACGAGTCTCCGCCCGCCTCAGCAATTTTAAGCGGTCCTTATCTGGCTTCGCCAGTGCCAAATCGCCAGGGAAAAAGGACAGCCTACAGCAGCTCGAGCAGAAATGGCACGCCCGTGAGCTTGACTTCGCTCGTTCGCTCGATTCTGCCATCGACATTGCCACATCCGGCCCTTGTCTGCTTGAAGCCTCTCTGCAACTCGACCAGAGTACTGACGACTCGGCAGACGTAAAGGAAGCGCATAGCCCGAGATTAGATGGTCAGCTACAGTTGCCAACGACGTCGGAACCTGTTATCCGACCCAATTGCGTCTCTTTCCATTCGTCTACCGGTAACGCGCTCGGGCTCTACGTGCATGCCAAGCGAGCCGGCGAGCATCGGTCGATTTGTCGTAAAGCGATTTCCTTTGAGACACTCGTGCCTGCAACGTCCCGGAGCTCACGACTCGGCCCAGCTCGTGATCTACCAGCCGAGCACGGTGCAGCCGAAGAGATGGCACCCTCTGCCGATCAGCGACCACAGAGTCCTGGTGGCTCAAACAGGTCGCGCTTTGGCCTGTCCAGTCTCTTCATGGTCAATCTACCCCCCGAGGCTGCGACAGGGCATCTTGTCCCCACCTTTGTCAGAGCGCCATCCTCAAGAGCGGGGCCTAGATCACCCAAGATGACTCACAACGGTTCACGGAGCAGTCTCAACGCCTTGCCGTCGACCTCATCGCAATCATCGTTCCTAGATGAAGGCTCACCCATCAATGCCCCTTTGCGGTCCTTCTACAGTCACTCTCGTAGCCTGAGCACCGCGGGGCGGGATACAAGCCCGCGACATGAATCGGCACCTATGTCGACTTCTCAGACTGCACCAGTGCGACCGTTGCCCCACCACTCGTCATCCTCTGACTTGTCTGAGGAGCGCACGAGAGAGCTCAGGAGGCAGCCTATGTCACCGCGCATTGAGTCGCCTCCCAGTCGTCAGCGTAGTCTGTCCTTCAAGTCGGCAAATCAGTCTACTTCGAGCTTTACTGCACTCGAGGACTCAAACGGCAACGAAGGGCGGCCAGCAAACGACCGGCGCATGAGCTTGAACTCGATGCTGAAGTCCGATCACATTGAGGCGACTGCATCGAACAGTAGACCCTCTATTGCGACAGACTCCACCGTGACCGGCAAGGCAAGTCAGGCAAAGACGATACGCGCAAAAGTCAAGCAAGACGCACTCAGCTCCCTGCTGCGCGAAGCTCATCTTGCTGTCGATGCTGGCGGGCGGAAAGGCTCAAGTCAGAAGCAGCGTAGCCTACCTAGTTCAGCATCGGGGTCTCAGATCATGTCACCAGACATTCTCTCGCCTGTCTCTGCCAACGGTCGACATGGCTATGCCGATTCTTTCCTGACAGAGAAGCTCTTCGAAGACTCGTCAGCGTATAGTCTGACTGTCGAAATATGGCAGCCATCAGTCGCTGGCTCAGGCAAAGAACGCGGGGGCCTGCTGTCCTTCAAGACGCCTCTGTTGCGAGATGTGCCTGCTGTCCGTCGCAAGAAGCGCGAATCTGCTCATTTGTCAGAGTCCGAGATTCGCATGAGCAATGGAGGAATTGCGGGTTCGCCGACAGGTGATACTCTCCATCAATGTCAGTCATGGCCATCTGAGATGTTTCAAGTGGTGATCTGACTCGTCTCTCAATTCTCAGCAGATGCGCCGCGGCCGTCTCGCTTCATGTTCGACAACGGTAGCTGGGCACCCTCGCAGCTTGCAATACGTGACTCGAAGCTACTGCTGTTCGGCGAAGTAAGCTGTCGCCTTTGCGCGCACCGCTTTCGCTGACTTGATAACCAGGACCGCGTCATGCTGCACTACATTGATCTGGCCAGCTTAACTCACAGCAATGTGCGCACGCTCGATCCGACAGCGTTGCAGCGACCTTACGCTCTCAGCATCCGCAAAGAGTCGGTCGACAATGCGCATGGCTTCTCTGCCATCGCCTCATCTGTACAAGGTCGCGCTGCGCCAGGCACATTCCGCTCCTCCGGATCTCATCCGAATAGTCTGTCTGAGATCGGCAGATCGCCGAGCTCCACGGCACCCGCAATTACCGTCTATGTCAGTTTTGCATCGCCGGTCGCTCTGCAGATTACACTTGCCATGCTGCGTTGTCACGCGCGCCCAGAGATTTACCCCTTCTTGCCACGCTTGGACAGCTTACAAGATGCCCCTTCAGAATCACCTGCAGCAACCACAGATGCGCAGGACAGCGAAATCGACCGAGTACGTTTATGGCGACGCCTCGACATTTGCGTTGTCGAAGCGAAAGACCTGGGCGATGCGCTGCAAGGGCCAAAAGCTCGCCCTTTCGCTCCAGTCGGCGCCTTGAAACGAGCTGAAGCGAGGCCTTCTTCTCAACTCAGTGATCATTCGTCGGACCGCGAACTGTCGCAAGGCGGTCCGCAATCGGCTACGTCAGGCAGATTCAACGATATAGCGCCACCGAGACAAAGTCAAGACTTCCGCGAGAGTCACCAAGCCGAACTCGAGGCATTCGCCGCTACACTGTCGGTACATTGCGAACTCGTGCTTGATGGTGACATCCTAGCGCGGACGACGGTCAAGAAGGGTACAGAAGCGCCTTTCTGGCGCGAGGTCTATCGCATCGAGTATGTCAATTGCTCACCTCGATCGTCGGAGCTGAAGTTCAGGCAGTGACCTCGGCTTACTTCAACAGCCCCTGACGGTCAACATAGTACAGACAGCGAAGACTGGCAAGGCACACATCATGGGCTCTGTGACAATACCTGCTTTTGATCTACGGACATCAAAGGAGGAGCGGTGGTACCCCATCGTCACCGATGATGGCAAGCGCATGTTCCAATCTGGCGAGCTGAGCGTCAGCACGAGACTGACTGAACTTGTCGTGCTACCTGCGGAAGAATATGACGAGTTGAGAGCAGTCAGTCTTGAGCGGTCCTTCATATCGTGACGCTGATATGCAGTACAACAGTTTCTGTTGGCTCCGCAAAACACCAGTCTACTATACGACATTGCGAACGCAAGCGATCAACTCGATGCTATGGCTGCCAGTCTTTTGCGTATCTCACTCGCCAACGATCTCTGTCTAACTCGGCTGATGCAAATGGCCGATCGCGAAATCGACGGTCGAGAGGAGACATCAAGTATCCTATTCCGTGGCAATACCCTCTTCACCAAGATGCTAGAGATGTACATGCGCCTCATTGGACAAGATCTACTCGAGACCAGTCTTGGTCCGCTGGTGCGGCGGATCTGTCGGGACGATATTGACATCGAGATTGATCCTGCACGGCTGCGAAAAGATAAAGCTGTACAGGAAGGTGTCAAGAGTTTGCACAGCTGGGCAGTCAAGCTATGGACGTCGATCTACGATTCTCGCCAGACTTGTCCATCGTACGTCTCCATGAAGAAGCTCCTTTCTCATCCTGACAAGCCCACAGGGACTTGCGTGGCATCTTCCACTACATCCAAGGCGTCGTCAACATCCGCTACGACAAATCAAAGCGAAGCATGCGCTTCACCTGCATAAGCGCATTCGTTTTCCTGCGCTTCTTTGTCCCAGCGATTCTGAATCCGAGGCTTTTCGGTCTGGTCTACACCACGCCTGGCCTAAAGGCTCAACGAACGCTGACGCTGCTGGCGAAGACGCTGCAAGGTCTTGCTAACATGTCTCAGTTCGGTCAAAAGGAACCGTGGATGTCGGTTATGAATCCATTCCTGGACTCGAGCGCCTGGACATACTCGGATTATATCACGAACATAGCCGGTCTTGCTCCGGACTACCAACCGGAATGGACCTCAAAGGAATGCCAGCTATATCGGACGCCACGAGATCTACAGGCGCGCTTGTCAGGCTTAGCGGCCGAAAGTATCCCAAGCCTGCCGCATCTCATCGATCCACCGAAGGAATTCGCATACATTGCCAATTGCATCGGACCGCTGAGGGACGCAAGAGGCAAAGCAGAAGAACGAAGCGCGACATTTCAGCGCTTCACACAGATCTGCGCTGACCTCACACTCAAATCTCGAGCGCGCTCGAGACGGATCGCACGGAGCAGTCGACGCTTCGAATTCTTGGAGCAGGCTAGCATCTCTGCGCTTCTCAGTCATGCCAGCGACTCATCCATGGCTCGCGGCTCGCCACCTACCGCGCCGCCACGACGAGCGTCACTGCGGGAATCGCCGGCCGGCGAGCTGCATGTGTTGCTCGGCGAGCCACCACGAGGTCCTGGAGCCTCACGCTCGCTCATCACCGCACCACGACGATCGCGGCGATCGACGCATTCGGATAGAACTAGACTCAGTGAGGATGAGGGACAGCCCGGACAGCCTGTCTCTGTGCCGGTCGAGCCGCTGGCGTGGCGGTCCGAATTTGCGTCCTTTTCATTCGGCCGAACATCTGTAGAAGGTGACAGAGCGATCATGTCGCCTGTCGACTCCAATCCGCAGCACAATTCTCCGCGGACTGTCGCAAGTGGATTTGTACACGGCGCTACGCATTAGGTACGTCAAGCAAAGTACAAGAGAAGAATAGAAGAGACCTCAATCGCAATTCGTACGTCACTTGTTGTGTAGGAACAATGTAATAAATTGGAACTAGCAGGAGCCCGTCTGTACAACATAATGTGAATGATCTTTGATACTTAGGCCACCTGAACAAGGAAAGCCGTCTTGGGATAGGCAGGGCATGATGAGTGGCGCATCGAACGGCAGGTCTCCCATGAAGTATGAGGGGCTCCAGTGCGAATAGTCATCAGATTCTGCGATGAGGCCAGGCACGATATCAAGATCATGTACTGTGCGGGCAGCATTGTTGCCTAGGCTGGAGAGCAGCTTGGCAGCATTAGGCGAGACCGTCCGAAATTGACCAAAAGTAGAGAGCACGATCGGCACACGCGCAGCGATGAAGCCCAATGCAGCAATCGAGGCTACTGCTGCTCCCAGAGAATGTCCTATGATAGCAATCTGGTATTGACTCTCGGCTGCGGCGCTAAGGGCTTGCCTGAAGCCCTGAGTGGCAGCCTGGGCTGAGACAAAATTGGCGAGTGAGCCTGCATGAGCAGAGCAATTGACCGTACACCCCGGCAGATCGAAAGGGAGCGGCTTGATTGCAAGATCAGCTGCGTAATTCTCGACTGATGACGAGCTGTATTCCATGTCAGCGTGCGCGCGCGATGTGGAGCTTCAGATGCGTGCCCTCTGAAGACAATGACAACTTCCCGCCTTGATGGCAGGAGAGCAATGTATCCGCCTTGATCTAGATCGCTGTCGAAGGACGTAATGACTTGGAAACCAGGGAAGGTGCAGTTGGTTTGCGGATCACCGTAAGCTGCCATGGCCAACCTTGCATGATCTCGAATGCGAGAACTGATGGCGTCGAGCTGTGGGAGATTCTCGAGCGGCGCTGCGATAGTCGTTGAGACGAAAAGCAAGGCAACGCAGGAGATGAGCTTCATCTTGCAGCCAAGGGACGAAAAGCCGAGGAATTGTAGAGGGAAGGGTCCAAGCTTACATGGTCGGATCAGCGCGCTCTCAGAAGCAAATCTGCGCGAGCAGTAAACATGAAGACGTGCTTGCCTTGAGACAACATTTCAATTCATTTTTGAGCATTAACTTGCGAGCACGGTAGAAGCGGGCTCGCCGTCTTCTGCAGCGCCGTTAGGCTGGGCATCCTTGTCGACTGCGACCTTGACTTGAACAGGACGACCGTCGATGTCCTTGTCGTGAAGCTTCTCGATGGCCTTCTTTTGTTGAGCTTCATCGGCTACATGAACGAAGCCGTAGCCGCGAGATTTGCCCTTGTTGGGACCAGAGTTGTAGACGATCACTTTTGAGCTTGTGACCGTCAGACCGACGTCGGTGAAGAGAGACTTGAGACCGTTGTCGTCGGTGTTGTTGGGCAATTGTGCCACAAAGACTGTTGATACCGTTCAGCATTGCGGACCCAGCATGGGAAGAGCCAGCGCACGGAGAGTCTTGGAAGGCTCGCCGGGTGGCGGGCCGACTCTGCCACCGCCTCGACCGCCGCGGCCACGTCCACGGATGCCACGACCGCGTCCTCGGCCTGCACCACGAGTAGATGCAGCGCCTTCTGCAGCAGGCTCACCCTCGGCTTCCGTTGATGCCTGTCGCGGTGCGCGAGCTGCTCTGCCGCGCTGTGGAAAGACTACTGCATCAGCCCTGCAATCAGGCTATTGAATGCAGATGACTGACTCCTCTACCACGACCGCCGCGTGTGCTTGCTGCTGCGCCCTCCTTGAGTTCGCCTTGGTCATCGACAGCGGCGGAGGTGTCAATTTTGGCGGCAGAAGCAGCAGCATCCTTTGCCACTCTTGCAGGTTCTGTCATCAGCCGCAAGCCTTCAGTACGAGCAGTGCTGATCATATAAGCATGACAGACTCGTGCGGGAACCTGGTTTGGCAAGCTCGACGGTGATCTCGCGCTCTTTGAGGGTGGTCTTGTCGAGCTTGAGACTGGCCGTTGCAGCTTTTTCGGTCTCATAGGTGATGAAGCCGTAGCCGAGGGACATTGTGCCCTTTGCCTTGATCTCTGCATCCACGCTGGCCACTCTCGATAAGTTGCCAGATCTTTTTGTCAGGAGGAGGGGCAAAGGACGTACATGGGTCCATGAGACTCAAAGACTTGCTTGAGCTCATCGACTGTCGTCTTGAACGAGAGGTTGCCGACAAAGACCTGCACAGTCCCAGAGAGGGGAGTGAGCCTCTTCCGCACACGAGCTCTGACGAGAGCCGAGTCTTTACCTTTTTGCCTAGATCTTTGGACTCGGCTTGGACTGCAGCCATGGGCGGAACGGTGGGATTGGCTGCCATTGGGATCTGTCTTGAGGACGTAGAGGGACGTTGGGGTTGTCAGAGACCGCTGTCTAGTTTGTCGTCTGCGAGGTCTGGGGATGATAGCTGATTCGCGACCAAGTCAATCGCGGTGAAAGTTCGACCGAATGGGGCACCATACGGAAGGAAAGTGCTCGACTTTGACTTTGACAAAATTCGTCGAACCTCGTCACCAAAACCCATCATGACGAGCGTAGTGGGATTAGACATTGGCAATCTTGCCAGCAAGGTAGCCCGATACCTGTCGCATCACGCGCTAGACTGACGAGTCTGCAGATTGGCATTGCGAGGAATCGCGGCATTGACATCATCACCAATGAAGTCTCCAATCGCGCTACACCGTACGTACCTGTCAGCTGTCCATCACGCTGCAGGAGCTCATTGCAGATGGACACAGATCGCTCGTCTCCTTTGGGCCACGGTCGAGAGCGATAGGCGAGTCAGCCAAGACGCAGGAGACGTCCAACTTTCGCAACACGATTGGATCCCTCAAGCGATTGATTGGCCGACGGTTCGATGATCCAGAGGTACAGACCATCGAAAAGTCGTTCATCAACGCAGAGCTCGTCGACGTCGAAGGCACGGTCGGCATCCGGGTGCAATACCTCGGCGAGCCAACTGTCTTTTCTGCCACTCAGCTCTATGCGATGTACCTCGGCAAACTGCGAGAGATTGCTGCAAAGGAGTCCAAGGCGGCAGTCAACGATGTCGTCATCGCTGTCCCGGGATGGTACACAGACATCCAGAGAAGAGCGGTGCTTGACGCTGCAGAAATTGCCAATCTGCACCCGCTCAGACTGATCAATGACGGCACGGCCACCGCGCTCGGCTACGGTATCACAAAGACTGATCTACCAGAGCTTGGCGAGAAGCCACGCTATGTTGCGTTCATCGATATCGGTCACTCAGATTACAGCGTCTCCATTGTCGCGTTCAACAAGGGCCAGCTTGTCGTCAAAGCGACTGCTTTCGATCGCAACTTTGGTGGCCGAGACCTTGACTTTGCCCTCGTCAAGCACTTTGCCGAAGAGTTTAAAGGGAAGTACAAGATAGACGTCTTCTCGAACCAGAAAGCGCTGTTTAGACTGGCGACCTCTGTCGAGAAGCTCAAAAAGATCTTATCTGCCAACTTACAAGCGCCTTTGAGCGTAGAGTCAATCATGAACGACATCGATGCCTCATCATCCCTCACTCGCGACGACTTCGAAGCCCTGATTGCGCCTTTGCTCGAGCGCACGATTGCGCCACTCGAGACTGCATTGGCAAGTGCAGGCATTGTGAAGGACGATATCGACACCATCGAGCTTGTCGGCGGCTCTGTCCGTGTGCCCGCACTCAAGTCTCGTATCCAGAACTTTTTCGGCAAGCCTCTCTCGACGACGACAAATCAGGAAGAGGCGATCGTCCGAGGAGCCACACTCGCTTGCGCAGTTCTCAGCCCCATCTTCAAGGTTCGCGACTTCAACGTCACCGATCTGCATTGCTACCCCATCGACATCACCTGGGAAAAGGTCGCAGACTCACCGGATGAGAACACTCAATTGCGGGTGTTCGAAAAGGGCAATGGCGTGCCATCTACCAAAGTGCTGTCGTTCTACCGCAAAGAGCCTTTCGAGCTCGTCGCACGCTATGCCGATCCCAGCAATCTTCCAGGAAGTACCGATCCCTTCATCGCTCGCTACACCATTTCGGGCGTCAAACCAACAGCGAATGGCGATCACGCGCTCGTCAAGCTCAAAGCTCGCCTGAATCTGCACGGTATCGTCACCATGGACGCCGCTACACTGCACGAGGAGATAGAGGTCGAAGAAGCTGCCATCGCCCCTGCGCCTGCTGCAGAGGGCGAGACGCCCGCAGAACCCGCACAGCCCAAGAAAGTCAAGAAGGTCAATAAGAAGCCGTTGACGGGCACGTTGGTGGCCTCCCAGCTCGATCTCAAGCTTCTCGAAGACCTTAGAGAGAAGGAGGGCGAGATGTTCCAGAGCGACAAGCTCGTGTCGGAGACTGAGGACCGTAAGAATGCTCTAGAGGAGTACATCTACGATGCTCGCGACAAGATCGAAGGCGCATGGGCGTCATACATGAAATCCGCCGACAAAGACGTCTTGCGAGAAAAGCTGACAAAAGCAGAGGACTGGCTGTACAGCGAAGAAGGAGAGGACGCGACGAAATCGGCATACGTCGGCAAGCTTGACGAGCTCAAAGTTGTCGGAGATCCCGCGGCTTTCAAGCTGAAGCAACAGCAAGATAGACCGGCTGCGGAGCGTCAGCTGCGCGCCGTCATTGCCGACTTTATGAGCAAAGCTACCTCTGGCTCAGAGCAATACAGCCATCTGTCTGAGGAGGATCTGCAAAAGGTTCGTCCTCTCCTGATTTATAAGGCGTATCGCTCACAGCATGTCTGCAGGTCATTGAAAAGACTGCGACGGCTGAAAAGTGGATCAACGATCAATCGGCGAAGCAAGCCGAACGTCGCAAGGATGAAGAGCCAGCATATACCTCCACAGACGTCGACAAGCGCCGCGAGGATCTGCTGTTCTCTGCCAACCCGATCCTCAACAAGCCAAAGCCAAAACCAAAGGTCGAGAGCAAGCCTGCAACGCCTCAGCCTGATGCCAAGCCGGAAGAGAAGGCAGAGGCGCCAATGGAGGAAGTGAACGGATCGGCTGAGCCAGAGACGCTGGATGAGAAGACGATGGATGTCGACTGATTAGAGTAATGCAAACCCCCCCATAGAGCAAGCGAGAGATAGCCAGCACTCTTGGGTGAGGTCCCTATTTTCGAGTTCGATTGAGACCGCGCACGTGATCAATTCGCGCTTCCTTGTAGAAATTAAGCTGGCAAGGGTCGGATTATCGAAGTCACCTGAGGACGACCCAATACTTTGCCAAAGCGCAGGATGAGCGCAAACGTCAGCTGGGAGACGGACGGTGTTCATCAGCTCGGTGGCGGAAGCTTGGACGACCTGCTGCGACCTGCGCCAGTGCCATGGAAGTCGAGCCTACTCAGCGAGTCGGCAAGCAGTACCTACAGCGACACAGACTTAGCGGCCCGCAAGCTCGATCTCAGCCGATCATATGGAACCACAAAGCTAGATGGGAACGAGTACGGGCGCCTCGATAGCTCCTGGCTCGGCATGAGCAAGCCAACTAACGAGCTTGGCCTGAGCATTTCCGATCTGCCGAGCTTCCAATCTAACCTGGCATTACGACGCTCGGATAGCAAGCGAGACTACGCAGTTCCGATACTGAACCTTGGTCTGTCGAGGACAGTGTCTGATCAGTCGGCACCCGATGAATGCTTGCCTACGCCCGCGCTATCCAGCTGCTCGCTGCCATCGCAAGGCGAAGGCATCAGCAGCGACGTACGTACCGCGAGACTCTCACATATGCCTTCCGTTTCTCGTACGACGAGTGATTCGAGCAACAGCAGCAATGCGTCAGTGCAGCAGTACCCTCAACCATCGCCGTCACACTATGATATGCAGACGCCGCTCAAAGATGCGTCAAGCCAACGGCAGCACTTCGCACACGGGAATTCGTACGATCCTGATTCGCCTTTTAATAATACTCTGCCGCCGCAGGAGCACATGCGCTTCCTGCAGACCGTCAAGCGCGACGGATTGAAAAGTCATCTAATGGGTACAGGGCTCGACGGCGGCTTCCTGACATCGCCACTGTGCTTTGCACGAAATGGCAACGAGGCGCCACAGGTGCCCATGACGATCTCCCAGCGTGCGCCTAGTAAGCTTGCGCAGGCTGTTGAGCCATCAAGTCCGATCGTATCTACCTCACAAGAGCACAATGACGAATCGCATGCTGATCTACCGCCAGCCGAGAACCGACTCGACCAGTACTATCGTTACCAGGCCAGTCGCGCATTATCGCCTAGTCTTGATAACGCAGCACCGGACCGAACAGAAGCACGGCGAAGCGTAACACCTGTACACGACGACGAGAGCAGACTGATTCGACCAAAAGGTAGCAAGAAACGATTGCGTCTGACGCCGTCCAAGTCGCGATTGCGTCCCATCGAGCCAATAGAGCAGCATGCGCTCCTCATGCCCGACGAGCACGCTTCGATGCCAATGATACTCTCGCCAAGTGTTCGACCTTTGCCTGTTCCTGTCAATTCGCCTACCGTCGACGCTCACCGTGCGCGAAGCATGCCGATAGACCTTGAGGAACTCTGCAATCTCGGATTAGGCGAAGGCGACTTTCATAGAAGCCCGGCGCAACAACTGATGTCGCCACCTGGCGATGCAGCGGCTGATCCTTTCTTTCTCGAGCACTCGGATCATCAGCTGGATCACTTCTTGGCTAGTCCGACCGTCTCCGTCCATTCCCTCTTTCTCAGTCCATCAATGAGCCCTTCTGCGCAGCAGGGCTTTAGCAGCTTTGGCTCTGCCGCACAAGACTTCTTCGACAGTTCGAAGACGCCTGCCGTACCTGCAATTCCTTCGCAGTATCTATCATCTGCGCAGCCCATCGTTCAGATAGACTATCCGAGCGAACGGCCTAAAGGACGATCTGTATCACTTGCGCCGCCCGAAAAACCGCGACAGGTCCAGCGCAAGCGGAGCCACATCGATATGGAGCAAGCGCAAGCGCAGCAACAGAGAGCAGTGTCCGAAGAAGTCACTCTTCTGAGTCCAAGCACGCTGGCTCGACGAGTCATCTCTGGCGCGACGTATCGTCGCTTGAAGCCTGGACCGAAGCCGAAGCGATCTATCTCTTCCAATGGCGTTGTCTACCCGCCCTGTGAGCCTCGCGGATCAACATCGCCCTTGCCGGCAGCGGAAGTCACGCTCAATCCTGTCGTCGTCCTTGCGGGCGGAGAGACGGCGGTGCTCGACATGACACCCTTGCCCGATGAGGAAAACGAAGACACGGGACCACCTGGATCTTCGCTACCCCGTTCGGTCATCGAATCGCTCTACAAGACGGTGTCGATCAAGGTGAATGACACACGAGGGGAGAAGGAAGAAAGGCGGTATGTGTGTCTGGTCGATGGGTGCGAGCGCGAATTCCCACGACGGGGTGCTATTGCGAGCCACATCCAAACGCATCTCGAAGATAAGCCGTTTGTATGCTCTGTCGGTGACTGGTACGCCGAGTTTGTCCTCAGATCTGACATGGCTGATGATGGTGCAGCAAATCGTCATTTGTGCGAAGTCATGATTTGAAGCGCCACGAGCGAATCCATTCCGACGTCAAATCGTTCCTTTGCCCTTGGTGCGCGACTCTGATGATCAGCACCTTGACGAGCTGACCGTGTCTGTGACAGTGGCAAGGGCTTTGCACGAGGCGACGCGCTTCAACGTCATCGCGTCCGGGGTATCTGTGTGGGCTCGATTGTTCCCCTCAAGCGAGCCCTCTAATCTGTGACAGTACGCACGCACGCAAGGGCATATGTGTGGCAGTATGCATGTACACGTACAATTTATGAGTTGTTCTTCATCTCTCGCAGGATTCCCATGCTTGTCGCAGTGTCGTTTGAGTGGGTGACTTTTGTCACTGCAGGCGATTCGAGCCGCATGAAGACGTTGTGCTGCTTCTCGTCTGCCAATGTGAAGACACCGGTCGTGGACTCGTGCTCGTCGCAGTACTTCTTTAGCTTCTGCAGCGCCTGATTATCGGGATCAACCGTCAAGGCAAATTTGACGTTGCTCTTTGTATATTCATGACCAGGATAGACGACTGTCTCGTCCGGCAAGCTCGATAAGACTGTGTTGAGGGCATGATCCATCTCCTTTGGCGTGCCCTCGAAGAAACGGCCATTGCCGGCGATAAAGAGCGTATCGCCCGAGAAGACGGCTTTCTGATCCGTCTTTGTGTCCTCGGTGAACAAGCACATGTGGTCTTGAGTATGGCACGGTGTATGCTTCGGTGTCACTCTGACGGTGCCAAACTCGACAGGCTTGCCGTCCTCGAAGAAGTCTGTGACGCCCTGAACCTGCTTTGAGCCTCCGTAGATCTTTGCGTCGTGGAACTTTGCTGCAAAGTCATTGTTGCCACCTGCATGGTCGTTGTGGTGATGGGTCGTGAGGAGCAGCCTGCCCAGTGTCACGCCTTCCTTCTCGGCTGCTGCGACGACTTTCTTGACGTCAAACGGATCGATCGCCGCCGCCTCTTTGCTCGCGTCGTCAATCAGCAGATAGGCGTAGTTGTCCGATCTGACCGGCACAGGAACGATGCGCATCTTGAGTCGTGCGCTGCTGCTGAATGCTCTGCGGACGACTTGCGTGAGCATCGAGCAAGCACTCCGGCTTGGCTTGAGTTTGACATGTAAACCTTTGACGCGTTACTACCCCGGCGACCGGCGTCGTTGGCTTTCAGCCCGACTTCGCTGCCTTGCGACGTCCACTACGGCCACCCAATCGTGCCTGACCAGCTGCGCAAGATGTCTTCGAATGCTCCCATACAAGCAGATTCGGTGGAAGAGCCCGGTCAAGCGGGCGAGCTGATCACACGACGACGCACGTCAGATGCCTCCACGGTCGAGCCCGAGTATCTCCAATCTCTCCGCGAATCTCGCACTGGCGCCATGACGGTGTCCGACAAACAACAGATGGCCATACACGGCTCTCGAGCAGCACTGGAAGCTAGCAAAGTCGCCACTACCGTTGGATTTCAGATTGCAAAGTCGTCCACTCGGTTCGGTTTCAACGTCGCTCGCTCGATCCTCCACTTTGGTGCAGGCTTGACGGGTGCGCTCATCGATTCTGGCTTGGGCCTCGATGCTTCCTCGGATGGTACCGCCCAAGATGTAGGAGGCGGTCCCACCGGTCGCTTCCTAAAGACTGCATTAGGCGCGACGCTCAATGCTGCCGAATTTGTTTCCCTGGCCGGTATAGAGCTCGGCAGCGCCATCACATCGACCAGTCTCAATGTAGCCAACTCGAGCGTCATGGCACTCGAGGCAACCTACGGCAGCGAAGCGATCAGAGCGCTGGGCGCGTTCGTCAAGCTTGTCCAGCGTGAATGGCATGCCGAATTGCCCTACGATCCCCCTGGTGGTCTCAGTCAGTATAGTGTCTTCGAAGTCGCTCGTGCTGCTACGTGTTGGGCGCTTCTCCAGAGTGTCACAACAGAGCTCTACGGGAAACGCATACGGCCTGAGATTGAGGAAGTCGACGTGCGGCACTGGCGCGGAGACGACCGACCGGAAAACCAAGGCGAGGAGAACGCCGAGGTATTGTTCGATTTCACCGTGACGGGCGAGGAAGTCATGGAAGGCGAGCGGGGAGAGATCATTGATGCCGTCATCTCGCACCCTCGTCCTGGCCTGGCAACGCCCACCCAAGTCCCAAGAAACACGTCTTTTGGCGGCGAGAGTGCCCAAAGCAACGATGTCTTTCATTCGTTTGAAAATTCTGCTCGCACGAGTAGGGCACCTTCACCGCCCGCCGTGCCAAGCGCTTCCAATGTTAGCGAAACGACTACGCGCGATCACCTTCGTCGCTACTCCAAGCTATGCCTAGGCAGCTATGGCGGTCTGGGTGCGCTGTTTTTGGGCGTACCTCTACCCGATAAGTATCGCCAGCGGGCGAAGGAAGCCGAGGCGACTCGCGAGACAAGCGAACAAGCTGCTTCTACTTCGAATCTCACTCGCGCTCGTCTGGATGAAATGTCCAGAAGGTTCGAGGAGCAAGATATGGCAAGAGATGCTCGTATGATGAACGATGAGGCAGAGGGCCGATACACAGCCAGCACGGCTTCGGACGTGCAGGATACCGAGACAGTCAGACAGGAGGCAGAAGATGCTATGACGTTCATGAGTCTCTTCAATGGCACTCATGACGTCGAGCTACTCTCTCGCCACGGCCAATTTGATAAGGCGTATATCCACGAGCCTGACGAGGACGGAGACTCTGACTCGCTGGCTGATATCGAAATTGAGGAGCCGGAAGGCCAGACCATGGAACCTACTAGTACCCTGCAGACATCATTCATACCCTCCGGTCAGGCTCCGGGACACAGACAGCGCAAGAGCACAACACCACGCAGAAAAGGTCGCAGACCGCCACGTTACTTTGTCATTACCGATCACCCCACTAAATCAATCTGTCTATCCCTCCGAGGTACACTCACTATCGATGATCTCGCTACCGATCTCACATGCGAAGAAGCATCCTTTACTGCACACACCAGACACTGGGCTTCCTCTGAATCGTTGGACGGTCCCACAATTCGCAATTCCGAGGATCAGTATCTCGTGCATGGCGGCATGCTCGAAATTGCGGAAGCAATCGGAGGTCCTTCAGGCCGTCTTACCCGTGCTGTGCGTCGCGCACTCCAAGCCAACCCGGACTACTCACTCTTCATCGTTGGCCACTCGCTCGGTAAGTCTCATGAAATGAGGCGAATTTTTGAGCTTATAAGAGATCAGGTGGAGGCATTGCGACCCTACTTGCGCTGCTTTGGACTGATCCCGATACCTGTCTGACTACGCGTGAAGGCGGTCTACCTGAAGGTCGCACGGTCAAGACATATGCGTTTGCCACACCATGTGTGAGTCTTTGAAGATCGCGCTTTGTAGTCGACTGACAGGGATGGTAGGTCACTTCTGCCGATCTCGGCAAGAGATGCAAGAAGCTCGTCCATTCTATCGTCTATTCGTATGATCTCGTCCCACGTCTCTCGCTCGGTCACATCCGTGATATCCGTACGGCGGCAGCATGGCTCATCTACGCCGGAAGAGAGAATGCTCAAGAAGGTCCCTCGTCCATCATCAGTCGTGTTCTGGCATATCGTAACGGCCGACTTGACGATTCGCTCGAGATCAAGATGGATGAAGAGACTTGGTTTGTCTCGCTTCGGTCGACACTCGAGGCCAATATGCGCTCGGCTGTCCTCTTCCCTCCAGGCGAAGTGTATTGGCTCGTCAAGGGCAGCGATCTAGATCTGCCTGGCGAAAAAGATAAGGTCCAGCCTGCGCACCGTCTCTTTAAGATCACGGGCAAGCAAGAAGTTGTATTCAGTCAGATCGAGCACAGAAGCAATATGTTGTCAGCTCATCTGCCTCAGCAATATTCGACGGGCATCGATGCCTTCATCTAATTACTGCAATTATGACCTGCCTACAGTGTTCGAGCGTGAGGCGCGCCATACATAAAAGTCTTCGCATCAATCGATGTCAACGTCTATGGCGAACCGATCACACGCTGGGATCCTTGATGGGATCCCAGTCTGTGACGAGATAGCAATCAAGCGCGGTGAGCTGTTCGACCTCGTCGTTCGACAGCTCGAAATCGAATATCTGAGCATTAGCGATTATTCGCGCTTGTGAGACGCTCTTCGGTATGACGACATGACCGCGCTGAAGACCCCATCTGAGCATGACCTGAGCAGTCGTCTTGTTGTGAGCTTTTGCGATCTCGCTGACTGTAGGGTCTGAGAACTTCATTCCACGTGCCAGAGGTCCCCAGGCTTCTGCGATGATGTTGTGATCTTGACAGTATTTGACTAGCTCGACGCGCGTCATGAAAGGATGGAGATCCTGGCGGTAATGTCAGTTTACCAGGCACTTGGCGTCTTGCGACTGACAATCTGGTTGAGACAGGGCACAGTCTTGCTTCCCGCCTTTTCTAACTCGACAAGATGTCGTTCACCGTAGTTGGACACGCCGATCGATTTGACCAGTCCTAATCTGACACCTTCCTCGCAAGCTTTCCATGAAGCTAGACGCGCTGCCTGATCTAAAAATCTGTGAGCGTCAGTGCAAGCAGGAGACTATATCGAGCACCAACCTGGATAAGGCTGCGAGACCAGATGCACGTCCCATCAGTGTATGCTCGAGGCAAGAGTAGCTGATCCTCACGCCATGGATGAGATAAGTGTCGATATAGTCGAGGCCCAGCTTCTTCAGGCTGAGCTTGATGCTCTGTCTCGCGCATTCTTGAGCGCGTCAAGAGGCAGCCCGTTATCCACAGACCTGTACAAACGAGAAACACGTCAGTATATCGACTTGCATAGGAAAGGACGGCGTGGCTTGCCTTCAACGCGTGATCATAAGTCGAGTTGGCCATTAGTTTTGTAGTGACATGTATCTCTTCCCTCGGCGTACTAGACTCCTCCATGAACTCTCTGATAGCCGAGCCCGTCTCTGCTTCGTTCTCGTACCATTCTGCCGAGTCGATGAGCCTGTAGCCTGCTTCGAGGGCCCACTTGACGGATTGCTTGCATTCTTGCCCCACTGCTTCGTACACGCCGAATCCGAAGCGATAGATCGAGTGACCGTCGTTCATCTTCAGCTTGGAGGTCATCGTGAGCTTGCCCGTAGGCAGATGTGATGTCGTCATCGTCGGCGGGTGGCTCGTCCAGAGTCGACGACGCGCTGACTTTGAGCTTGGCGGCAAGTGACGACGCTGACGTGCTGACGAGGATGTTTGCCTCACTGACGCAGGAGGACAGGCAAGCCTTCTTCGACTTGCTCGATGAATACTTTGCGAGTAGACCGCATCTCCTGGCAGGCAGTGCAGGCGATGACACCTCGTCAGCAGCGCTTGGCGTGCTCGCATCTCAGCATGGACCTGCGCTCGCCAATCATGCGATGCGCAACCCAGCAGCAACCTCGTCAGCGCTCAAGGCGGGTGGCATGAGTGATAAAGCGGCCGATAGCCTGTCGCGATTCGGGAGTAAAGTCAGCGCCTACAGGGACAGAAGTGACTCCAATCCTCCTGCTGCGCCTGCTCGACATACCCCTCCACCGGCTCCAAGCGCTGCTCGACCGCCTGCACCTCCCCCGAGAACCAACTCAGGCCCGACTGCCGCCCCTCCTGCGCCTGCAGCGTCGCATGGTGGCTTACAAAGCGGTAGATCCTTCGGCGGAATGAACGTCACGAGCGGCAAAGCTGCCCTCAATTCGGTCATGAACTACAAGAAAGACGTCAGGAAGGACGGACCAACGATACCCTTTGTGAAGGCCAAGCCGGTCTCGACTACGCTCGCTGCACCTGCTGCTGCTCTTGGACCTGCACATTCGTCAGCACCAATCGCGCCACCGCCTGTGAGACGAGGTCCTGTACCACCACCGCCGGTACACGTTACAAAGGGCATAGGCACGGTTGAAGCTCTCTACGACTACGAAGCCACGGTCAGTGTCTTCACCGCGAGACTTCACGTGTCGCTAAGCTTTCGAGGGGCAGGATGCGGGCGACTTACCGTTGCGGGAAGGTGCCCAAGTGACCCTTTTGGAACGGGTCAACGACGAGTGGCTCAAGGGGGAAGATAGTGATGGCAAGACAGGCATCTTTCCAGCTACTTACGTCAAAGAGCTGTAGTCCCATCACATCATGTTGTAATTCCGGGCCGCGGCCACAGCAATCGAATCCTTTTGTATTGTGAATGTTACTACACACATAGTGGTATAAATAAGGTGAGGATAAGCGGGGTTCGACATTGTGAAAGCGAGTCAAATGAAAAACGAGTGAAGACTTTGCCATCCGGAAAACGAGCGATAGGTGATTACGAATTTGAAAGTGATCGAGTCTGCTTGCAAGCGTGTGAGTCGGTCATCTCGAGTATATATTATCTTCTGCCTGTGCCCAGCAAGTTGGAGAAGAAGCCATTGCCGCCGCCCTCCTGTGAGCCAGGCGTAGCTGCAGGCGTCTGCTGACTAGCAGAATGGAACGACGAAGATCGGCTGGTGGGATCCGAGAGCGAGGACGAGCTTGAGAGTCCGTCGGCTGCGTCTGATCCGGCTGCACAACAGACGACGAGCGGGAAGGCGCCCTCCTTGGGTCCTTCGGTCGGCGCAGCACCCTTGATGCTGCCCACTGCCCATCCGTCATCGAACTACGCGACAGGTCAGTACGGTACTTGGATAAGCAAAGAGTCGACGCACAATCTTTCGAACGACGATGACAGTGTCTGGCTCAAGCTTGAGCTCGTCCGGCAGATTCGGATTATACGCGTAGATCGCGACGACCTCGCTGCCTCTGAACGCTCGCTACATGTCAGCTCGATTAGATAGCAATCGGAGCGGATACGTACGGTGTGATATCAGTCGCAGAATATTGATCTCTGTACGATGCGACCAAGCTTCGTCCTTCGTTGCTCGAACCAGTCGTGTTTGTCGCGCCAGAGACAGGTCGGTCTTCACCTGATGAATCTGTATCATGCTTCTCGTCCTTGTCCTTCTCATGCAAAGCCAGAGCTCCTGCTCCTGCCAATGCGCCTCCGCCGAACGCGCCTGCTGCTGCGTCCGAGAATGGGTCTTTCAAGCTGTTCGGCTTAGAGCCCTTCTCGCCAATGCCAGAGGGCGTCGTCGCGGCAGTAGACGGAGCGTCCTTAGAGCTCGATGTTTGAGTACTCTTCTTGGTGAGAATGGGCTTCTCGAGGTCCTTCTCTGCCATGGCACCGCCAGCAAGCACGCCAGAGGAGGGATGACTCGAGTTGTTCGGCCCTCCGCCGACGCCGAGCATCGAGGCTTCCGAATCGCGATAGCCCGACTTGTTGCGCTTGCGCATGCGAGAGCAGAGCAAGAAAAGAAGAGCGAGCAGGATGAGGGCACCGATGGCGGCACCCACTCCGATGCCTGCCTTCGCGCCCGATGACAGCCCACTGCCGCCCGTCGACGTGGCTGTGCCACCATTGTCCGAGCCTGCGCCAGCAGAGCCTGAGCCGCCGCTTCCGGCAGTACCAGTGGCAGCAGCGGCAGCTGCTGCACTGGCCGCAGAGCTGAGCGACGCGACGGCGCTGGAAAGGCTGGCAGCGGCTGAAGCTGAACTGGGCACGGTCGCGGTAGGATACACTGACGTGGTGACCTGTGATGCAGCGAGAACGAAGCCGCACGAGGTGATGTCTGTGTTCGTGCCGGTGCAGCAAGAATCGACTTCACCAGAAGAGGATAGGGAAGGATTGCAGTAGTTGCACAGCTGACTCGTAGACGTGCCGAAGCCGCAATTGCCTTCGTTGGTCGATCCCTTGACACACAGTGAGTAGTTGGTCGACGTGAGTGACGGCCAATCTGCACACGAGCATAAGTTTATCCAAATTTGGCGATGCTGGAAAGCACGGACCCGTGCAGGAAGTGAAATCTTGCGTAAGCCGAGCGTCTCTTGCGGCTGTCGAGAGCGAATTGCTTGGGCAGACCGCGGAGTTCTGCAGGACAGTCTATCAGATCTAGGAGTCGATGCACAAGTGATAGCCTACATTGACGAGCGTGTTCTCTGCGTCTGCAAAGGCAACGCAAGTATCTTGGCAGGTCATCGTTCGCACGACGTTGGTGCCAGTGTAACAGCCAGCGGTATAGCTGATCTGGGTGAACTCGCCGCAAAGGTATGTCCGCGTCCACTGAAGTGTGAAATCGGTGGCTTCCGATGCCGCAGAAGCCGGACACCCGAGCTGGTCGACATACTTGGTCTGCCTGAACTGATTGGGATCGGTCAGGTAGGCATCAAAGGCAGTGTCGAACGAGTTGACATCGGTCACGGCGGTAAAGAACGGCCAAGACCCCGACAGATTGGTCGGATTGATGTACTGCGTCGTGAAAGCGGGACAGGCCGCTGAGCCTGTGAGCTGAAAGCACTGGCCGCTCACTTGACGAGCGAGCAGCAGACCAGCAGTCACCAGACCGGCAATGGTCGGCTTCGGACTGAGTGCGGCCATCGTGAGGTGGGTGATAGCCGCCCAACGAGCGCTTCTAGCTCCCTTGCGCCTTGCTACACACGACACGGGACCTCGAGGCCCTTATCGACAGCGGTCGAGTACGCCTCTGGCTCCTCGCCACGCCCACACTGCTCTCGTCTTCTCGAAAGAGGTTTGTGACCGTCTTTCTGCTTTGCTCGGCTCTCTCAAGGCTCGCACGTCGGGATGGTCTCTCGCAAAGTAGGCAGGTCGGCGATTTGCTCGTGGCGAATTTTTAGTCGGGCCTCGTGGCACACCGATTAATCGATTAGTCCGACGCCGAGCGTTTGTTCCACCCTCGCACCTCCGGCCGGCCGGCGTGATTCCGCCGCAGGTTCAAGCACACGAGCTCCTCCTGAAGCGTTTTACGCAGCTAGCTGCTGATGATGCACTGAGCCCTCGGCCCTGGTGTATGCTTGGCCTACCCAATTCTATGCAGCTTGCAGGGGTCTGTGCGGGATGAGTCGCGATCGAGATTGGACATTGCGCAGAGACAAAACTGCGTCATCTTTTCTCTCACGCTCATGCCTGAACCCCGCTCCCCTGTAGACCTGCAACGGAGCAGTTGCTGTGAAGAATTGGGCGAGCGTCATGGACTCGCTCGACCTGAACACTCACAGGGCGCTGCTGCTGGCTTTAGCGAGCAACTGCGCTCAGAGCTCTTCGTCCATTTCGGGCGCATTGTCCAAGAAAGTCACCGTCAATGGTACAGATGATGAGCATATTGCTCGAGCTGCGACAGGTGACTCGCCCGTCCTAGCACGACAGAACAACGAGAAGCAGACGAACGGTGTCTATCAGCCAGTCTCAAATACAGAGGCAGCCCAGGCACGTGAACAGAAAGCAGCCCGCGGTGGTGTGCTAGGTTCTTTGGCAACGTTCTTGCTTGGGCCTATTGTGGACAGTACATTGTCGACTTCTTCGAGCGGCGTCGTCTCTGCACGTTTGAGTCCTCAGGCTCTCGACCGTCAGATTGCATACGCACACTACGTGACCGTGCTCTCCAATGCCAAACACGACAGGGCAGCCGCACAAACTTCGTCCATCCAAGAGGGTACCCATCTCAACGGCAAGCCCTACTCTATCAACGACGATGCCAGCGGCGCAGAGCAAGCTAGCATGGAGGAACGGATCATCAAGATGGCAGATGCTCTGCCTGATCTCGTCCTTGATCGCTACACCCCGCTCCCATTGCCTGCAGGTTCCACAATCGCAATTGCAGGCGGGAATTCGGGCCCGATACCCATTGACGAGCTTGCGTACGCACTCGTCGAAGCACTGCTGAGCCTCTCTTCGGCCGCAGCTGCCAAGGGAGATCGCTACGTCTCTGCCGTCTTGCAACTCGGTCAGAAGCTGCAGGCTCGCCTCGTCCAAGACGATGGCAAGTGTGACTCTATGCTCCGTGCGACCTGTGCTGACCGATGCTCGTGCAGCTACACGCTTGGCATGCCACACCATGCCGGCCTACAACGGCTTTCGCCGTGCTATCGCGACTACGCCTCACACGTTTTCGTTGAGCTCGCTTGATCTCCTTACGCCTTTCACGCTTGACAAGCTCGAGGACATCGACCATACACTGAAGCGCGCTGATTCCACTCAGACGTCTTCATTCGCAATCTCACTTCCTCGATTTGGCACTAGTACAGCCAATCAGGCTGCTCAAAGCGAAGACAAGGTCTGGGCTCAGATCGTACTGGACCGCTACGAGACAGCCGGAAGACCTCTGAGCGTGACCATGCTTCAGCTAGCCAGTCTACAGGTCAGCGCTGCTATCGTTGGTCCTGCGCTTCTGCCGTCGGCCGCATCCGCTGAGGGTCCAGATGGGATGAAAGCTGGCCTTCGTGCAACCATGCCTGCTGATCAGTATGTCTGGACGACGCTACTCGAGAATCCGATATCTGTCCGTGCTACCGCAGACGGAAGTGCCCGGAGCTCTATTCATACAGCATTCAAGCTTGCCATCGATAGCTATGCACAATCACTTGAGCTGCTCAGCGTCGGACTCGATGATGGCGATGACGAGGTTCAGCCGGATGCTTATGCTGTCGACATTATTGTGCAAGCTCTTGTACGCCCGTGCCTGTCTAGATTGACAAAGACTAAATTTGCGTCTTGTGGGCAGAAATTGGCTACGCTCGCGGATCTCGCTTCGAACGAGAATGCGCCACATGACCAATTGCTCGCGGTTGTGAAGAAGCTCACAAGCGAAGACGCGCCCTTCTACGATGCACGCATTCAGGCTATAGCGTTGGACGCGCTTGTTATTCTCATGCGCAAGTAAGAGCCTGCTCATCGTTCAAGCGCGGATAGCTGACTTGCTCTCATAGCTATGCAGGCCTTTCGACAAAGCTTACGACGCATATCAGACGATATGTTACGTCTCCTATCGCGCTCTTTGAGGCCGACGCCGGCGCGCTTGCCCCTACGTCTCTCACAGATGCTGCCAAGACGCTCAGCATTGCCCTCGATCTGGCCAATTCCAAGGATTTGGTCATGTCCACTGTTTATTCGCTCCTGAATTATTTTCCGGGCGGCAATACAAATAGTCTCGCTCCTCCAGGCAGCAGTCGTCCATCTTCACGCATGGGTGACGCGCAGAGCGTCAGATCGACGGGTACAACCCGCGGCCGCTCAGATCTCGAACGCGAGACCGTCAGCATCAGCACTCTCTATGCTGTCACTTACCTAGCTCATCACTTCAAAGATCGAGAGGTACTTTCACCGTTTTAGCCGGGTACAGCTGCTGACTTATTTGCAGATCACACGGCTCTCAGTATCTCTTATGCTCCAGAAGCTTACCGGCACGGGCTCCGACAAAGTACAAGCCGCTATACTCTATAATCTGGCAGATCTCGGTCCTCTCGCGGAGAAGACGGAGTTCATCGACATCATCAAGAGGTTCTCCGAGATCAGCCAGAGTAGCAAGGACGTTGATTCGTCCATCATGTCGAGCTCGGTCTTGACCGCTCAGATGCAACTTGCTCGAGGCCTGGCGAGCGATGATGCAAAAGCGAAGCTCTTGCTAAGCGAGACGCTTAGCTTGTTCATCGCTAAAGGTCTTGTAGCCCAGCAGGCTGTCGTTCGCTCGGGCGGCGAAGTACCACACTACACCAACCAGCTCATGGCACTTTTGCCCGTTCTAGAGGCTGTCGTGGGCCTGCCCTCGTTCGATCACGAAGAAACGGACGATGCAGAGCTCACGTCCAAATTCCGCAACATGTGGTACTTGTGCATCTTGTTCGGCTTCCTTTCGCCTTCTTCGCGCATACAAGTTTGGCAGAAGCTTTCGTTGCACCGTATCGCTGCCAAGACACCCTGTCTGGCTCGACACGCGGGAAGCAAATTCATAGAAGAAGAGCTCGAATACAATGTCATATTGCGCAAGGACTTCCCGCTCGGCTACTTCGAGGCCCAACGTTCTGAGCTTGGCGCTGCGATTCCTCAGCACGCCGGTCAGATCCGTACGCTCTCGCTGCCGCAGACGATCTTCCTCATCACCGTGCTTAGACTTGAGATGCTTCGCGCAAACACGACACACTCTGCTACGATGCTCCAGTATTTTTCCAACGATGGCATCAATTCAAGTCCGATATCTGGTTGCCTGGCCTCGATAGCCGACAAAGTCAACGAGACGTACAGAGGTGCACTTAATGACCAAGTCAGTCGTCACTCGGTGAAGCCGGAAGCTTTCAACGAATTGCGCAAGATGATCAAAGCCTGCTGCTCGCCGCAAGCACCTGCTCGCAAGGTCGCCTTGCGTTACGTGGACAATGTCATCGGCTCTTTCCCTTCGCTTCTGTGCGACTTGACAACCGTGACGACTCTGCTTGAGCTTCTGACGCTCCTGCGGCATGCTTGCGAGGCTCAATACGAGAATACCTATCGCCCCCGCTATTCCTATCACTCGCGTCGAGCCGATCTCACGCTCGAGCTGCCAGATAATTATGCTATCAGGGAGCAGGTTTTGACCGACTACTATAAGCACGCTCGTGCCTGGTTGGTCACTGTGCTTGCACGTGCGCCGATTGAGATGCAAGGCATCCTGCAGGTCTATGTCGACGATTCCGGTGCATCTGGCCAGCGTGGCGTCGAGATGGGCAAGTCAGTCGCAATCGATGTCGCTCGCTCGATGCCAACAAATGCAAGGGAATCTGCTCTGCCTGCCTTCGGTGGCTGGAAGCCAGATTCGTCGAGCGCTTTTGCGGACATCATGACCGCGCGCCACTACTTTAGCGGACACACGAAGCTCAGTCCACATGATAACGTTACTCAGATCAAGCATCGCATGCAAGATCTTGCTGCTGCCATGCATAAGAGTCGAGTAAACAAAGGCTCCGGCGAGAAGAGCAAGGCTTCTATAAAGCCGGCTGACTTACGCACGCTTCTCTATCGTGCTGCCGGCGCATTGATCGCTGCCGAGCAGCCAGACTATGACATTTTGCACTACATTGTGTGGATACCGATGCACGTCTTCTCACCGCTGGCGCTACGCTCTGGCGTCGAAGTATGGTCGTGGCTCGTCGATGCAAAGCCAGAGCTCGAAGTCAAGATCATGACCGAGCTAACGGCGGAATGGTCATGGACGATGCGTCGTCGCCGAGGTCTTTTCTCGTCCTCGATGAACAGTATCAATCCAATGCTGGAAGAAACTCAATTCACTCCGACCGACAAAAAGGCCATGGACGAGCATGCTAATGCTGCTCGTCGTCTGCTCCAGCCTCACTCGATTCTGCTCGACTTTTTGACCAGTCGCTATCAAGCCTATCGCTACCGTGATGCTGGTCTAGTTGCGGCAGCTCGCCGACTAGTCGTTCGCTCGCTGGACGCGTACAAGCAATGGAGTTCGCACCCACTTGCACGAGAGCTGCGCAACAAGTTCCTTCTCTTTGGCTTCATGATTCTGCAAGGTTCCCAGATGGAAGGCTCGATCGAGTACAATCTACGCGAACGGCTGTATACTGCGGCTCTCCATTGGTTCGCAAGTGCGCCGCTATGGACGTACGGAGCAGATCGTCTTCAGATAACTGGCGATGTGCGTGCGCTCCGAGAGCTGCTTGCCATCGTCGAGGTCGATCGTCCGGCTTCAGACGTCATCGAAACAAGCTTTCACTCGATTCAACAGATTGTGACACTGCCTGGTAATCTACCAGCTGCCTATGGCAGTCAGCGCATTGCGAATCGACGCAAGCTGCTCGCACTTTTACTTGACAATGAAGTAACCCGACTCGCAATCTGGCTCAATCCGCTTGACGACAAACGCAAGAGCTTGCCAGGCATTACGACCGCGGCCAAGAGCGTTGACGATGCCACGTTCCGTCAAGCTGTCCAGACTGCCTGGCGGACTGATCCTGCTATCGCCGTACACATGGCCGCCCGTTTCAAGAGCAATGCAGTCAGGAACGAAGTCCGCTCGCTCGTCTTGCGCTATCCTCGTCAAGCGCGAGATGTCCCTGAGGCACTCGAGTATGTGGCTGCTGACAAGCTCACGACCGCCGCGCGACCAGCACTCAAGCATCTTATCTTCTGGGCCGCTTCGACGCCCGTCATTTGTACCCGTTTCTTCCTTACAGCATACGAAGGCGAGCCCCGACTGTTGCAATATGCCATGCGCGTTCTCGAGCACCACCCGATCGAGCTCATCTTCTTCTACATTCCCCAAGTCGTACAAGCTCTGCGCACAGACGAGACCGGCTATGTAGAGCGCTTCATTTTCGAGACTGCCAAGATCTCGCAGCTCTTCTGCCACCAAATCATTTGGAACATGAAGGCCAATTGCTTCAAGGATGACGAGGGCGAAGAGCCAGACCCAATGAAGCCTACGTTCGATCGTCTGATTGAGTCAATCGCGTCTTCGTTGTCTGGCGAAGCTCGTGACTTTTACGAGCGCGAATTCGAGTTCTTCAATACTGTCACGTCGATTTCGAAGAAGCTGCAGCCCCTGATCAAGAAGAGCAAGCCCGAGAAAAAGGCCAAGATCGACGAAGAGATTGCTCAGATCGTTGTCGATCAAGGCGTCTACCTGCCCAGTAATCCTGACGGCGTCGTCGTCGACATCGATCGCAAGTCTGGCCGCCCACTACAATCGGCGGCTAAAGTAAGCTGCCGTCTGCAAGTCGGTGATAGAACTAATATGTGCTGCAGGCACCTTTCATGGCAACGTTTAAAGTCAGACGTGAGCGCAAGCGCGGCAATGAGGACGATATGGAAGACGGCCTCATCGAAGCTGAAGAGGAAGGCGGCGCAGCCGGTGATTCTGCAGATACATATGATACATGGCAAGCTGCAATTTTCAAGGTCGGAGACGATTGTCGACAGGATGTGATGGCGTTGCAAGTCATCGCCATGTTCAAGAACATCTTTAGCAACATCGGCCTAGAGCTCCATCTGGTGCCCTATCGCGTGACTGCCACTGCACCGGGCTGCGGCGTCATCGATGTCGTGCCTAATGCCACTTCGCGTGACGAGATGGGCCGAGCCAAGATCAATTACTTGCTCGACTATTTCACTCAGACCTTTGGCGCCATCGAATCAGTCCCTTTCCAGAAGGCACGGATCAGTTTCATCCAGTCCCTGGCGGCCTACTCGGTCCTGTGCCATATCATGCAAATTCGCGATCGCCACAATGGCAACATCATGATCAACGAGACCGGCCATCTCGTCCACATCGATTTCGGCTTCTTGCTCACTATCGGACCCGGCGGCATGCACTTCGAGCCGTACAGTTTCAAGCTGTCGGACGAATTCATCGATGTCATCGGTGGAAAGAAGAGTCCAGAGTACCAGTTGTTCCGCGAGCTCGTCGTCAAGGCTTTCCTGGCTTGCCGACCCTATGTCAACGACGTCGTTGCAGTCGCAGAACTCATGTACGGCACTGGCCTGGCATGCTACTCCGGCAAGAACGCTCTGCCAGAGCTGCGAGATCGCTTCAAACCTGAGATGACCGAGCAACAAGCTACAAAACATATGATTGGGCTCATCGACAATGCCGAGACCAATGTTCGCAGCGTCATGTATGATCAGATTCAGACCATGCAGGTGAGCCGCAATGTAGCTCGCTCGCCGGACACGCTGATTCTGACTTGTCCTGCAGAACAGTATCCCTTACAATCGTGGAAAGATATTCGGCGTCTTGTGAGTCGCCTTTACAATGCAAGCTGTGTCAATCCTCTTTGTCCATTAATGCGCGATGTTGATGATCGCTGCTGTCGGTTTGTGATCAAATCGATCTCTCCTCTGCGCGGGCTTTCCACGCGCGACGCGTACGCCGCAGCGCCTGGCGACGCCTCTCCGTCCCGTTCGCGACAGCCGCATTTGTCGGCTTTGTTCGATTGCCAGTGAGGCCAGATAATTGGGTCCCTGGCAGCCGATCGCTGTTGCTGGTAAGAGCATCTATCGAGTCCCAGCTGATCAGCTTCAGCCTTGACCGCTCACTCGAAAGGGACGTCAACATTTGGCCACAGAGGCACACAGTCTGTGCGCTACCTGGTCGACCTTTAGCTCGGGTCAGGGAGATGTTGCAGAGGAAGACGATTGGGCGAGACTAGATACACCGCACTGCGCAGGCTTGACTGTCAACACGGCTGTTTGCGAGTCCGTACTCGACAGTCTGTGGAGGACAGCGCAAAGACAACAATAGCTCCACGGTCCCCACGAGGAGCTTGCAAGACAGCGGAGGCATGTCTTCGACGAACGAGAAAGCAACGTTAGCGGACAAGGAAGTCTACGATGAGAAGGCTGCGAATGTAGAGTCGAAGCCTCTGTCCGTGCCATTGCCGAGTCATCCTCGCTCAGGCACTGCCACACCAAAGCCTCGGATGACTAGCAATATTAGCTCCGGCATCCTCTCCCAGTCTATGGCGCCGGGACAGAGCAATCCTCCTCTCACGCCCGCAGTGCTTGCGTCTGCAATGCGGCCCGCTCAGAAACCGCGCAAAGGCAGGCCGGGGGGCATCAGCTTGCCAGATGACAACCGCAAGGTCAAGGTCGAAGGTGCTCCGTACGGTGTTCGGTGGCATTCCATTGTCAAGAGGTAGGCTTGCACCCGTCACAGGCAGTTCACGCGCTCATGCCGAGCCTCGCAGGATCAAGCGTCCCTCGAGCGTCGTCACCGGCTCCGGCCAGTCATCAAACCAATCTAGCGTGCTCGACGATGCCAGTACATCTACTTCCACTTTCACTATGGGCCGCCTCGCCCGAAGAATCGCGAGAGGCGCACACAGTCAGACCACTGACGGCTCGAGAAGCGAGACCGATGCCGGTGCTTGCAGCGAGGCTGACCCGGACGAGGGTGATCCGATGCAGGGACATCCTTCGAGTACGCACGACGGCTACACGGACTTCCTCGTGGTCGACAGCAAATTGCCTGGCATCGCGCCCGACGGCTCACCCTATGGGAGCGATGAGCGTGACTCTGGCAGGCCGGGCTACGCAGAAGATCTCAACCCTTCCGACGGTGGCTCTGACCGCAGGCAATCCGTGCCTGGCGGTACAGCTGCCTATACAGACACAAGCACGCGCAGAATGTATTTCCACGAGCACGCCTTCTGGCGAGTGTGGCACTTTTGGAACAACTTCTTCTTTCTCAGCTTCGCAGATCCAAAGAGCGAGCGTCACCGCAGGCGAGAAGAGTGGCAGCTGGGCAAAGGAATGGCACTCTTTGGCTCATGTTATTACCTCATCTCGTGGGCACTTCTGATTGGTCTCTTCCCCAAGCCCTCCGACATCGTCAACAGAGTCTTCGTATGGGGACTCATCCCTGGGCTGACCATCTGGCTGCCCTTTGCTGTCATTTTCGATGCTCCAAAACGGCATCCGTTGCCTTATCAGATCTATCTCTGGATTGTCACTTGGCTGTTGCCGCTACATTGGCTGACCGACATGCACTACTGCGGCTACTATACCACACACGCTCATTGTGGCTCAAAGGTACGCGACTGATCTTCGCGTTCGGCACCTGCTGATGCGAGCGGGCAGGACTTCACGAGCGTCTTCTATGCATTGCTTGCACTGCCGACTGTTTCTCTCTTCGCTCTCTGTCAACGCAGGCTACCGCATGCCCTCGGCGTGCTCGCCATGACCATTCTTATGGCTGTCTTCATTGTGCCAATCCGTCGCCTCTGGATCCGCAATGTCATCAATTTCGTTCTGTTCCACGGCTTCCTCATGTACATTTCCTTTGCCCGTGAACGCGCCGAACGACATCTTTCGCGTCTGCGGATGGAGCTCAAGACACAATACATTGCCGTCCAGAAAGCTCAGATCAACGAACGGAAGACGGGCGATAGCAAACGAAGGCTCACTTCTTATTTATTCGTACGCCGCCTCGGTCCATTGGGACTCCTGCTGATGCTTGTCTACAGCACGAGGTCAGAGTACCCCTCAATACCGCTCTACTCTCTGCACAGAACATGGGTGCTGCTGGCGTCTTCAGCGATCCCACCTATGCCGAGCTCGATCTAGAATTTTCTGCACTCGAAGGCTCGCTCGTCATGATGCAGAAAGGCAAGACCTCGCCGCAGCACCAGCGATCGCAGCTGATCTGGACCTTCGTACAGTGTTAAATGACGTCTTGGACTTCCAACGCTTAGATGCCGGCCGGCTCGAAACAGTCTGCCGACCGTTCAGCTTCAGCAACATCCTCAAAAGCATCTTGCTGTCATGCAAAGTTGCGGCGAGCGCTCGAGGCATCACTTTGGAGACCGATCTAGATCCTCGTATCGATCAATTCTTGCGCACTGTCGGACGCTCGCCAGGCGTCATTGGCGGGCCGGGCGAGGACTTTATATCTGGCGACATGATGCGTCTGCGACAAGTCTTGACAAAGTACGATACCCACCATTCTGTAGTGATCTCGAGCTGACTCGCTTGCAGTATAACGTCAAATGGTATTAAATTCACGCCCGCAGGCGGAACGGTCAAAATTGTCACAAAGCTACTTTATCCTGCAATCGAGCTCAAGAAGCCCGTGCTCAAGCATGCAACCAGCTACATGTCCGCTGGTGCGCAAAGTGCTAGCTCTTTAAATGGAGGAACACTCGCTCGAGAATGGTCTCGAGCAAAGTCTGACGATATCGAGGGCAACCATCCCGATTTTGCCAAGAAGTACATGCGGCCGCGCAAAGAGCACGTCGTCTTACGATTTGAGATACATGATACAGGATGCGGCATACGCAGCAGAGACCTGCAAGATGGCCGGCTCTTTAGCGCTTACGTCCAGACTGAGCAAGGCAGAGCAAAGGGTATGCTCTTCTGGCTTGGCAGCTCAAAAGCTGATATGTTTGCTCAGGTGGCAAGGGTACCGGTCTTGGTCTCGCTCTCGTTCGACATATCGTGCAGCTGCATGGTGGTAGACTGGGCGTGAGCTCACGTCAAGGTCATGGATCATGCTTCTGGGTCGAGCTGCCCTACGAAGTCGGCGCGAGCGTACTCAAATCCGTCGACAAGGATGCCCTCGAGAATTACGGTTACGACAAAGTCTACGGCAACACGCCACCAGTCATACTGGAAGCCGGAGGTGGACTGAAAATCCAAGGATCTGCCATTGTAGGCGATAAGCTCACGCCCACAACAGAGCAGCGCAACTTCGACTTCACTACCTTGGCGGTACTAACAACCGATGGCTCATATTCGACTACGTCATCGGCTCCAACAGAGCCCCTTGTGATGCCTGCTACGTCAAGGACAGGTGCGCAAGCACCTGTAGCGACAAGCACGGCACTGCCGCCGAGTGATCCGGCTGCGGTCGCGCTATCCGCACCTCTTGCCAATGCGCCAGAGACAACCTTGTCTGCGCCTACGCTTGATCGTCCTGCGATAGAGAACCGTTCGCAAAGTGGGCCGGCACGCATGGGCTTGATTCGAGCAGCGAGTTCTGCAGCATCTGGTTCGCCACCCCTCGACTTGCCATTCCGGAAGCGACGCGTGCTCTGTACAGACGACGACCAGCTCACTCGACGGCTGATGACACGAATGCTCACTCGACTAGGCTGCGAGGTCGTTTGTGCAGAGAATGGGCGACAAGCATTGGAAGTACTGCTCGGCCAACCTTGGAGTGCAATTGCCCGCCGCCTGAATCGGGCTGACAATTTCTATGTTGACGGCCCTGCGTCTGCGGCCACGCAGCCGACCGACGAGATCAGCGATCCAGCCTATTTCGACGTCATCTTCATGGACAACCAGATGCCGCTTTTACGTGGTGTCGAGATGGTTTCATATCTGCGTCTGCTGGGACGCAAAGATCTGCTCGTTGGTGTGACGGCCAATGCTCTCAAATCAGATCAAGACGAGTGCGTTATCACCTTTCATGTCAGCTGCCTTTGCTCACAGACAAAACACAGATTCCTTGATGCAGGCGCAGATCGCGTCCTGACCAAACCTCTGATGGAAGCATCGCTCAAGAGAATGCTTGCGCTTTCCGACAGGGATAATACTTGATATTTTGGCATTGGCGTGTACACTTGGTGTTCTTGTTGTATGGGCCAGCGATATAGATACACTGCACAGTCTCCCACACGCTCGTATTGTCAATCATGCATGCTCGACAGTCTAATGGCAACATTCGAGGTCTAAAGAGTTGTGAACCTGGTAGGAGCGTCGATATCAGCGCATGACGAGCCAAGCATATAATATTGCCACGTACCTCAAGTAGGGCTTGACGACATCGACGCCGTTGGGGAACATCTTGCGAGCTTCATCGGTCGAGACTGAAGGGTGAACGATAACCTTTGAGCCAGGTGTCCAGTTAGCGGGAGTCGTGATCTTGTGCTTGTCGCCGAGCTGTAGCGAATCAATGACGCGCAGAACCTCGTTGAACTGGCGGCCCGTCGAAGCAGGGTATTGCAGTGTCAATCGGATCTTTTTTGCCGGGTCGATAATGAAGACGCTGCGCACGGTGAACGGGATACTGTGCGGACGTGAGCGCTGCGCTGATGACCAAAGCAGACGAGGTGAGCTCACCCCTTGGCATCAACATTGGTGAGATCTTGCTCGTCAAGCATGTCGTAGGTCTTTGCGATCTCGCGCGTTGGGTCGGCGATGATTGGGAAAGTCACGCTGACGTTGTTGACCTCATCGATACTGTTGTGACAGCGACCCACAGTCAGCAGTTGAGCATTGCTGATGGCGAATGGCCACTGACTCTTTGACCCAGTCGGCATGAGACTTGAGCTCATTGCACGATAGTCCGATGACCTTGACGCCGCGCTTCTCGAATTCGGGCAGGATGCGAGCAACTTCGCCAAGCTCGGTGGTGCAGACAGGCGTAAAGTCACTGCACAGAGCCAAAGGCTGAGTCAGCTCTGTAGGCTTGGCTGATCACCGGGACTGCGACCCGCGCTGCTGTGAGGCTGAGCCATGCAGTGCAAGAGGTGCAGGCTTGAGAAGAGACAGCAGGCGAGGGTCAGAGACTGGTGGCAAGCATGCTGACTTACGCAGGGTGAGAGAAGAGGATGGCCCAATTGCTGCCGATGAACTCGTGGAATGAGGCAAACTTGCCAGTGGTCGTCTCCGCAGCAAAATCGGGCGCTGTAGCACCAAGGCGTAAGGCAGGCATAGCTTCTTGTAGTGAGATGTCAAGTGAGCGTGCACACCAAAAATTCGAGCTTGATCGCGATTGCGCCATCGCCACTTTTGACATCACACTCCCGAAGATATCTCGTCTCCCGTAGCTGCGCGCGCCGGCGTGACCGCGTGCCTCCACGCGCGACCGCTTCTGCTTCACCACTGAATGGACGCAGCGTCTCCCTTGCCGCTGCCATCGCCTGGTGGCAACAGACCCCTGTTCAGACCACCCTCGAGTCCTACAGAATCGACTTCGGGTTCGCCAGCTCGACGGGGGAGCGCTCAAAAGCGCAAGAGAGGCGATGCACTTCAGACTGCCGAATCACGCGTCAAGGCCATCCTAGCACGGAAGCCGCGCTACCTTGGCGATTCTGATCTCGAAGATGAGTCTGCTGTAGCGCGTAGTCAGGCGCGGCAAGAGAGCCAGAGTGAGAAACCTCGGAGAAGTGCAGCGGAGGAGATTGATAGACTGTTTGCCGGACTGTCGGACGATGAGGACATACAGCTGCCGCCTCAGCTCGATGTCGAAGCTATACGTGCACGAGCAAGAGCCGGCCAGCGCGAACCCAGTCCTGCGCCCCCCGACTTTGGGTTGGACGATTTGGACGCGCTGGGCAAGCTAGATGAGGTGGGAGAGGGAAAGGAGAAGAAGAAGCGTGTCAAGATGGACACGGATCGTTTGCTGAGTGCGAAAGGTCTTGTCAAGCTCAAGGAGTCTGCCGAACGATTCAAGATCAAAGGCAAAGGCCACGAGGTAGGCTCTTCTGCAGATTGAGATTAGACACAGATTGAGCTTTTGCACAGATGGAGGATCTCAAGAGACTGCTGTCGATGTACACGCTATGGGCGCATCAGATGAATCCTATGGGTAGCTTTCATGACACGATCAGTCGTTGCGAGAACTTGTGCAAGACCCGACTCGTCGTGGTAAACTCATCTCGCTGCTTGATTCGGACCCGACTGATTATGCTCATGTAGTCTCAGATGAAAGAGTGGAGATCAGAATTCATGGCGAGCAAGTATCCCAGCAAGACAAGCAAGCCGAAAGACGCGGAATTGCAACCCAACCTCGCCACCAGGGATCCTGACGAATCCGACGTTGAGGACGATGCGGCATTTGCAGAAGCCTTTGAAGCCCGCCAATTTGCCGAAAAGGTAGCCGAGCCTACGTCTGTGCCTGACGACATCGCTCCGGCTATCGGAGAGGATCCAGGCTTCAATGACGAGGATCTCGAGATGGACAATTTCGACGATTTTGCCGAGGCCGAAGAGGCCATGCGACAGCTTGAACAGGGCCTTTAGTTGCGACCCGCATGGCATGTGAGATCACCTAGTGCTCTATTGTTGTACATCATGCGCAACAGTACATTACAGGAATCGCAGTCTCACGAGAACGGCTGGTTGGCGGGTGTCTGAGTCTCTTCGCTCGCCCTCTGTTCACTCTCGGTGTTCGACCGTGTGTTCCATCCGACGAGGTCTCGCATTGCTTGCACGCCTAGCGCTCCTTCGATGGATTCGTCTGCGATGGCCCGACATGCCGCTTCGGCCAAGGTGTCTACATGTATGGGCGGGATCGATAGCAGATTTGACATTGAGAAAGCAGAAGGCGGCAGATCGTTCCGTGTGCTAGCTGGTAAGAGGGAGGCGAAGATCGCAGCGCCTGCCGACGCTCTGAGCGGAACCGGTAATTTGCTCTGGATAGTTGCGGACAGATCTAGCATTGCAGCTGGCAGCGTCGAGATTGGCCGTATATGAGGATGGTAGATCAGACCTGTTCTTTCCCGTGAGCACAGTCACAACTCAGCGAGACAGTAGGCTGACTTGGCCGGAGGAAGACGGGCCGGACATCGCGACCTGCTTCAACAGGCGCGTCGCCAGAGGGAAATGCTCTTGCCATGACCAGCCTCGTCATCTCTTGCTCTGCTTCTCGCTTTGTAGCGATATATCGCTCTGGAATGAAAGGACGGAAGATGTCCTCGGCGGAGATGAAGACAAAGGGCGTCGAACGAGTGCTCGAGCTTAGCTCTTGCGTATCTTGTAGCGCTCGAAACACCGTCAGAGCTGCGACAGTGATGAGCCGGTCGCTGGTCCTGCTGCAGCAAACATACCTGCATCCCGATTGAGGAGTTCATATTGACCCTTGGACCTCGGAGCCTTGCCTGGCGCCAAAGGGTTGTTCGATCGCGAATTGAAGAGCTCCTTGACGAGCGATGAGATGCCGCCTGACTTGTAATCGCCCTCGAGCAACGTTCCGGTAGCATTGACTACGGCTGTACATTCAGCAAGGACATGCTTGTACGTATCTGGCTCGAGTGCCGAGCCGGAATGCCAGTTGACTCGCTTGGACCAAGCAGGTTGGTGGCCTTTGTCGGAGGCGTACGGTTTGCCCGATCGAGAGAGCGAGTGGACTTGCCAGCCTCTCGAGATGGCTGTCTTGCAGATCGCCGAACCTACGAAGCCGTTCCCGCCTATACATAGGAGCTTGTGCGTCATTGCAGGGGGAGAGCAGAGATCAGAGAGCGCGAAATCAATGTCAAATGAATTAATTGACTTGTCAAAAAGTTCTGATGCATTCTATGCTGCTACGAGTTCAGTGTCTAGTCTAATATGTCGATGGCATTTGGGTGAGCACGCCGCCATCGATCATGACGACGGAGCCATTGGTGTATCTGCAAGCAGCCATCAGCTTGAGCAGAGACAGGCTGAGATGATCTACGTTTGGTTTCGTGATGCGAGGAAGAGGATGGCGTGTGCCATCTCGAGATCAGTGCCCGGCCGTCCTCGTGGTATGTTGAGTCCGATGGTGCTGTCTCCCAGTTGAGACTTGTTCTTCGAATCACTGTCGCCCTTGGTGAGTTCAGCTGGGAAGAGACCGGGGGCGATTGTGTTGACTCTGATATTCGTCTTACTCAGGTGGGTAGACAGCATCTTTGCCAGGTGGACACTGGCTGCTTTGCTAGCAGAGTACAGAGGTCCGACCATCGACGTTCTGCCGAAAGCGGCATTGGATGTGATAGAGACGATCTGTGGGCTGCCAGGCGCTTTGGAGAGGAGGGGAATGAAAGCAGCCGAAAGGTAGTAGTAGCCTAGGACGTTCGTCTTGAACAGGTTGAGCGCTTCGTCATAGTCTGCGTCGAAGAGCCTCTTGCCTTGCTCCTCTGCGTCATCATCGGCAGGATCGAGACCCGGACCTGCAATGCCTGCGTTGGGGATGACCAGGTCGACGTAGCTCTCCTTGGATTCGATCTCTTTGACGAGCGTGGCGATGGAGTCTTTGGTGCGCATGTCGGCCTTGACTGCAATAATTTTGCCCTTGATATTGCCATTGTACTGCTCAACAGCAGCATCTTCTGCATTGCCCCGATCGCCAACGATGTAGACTTTGGCTCCATTGGCGGCGAGTGCCTATCCGGCCAGTCGCGGTCAGCCACAGACAACGCATTCGAAGGAGGAGGAGAGAAACGCTTGCCTGGGTGAGCATCAGGCCGATCCCCGTTCCTCCGCCAGAGATGACACAGACGAGGCCGTTGACATCGAACAATTTCTCGATCGAGTAGTTCGCCATATTGGCCGCATCGAAGCTCTTGCTCATGTTGTGTGCGTGTTTACACCGAACGTGTGTGCTTGTCTGTATAGATTGCTTGCTGGCTTGCTGGCTTGCTTGTGATGCTGATGCTGTCGAGATGACCCGTCCAAGAAGATCTTCTGATCTGATCGGAGATGTCAAAAAAGTTGACATCTCCTGCTCCGGGTGGCGTCAGTGACGCTTCCGCAGGCAGCAGGCGTCCAGCTATTGTTGGCCAGCAGGTGTGCCCCAAAGGCACGCATGTCTGACGAGAGCAAGGCAGAGGAGCCTTATGGAGACCACAAGAAGGTCGCGCAAGCACAGCCCAAGCAGAGACTGGTAGATGACGCCAAGGATCGCGAGGACCGAGTGAGACGAGATGACGGCTCAAAGTCGGACAGCCGTAGGACGAAAGGTCCCCACAAGGTGTTTGACCCGGTGACGCAAGAAGATGTCACCGTCGAGGATGCGAGCCGGTCAGATCTGCGACTGCAAGAGCGATACATCACCGAACAAGGACCCGTAGCTCACTCGGCAGACCTGAAGAGCCTGTTCACTGCCCTGCCCGACAAGAGCAGGACCAACTTACTCTACTACGAGCATCCTCCCGCTGACTGGGACCGATTGCTGCTCAAGATTCGGAACTTCCTACTGCGCTATGTCAGCGTGCTCGCGCTCGCGACGGTCATCTACACACACTTTGCCAGTTCGCGTATAGCGACGACACTCTTTCTCGGCTTTGTTGGCGCTTCAGGCTTTGTTGCCTTTACAAGGATCACGTCTAGCTATCATGATACGGTCTGGAGTACAGAGAAAGTACGCGGCAAAGCAGCACAGGAGAGCAAGGTGCCAGGTGAGTGTCAAGCTGTACTCAGGACGTGCGCGTTCATGCGCGTCAACAGAATCAACCGAATGGCTCAACAACCTAGTCTCTGGCGTGTGGCCCATTATTGACCCAGTCCGTGCAGCTTCCCCTCATTGTAGACCAACAGTCTGATCCTGCCGGACAGGTCATCTTCGAGTCGATGAGCGACGTACTCGAAGATATTCTGCAGGCCAATGTGCCGGGCATCATCAATTCTGTCAAGCTAGTCGAGATGTCGCAAGGTACAACACCGATACGGATACTCAGCATGAAGCCGTTGCCGGACAAAGACCTGGAAGAGATCACCTCGCGCCAACATCGCGAAGATCAGGACGAGGATGCGCAAGTCGGCGCGTTCAGCAATCTCGAAGTCGTCTTCTGCTACAGAGCTATTCACGATGACTCGTCGCTCGAGGCAAAGCTACGCAACATTCGAATAGCGCTGCAGTTCTTCGTGGGTGCGAAGAAGCTCGTCAGCATTCCTTTGCCAATCTGGATAGAGGTTCTCGGTATCGTCGGTCGCATGCGTATTCGGATACAAACCGTCTCTCAGGCGCCCTTTGTGCGCAACGTGACGATCACCCTCATGGGTTTACCGCGTGTCGAGATCTCTGCCATTCCAATGTCGACGTACCTGCCGAACGTGATGAATTTGCCGCTGATATCGCATTACGTAGCTTCGTGTATTGACGCAGCTATGGGCCAGTATGTCGCTCCCAAGTCGCTCACTCTGGATATCGGCGAGATGATTACGGGAGATGGCATCAAGAAGAAGCTCGAGACGTTCGGTGTGCTCATCGTCAACATCAACTGGGCAAAAGATCTGCCAAAAAGCGACACATTTGGGAGCTCCGATTCATACGTTGCCGTCGAATATAGCAAGATAGCCAAACCCATCTATTCTACTCGGATCTGCGCCGATGATACGCAACCTGTATGGCACGAAGTCGCGGTCATACCCATTTCTTCTGCTGCCGTGAAAGCCGCTGAGCGTATCAAGCTGACTTGCTATGATAGCGATCGATTCTCACCCGACGATCCTCTGGGAACGATCACGATCAATCTCGACTATCTCATGAGGCATCGAGGCAAGGTACAGCATCACGAAGATAAGCTTAACACGCCAGATGGAAAGCCATCAAATGATTGTGGCACGCTCTGCTTCGACGTGGGCTACTACGGACTGCGTCCGCTTGACTTTGGCAGACAAGGGACCGGCCAAGATCCCCGGATTCCCCAAGAACTCATTGAAAAGGAGCAAGCACTGCAAGAAGAGCAGGCAGAGACGCTCAAAAAGCCACCCATTCTGCGCACGCCGCCTGATCCGGAGTATCTCGCCGGCTTGCTGTCCGTGACGGTCGTCTCAATTGTTGGTCTACACCACAAAGCCTCAGTCGGACGCGAAACACGCCGCAGTATGAAGCCGTACGAGAAGGGCACACAGGATGAGGAGACGGAATCGCAGGATCCCGCTGCAGATGGTGCATCCGCACCCTCGGCCTACTGCAAGATTGCAATCAACGATGAACTCGTTTACAAGACTCGCAACAAGCCGTATGCTTCGCATCCTGTGTTCAATGCTGGCTGCGAGCGCTTCATACCCTCCTGGAAAGAAGGTCTCGTGCAGATTGCTGTAAGAGACAGCAAAGACAGGGAGGCCGATGCGCTGCTCGGCGTCGTTGTGATCCGGCTTCGTGACGCCTTTGAGAACGCATCTTGCTCTCAAAAATTTTATCCGATCGAGGGGGGCACAGGCTCAGGTAGGATGTGTGTTGGCTTGTTATTCCGCTCAGTCGACGTCAAGCTACCGCGGACATTCGCTGGCTGGAATGTCGGTACTGTTCGACTGCTGTCGGATCTCAAGGTGGTCGAGCCCTCAGAGGGCTACAGCCTCAGAGATTTCTCAGATGTCGCGCTACGACTGACAACCGCAAGCTCGCGCAAAGCCATCTCGAAGCGCAAGTCTACGAGCAGCGAAGATGCGATCAGCTGGAGTACAGCCGTGGAGGATCCTCCGTACCGCTTGCCGATAAAGCGGCGTAACGCGTAATTGCCACAGGCATCGATATAGATGTTTGACTGATATGATCGCGCAGGACTGCACTGGCGATTGAATTCAGAAAGCGGGGTAGTTCACTCCGACTGAGGTCGTTTGCGATCGCGACCCTGTGGCTGCATCAGTTGGAAGATAACACAGAGACAGTAGTGCGGCTACCGATCTGGAAAACGACGCACATCAAGCGCGTCATGTCGTCTATCATCGAGGGCGAGAAGAGCAATGTTCAAGTCGAGCAGATTGCGATATTGACTTTCCGGTGCGTACGAACTGAATCTTTTACGGCTTAACTCATCTGCCATGTCTTTCAGAGTTTCATTCAAGTCAGGCCTAGGTGATGTACATCATTTCTCAAAATCGGCCGAAGATGTCGACATGATGGAAGCATGGGAGGCTGCAGTCTCGGAAGGACTACGCAAGCGCAAAGGCGACTTCTACGATCATGGGCAGAATCAGCAGCCTGACGTTAGCATTCAGTCGCATGACAAGGTGGCCAAGATTGACGATACTACCGTCTCTGATCGAGCGATGGGCCAGCTACCATCTGCAAATGGCTACGAAGACGAGAGCGCAGGAGAAAATGATTCGGAAGAGGAGGAAGTCAGTGACCATGGTGAGGACGAGACAGACGTCCAGAAGCAGCGCAAGACACAACACGAGGGTAAATATAAGCACAAGGTAATTCGGTCGGCCGATTGGATGGCCCAATCTGTCAAAACGTCTTCGCATCAGCTCAAGCACGCATTCTCACTACACGCTAAGGAACCGGATGTAGAGACCGAGATCTGATCAGGTGTAGTCTGTACAATGTTATACACGACATTATGCATCTGCCATCGCCACACTTGTATCTGCTTGTGCTTCTGCAGGCCCGTCTTGTTCCGTTGGCATGCTTGGGACTGCCTCTGTCGCAGGCACTGGTGCTGGCGTGGTGGATGGCTTGCCGTTGCTGTCACCGTTCGCATGTGACTGCCTGTCCTTTCTCGGACCTACCCCTTGGCCCTCGTCATCAGAATCCTCAAATTCGTTGTCCTTTTCGACCATGGCGTCCATAAGCCGTTCTGCTCAAGCATCAGCTCGAAACGTTGCACGTAGCTTCGCACGTACGCGGTTTCCTTTCTTCAGGATCGTCCAGATCCTCGTCGACATCATCGTCTAAGTCTATCGGCATCGTCGGCGTTGCTGGTATCTGTATCAGCCAGTGTAATCAGCAGGAGCGTATTGCCTCACAATGACTTTGCACAGAGGGCGCATGAGCTGTGTGCCTCAGGTTCTCAAACACTTGCGCCTTGATCTTCTCAAGATATTCTCGCGTGTTGAGATCTTCCATATTTGTCGCGGGCACATCTAGCCTGTAGGTTGGGCCAAAGTACTCGTAGTATTCGTTCATCGGTATCTCTGCAAGACGTTGTCAGTTCATGCACGATCCGACGGTGATGCCTCATACCAGAGCCGAGTTCCATGCCTGCTGCTAGCCCGGTTTCGTATGCCCATGCTCGGCTAACGTTGCGGATGGTATAGCCGCCGCCGCCCAAGAGGAGTAAAGGCAAGCCAAAGCTCTTGATGAAGGAAACGCAATTAGCATGACCTCGCATCGACAGATTGAAGGAGCCTAGTCGGTCTCCGGAAAGCGAGTCGGAACCGCATTGAAGTACGACGGCCGACGGCCGATAAAACTCCATTATCTTCGAGATGACCTGATACGCGCGGATGAGTCTTGTGCGATAGGTTACGGAATCGACCTACAGGCTCAAAGACGCTGCGGTAGTTCTCGTCTGTAATGCCGTCCCGTAACGGGAAATTCACGGAGTAGTGCTTCCCTTTGCCGTGTCCGATATCCTGCTCGATCTCAGTTGCGTTCGGTCTAGAGATGCAGACCACGCACCCTTAGCTCGCCCGTGCCTGGAAAGAATTCTCCGAATTTGTGGAAGCTGCACGTCATGACTCTATCGGTGGTATAGAAAGCTTCCTCGACGCCGTCGCCGTGGTGTACGTCAATGTCGACATAAAGTACACGCGAGTGATACCGCAAGAGCTCTAATATGCCCAGCACGATGTCTGTACGTGCTTGAGCTTGTCGAATAACGCAGGCAAGCGAGCAGCCTACCGTTGATATAGCAAAACCCGCTCGCTTCTGCTTTCTTTGCGTGATGGAGTCCGCCAGCCCAATTGATGGCAATGTCGCATTTGTCGCGTGAGAGCCGTGCAGCCCCCTCTGAGGATCGCATCATGAGCACGCTAGCAAGCAAGAGGAGAGTCCGCGCGCACCCATAGAGCCGCCTGCGGAGATGGAGCAATATTCAAACAAACCGTCGAACACGGGGCAGTCATCGCCGACATTGACTGTCCTATGCGATCAGTGTGATACTGAATCTGATAGCCACGCGTGAACCGACACTTTGCTTGCTCGCGTGCATAGGCCTCCATGTTGTCTGGCGTTATCCTTGCGAGTAGCTCGACATACTCATCCGTGTGAAACTGGGCCATCTCTTTGCGTGTCGCCGGCTTGGCGCGCTGTCATTCGCAGGACTACTTCAGCGTGCATGTATTGACAGGTGAGGGGGCACGTACAAAGATCTCCATGCGCTTGTAGAGTCCATAATTCATGGTGAGCGAGTGCGTCATCTTTATCCTGCGGCCAAGAAGTGCCACACTTCAGCGGAGTCGATGCGGCCGATAAGCATCGGTGGCTGACCGATGAGGCTTCATGGGATGACCGCTGCCGTAGTGATGATTGGCGATGTCAGAGTCGAAAAAGTAGCACTAAAGACAGCAAGCAAGCCAGAGAGCAATCATGAGTGTCACGCCGAATGAGCTCGCAAAGGTGCGCACGACTCGTTTGCGCTCGCCGGGCAGAGCTGTCATGACGCCGGCCATGCTGGCGAGCGTCTGTCGTAGGCAAAGGTCGTCTTGTTGGCGGCACCGCTGTCGTTGCGGACAGGCGCGCGTTAGCAAAGTGGCGTGCAGGCCTTGACGGTAAGGACGAGCTCAGCGGCTGCTCGACAGACAGCGAACACGGTCTAGACAGCACGAGAGATGCTATAGAGAGTGCATCCGCATAGCTAGACAAACGTGCGCGCTTAGCAACGACAGAGAGCGACGGCCTCAAGCACGCCAATTGGGCGCCCATGTCGTCGCAAAAGAAGCGTTCCCTGGCGACGGGACAGCCGGCATGGCTACTACAGAAGTACGCAGAGAACCAGATTGGTCAGTCTCTTGAGCGCGCAGAGATGTCAAAGTACGTGGGTAACGCGAGGTTGGCAGCCTTGGCATCGATACCGATAATCCTAATCTTAGCGGCTAATGTCATCCAGCCTCCGAAGTACCAGCTCAAGATGTTGCACGCCTTACATTCGCCCGCCCATCCTTCGATGCACGTCGACTCTTGGCCCGGAAAATTCCTCATCATCTCCTACCTCGACCCGCTCTCGCGCGACAGCCAACTATGCTACAAAGGACCCGATGACGCCTATATCGTCGTCTTCTGGGTCCTCATATGGACAGTAGCCAGAGAGGTCCTCATGAGGTACTTTTGGTATCCTCTCGGACGCGCTTGGGGCATCAAAAAGCAAGGCGACATCATGAGATTCGCCGAGCAGGGCTGGAGCTTGGCCTACTATACCGTCTTCTGGCTCATGGGCGCCGTACGTTGCTTCCCCATTCTCGCTGTTACATGTGACGCTAAGCTCAACGCGCACAGCATATAATGGCAACTTCACCTTACTCGCCATACCCAGACTTTGACCTTTCGAGAATGTGGAGAGGCTATCCTTTCATCACGATCTCTGCGCACAGCAAGTGGTACTATCTCGTACAGACCGCCTTCATCATCCAGCAGCTCATCGTGCTCAATATCGAGAAGAAGCGGAAAGATTTCACTCAGATGCTCAGTCATCATATCATCACCATCGCTCTCGTCGTGGCGAGCTACACGACCAACAACACGCCTATCGGCACAGCAATACTGTCTGTCATGGACTTTACAGATATCGTCCTGCCAGTATGCTTCAACTTTTGCCCTCGGAATCACGGACTGATTCGCAATGCAGGCTGCCAAGATGCTAAAGTACATGGGCCTGACGACAGCGTGCGATGCTGCATTCGGACTCTTCATCGTCTCCTGGATCATCACACGGCATGTCCTCTTCGGCATACTTCTCTACTCCGTCATCGTCGACGTACCGAGGTATACGCCTTACATCTGGGAACCGGCGAGGGGCCTGTTCCTCGATTACTGGAGTCACCATCTCTTCATCTTAGCGCTCGGTGCTCTGCAGTTCATCATACTGCTGTGGCTCTTCATGATTCTCAGAGTGCTCTACAAAATTCTGACAGGCGCCAACGCGGAGGATGTCCGGAGTGACTCCGAGTACGTCAGCTACATTGTCTATCTGTCGCTGCTGACTTTAGTACCTTCAATAGAGACGACGATATGCAACCAGAAGAGGCAGAGCCGCTGGTCGCTACAAACGGACAGACCAATGGGCTGGCTCACGCGGTAGCCAAAGACGTCAAAAAGCGGCAATAGCCAGGTGCTCGTTGTAGCTAGTCGGACCTCGAAGGTAGACGAGGTAATGCAACCCATGTTGTAAAATGGACGCGAGGTCAAGGACAAGAAGCTGCATTGGTCTCATTGCGGCCGTTGAGCGTCCATGGCAGCAAATTGCTGCGGAGCTAGCCCACCTGTGATTGTCGGATCAGTCGGCGTACTCCACAGAGCTGTCACAAGCTCACCTGGCGGTCCTTGATAGATGAACGGCTGCCCTTGCGGCTGCACAGGAGGCCCTCTTCCGCCTTTTGAGTACCGATCAGCCCTACCCAAGCATGAATCGTGAAAGAGCTTACGAGGCACCGGACTCATCGCAGGCGTATACATGGCCGGGCCGGGCGAGCCCATCGCTACTTGTGGGACGAATTGCATTGGCCCGAAATGCTGCTGAGGCATGAAATGCATCTGAGGCGGCAAGTGTTGCATCTGAGGCGGAGCACCGGATGCGAAGCGCTGGAACTGTGGCGGATAGTGCTGGTACACCGGGAAGCCAGGTCCAGGCATTGGCTGCATGAGCGGAGTCGGCATACTGTCGCCATCTGCAGAGTTTGCTTGAGAAGGCCCTTGGCTCGCATACGGCAAAGCTGGCAAAAATTGCCGATAAGGCTTGCCGGAATACTCCCAAGCTGGAGGAGTGTTGCGCGCTTCTGCAGGCGGACCAGCTTTGAAAGGATGGAAGTCTTCCTTGACATAGATTGGCTTGGTCTTTTTGATTGGCTTGTTGCCGAAAAATGGATCGGAGGGTGGCAGCACAGCAGGTTTACGCAGGGGCGACTTGTTCAGTGCAGAGGTACTTGCGCCGGGCGTGAAGACAGCAGCATTGGCATTGGGCCTGAAAGCAGGCGCTTTTGGATTGATCTTGCTCGTCGAGGTCGCCGGTGCGGGAGTCAAAGATGGCGAGGGCGCCTTGACGGTTGCAGGCTGTACCGCGCCAGGGCTAGCTGCGCGTGCAATCGCGCTGGTGCTCGCCGAGGCAGGAAGGCCACCAGCAGCAGCTGACCGTGCAGCAGCAGCCTTGGCAGGATTAAAGGGTGGTATGGGCGGCACAATGCTGTAGCGAGAAATTGAAGGTGGAGGTCGAGGTGCAGACGAGCTCGTCGGCCTGGCTTCGAGCGTCGCTCGTAGCGGTGTGACGGAGTCGTTAGGACTGACTGCAGTACTCGAAGGCATCGGACGATCTGAGGCTTTTGGCGACTTGCCAACGAGCGGCGCTAGTTCAGCTGGGAAGGGCGTACGCAATTTGAAGCCAGTGCTGAACTCGCGTAGTTCGGCAATCTGGATCTCCTTCACTTTCTTAGCTTGAGCATCTTTCTTGCGCTGCATCCGCTCCTTTTCACTGCCGACAAATTCCCTGAATTGATCACGGACGATTGTCTCCGATACGCTGCTCGGCTCGCGAGTTGCCCCGGAGTCTCGCATGGCGCCAACGTGCTGCATCAGCGCTAGACTGGCCGCACTGTTCGACATGCCAGGAGTCGGCAGAGGCGTCTTACTGACAGACGGTGAGACGGACGGGCTCTCTCTCGCGGCGGGCGGTCCTGCTGCAGCAGACGCTTTCCGAGCAGAAGGTGGAATGTAAGCATTCGGCCCACGTATGACGCCACTGTACTTGTCCTCCTCATCGAGGGCGTCGCCTTGCGTGACGACGTTGCGCTCCTCCTGCACATGCGCATTCGACGATGTAGATGAGAGGATGTCCTGCGCGAGCCTAGCTGCACGGCGCTCCTTGTCTTTGAAATCCTTGCCGGAGCGATCGAGCTTGGTCGTGTAGATCTCTTCATCAAAGTCGGTCTTTGCGCCAAACAGCTTCTCGTTCACCTCGAACTGGTCCCATTTGCCTTTTGTCGGCGACAGGAGTGCAGCAGATTCGAGTGAGCCGTCCTCGTCGCCCGCGCCCGACCACTTTTGGAGTGCTCTCCCATCGCCTGCCGAAGTAGGCGTGCCGGAGATGTCCGCATCTGTTCTGAAGCTGTCCCCGTTGGCAGCACCAGTGGGAAAGGCAGCTGCACTGATGGCATGCAAGTCGACGGGCGCGGCTGCCTTGAGATCGACGAGGTCGGAAGCAGCGATAGAAAGCAATGACTTCATGGTCTCTTGCGAGCCGGCCTCGACGCTGTGTGCTCGTGTGAGGACGACGGTGAGCTCGCCAGAGTCCATGGTCGTGGAAGCGCTGAGGATGCCCTCATATGCCACGCCAGAGGGAATTGTCGCCACGACGCGGGATCCCTAGCGGGACGCGTTCTCAGCCAGGTGTGCGAGCACGACGAGCGAGTCGACTTACAATGAGCGCTTTGACAATAAAGTCGAGACGATCTGCCATGATGCCCAGTGCTGCCGGTGTGGGACCCAATGAGGCGAGTGGAGCGCTTCCGTTTTGAGCGGGACCAGTAGCGCCTTGCGGGTTCGACCTGTTCTCTTGCTTTGGCTGCATGGACACACTTGGCGACTTCGCCCTCTGACTGCCCTGGCCGGAGTTTGACGGCCCGTTCCACTTGTTCCTGTCACTTGTACCTCATCAGTCTCGAACACGCGAAAGGCCAAGGCGAGACTTGCGTTGCCGTGCCGTTTGAGCTCGCCGTGCCAGGCTGGGCTGCAGACGCTTGCCGCTGTTGTGCTGGCTGCTGAGTCTGATTGGAGGCTTTGCGCCAGTTGCTTGGAGGCTTGGCCGTGTTGCCGCCGCTTTCGCTCGCCAGCCTGGCTTGACCCGACGATGGACCAAAGTGGCCCATCTGGCCCGATGTCACGGCTACACCGAGCTGAGCTTGTGCCTGTCGAGGCGGTCTCTCCATGCTGCTGATGGTCCGTTGGTGCTTCAGCTACAGAGGGACACGTCTGTAAGCTCGGCTAAGCCTCTGTGGCTGCTCACTCGCCGAGGCAGTCAAGCACGGCCCTTTGACGGCGACTTTCGCAGGCTGCTGTGAGTGTCCTGCCAGCTGCAGCCCGTCTGACCGAGAGCAGCCCTTGGGACTTGAGGACGAGTACGGGGTCGTCGTCGGGTTCGACTAAGACGCGAAGGGCGAGTGGGTGGCGTCATCTATCATGCCAAAGAAGGTACATGTGCAATGGCTAGGGATCATGTCTGGGTTGTGTCATGCTACGATGCACGGCTACTCAGCACTGCGTCAACCAGACCTTGCGCGAAGGAGTCCTTGGCCTTTGCGGATATGGGCTGATCTGCAAAGTAGGCGAGCAAGAGCTGCTTGCTGATCCAAGGATTCTGCAAAGTCGACGCGTTGCCCTGCGCAATCTCACCATCAGTCCTGAGCCTCACAATGTGTCTGGAGAAGCGGACCTCATACTCGACGAGAAGAGCACCGTCTGTGCCTCGTCTGATGAGGAGTAACTCATTTCCCTTGGCAATCTTGCCCACTGGGAAGAGGCTCTTGAGCTCGTTGAGACTTGCGCTGACATTGTCGGCTGTCGCTTCGTCGATCCGGCCACTTCGCTCGGCTAATTTGAGGCGTGCTTGGATGCTTCGGAAGAAGCCATCGCGCATGTGCGAACCGTCGGTGTTGCGCTTTTGGGTTCGCGTTAGCTGCGCAAGTGCATCAAATGGTCTGGAGACTGACCGTGGGCACGATCCGTACGACAAAATCGACAGGTTCGTCCAACAGCGAAGCAATGAGCGCTTCACCCTCGAGCGCATTGATGTCTCTTGAGGGCCGCACGATCGTGTCCTTACCGAACGAAGGCTCAGAAAAGCCTTGCAGCTTGCTGAGGTTGCGGAGTAGACGCTCTTCAGCATACAGGCCGGCGGTATAGACGCGAACTGATAGGAAGGATACTGTCCGAACACCCTGTCTTGCCTGACTGATGAGCTACCACCCGACCGCTGTTGCAAAGCATCTTGCCAATCCGACGAGCACGAGCGGCGATGCAGGCTGTATGCTCTTTGGCTCGAGCGAGAGCGGAAATGCAAGCGAGGTATCCGGATCGATGCGAGTCTTTGGCGCTGCTGACGCTGAGCCTGCCGGTTCAGGCGTGAAGTCTGCACGGGCGGCATGCATCCAGTCCTCGCGGAAGGACCATGCGAGTCCCACGCAAGTCGCCAGGACGCCATAGCCAAAGATTTGCGTCACCCGACGTAATCGGAGCTCATCTCGCCTGTCGGGTCTCGGTTTTGCTGCTGTATGCTGCGCTCGCCGTGCGCGAGGAAGCAGTCGGGAGCTCGTTCGCAGGTCATTGTAGACACGTCGAGACCGAAGCTGGCATAGACACCGGACCGTTGACATTGCGCGAACGACCGGCTGCCCACTCGATCGCGCGCGCGTCGAAGCCTAGAGGAATGCTGAGCGGCGGTCTGTACAACAAGTACACGTTACGCATAGCAGATACAGAGTCAACCTGCTGCAGTGATACCCGCTGCAGCGTCGAGATCGTCGAGATAAGTGTCCTCTATCATGCCAAATTCGTCTTCAAAGACATCGCCATTGGCCATTGGCGCGTCTTCTGCTTCTGCTGCTTGTACGGCCGCTTCGTCTTGTCTTGCTTGCTGTCGTGCTTTGACATCGGACAGATCCCATAATGAGATGTGTTGGGTATCTTGTTCGAAAGGCTGAGCCATCTGTCGTAGGAAGTTCTTCGACATCACTGGCATTCAGAACAAAATCAGTCAGGCGTTTGCACGGTGGGAATGGCTAGCGTACCGAGGGCCATGTCGGTCGACAAGTTTGAAGCGGTATCGGTGATGTAGTGGTTGATCCATTTGGGTAGCTTCGCGCGTTTGTCGGCTTTGGCAAAGCGGCGATCGGCAAACACCATCAAGCCGTAGTCTGTCTTTCCTCGCAATACTCTGCCCACGCATTGTGCAGCGTGTCGCATGGCATCAAATGTCAAGTAATCGTTCTCGCGGATCCCTGCAGATAGACATCAGCCTCGCGAACATCAGAGGAGCGTAGACTGACTGTGCTCATCGCGCAAGAATTCTAAGCGCGCTTTGAGGATTCTGCTTTCCGTGTACTGATACGGTATGCCGAACATAATGACACAGCGACCATAGTGATGATCAAAGCTGCAAACGCCGTCAGATACAAAGTGTAGGCGATGTGGGAAAGCAACCCACTCGATGCCTTCGGAAACCTTGCCCCGCGCGACGGAAAGCAAGACGGCGCCTCGTCCGTTGTCGCATGCTCGCCTGTAATTTTCCAATGCAACGCTGGTCTCGGCAGCATCCGGCGTCTCGACGAAGATGAGCTTGTGTTTCCAGGCTTCGTTGAGAATACCCATGTCATGCCAAGCTGCCACAATAGACTCCATGTAGAGGTAGCTGGGAAAGAAGCAAACCATGCCATCTGGCACCGCTTTGGCATACTCGATGAGGATGGTACCGAAGTTACGAACGACGGCGGGATCATTTCGTACTTCGAAGCGAGAGGAGATATTGACTTGATCGCTGCCACGTGTTATGACGAGCGGCAGGAAACAGTTGCGAGTGAGTGTCATAGCATAGGATTCCTGTACCGTCGCTGTGAATTGTAGCATCTTAGGGTACATTTCGAGCGGTGAGATCGTTCCCGAAGTGATGACGACGCTACTGAATCGGTCAAAGACTGGCTTGATGGCTAAAGAAGCATCTAGGCAGCTGTAGGAGCCACAGCTATATTAGTGTTGATAGACAGCGCATCTGATCCGCACGGACCACAAATGGAAGATAGGATTAGGTACTGTGGCATTTTCGGTCTCGAAGGGCTCGAGAATGAGCAGAAAGCCTTTGTCGTAGGTCGCGACTAGCGTGGCGAACGAGGCGACCTTTGAGAGCGCAGAGAATTCGTCGATGCGAGTGAGCTCCAGTGTTCTCACTAGCGATGTCAACCGCTCGGCGCAAAACCTGCGCATCAGCTTCCATATATCAGATGTCAATCTAATCTGTTGACATCGACATGCCTGAGCGGTTTCTTCTCGATAAAGGTGATGTCTTTGAGATGCTGCAGAAAGGATGCTGGCTTTTCTGCAACGACGTGCAGCACCCGCATTCTTGTCTTGAGATATTCCACAAAACGCGCCAGAAAGGCGACGAAATGCTCGGCTCGGCGAATATTGCCCGGCACCGCTTCGTTCAAGATATCATCAGGCAAGACTGATGTCACGTTTCAGCACCTTGCGGCAGAGAGCGAAACAAGCTCACCAGGATTGCCCATGAAGGCGTTCTCGTCCTGATCCGCCTCTGCGCCTTGCAGACCTTCTACCAGCCGCGCATACTCGTCTTGTAGCTTGGTCGCGTCTGTTTGCCGGATTCTGCGGGCAGAGACATGCTCAGCGTCTGAAGAAGCATAAAGATTGGTTTGCATGCTCTTTGATCTTGTCTGTCAGTGCAGTAACGCTACGCGCGGCAGAGTCGAGCATAGGTCGCGTTAGGTCGATACTGAGGGACTCGATACAAACGTTGTCTGAATTCGCTGTCAGCCTACCTTGGTCATGCCGAAACGGCGCTTGCCTATGTTATGTGCTTCGTCAAAGACGACGATCGCGTCTTTTGACATTTCCTTGGAGACTTGCTCTGCTACTTTCGGATCGAGCAAGTAGTGAAACGAGTAGATGACCACACTGGCGTGTACCAACTGCATAGTGCAGCCTCAGACTGACGTTCAAAGTCAACAAGTGCAAGCTTGCCATTCGTCTGACAGCGAAATAAGGACATATGCCCTGCTGTTCGCCATAGGCTTTCACATCTTCGAGCGTATAGACGGCAGGCGGCAATTGCGTGCCGGGCTCGAGTTGACCGAGGTTCTGTCCCGCCGGTTGAGCGCTCGCGCCACGAAGCGAACATTGAACTCACCTCGTGAAATTCGCATAGCTCTACAGAGCCAGGATCTGCGCGGCCTTTCTCGCACACCCATGCTGACGTCAAGTCTCTGCACTTTGCATCGGCTACTTTGCCTTTCTTCTCTCTCGATATCGTTGGATGTATACAGAGATTCTTGCGGGAGCTGAGGCCGAGGGCCATGAAGCCATCGTCATTACAACCCGCTGCCCGCCGATACTCCATGAGCCTCTTGAGCTCCGCCAGGGCCTTCTCAATCTCCGGTACAGTACGCGAGCAGTAGACCAGCTTCCGGCGTTCGGGGTAGTGCTGCTGGTAGGCCACGATGAGTGACAGAAGCGAGACCGTCTTGCCCGTCCCAGAGGGCATCTCGAGCACACAGTTGCCCCCTGCATCGAGCGTTCGCTTGAGATCGCACACGTAGGCATACTGCTCTGTCAGAGGTGCTGCAGCATGAGCTCACGAACGGTCCCAATGCAATCGAGACTGGCCAGGATAGATGCGATCGTAGGGGAAGATGACAGGGAGCTGGTCGATGAAAAACTTCATATGTTGCTGTGCCCGGGGGACACGACAACTTGTATAGAGATGAGAGATCGCCCCTGGCAGTCGAGTGGGCGCTCGCTTGAAGCGCCTCAAGGCCTCGAGCTCCGGCGCTTGACGAACGCTGGCTCAATCGCTAACGCGTCAATACTAACGGCCGACAGTGTCGCCAAATTTTGCTGCAAGCGTCGTCGTCTGTCAGGCCATGGCGAAGCAGCGAGTCAAGTCAAGAAGCCAGCCGAAGCCGCAGAACATCGCCGCACAGTCATTATCGAATGCCGACGCCGGTCAGAGCAGTACAAGCACGTGGACGAGTTTTTGCCCATTTGCTGTCGAGCAAGATGGTGCTCCTGCGACTCTGTTCGCTCAGCTCAGTACAGTGCTGAACAGCCAGACCGTCAAAGTATGGGATACTACGACGAGTCGGATAATAGCTCGCTGGTCTGCAGACAGCGCGGCACAGCGAATTGCCTGTCTCGCATGGGTTCTGCTCGCCTCTTCATACTCGGCCACGAGCTCTTCTACCCAGGTAGACGAGCAGACGATCAACGGCACAAGCGCCAACGCGAGCAAGAGTAAGAAGAGAAGGAAGTCATCCAGTGCAAGCACAAGTGCTGCAGTCAGCCAGGAACCGATAAAACGCGCCTCACTGCTTGCGCTCGGCTTTGCCAATGGCTCGATAGGCTTGTTCGATCCGGGCACGGCGAGTATCGTGCAAACGCTGTCTCATCCGAGCTCGGACCGCGCCTTCCTTGCGTTGTGTTCTACGGAGTCTGCTAAAGGTGTCGAACGCGCGCTATGGACCGTATCGACCGATGGCAAGATGAGATTGTGGCAATTGCCCCTGCTCGCGCATCACGATGGAGGGCTCGTATCAGAATCGAGTCTGCCGGCAGCTTTAGCTACAGCAGAGCATCTCCAGCTGGCTGCAAGGGTAGAGTCCTCGAGCGCCGTCATGAGCTTTTCCCTCCTCGTCGCATCACACGATGTGCATATCTTCGACGCAGAGCTATCGGCCGAACAAGATACCCCCGTCGATGGCGTCAGCTCGCCTGCGACGCTCACTCTGAAGGCGATAGGTCATTGTACAGGTCACGCTGCGCCGATCACCGCGATGAACTGGGCTAGCACGGCGACAATGGCCCGATTTCTCACTGCGGCAGAAGGCGATCGCTCCGTCTGTCTATGGAGCCTCCCAGCTTATCAGGCGCACCTCACTGCGACTCTCGCTCTCGATTCAGATGCCTGCTTCGCTCGTCTAGTTGAGACGCCGGCAGCAGTACCCACTTTGATTGCGTTGGATGTACAAGGCACACTCTCGCTTGCACTCGTCTCGGATGAGCCTCCTGCTGCTGAAGCATCCAAGACGAAAAAGCGCAAATCGACAGTGTCTGTTCTGCCCATAGCTGCGCAGATCACGTCAGATGTCCCTGGCGATCTCATCATCGGCTTCCAGCCGAGCGCGAGCGGTTGTGTCGTACTGGCGCGAGGTCAAGCCAAGCCTTCGTTTGAGTCAATTGTGAGCATCACTTCTGCTCTATCGATGGCGTGCTTACATGGTGTAGGACTATGCCGATACGGACGGTTCCATCAAATCGCACATTGAGCTAGCGAAATCTCCTCGCAGAACCAACGGACTGCTTACCGCTCAAGATGAGGACACTGAGGCAAGCTTCTCCTCGTCATGATGACCGCATATGCTGATGTGACGTGTGTTGCTGCAGATGTCACTGCCTCAACGATACAGCGAGACAAACAGCTCGACAGTTCAGAGCGCCTTGCCTACCTCTGGGCCCCAGCCTGCCGATCCGGCGCAGGAGCTCGATACAGATTTGACGGAAGCGACGCTCGAGCAACGTCTCAAATCCCTCGCCGTACCATCCGTCGAGCCTGATGCCGAGCCATCAACACGACGCAAAACGAAAGCAGAATTGCTCGGCGCAAAGCCAGGCTCGCACAAACGCAACGGCATACCCACAGAAACGATCACAGGTCTACGGCCCGCAGCAACTCTGACACAGAACCTCTTGCAAGCGCTCAATTCGGCAGACGATCGCTTACTTGAAGACTGTCTGAGCTTCGTCGAGCCTCGACTGATCCGAGAGACAGCCAAGCGTTTGCCTACTCATGCTGTTCTGCCCCTCGTCAATGCTCTCGTCGATCGTCTCGCCAAGGGTCGCAAAGGCAGAGGAGCAGGAGCCAGTGCTGCTCATCCCACACGAGGCAAAGCGCTCGTCGAGTGGCTTCGTGGCCTTCTCGTCGTCCATGTTGGCTACCTTGTCACCGTGCGTCCTTTGTCTGCATGCGCGTACCGGGCTGACTTGACTCACAGATACCCTCGCTCGTACATCGACTGGCAGATCTGCATGCGGCGCTGAGCACTCGTCTATCGTTGCACGACCGTCTGCTTGCACTCAACGGACGTCTCGAGCTCGTAGTCTCTCAGATCGATCTTAGACAAGACAACCTCAATGCCTATCTGCGCAAGGGTGCAGAGTCCTCAGCCGCCGACGCTAACAATGCAGGAGTCCGTTATGTCGAGGGCGAGAGCAGCGAAGAAGAAGGCGAAGACGATGGCGAGAGCTCGATTGACCTTGGCGAAGACGATGACGAGGACGAGGAGGGTAGCATAGAAGATATCGTCATGTCTGCTCGACAGGCCAGTGAGGACGAAGATGATACTGGATTGGAGGGAGGTGCGAACGATTACGAAGAGGATGAAGGCGATGATGAAGGCGATCTACTCGAGCGATTGGCTGAGCTGAGCGAAGCAGAGGACGAAGACGCGTCGGCAAGCGAGTCAGAGGGCGATGAGGAGATGAGTGTCGACGGTTTCGACGTCGACGATGGTCAGGCTTCCTCAGAGGAAGACAGCGAGTGACCGCAAAAGAGCATGTCTGGCACGTCGCTCTCGCAACTTGCAGCCCTACATTGTACTGCAGACTTTTTGCAATCGTTCTGCGCATTTGTACAACATGGATCGTGGTTTCTAGTCTCCGAATATCTTCCGTACCCGCTTCAGCACACTGTCCTTCGATGGATCTGCGGGGCCACCATGAATGGATGATCGACCAGAAGGAGCAGCAGGCTCACCAAATGCATGCGTTTTGCTGGGTATCTCGAGCACTGCTGGAAATGCGGCAGTGTGACCGTCGACGAGCGGCCTTATCTGCTCGGCGATCTATCGGTGCACACTCGTCAGCCTGATCAGAGGGGCAGCTGAGACGGGTCAAGCTGACATGCTGGTTGATGAGCAGGATAGCGATATCCTCTCGTGAGGTGTACTCTTCAAAGGCGGACTCTATCGTCGAGCTCGTCGTCTCTGTCGCCGAGGGTGAGACGGATGACAGGCACACCAAAGAATGTGACGTACTCGAGTCTACGATCAGAAAGTTCTTCTTGCCCTTGTCATTGATATGACCCGTACCGGCCAATAGCACGCCCGTGATGGTGTCCTATCCCAAGAGCCGTCAGCTTGGCAAGCCTGCAGCGTGTGATGGTGCTCGCCTCATCGCCTATGGTCGCAATGAAGACACGATCCTTCGAGGCCATCCTCGTTGGAGCTCAGACGCTCAAGCTCAAGCGCTCAATGCGACGCGCGACTGATCAACTTTGCTCAAGAAACAGAAGCTGCTGAATTCCAAGGATAGCACCGTATGACGTCTGCGTTTTGCTTGCAATCGAGCACATAATGTATCACATACGCACTGATCGCGAGCCGTGCTAGCACAAGCAGGCTTTAGGCTTTATACGCCATGATCGTGAGCAAAGTAGACAGCCAGTGTATCGTCATTCGCAGTCAGCAAGACCGCGCTTGGCAGATAGATCTGAGCTGGGCTCGCATATCGCTCGTCGTGTCGATGTGCCGCTCGTCGTGACATACTGATCTTCTTGTCGGACTGAGTGCCTCTTGCAGACTGCTCAGAGGGCCTACAGCCGACGGCAGGCATGCATGCTCCAAGTCCCATCAGGCATCATTGGCTCGATCTCAATCGCAGTAGTTTATCGTAGTCGGCGCCGGCATAAGCACGAGAAAGCAAGAGCAACCTGACGTCGTTGACTTGTATGATGGATCACCCTCTCAAGCAGAGGCAGTGTCATGGGCGCCTCAGATCCTGGCTTGCTCGCTTCTTGTGATGGCGTGCCTCTCGCCTAGTACGAGAGCGAGTGCGCATGAAGTGGTCTACCGTCGACGATCATTCTCAGGCAGGCAGATCACGACTGTACAGCTCGCTTCGAGTTCTTCTCATCGATTACGCTGTGCTGCCGTGAGTCGACTAGCTTCGACTGTGGAGTTGAAGCGGGATTGGGCGAGTGCGAATATTGCCCCACTCGGCTCGCGGCTCGCTGTTGCGCGATGACTGCCAACGCGTGAACGACTCAGGAGCTCAGATGAAGACACAAGCTTGCTAAGCGTACACGCGTACACGGCGGCAAGCCCTCGTCATCATGCGTCAAAGCTGAAGCACCCAGCCAGCAAGAGAACCGATTTCCTTGCTCGCCCGAGCTCAAGCCTCGGCCCCCTCTCGCAAATTATCAGTTGATGCGCTTGCGAGTGACTGGGCGTCTTGCCTCATATTCCATAGCGTGTCCGAGGTATCAAACGCCACTCCGTCAGCCTGCTGCAGTTCGCAATAGCCCCCGAGTGTCGGCATCAGCTGCGACGTACTTTGCATCTTCACGGTCGTTCGCCCTGGCAGAGGTGCCCCCTTCCATAGAGAGGCCTGCGAGGACGCTGCAAATGGTGGAGAGCTCGCCCTCGATCTCGTTAGACCAGCATGAGCAGATCCTATTGGATCAACTCGACAAGTTCTGTACGCTGCTACGGACGCAAAGATCCGACCTGCCACCGATTGAGCTCAGGGTCGCTGGCGGCTGGGTGCGAGACAAGGCAAGTAGAGATTCGCCCAGACTTGCAAAGGCATCTACTCAGGCTGCAAGGATTCGTTCGCGCAGTTGCTGGGCCTGCCCTCGTCAGATCTCGACATCTCAACCTCATCTGTGACGGGCTTCCAATTCGCACAGCTCTTCATCGAGTACTTGCATAGCCTACCTCGAACAGATGCAACCGGCTCAAAGCCACCCACGATTGCCAAGATTGAAGCCAATCCCGATCAATCCAAGCATCTCGAGACTGCCAAGACGACGCTCTACGGTCTCGAGATTGATTTCGTCCAGCTCAGAAGTGAGGAGTATGGCAGTGCGAGCAGGATACCGTCCGAAGTCGTATTCGGTACGCCGCTACAGGATGCACTCAGGCGCGACATCACCATCAACACGCTCTTCTACAACGTTCATACAAGACAAGTGGAAGATCATACCGGCAAAGTGCGCACTGTAAGACTGTGTCAGCATTGATTACTCATACCGATCATAGGGCCTCGATGATCTACGAGCTGGGCGTATAAGAACCCCGCTCGAGCCCAGTCAGACTTTCATGGACGATCCGCTACGGGTCTTGCGTTGCGTGCGATTCGGCAGTCGGTTTGGCTACACGCTCGATCCTAGTATCGTCGCAGCAGTCAAGACTGAGACGATCAGAGAAGCTGTACGCACGCGAGTGAGCAAGGAACGAGTAGGCATAGAGCTCGACAAGATGCTCAAGGCTGCCGAACCTCTTCATGCCTTCGAGATCATGGACCAGCTCGACCTCTTGCCTGTCATCTTCTCCTTCCCCCGAGAGCTCGCCATCACGGTCAATGAGCTCGAGAACGTATCCGTCCTTGCAGCAGCGCGTTATCTGAGACAGGTGCTTGAGCAGCCAGGACCTCAACGGAGACTGCTAGAGACGATTCGAAGTGATTCAATTGCTCTGAAAAAACTCTGGCTCGCTATCAGTCTGATCCCCTTCCGCCATAGCTCATTTCAAGAGAAGAACAAAACGGTTGCGCTCGTTGATCGTGCCATCGGCTATTGCCTCAAGGTGGGTCTATGTCCTGATCCGATGCAGATGCATCTCATGGCCACGCAGTTGGGGAACGATGACAGGTCTTGGGAGGTCGCCATCTTTGCGGCCGTCGCTGCAATGCAGCGGCTCAGCCGAGATCCGAATGAAGACGATACAAGTGAGCGCGTACGTCTTGGTGAGTGCGAATGTGGCCCTATTCTGTCGCGCTAAGCGTGAACCAGGCACGACGCTCCGCGAATATACACACCCTAGATCAAGGACAATGCCCGATTGGCGTACAGCTCTTCTACTCGCCGACGTGATCAACTGTGCGACAGGTACAATCCGCTCTATTCGGGAGCTTGCGAATACTGAGATGGCGATGCCAGACCCACCGCAAGACACAGCATGGATCGCTCGTCTTGCAGGACGCGTTGAGGCTCTTCATCTGGATGGAGATGCGTACGCAAAGCCATTGCTCGACGTACGCCGCTGTGATAGTGCACGAATGCCAGTATGCTGACGTTTGGGTCTCAGGGCAAGCAGATCTGCGAAGCGCTCGGGATCAAGCCGTCGAAATCAATCGGGGCATTGCTGAACCAAGTGGTGGCGTGGCAACTCGACCATCCTGGTGCTACAACTGATGAATGCCGACGATGGCTCGTTTCAGCACATGCTGACGGGTCTCTCAATGTCGAAGGGCCACTTGTTGTACCTCTGAAGCGGCCAAAGACTTGAACGATATCGAGCAATGTTGCGACGCGTGCTTCACTTGCTATTGCTCGACCCTGCTAAGCAAAGCATAGCTTGGCAGCCTAGATGGCGCTCGAGCTCGTTCGGGGACCAGTATGAACTCTCTGAGCAATATCAAGCGGTTGAGGAGTAGCTCGGACGACGGCAGCGAGTCGTCTCGGGCATCATCAACTTTCAAGAGATCTGCCTCACAGGAATTAGGGAGCATCCACCCTGGCACCTCTACTGGTCGGACGCCCATTGTCACCTCGCCCGGCTCCCCAGAAAGCAGTCTCCTGGGCGAGACAGATCATCTGTCCATAGAGCCGACCGCTTACGCCTCGTACATTGCGACCGCTCCCTCCTTGCAAGGACAGCTCTCTGGTACTTCAAGCTACACGCCCTCAGTCTATACAAGCCTGGACGGAGACGACAGTCCTGCACAGCACATCATGGGCGACGTGCCCGTACCACCCACCATAAGCGCTTCACGTCCTCTTGCCCGCGCGCCAGCAGGCGTTACTCTGCCCTCTGGGCCAGAGCAAGTAAGACTCATCAATCAGCTCAAGAATGGCACATCTCTCGTGCTTGGCGATGCTTGGTATCTCGTTGCGACGCCTTGGTATAAAACTTGGCAGGCGCATAGCTCAGGAGAAGCGAGCGAGGAGAAAGGAGATGAGGACTGGCAGATGGTCGCTGCCGGACCAGACGGGCCGGGTCCTATCACCAATGCCTCGCTTAGCCTCGACGCACGAGGTCGCCTTGAAGGTACTCCGGAGGAGGAAGTCGACTATATACCATTGCCTGAGCGCGCCTGGCAGTTACTCCTTGATTGGTGAGTGCTGCACGTGCCCCTTTTTGCTCTGCTCAATGTGCTTGCGTCTCCCTCCAGGTATGGACTGCGAGATTACGAGATCAAACGCTCCGTCATCTCAACGAGGACCTTGCCGGGAAACGAGCAGCTCGAATGCATACCGCCCTCGATCATCCTATACCTGATCAGAGACGCCGGTACCTACATCTACGCCGAGGCGGGTGACTCTGGCCGCTCTCTCTCTGCGGCTTCGACCGTTCAGACTCTTGTCGACTTTGCACGACGCGCTTACAGCCTATCTGCGACGCAGAAATTACGTTTCTGGCGCTTGTTGCCTGACAGCGCCCGGTCAAGCGCAGCTTCGCTTGCGACACTTATGACCGGTGCCGAGCTTGTCGGTGACGGTCTCGATGGCGTGCTCGAGCCTGAAGAAAACCTTTTGAACGCGACATTGGCTGAACGCTGGACGCCACTGGCTGTCGAAGTAGCGCACGACAATGGGGCGTGGGTTCTGCCTACAGACTCGGAAGGCGTGCTGCAGCTTGCCAGCTCGTTGCCTACATCGCAACCCGTCCTCGCAGGCTCACGAGGCTTCTTCAGTACTTCGGCATTTCCCACTTCGTCTGGTCCGACGGCAAGTACGAGTCAGATCAATTCTCTTGTGGCCAAGAGAAATACACACGGTATGACGTCTTCGCGCGATTCCTCGCCTGCAGGCACGGAAGAGAAGCTCGGTATCACCGCCAGACTGCTTCGAAGTCATGCAGCTAGCACAGGTCGTTCGAGAGGCCTCACTGGTCTCGGGAATTTAGGCAATACATGCTTCGTAAGTCTCTTGGATATATGCGTAACCTTCGCTGATAAGATGCCCGAACTCTCAGATGAACAGCGCATTGCAATGCTTGAGCAACACGCCGGAGCTGCAACGTTACTTTACTTGTTCGTCCGTTCGCTTGCTTCGTGCCTTAGCTGACATAACGGTCCGCAGCTGGCGCATACAAAAGCGAACTGAATCCAGACAATCCCTTGGGCATGAACGGAGAGGTTGCAGAGGCTTTTGGTCAGCTGATGCAGCGTATCTGGACTGGCGGGTCAAACTCGTACACACCACGCGAGTTCAAAGCAATGATTGGCCGATTCCGGCCCGTCTTCCTAGGCTGGCAACAGCAAGATTCGCAAGAGCTGCTCGCTTTCCTTCTTGACGGCTTACACGAGGACCTTAACAGGATCAAAAAGAAGCCTTACGTCGAGCAACCTGACTGGACTGGGGGCGATGACGAAGAGCTGATGAACTTGGCAAAGACGTCTTGGGATCAGTATAAATCGCGCAATGATAGCATCATCGTCGATCTCTTTCAAGGACAGTACACAAGCAAGGTTGTATGCCCCGATTGCGCCAAGGTCTCCATCACTTTCGATCCGTTCATGTATTTGACGCTTCAGCTGCCAAGTAAGACTTGGATTGGACATGTCTACTTCGTCCCGATGGACCCTGCAAAGCCGCTGCTCAAGTTCATGATCAATATGCCTGGCACGACGACCATAAGTCAAATCAAAGCTTACATCGCTGCTCGGACTGGCATCGATGCACGCAAGATGATGTCTGTGGAGGTCTACAACAGGCGATTCTTCAAATGGTGGTCAGATGACGAAGTGATCAATGACATCAAGGTTGCCACCGATTCTGTCATGTTCTTTGAGATTCCCGTTCGCTGCTTGCAGCAAACGGCGGCTCCTTACAGCCGCAGGTCTTCACTGATTTTCGAGAACGATGATTATGCGATACTGCCGGTAGCGCATCGGAGACCAAGCAGTCGTCGAACTGGTCGAATGTACAAAAAGGCCGAGAATGACCTGTTCGGCTTGCCATTCGTGGCGGCTTTCAAAAAGAGCGAGATGCCTAGCATTGACCAGATCTCCGACTATCTGCTCAAACAGTACGCCCGACAGAATCAGAGACAGAACGTCTCTCAACACGATCCAGATCAGACAGCACACGCAGATACGCAGCAGACATCGTTGACAGATAAGCCAGGAGAACAAACCGCGCCACGCCCTCGATTTACGCTTCTGGTCCCGCAAGAAACGGCAGATCGCCCTCCCACAGATGCTTCAGCGCTTGAAACTGCGCTCGTCAGCCTGGAGGCTCGAATAGACCGCGAAAGCAGGCCGCAAAAGGCTGCTGGCATCATTCCCGGCGCGTTCGAGCAGGAGGATGACAGCGAACTCAACGCACGGTATGCGACAGATGACGCTGCGACTGCGAGTCCGGCTACAGACGCTGCTGGTCAGGGACCGACAATTGTTCGCACCGGTGACCACTTACTAGTCGATTGGGACGATGAGGCATATGATGCATACTTTGGCGATGCACCGACGCCTAATTTGTCCGAAACAGCGCAACTGAATGCGCTCTTTACCGTCTATCAGGAGCCAGAATCGGGAGATGCGGACAGCAAGACGGGTCTCACGATTGATAAATGTCTCAAGGACTTCACGCGAGCAGAGCAACTCACTGAAGACAATGCCTGGTACTGCAGCCGGTGCAAGAAACATCAGCAAGCAGAGAAAAAGATCGATTTGTGGAAGACACCAGATGTGCTTGTCATCCATCTCAAGCGATTCAGTAACGTTCGCTATTCTCGAGACAAGATCACCGACTTTGTCGACTTTCCAATCGAGGGTCTTGACCTTGAGCAACATGTACTGGGTCGCAAGACAGCCGAGCGACTTAGAGCAGAGAAGGGTGCCGACTATGCGATAGACGAAGCGCTCGACGAGCCCTTGCTCTACGACCTCTTTGCTGTCGACAATCATTACGGCGGTATGGGCGGTGGGCACTATACCGCATATGCACAGAACGTCGAAGATGGCAAATGGTACAATTATGACGATGTAAGCAACGATCTCGGCTTGATAATACGTCGGCTGACATGCTGTGCGCTTGATAGTCGCATGTATCACCCGTCGGTGCAGCAAATGCTGTCAAGGTCCGCAGCCCTTGTTAAGCTTCAGCTTTACAAAAGCTGACTGACATTGGTTCATATAGACGCAAGCTGCATATTTGCTTTTCTATCGTAGAAGAACACACCGCATCATCGGCGGAAAGTCGATCGACGTCGTCAATTCAGCCATTCACTCTCGCGATGTATCGCAAAACGGCAGTCGAGCGCCGTCATCTGCGGGTGATCTCGAGATGGACGATGAGCCAGTCCGCCGCTCAGGCTACCGTGCTCGAGCTTGGGGTCCGATAGACACGCCGCCGTCGCCAGTCTCACCGGGTTCGAACGCATCTCACGAGGTCGAGATCGGATCAGACAAGGAGAGCGAGACAGGACTGCGCTTACAGTTCATGCCGCCAGACGATGATATGGAAACTTCAGAGGTTCATCTGACGTGACGTCGCTCGTGCACGCTCGCAAGAGAACGCAGAGAAGTACGGGCTGTAAATGGAGAGCTGCCATAGAGACTATGCATGTGATATTACAACTTCAATTTACTACTCTTGGGTGAGCTTGGCGGGGTTATAGCACGAAGCTCCTTCTCTGCGGCTACATGCTTGAGCTTGGCTTCTACGCCTTGCGACTTGCGCATTGCCAGTGAGATGCTCTGCTCGGATCGACGACGACGATGGGCAGGTCTTGCTGCGACGCTACTCGGACTTTTGAGCGCAGAGCTTGATGCTTTGGAAAGAGTCGCAGCGTTGCCAGCCCTGGCCGTAGGCGTAGATAATACCAGACTGGGCATCAATACGCCTACTTGAGATACTGTGCGCACGTTCGCTTTGCGCCGCTTCGGGCGACTCTGTCCAGCGAAAAAGCGAATGTACAGAAACGTCTCTGCTGCACCGATGAAGACACTAGCGAACCCAGCCAGGCAGAGCTTCTGGATGGGCGTCCAGACCGTGCCTACTGCGCCCGTTGCCCACCAGGCTGCGAAGCCGACGGCGATCATGGAGGCGAGGACGTTGATGACTGCAGAGACTTCACGCTGAGACTGCCGCCATTCTGCTGCAAGGGTGCCTTCGTGTGGCCTGATCCTTCGCTTGCCGAAGAGATCGTACGACGGTGTCAGTGAGGCCAGATCGACATGGGCAGCATCGTCAGATGCGGCCGAGGATCGTCGCGATACGCTGCGGAGAGGTGAGGTGGCGGAGGACACCATCTTGGCGTAACTTGCGTATTCCTGCTTCAGAGAAATCTCTGCGAGGATCTTTTCCAACTCAGACGACTGGCCATAGTCAATCTTTAGCACGAGTGAGCGTTCACGAGCGAGATGGCTCACCCGTTCCTGACGGACAGGTGGGTCAACGTAGACTGACGCGCCGCGTAGTAACTCGCTGAGAAGCAGATGCTGCGGTTCTAGATGACCAGAACGACAAGTCCATTGCCATCCTGAGCGGGCGGTCTGATCGTGCAAGCTTCTAGCGTCCCCTGGCTCGACAAGGACGAGCTGATCTCTCGCCCAACGTGCCACGTCATGTAGTATAATGGATTCGATCCATTCGACATTCGTGGTGTCATCTGCCGCGGCGCCAGCGATAGGCATAGGTGATCGCAAGGGAGATGTGAGCTTGCTGCTCGGCGCATGATCTTGAGCTTCGTAGAAGTCGGCAGAGGCGTCGAGATAGTACTCTATCCTTTCGATCACCTCATTCGGTATTGCAGCGTGTTTGGACGACGAGGAGCCAGCCAGACTCGTTGTAGACTTGCGCTCGTTGTACTGCGCGAGTGTCGTGAGGAGCGCAAGTCGATCTCGGACCTCTGCTGTCAGTACAAGCCGAACCATTGGACAGCCAGCGACGACGCCTTTGGTCCCCTCTGGCAGCGCGCGCGCGACTGATCGAGACAAGCCGAAAGACGAACGAGCCATTGCTCATACGAGACTGAGCGACCCGCCATGTCAGCCTCAGATGTGCGGGACATCCTGCAGATCCCCAGAGCCGGTCCATCTGCGCCTGTACAGCCACTACGACTGCCAAAGAAGGAGAAGCGGCCGGATGGCATCACACGAGAACTGTATGCCCTCATCGGCGACAACGCACCTTCGCTTGCGCTGGCCAAGCCAAAGATGAAGGGCAAGCCTCGGATGCAACGTAAAGTAGCCAAGTGGTGCGCTCATCTCGTCCTGGCATGCGTGTGGGACTCAAAATTTGGCGTCGCAGGACAAGGCAAGGCTTCACAAACCAGGCGAGAAAGGACGACTTGCAGCTCTCTCACTGGGCCAGAGATGCTGCTTCCACGTCATCGGATGCAGGCGAGTGGAGCGGATAGCAACCGAGTGAGGCGCTGACAACCAGCTGGGCAGATTATGCTTTCGTCAAGTACAACACAGCCTCGGCATCGTATTCCTACTCAAACGATGAGTATCTTCACATCCTCAGAGGTCGGCGGCATGATGATCTGCTCTCAAGACATGTTCGGCTCACTGCTGCTTTCGACAGATGATGATTGGACACACGAAGAGACGGATCACCTCTTCGATCTCGCGCGTCAATACGACCTGCGCTTCGTCCTCATGGCAGATCGATGGGCCTATACTGACATCGAAGGAAAAGTGACGCCTCGCACCGTAGAGGTATACACTTCCCCGGCTCGCTATCAGCGTATGACTTATCGCAGAGCAGGATCTGAAAGCGCGCTATTACAGCGTATGCCGTAAGCTCATACGTGCTCGGCCACAGACCGACGAGAGTGCAAAGTCCAAGCTCCTGACGGAATACGCATTCGACAAGTCTCGGGAGATCGCGCGAAAAGCCTACCTGACGACGATGCTTTCGCGGACACCTGCGCAGATTGCAGAAGAGGATTTCCTTTACGTCGAGTCTCGTCGACTCGAACAGAATTACGCAAAGCATCAGCGCGACAGGGAGAACTTACTGCGCTTACTTGGTGGTCCGCTGGCTTCCAATGCGCACACTGGCATAGGCGGAGGTACTCCGGCGGGTGCAGTCGGTCTGGCTTCACCCGGTACGCCCCTGGGCATCTCAAAGTCTTCTACCAATTACAAGAAAGGACGGAAAGGCGAATACGATGATCCAAGCGCGGATGACGAAGCTTCTTTAGAACGTCGGGCGAAAGCAAATCCTCTCTTTGGTGAGTCTTCCTTTTCGTTGCTTGGCCGAACGCTCATCTTACCTTGGCCAGACGCGCAATATTGCATCACTCGAAATGATGCTTCCCTGGCTCGCAATACTTTACTTGCGACAGGACCTTCTGTCTTCTTACGCTCTTCGCGCGTCACGCCGCTCAAACCTGCAACAGCGCCCAGGATCGGCGCAGCACTAGCAGAGATGGGCATCTCACTCCGCCTCGTTATGCCTACCGCGAATAACGTAGCCAGATTGGACGGGCTGACGCACGCACTTGGTTCTCTGGTCGATCTCAAGCGAGCCACCGAACGAGCCGAATACGAAATCAAGGTCCTCAAGCAACGCAAAGTCGGCGCAACAAGTCCTGCGGCAGAGCAATCAACACCAGCCGAACGCGCCAAGCGAAGTGCTTCTGTTGCTTCCACAGAAGGCGGCAGCAACAAGCGCGCGAGAATGTGATCTGCGCGATGCTACATCTGAATAGCTTTGTCGTGCGTCAGTGCTTGCAGTGCATACAACAACAAAGTGCGTTCTATGTGATTGCGCTTCTTATGCGTCTAGTTCCAGTGCAGCAAAGCGAGGATGACTACTGATTGTGCCCGGATCGAGTAGTGGATACGAGCTGTCAAATGCAGTCGCGACATGGCTCGCTCTGTAGCGCACATTGAGCAGGCCGTGACGCAAGCGATAGACGCTACGAGAAGCAGCCGTCAGCTCCTGTGGATCGATAAAACCGTGAGATGCTGTGCGAAGTCGGGCGCGATTGGAAACGCGTCCGAGCAATTTTGCGTCGTCTAGGAAAGCAGCTAGACTTGCTAGATGTAAGTCGTACGACGCTGCTTGACCTAGATCGTCAGGATACCGCGTGAGCTCTTGCAGGTCGTGATCGAAGAGCAGTGCAACGAGGTGTGATGCGACGAGGGTGTGTACGTGCTCGGACGAGAGTATATCGTCAATGGGTGCGTGGAGCGACGGCGTCGCCCGGATCAGTCGAACTGCATCTAGCAGGAGACTAGGATCGAACGTTTTGGCATCGAAAGGTAATTGGATGGCACGTTCTGCTTGCGGCAGCCAAGTGGGTCTATGACCAAGCGAGCTCAAGGGGAACGCATAGCCAGAGCCATCGGCCGTCGCCGCTGATCGCCGCCCCGCGTGTGACCAATCTTGGATCTGTGCAGTGAGGAAGCGTGTCTGAATGAGCTGCGCGGCTGCCACTGAATACGTTACGTTGGAGGTGAGGTAGCCAGCAAGCGCAAGTTCTGCAGCTTCGACAGCGGCTGTGTGTGGATCCGAAGCTGGATCCGGTGTCGTATCTTCGTACGTCAGAGATTGCATTGCTTGAGATTCGAAACGAAGGACTCGGTCGAGCGCAAAATCTTCGTGCTCGTCATAAGCATGCTTGAGCTCTTCCAGACGCTCTTCTGACCAGCTCCAAAGTCGGTCCTTCGAGAAGCCACAATCTCGCAGACCAGCAGGACAAGCGCGCATGCCGCGCGCTACTTGCTCGTCTAGACGCTCGACAAAAGCGACAATGCCCTTGATGCGGTTGAGATACCTGAGCTGGTTTGCTTCGGTGCTACTGATCTCTTGGCTTCTGTCTCCGCTGAACAACCGATATACCCAGCCCGCCTTGCTGAAGTCAAGCGAGTCTTCTGTCTGATCGCCAAGCCGATGGATGGAGCCATGCGCATTCGCTGTGAGATATGTACGCTCGCTGACCTCCCACGGAAGCGATTTACGGTCAAGACCACGCGCAAAAGGAACCGCCCCAAGTCGCCAAAGCATCTCAAGCTTCGATCGTCGGCCGTATCGCATGGCGGGCTGATACGTCTGTAGTGAGTCGTAGCGAAAGCCGATCTGCGGCTCTTCGGGCGCACTCGGGGGACTCAAGAAGCTTTCGTAGTATTGCTGCGAGGAAAAGCTTTTGGCAGTTGCCACATCGACTGTGCTTGGTAGAGGGCGATTCTGGTGTAGCACGAGCTTGTTGTTGAGCAATCTGACCATTGGAATGACAACGTGATGCCGAGCCGATGCACCTTCGCCTTCTGTTTGCAAGGTGAAGAGGACAGACGCCATGGCGGCGGGCGTGAAGAAGCAGTTGCCGTCGAGGGGCAGAATCCAGCGCGCTCGTGGTTGAGATCTACCATGAGCAAGGGCAAAGTTGCGACCGCCGTTCTGTATCACGCATTATAGTCAGCCCTGACCGGATAGAATCTCGCAGTAAAGCACGAACATTATTGATGGCGTAATTGTTCTTGTCGTGATATGTATAATCGATAGCGCGCAGTTTGGCCATTAGACGACGGCGCTCTTGCTTGATAGCCTCTGTTCGTCCTTCCATCTGTATGAGATCGGCCTCGTTGTCCATTCTCTGCTTGAGCTCGCCCGCTGCAAGGGCCTTGTCAGCGGACTGCAAGCAAAGTCGGATGTCGAGCTCACCTGCAGAGGAAAGGTTGCCTGGGCGGGCGCTGCCAATGCCCCAGACACTCTCCATGCCACGACCGTTCACTCCACCAACGCCACCATCCCATCGAAAGCTTTGGGCGTAGTATGCATCCCAGTCAAAGGGAATCTGGAGGACATGGTCTTGTGGAACATCGAGTTCGTCCATGAGAAGGCTCGTCAATGCTGCAATGTGTGCTGGGCTTGACAACCGGTTGAGCACGAAGTATTTTTCGATTCGCGTCACCGGCAATGCTGCCGAGTTCTGTCTTGTACGCTTGCGAGACCCAGAGGCTACGTGTTCGGCGTGCTGCAGCGAGAGTAGACGAGCTATCTCCTCATCAAATGAATGCTCATGCTCCAGCATAAACCTGACATTGCGCATAGTTTGCCCTTGCTCATGTCGAGGCGGCAGATCGTTACCCAGAATGCGGTAGAGTATCAGAGTGTCCCGCTCCGGTGCATCGTAGCTATCACTCGGCTTGGCGCTCAGGAGCTGTGGCCACTTGGCCGAACGCTTTGCTACGCGCTGCGATGAGACCGCATATCTGGCCGTTTGCGCTACTGGCCTGATGCGCGATTGGGTGGAGAGCAAGGTGCATAGCAGCAGCCCAAGCAAGCCAAAGCCGCCTAGATAGGTCCAGAGCCACTCTCTTGACCTCTTCTGAGCGCGTTGCCGCCACTGTCGCGCCAGCCAAGTCGATGGCTTCGTCCGTGCAGGCGATTCTTTTGCGACCTTTGCAGGTTTGCTTTGCTCACGCGTCGGCTCCAGTCGCGATCTCAGAGACGTGCGAGGCAGGGATAGCGACAGTCGGTTTCCAAAAGCTTGCCTATAGCGCCGTCGCAGCGATGCGGGTATGAGAGCAGAGGGCACTGTCTCCTTGGCTGGCTCTGACTGCACCATCTTCTTTCGTGGGGTATGTAAGAGTGAGGCGTTGATTTCCTGGGGAAAGTGTGAATCGTGTAAATTATCTCGTGATGCGATGCGGGATAGGTGTCGTGAGCTTGTGCGTAAGAGCGGCGTAGTGGCCTGTTCGGGAGGAGGCGCGAGCATGCTGTCGACCGAGGTTCCGTTGGACGAGTGCTCACGCGAGTGCGAACGAGAGATTGACGAAGATCGCGAGATGTCAGACCAGCTGGAGCCCAGCAGCGGCGAGACTGAGCCCAGCATAGGCGAAGTCTGCGGTGTTGTCCATATTTCAGATGTTGCCGGCGCATGCAAGCCATTCGCTTGAAGGGCATGATTGGAAGCTGCCTCGAGCGGATGGAGCGCACCCCTGCTGGCGCCGCTAGCTCGCATGCTTGCCATCTGAGGGCCGGCTGCACCTGTGGCGGACGCAACGTTAGTTGCTTGTGCATTGGCATCGAAGAACGTCGGTATGGTCGCTCTGTTGGAGACGTCCATCAGGGCACGGCGCACAGTGCTCGGCATTTTGCTTTCGGCCTTGCTCATGACGTGCGTGAGCTCATGGGCACGGCTCGTCGGTTTCGCTGCGTCGTCTGTTCGGTCTGTGGCTTGAACAAAGGCGCAGAGGCGTTTCGCGGTACCCAGCTGAAGCGAGCGTGTCAGCAAGCTCTAAGTCGATCTTCAGTGTGCCATCCGTGGCTTTTGGGCTCCTTCGCAGACCATCCGACCAGCAGCTGGACGCTGTCCTTTTGGCTGCCGCTGCACAGATCACAGACGCGACGCGATCGATGCACGCGATGGCGTCAAATCTTTTTTCGGTCTGAGTCAGAGCCCGCCTGTCGATCTGCGCAGACAGCTCAGATGAAGCGCAGGCTCGCCCGTGTTGGCTGGCAACAGCGCAGGAGCTTCACGCCGACGACTTCTGTGCCGCCGAACAAGCAAAAGTTTCTCCTCGACCCAGCAGAAGCGACTTTTCCTCGAGGTTTCCTAGCTTCAGTATGCTCTCCAGGAACGCAGTCCGTCTGTTTTACTGACGGCAGCTATCGTTCGCTAGGGTGTGCATTGCGGCATCAAAAAGTCATCAGCGCTTGATTTGTCACTCATCGTCTCGTCCACACCCGCATCAGCAGCCGCCTGCTTCACTCGCAATTTCTTTCAAGCAGCGCCTGTCCAGATTTCTCGGGAGGTCCTCCGCTCCCAAGCGGGTATAGCTCGAGCGCTCGTCGTCAACTCGGGCTGCGCAAATGCCGTCACGGGCCAGCAGGGACTCAAGGATGCACGCGCCATGTCAGACCGCGTCAACAGGTGGCTCCAGACGGGCACGCATGATCGTTCGAAGCCGGATGCGAGTCAGACTACGCCCGAAGGGACAGGAACGCTCGTCATGTCTACCGGCGTCATCGGTCAGACACTGCCCATGTCGCGCATCTCTGCCGGCATAGAATCTGCCTTTCGTACAATGTCATCCTCCTACGAGGCATGGACGGAGGCTGCCAGAGGCTTCATGACGACAGATACCTTTCCGAAGCTCAAGACGCGAGCGTTCCAGCTTGGCGGTAAGGAGGTCAGGTTGGTAGGGATAGATAAGGGCGCAGGCATGATCCATCCCAACATGGGACCACCCAAGGCGACAATGCTGGGTATGATTGCAACAGATGCAGCCATTGCGCCCAGTGCGTTGCAGGACGCGCTGACGCATGCAATCGATCGCTCCTTCAATTCAATTTCTGTCGACGGAGACCTCTCGACTAATGACACCGTCATTGCGTTGGCGAACGGACAAGCGCAATCCGCCCCGATCGATTCCACCTCTTCATCCGATTATGAGCTGTTCAGAGACGAGTTGACGCAATTCAGCATCGATCTAGCCAGTCTCGTCGTGCGAGATGGTGAAGGGGCAACAAAATTCGTTAAAGTGTCAGTCGAAGAAGCGCCAACTTATGCAGGCGCACATACCATCGCTGCTACGATCTCTCGATCATCACTCATCAAGTGCGCACTCCATGGTGCAGATGCGAACTGGGGTCGCATCCTGTGTGCAGTCGGCTATTCCAGTCCGGATTTTGAGATTGACCCCATGAAAGTGTCACTGTCTTTTATTCCGCATGACGGTACAGAGCCACTGAGGCTACTCGTCAAAGGCGAGCCTGCACACTTTGACGAGGATAGAGCACACAAGATGCTGCTCGAGGACGAGATCGAAATCCGCGTGCAACTCGGACTGGGCGATCAGAGCGCTGCATAGTCAGTAATCTTTGCCTTTTCTTTGCGCAGGCTGACTTGAACGGCAGCTACACATGTGATTTGAGCAAAGAGTACATCTCGATTAATGCGGACGTAAGTGTGCGCTCCTTTTCCGATGCATCCACTGACACTCGGGCGACACAGTACCGAAGCTAGTGCTTGTATCATCTGTCTGCATTGCATCATAGAGAGGAACATCACAGGAAGAGGCAGCGATCCTTGAAAGCACGAGTGCCAAAGATATCGTAGTCTGTATCCCTGATCCACTGCTCGACTATCGCAGGCGAATCGAGCCGCGCCAGTACGGCAGCCCCTTTCCACGCGACAATTCGAGCGTCTATCTCTCGGGGCGGCGCTGTGATGGCGATAGATTGGGCCAGCGCTGCTGAGCGTAGGCTGACAAGACCGGCCAGACGGCTTTGCACGGCGAATGGCATGCCATGCAGCAGACTCGTACCGCCAACGAGTATGAGATTACCCAAGAATCGTTTGAGCCGCTGAATGCATCGTGCCATCAGACCAGCAAATGACGATACGTAGAGCCAGACGAACCTCCTCCGAGATCGAAGTCATGATGCTCTCATAAATGCCGCCATCGACGGACGTCTTGGACGACTCGAAAGCGACATCAATGTAGGGATAGTCGACATCGACTGGCGGCACTGGCTGAGGCTGAGGCGACGCTTGCATTGCGGGACTGCTCGAGCGAGTCATGTCTTTGCTGATGCTGATAGTCGAGATGGCAGGCTGCAGAGGCGCACTAGATTCTTCCTTGCGCATTGTAGGCGGAGACGTGCTTGTAGAGCTCGGCAGAGCGCTTTCTGGCGTGGGTTGCGCCCGGGGCGTCTGCGGCACGGCAAGCGTCGCACCTGACGGGGCAGCTGGTGTCATATCTCCATTCGGAGCAGGCGTCGGCGTAGGTTCTGGCGTGGCGGAGGCATTGAGCACGCTAGATGGGCCTTCGTTTTCGAGCGCCTGCAGAACGAGCGACGCAGATGGTAAGACTGGCTGGGCAATGACGGGATGCAAATAGCGTGTGCTGTTTCGCATCGCCTGAGTCTTCAGAGAACAGATATCAGCGCAGCAAGAGCGACTGTGTGGTTGCGTACGGTAGCGTCACAATCGGTCTCCATGAGCTCATCGACCTCATCGGTCGGCTTTTGCCAAGACATGCGAGGCTTTGCTCGCTTGCTTTCAAAGTCTAGGATTGGTGTCCAAAACAGGCACATAGGTGCCAGTATGACCTCGTCAAAGAGTCTGATGGTGTACTTTGGTGTCGCGCCAGTGACGTGTGGTCGGCGGAGATGGAAATTATACAAATTCAGGCTTGCGTCCGACTTACACAAATTGTCAGACATGCTCGGCAGCAGCATACTGCGCTTACCTCATTCAGAATGCAGCAGTTCTCCTTGAGCCAATCGAGCAGCTGCCAATCGTATGATCGTGCCAAGTCGATATCCTTGATAGGAAAGCTGGCTCTTTGCAGCAAGTCGAAGAACACGCGCGTCACATCGTCGCCACCATAGGCCAAGGTGATCCTGCGAGTTCGTCAGCGTATGCGATTGGCCGATGCAGGAACACCTACCTTGTGTCAGACAAGACGAGGCCGTCTTCGACGCAAGAGACGGATACTTTCTGGGCTCCCATATCGACCACGCAAGCTGACGACAGCCCGGCGCCAAAGGTCACGCAGAGAGATTCTTGTTGGATGAGCAGGCACTTGAAGCCCATACTCTTGAAGGCCATGTCACACATCTCCCGAACGTAGTCGTACTCGCACAGATCTGGCACGATGAGAATGCAAGAGTATTCTGGAAATGTGCGTGCCGGGATATCCAATTCATCCTCGAGCGTGCTCGTCCAGATCGCTTCTATATCGGCCATCATCTCTCTCGGACTCGCGTAGAGGCTGGAGTCGAGGCGCGCTCGTACTAGCGGCCAGCGAAGCTCGTAGCCTTGCGCTTTGGGGTCGGGTATCCGCAAAGCTTTGTCGCCTACGACATAGGCAGGCCTTTTGAGTTCTTCTACGTCCGTCCAGTCCATCCGGCCGGCATCGTTATGCTCGGGCACCATCTCTGGTTGAGTCTGCTCGTTATAACTCTTTGCGAGCTGAATGCCATTCGGCTGTGTGCGTAGCTTGAGCATCCTCAGCCGCTCTCTGAGCTCCGACCGGAGGAAGAGGATCTGCTCATCAAGCAGCTTGCTCTTCTCACTCTCATGCTCTTGCTCGTCGGCATGTCCATTGGCTGTGCCTGGCGGCCGGCTGACTCGGCGAGCAATGCAGTTCGACACGGTCAAGGGCAAAGCGTCGCTTCCCCTGCCTATCCTGAGGTTGCGAGAGCCTGGATGGATGATGATGATCTTGTCTGGCGTAAGTCCATACCCTTCTGGCTCGTCCCCATCCGTCGCAGTGTTCGCTGCTTGAGCTACAGGGACCGTCTGGTTAGCCGCCGGGCCATTGCTCACTGCTTTCCGCTGCTTCTGCTGCGCATACTGCTCTGCTAGCTTCGTGCGCTTCTCTGCACGCTCGCCATCCCAGACGAAGGGCGCAGGACGACGGTTGACGAGCTGGGATGCTTCGGTTTTGCCAAAGGTCGTGTTGACGGCCTTGCAGTTCAGCTGACCGATGGGCTGCTGCACCGAGCTGAACTTGAACGGCACAAAGTCGGACGGTATGGCGGGCTCTGCCTTCTTGCGTGGCATCGTGCAAGGCAAGCCTGGGAGGCCGACGCGAGAGCTAGCGATGGTTTCAATCAAGAGACGCGCTCGTAGCAATTGATCATCTCTCAAGAATACCCCCGGCCGGCTAATCACAAGCATGATCGAGTGCAGTAGCGAACATCCATTAAGTACCAACAGCATGCGACCGATGCGCAAAGGCGAAAGCCCTGCTGCAACCCGTTCCCAGAGAGCAAACTCGTCTAAACGTGAGTTGGCTTTTCGTTGACAAAGTTGGTCTGATCTTCACCAGAGATGTCTTCGAGTGATCGTCCCTTTGTCTCTTCCTGAGAAGATAGCAAAAAGTCAGCGATTGCAACTTTGAAAGGCAGACCATGACACGTACGATGAGGAGCGTCGAGAGGAATCCGGTCAACATGAACAGACCGAAGATTTCGAGCAGATGGTTGATCCAGTTGCCAGAGCCGACGGCACCACCGCGGTCCTTCAGACGAGCAAAAGCGACTTGCGAGATGATCGCTCCCAGCTTGCCAGAGGCAGCGCAGATACCGTGCGCGGTGGAACGGTATCGTGTCGCGAACGACTCGCCAGGAATGATGAAAGTGGTCGAGTTGGGGCCTGCGTTGAAGAAGAAGTTGACCAGGCAGTACAGCACGATGAAGGCAGCAATCGCGTTGGACTTCAGCTTGTGGTAAGCGAAGCCGAGGATGGCAAAGAGGATCGTGAGCATCGCCTGCAATAATCTTGGTCAGAGCGCTTCAAGAGAGGTAAGACGAGCCACTCACGAAGCCGATCAGTTGGAGAGGCTTGCGGCCGGTAAAGTCAACAAGCAATTGGCACGCCCAGTAGCCGGGAATGAGACCGGCGACGGAGAGGACGATGTTACCGACGCAGATATTCTTGAGCGATTGGTAGATGATCTCCTGGGGTGTACCAGTCGTAGCAGGGCCGAAGCCAATGTTGAGCAAGACGATCGAAGAGTTGAGGCCGAGACCGTAGTAGGCAACATCGAGAGCGAACCACGACCAGGCGCAACCGAACAGTTGCTTGAAGTTGGACCATTGACGGAAGTGAGCCATGAAGTCGCGGGTCGTCGCCTTGGGCATGTCGACCTGGTCGTGAGAGTGGTCGTAATCGTGGACGTAGCCACCGGTGGCAAGGAAGGCATCGACATCGGTTGCAGCTTGCTTGATGTTGCGCTCGACATCAGCAGTGAATCGGGGCGTTTCGGGAATCGTCAGACGGAAGTACAGCGCAATCACACCCGGCACACAGCCGAGTCCGATGAGCCATCTCCAGCAGAAGTCGACACCGTGGGGTGCGCCGACGACGTCCTGGTTGATGATCTTGCCCTTGTAGGCGGCAACGACGATGACACCGACAATAGCGGCGGCAAAGTTTCCGTAGCCTTGCGCACTGTGCGAACACGTGTCAGAAACGCGTGAAAGACAAGAACGTGCGATGTGACATACGAGAAGACGGTGGCCATCATACGGCCACGGATGCGAGTGGCAGCGAATTCTGATGTGATGCACGCAGACAGCGGGTAGTCACCACCGATACCGACGCCCATGATGAATCGCCACATGACGAGAACACCGATGAGGGAGACTGCAGGACCGTGACCAGAGACGGCCTGGCCGAGCGTTGCGATGATGATGATCATGAGCTCGATGCCGTACATGCGCTTGCGGCCGTAGACATCTGCGAGCCAGCCGAACAGAAGCTGGCCGCAGAAGGTGCCGACGGGCGTCGCGACCTTGAGACCAAGATCCTGGTTGGCGGTGAGCTTGCCCTTGAGGGGGCCTTGGTTGTAGACGTAGCCGATCATCGTCGAGGCGATGTTGATGGCAAAGATATCGTATGCATCAGTGAAGAAACCTGTGAAATCACGATTGGAGCATGAGCACGTTGGACTCTCAACATGGTGGCAGGGCAAGACTGACCGACACCGGCGACCAGGCAGGTGCGGACGTGGACCATGCCAAACTTGGCATTGTCGACTTCTGCAAGGGCTGCACGTCGACGAGCGTTGAGGCTCACACCACCGACGCCGTTGTCGGCTTGGCCGATGCTATCATGCTTGGCATCCTTGCCGAAAGAGTTGCTGTCCGACATGCTTGCGAACAGAGAAAGCTCTCTTGCTCTTCTCTTCTACAGATGTGTCGGCAAGAGACGACCCGACTTTTTATCGTCAAGAGTTGGGGGACAAGGTGATCCCTGTCTCGCCTTATATTCCGGCCGGTGGCACTCCTCGCAAAATTTGCAGCCGCAACAAGAGTATTTCCCGGCAACTCCAGTCCATCCTCGCTCTCTATCAGCTACGAACGTGCGCACGTTCTTTCGAAACAGGCCTGTAGCGCCAAGTCTGGTCAAACCTTCTGTCCGGTCGGTCTGAAATTCCAGATCACTCTGATCGGCAGATCACCGCCATCCCGAATCGAGAACCGCGCAGTCAGCCAAGGGGCCCCGGCTACAGACCGACATGCAATCGGACGGGGTACACAGTCTAGCGCTGCACACGCTGATCCCATACGCAGCCCAGGCGATCGTGCCGTAACCTGTCCCACCCGGTAGTGGTCTCGAGTTCGTCATGCTTCTTGTCCACGCGAGGCTTGAGATAGAATACGAGCGCAAGTGAAAATGCGATGACCGCATACACGCTACCGACTAGTAGATCGACTGTATCGCAAGTCAATTTAAGCTGTTGCGAGATGAACGTGCACAAAAATTGGCTTGCCTGTAAAATGATGACCTAGGTAGACCGTGCTCCAGAACACTGGGCCAAGAGAATGTCAACGACGTCGGGCATGGAGCAACGAGCAGCTTACTCCAGAGATAGTAGACAATCATCGTCGCCACCGTAGTGCTTGACGAAGCATATCGCGCGACGTACAGAGCGCAGCAGACGCTCGTCGCCGCATGTAGACTCGGCAGTGCGCCAAAGACAACGGGCGATCTTTTGAAGGCATACCGATACAAATGTGTCCCGAGGATATCATCGACTCGTATCAGGCCGGCAGGATTGCCTAGCGAGGCGTAGGACGGCTCCAAGATACCATTCTTCGCTCCATAGAGAGGATTGTAGTACCAAGGCGCGGCATTACTGCACATATCATCAGCGGGCTATCCCTTTCGCTAGCGGGACGACGGACGGGAACAGAATGTGTGTCGTGAGACCGGCGATATTCTGAAAGCCCAAAGTCCAGCCAAAGGCTTTCGAGACGCCTGGCGCGGCAAAGAGCCACAGCCAGAATGCGCAGAGAAAGGGTGATGCGAAATGAAGTACTGCTCGAACGATTTAGCTGGCGCGAGCAGACGTCAAGTACGGCAAAATCACCACCGTATGTGGCGAATGCGGCCAAGTCTATGCTCGAGTGGATGGGCAGCTGGCCAAGCAGAGAGACGGCCTTGAGCTGCAATGGAAAGGTCAGAACGAGCAGAGCGAGCAGCTTCTGTCGACTGAAGGTGGATGAATATGTCGAAAAGGGGTATCCTTGTGCGCCGTCGAGCAGCACTTGATCGCATTCCGAGCAACTGTCATCGTCCGACGTGCAGTCGTATGCGAAGTCTTGCTCTGCTTTCGAGTCGGGTATCTCGTGATCAGATGACGCGGCAGTCGCGTCGTCGGAAGAAGAGGCAAAGGAAGCGAAGGCGTCAAAGGCCCCCTGCCGAGAAGTACTCGCGCTTTCGCTCCCAGTACTCGAGACGCTGCCTTGACGCCATCTGTCTGGGCTCGGGCTCCGCTGTGGAGGCATGCTCTGCGGCGTGGGCATCGGCACAACTGCATTGCGCAAATTCGGGCGAATATGCTCTTGACGGCTTACAGACCCGAAAGGTATTGCAGGCAAGTCGACAAAACCTGACCGCCGACGATCGTGCTTCTCCTCATCGTAAGAGAGGCCATCACAATGTTCCGTCGCGTCGGACGCTGCTGCAGCCGGTCTGGCGTCAGAATGTACAAGCAGATACGCAAATCTGTACGGCGCTCTTCAGCTCCATGCGTTCATAGCAGGCAGAATGAGCATCACTGACGGTGAAGCTATCAGGGTCGCAAGGACGAGGCCGAGCGGTGAAAGTAGGGCACTCTCCCAACTCGGCAACAAATCCAAGTTTATCTTCGGCCGCCAGCTTTCGGGTATCCTCCGGCCTTGTTTGAACGCCAGCGTCCAAAGTATAGGCGGCCAAGCTCCCCAGAGGATGACCGCAAATGTTCCGAGGAGGCTACGCCCGTTGGTGAAAGCTCGGTAGACATGCAAGACAAACTCGACGAGCGCGCGCAGATGGAGTGTGCTCGTGATGAAGGACAGTATGCGGACTGTGTACCATGCAATGTTGGCAAGGCCGGCAGACAACCGCATGGTCACGCTTGTCGGATACTGCTTTGTCGTGTGACTGTTCTCTTATCCTGACTCGGCAAACGGAAAGAGGGTGAGAGCATCCGTCGTGTCGTGTCTTGCCTGACTCGGTCACCTTGACTGCGACACGGAGTACAAGGAGCAGTTCCGATGACTGCTCTCGCTCTTCTCGCTCCCTGCGCCTCTGCCAAGGACACAGCTTGCGTACGCAGCGTGGTCGCGTGAGCGCTCTGATCTCTGATTGTGTGTAATCTCCGTTTGTCCGTGTCTGTGCTTCCCGCGATTGCGTGGAGGTCACTTCAAACCATAAAAAATCCTCGGCTGTCAATCCAAGATGGCAGACGACAGAAAGCTGCCCAATGTGCTCATCACAGGCACGCCAGGCACGGGCAAGACGTCACATGCCGCCACTCTCCTGGACGAGCTAGTCCAGAAGCATGAGGGCTTCCGGCACATCAATGTAGGCGAATTTGTCAAAGAGCACGGCTGCCACGAGGGATGGAATGAGGAATGGCAGTCTTATGACGTAGACGAGGACAAGCTGCTAGATCAATTGGAGGCAATACAGACGCGAGGTGGCATCATCTTTGATTGGCACACCTGTGATGTCTTTCCCGAACGCTGGATCGACCTCGTCGTCGTTCTGCGTTGCGAGCATACCAAGCTATGGGAACGTCTCGAAAAGAGGTACGCATGCCGTTCTTGGAAGATTGGCGAAGCTGACAGCTAGCTTTGGTAGGAAGTACTCGCTGGCAAAGATACAGGAGAACAATACAGCAGAGATCATGATGACCGTACTAGAGGAAGCAAGAGCTGCATACGCTGACGAGATCGTTGTCGAGCTACAGAGCGACGGACCAGAAGAGATGGAGAGCAACGTCGAGCGGATCGTGCAATGGGTCGATAGTTGGCTAGCCCAGCGTGAAGACTAGCGCCTCCATCTGGGCCTTCACGTCATTCGACAAGACTCATTGCGCCGGTGTTGCAGCGATAATTGCAATGTCAGAGCCTCTGACTCGACGGATAGATCAATCTTTGTCCTCTAGCAACGACATCGGCAGAAACTGTGCACGTGTACAGCTCCTTGAGCCTATGCTGGGGCTTCTACACTCACGACAATGCGCGCAACAATCTGGCACCCTTCAGCTCGCTGAGGCGATGCTCAGTTGCGTGATCGAATGGCCTCCAGATGACGATCTCGCTCCGGTCGCAAGCAAAGATGGATGTGCGCACACATTCGCGCCGCTTTGACATGGCAAAGTCTCACGATCCGGGACGAACGTTCGCAAACAGCGCAGACAATGCATGATGGCACTTTCTGTTCCTAGCATAGGCGCCAGTCTTGGAGCTTTGAGGACTTCTATGAGTTCTGAGAGAAGTCGCGTTTCGTCAATTTCGTCGGCAATTCGCTTTTTCTGCTTGCCGGCAGCGTTGATTTGAGCACACATAGCCTCTGCAGAGATGACCTGTCAGTCTCCCTGCTCAAGATCTCATGTATCATTTGCTCATCGTAGACGCAGCTCGCATCTCACAGCTAGCCAGCCAGCTCCGGGGTACAGGCATCAGCAGACATACGAGCAAGAATGCCGACGACGTCGTGATCACTCTCGCTTTCCGGACCCCTCTCTGCAAAGCAAAGAAAGGCGGCTTCGCCAATACTCTCAGCGATGAGCTCCTCTTAGAGCTCTTCAAGGCAGCAAAGGCAAATATTGGCTTTGACCCCGCGCTCGTCGAGGATGTCTGCGTCGGCACCGTTATCACTCCCGGCAGTGCCTACCAAGCTCGTGCCGCATCGCTCGCGGCCGGCTTCCCCAACACGACACCCGTCCAGACGATCAATCGATTCTGTTCGTCCGGCCTGATGGCAATCCAGTCCATCGCCAACGAGATCCGCAACGGCGAAATCGAGATTGGCCTAGCGCTCGGGTTCGAGCATATGACTGCCAATCCTGATCGTGGCGTTACATCGTTCTGCGAGGAGATCATGGCTCATCCCGAAGGAAAGGATTGTATCATGCCCATGGGCTGGACATCAGAGAATGTTGCAAGCGATTTCAGCAATGTCACTCGTGATCGGATGGACGAGTTTGCTGCTCGTTCCTACCAACGAGCTGAAGCAGCACAAAAGTCTGGCAAGTTCAAGCAAGAGATTGTACCCATTCTCGCGTATACGAGTTTGCCGTCAAAAGGCGACAACGGTGCTGCTGCACCTCGTCAGCGCAAGACTGTCTCTGATGACGATGGCATCCGTCCCGGCACGACTGCAGAAGGTCTCAGCAAGGTCAAGTCGGCATTCCCACAATGGGGCAAGGGCGCTACGACGGGCGGTAATGCATCCCAGATTACAGACGGCGGCGCATGCGTCTGCCTCATGACGCGTCGCAAGGCGCAAGAGCTTGGTCTCCAGATCATCGCAAAGCATGTCGCTACTACTACTGTCGGTCTCGCACCCCGTATCATGGGTATCGGACCATCATATGCAATCCCGAAGCTCTTCAGCCAGCTCAACCTCACCGTGTCAGACATCGATCTGTTTGAGGTCAACGAAGCCTTTGCGTCCATGTATGGTCAGTCCGGCCTTCTCTGACAGCGGATGATCATCTCATTCGCTCGAGCGTAGTCTATTGTGTCGATAAGCTCGGCTTGCCCGTCGACAGGACAAATGTCAACGGCGGAGCAATCGCGCTCGGTCACCCTCTTGGTATGCAGATTGAGGGGCATACATTTCCGAGCTGATTGCAGCATATAGGTGCAACGGGAGCTCGACAGGTTGCTACGGGTCTGCACGAGCTACGAAGACGCAAGGGAACCAGTCTTGTCACGTCGATGTGCATTGGCACCGGTCAAGGTGCAGCGGCCCTGTTCATTGCCGAATATTAGTCAAAGCACTCTCCAATGCATGTCTGATAGTCACAACCAGTATACCGATGCGATGGCGGCGGGATGATGAGGTAGTGAAGCGCGCCCGCGGTATTGGGTCGCCTTTGTTCATCTGAACTTTCTTCGAGCAAAGGAGCGCGATGGGTCTGTGGACTGATGCGCCTGAGCGTCCATATGTGAAGAGACTATGATGTGCCTCTATAGGTATAAGACGACTTGCGCTTGTTTCCTCCTCATCAGGCCATCGCACCCAGAGCACCGCACGAGTAGTATACACGATCCCCTTGCAAAGCATACACATCAGTAACAGGCGTATCTCGAGGCTTGTGTGCAGCACACTGTACGTCGCCCCTCTTTCCACTGATGCGCTGGGCTGATAGGCGTCTGTGTAGATGACTTCGCACCCTGCATTTTCTGGCCTAAATATACTCGTTTCGAAGATGATGCAGACCAAGTCAAAGGCTAGTAGCAAGTGCGATGGGAAAGCTGCCGCGAAGGAAGCCCGTTCGCAAGCGATGGACCAGCAGTCAAGAGACGCACTGGATCTGACGCCGCCGCCGTATGCCGTCGACGAGCTTACCGCGAGTTTACGAGAGAAGGATGTTCATATCGACCGGGAATTGACTCGCATGGGCTTCTGATCATCGCGAGTGTATGCAAATGCAAGCAAGAGATAAGACTAGCGGGCTGTAGTGCGTTGTGGAGGCGGGGTGGAATGCAAGTGAGCGGGAAATACGCGCATTTGATTGGTTGCTATGATCGGCATCGGCTACGCGACAGGCCGCCCGGCTGTTGCGAATTCGACGAACACAGCAACATGTCCAAGGCACGCCACTGTTCGCCCATCGCCGTCGCACGCTAACCAACCGAAGCAGACAATCAATCTCAAGGAGGTTGCCGAGCACACGAGCGAGACATCGGCGTGGATCATCGTCGAAAATGGTAGGTCATTCGATGAGCAGCGGCTCGCTGGAGGCTCATGCCACTCTATGCAGGCGTTTATGATGTCACCAAGTTCTTGCAATCACACCCAGGTACGATTCGGTTATGTGCGCGTGCGCATCCAAGCTGACATCGATGCGTTAGGTGGCACAAAGATCTTGTTAAAGGCACGCGCAAATAAAGGCACGGGTAGCTCGAACTGACCTCAATGGAATGCACAGAACTGCGGCAAAGATGCGACCGAGGCGTTCTGGAAGTACCACTCGTGAGAAGACCGCTTCGAGCCGCTCGATGTTGCTGACGCGCTTTCGCAGCAAACGCGTACTCGAGAAGACTGCAGCAAAGATGAAGATCGGCGAAGTCGGTGGCGAGGCTAAGCTATAGACGCACGCATTCGGAAGCTCTGTCGATCTAGATGAGTCATTGTCGACGAGAAACGCCGCGCGCGCACGCATCAGCTTTCGTTTCAACACTTTGTGGCTTGTTGTGTCGACTCGAGATGCATTTACACTTCACAGATCCTACACCTCCGAATCTATTGCAAAGTCGAAGCTGAAGGAGCTCTCTGAGATACTGGAGACCTTGTCGCCAAAGAGCATTGATTTAGGCTCCGTTGTGCTTTTCGATTTCCTTTCGAGCTCCCTGAGCCCGGCGAGGCCGTCTTTGTATAGCGCAGGCTCTGCTGCCGCGAGCGCCTGACAGAAGCGCTCGTACACATCTGCAGGGATCTCGTCGCAATCGCGCGCGTTAAGCGGGTCCGCTGTCTTGTCGAGCTTGAAGCCAGAAATCTGCTCTGGCTTGTGCCTAAGAAAGTGCATGACTTGAGGCAAACATTCGGCAGACACGAAGTTTTGCGTGATCGCTATCGAGTCTTCTAGATTGACGACGATATGCCACCAGCCGGAAGGAACGAAGAAGATTTCGCCAGGCCGACAGATACCTTGCCTGAGCAATCCGCGATGCTTGGGTTCTTTGGCGTGCTCGCCGTATTCTGCAAGCGTCTGCTGATAGTAGTTGATCCACCATTCGGCCAGAGAGAGAGGACACTCGACTTCGCTCCGGTCTGCAGAGACGTGCACGCCCGGCGGCAAGACATGAGGGGGTAGAAGGATCCATGCCTTTGCACCGGCAATGACTGCATTCCACTATCTTGAAGATCAGCACGCGCGCAGTAGAACATACAGCTGCAACTGACTGCACTAGTGGCATTCGGATCCACATGCCACGTTGAGCCGCTTCGCCTCGGTCCGGCGATGAGCCAACGATAGTCGGGGCGCTCATCGCCCAGAACGTAGAAGAGATCATCATCGAATGGCAAAGGGACCGAGTATTCGTCTTGGCAGAGCATCTTTTCGACAAAGTGACTCTCAAAGAGATACAGCGGCGATTCGTCAGCAGGACAATGATCGTGATATGTAAGATATGTTGCCAAATTGGCCAATACAGCCTCTGCTCGAAGCTGACAGTCTGGAAAACGTTGCGCAAGCGTCGTGAGTGAGTTCCAGGATCGAGATCCTTTGTAAGCAGACCAGGTGTCCATCGCGCCGGTCAAAATGAAAGGCTCTTGACCAAGTCCTTCTTTCGTCACTGACGCTACATCCCTGCGAGGCACCAGATCTTGCAAGGAATTTGATCTAACTAGACTATTGGCATCGTACGCCGCCGCTAAGACTGGCGTGTAGAGCACATCTGAGTAGATGCAGGAGAGATCGGGTGCAGCAATGCAGTCGGCAGGCACTCCGTAGTATTGCCAGAGATATGTCGAGCGCCAGGAACCTTGCCAACTTCGCAACAGGCCATTCGTGCGAGTAATGTAAGCGACCTTCCAGAGGGCCTCTATCGATGACCAGGCAAAGAACGCTCGCGAACAAGCTTGTGTCAGCCTCCAAGAGTCTGGATCGAGTTCGCCGAAAATTTGAGATATCAGCTCGTCGGAGAGCAGAGAAAGCGAGCCCAATCCCTCCGTCCGGGCTGAGTTGCCTGTAGAAGCCAGCAGAGCATTACCAGACGGCCTGACACCCCGTCTGACGGGCTCTCCGCGTTTCTGTCTCTTCTGCGAGGGCATGACAAGCCCGCTGCGCGCCGAACAAATGATCAATTCTGCTGCAAAGAAAGTTTGATGGATCTACATTTGACATCTCCATTCCCGATTTTAGCTGGCTGAACGGCGACTCGGCTGGGGTTCCCGCGCGTGAAGAGTCGCCAATGAGCGCGAGTCGAGATCATCTACGCAAAGACCTGTGGCGGCAGGGCTATATAGGTCACTGTTTTCATCTGTTGTGCTCTCGAAGCGGCAGGGTTGCAAGCGTGTTGCAAAGCTCTGGCCCCAGTCGGAGCCGGCTGTCCTCGTGATTGCACGGACAAATAGGAAAGGCGTCCTGGGGGGCCTCTCGACGCCTCACGCCACTGTGTAGAGGCGCTCGTTGCCACCTATGACCGATCAAGAAGAGGGAGAAGTATTGCATCCCAGCACGGCTCAAGAGAGCTCGTCTGCCGCGAGAAGACAATCTTCAGGCGTTCGGCTGCCGCCAATCGCGAGCGTGCTAGCAGATGAGCAAGGTGCTACAATACAGCCGTTACAGAGCTATGGCCTCGATCCACGCGGGCAACACTACTCTGGCGAGAGGTCACCTCTCTCGCTCGAGCATAGACCTCCTAGCTCGCCTCGATCTTTGCAACCGACGGCCGGGAGCTCAAGCGGTCGATTAGATGATTTAGCTTCATATGAAAATGAGCAGCGAATCCTAGACCAACGCCAGCAGCGGCAGCGGCAGCTCGAAGAATTCAACATGCAGGACGTATCGCTACAAGAGACCGCGCATCACGCTCATGGATCAGACTCGCCGTACGAGCACAGGACGCAGGGACTGAGCAGGGCGCAAGCGGACATGTATGCGCAGCGACCTGCCAGTCCCCTCTGGGCCTCGCAGCAGTCTCATCCACACAGCCAAGCGCCGTATCACCTGCCACTGTCACCGTCTGCTGGTATGCCGAGGTATCACAGGCAACAGTCACCGCCAGATGAGACAATCGATCCTCTCTTTGATGCTACTGGCACACAAGCATGGACAGCTCGTCAGATGCCCATGTACTCCCAGGGCTCTTTCGCGGCTCCTCAGGTGTCCTACACTGCCAGTCCTGTACCTCAGTCAGCTTTGATACCTACCGGTCCGCTGCCCTCGCCAAACCACGCGTCGCATGGCCAACAACAACAAAATGCCGGTCCGGCTCACTATCAAGAGGCGCACCAGTTGATGCAGCAACGACAGTCGCTTCAAGCTAGCACATCAGCACATCCTGGTCCGCCACCGCCCACGCGCGAGCTCAGCCTGGAGGAGATGTACAAGGTCGACGAGTATCCGGATGGGAGGATGTACATCTGTCTCATCGATCGATGTAGCGAGCGCTTTGTCACTCAGGAGAATGTCGAGGATCACATCAAGTCGCAACATCTCGAAAAGCGTCCTCATGTCTGTGCAGAAGACGGCTGGTGCGTCGCGCCCTTGCATCACTTGTGTATGCGCGCGCTAAGACGCGTCTGCTCCACAGCTTCTCGTCTTTCGTCCGCTCTCACGACCTTCGCAGGCACAGCAGGATACACACTAAAGTGCGGCCCTTCACGTGCTCTTGGTCAGGCTCCCCAGACTGCGTACTCCCCAATGCTCATTCTTCGTACTTGCAGCGGAAAGGCTTTCTCGCGAGGCGACGCGCTTAATCGACATCGGCGGCGCAACATCTGTATTGGCGGCGTAGGACCGAGCACGACATTGCAGACGCCCCTTGCTCAACAGCAGCAGCAGTCTCTGCAGGTTCAGCCGCAGCCGCCGCCGCCGCCGCCGCACCATCAACAACATCAGCACCATCAGCAGCAGCAGCAGCAGCACCATGAATCTCATCATTCACTAACTCAGCAATCTCACCCTCTCCATGCGGCCACTCCGCCGGAGCAACAATGAGCGCGCGCGAGGTAGAGCTGTCAATCGATTCCAGTGTTGTTCTGCTATACTAAATGACGTGCCGTTTGTGCTGTTCCCCTATGCTCATCTCAGCCCGTCTTGATCGCTTGCTTGCTCGCTCGCGGCCAGCCTCCGCCAAGACCGTTGAGCACGAACATGAAGTATGGCAAGCCTGGTGAGTGATTCAGCACAGATCACGAGTGCTCTCGAAGCAAGACATACGTGAGAGCTTGAGCAGATGGAAGCCAAGGAACCAGATCGTGAGCTCGGCAAAGGTGAAGAACCTGCTTGACGATGAGCACGGGGCAGAATGCCGGTCGATGCAGACGCACTCGAACGAGCCGGCGGGCGCAGTCTCCTTGATCCATCTGATCACATCTACCCACAGCTTCATCGAGGCTATCCCTTCCACGTCAGCACTTTGAGCATTCAGTCTGTATGCTCACGTACCCGGCGAAGGCGCTGTCTCGGGGTGTTTGAGGAACGTCATGAGAATGCGAGCATAGATGCCGATGTGGACATGACCAACCGTCGCGATCGCGTCCTTGTAGGCAGCATTCGTGAGACAGATAGACCAGTCTTCTGTCGAGAAGACCTGCAGATACAGATTCGGTGGAGCGTAGTCGTGCAATTTGTCGCTTTCTTTGGGAAAGAGATCTTTGGGCAGAAAGTCGAGGGAAGGCCGCTCGAAGCCAGTAGCGAGTACAAAGACATCGCCCCTAATCGTCTTGAGATCACCCTCATCGCCCGCCTTTGACTCGCGCGGTCGATAAGAAAATTTGACGCCGTCGCCCATGACATCGATCAAGTCACCTCGAGCGTACGTCACTCGACCTTGTCGAATATGCTCGAGGAAGGAATTGTTGACGATGGGTGTGCCAGCGTATACGCCTTTCTTGTACGGTGAGATGTCTTGTAGATCGCGATAGTGGAAAGTCCTGAGGAGCCATTCAGGTATGAAGCTGAGTGGTGTCTGTCTACCGAGCGGCTGGAGGGCAAGCAACGTGTCGACTACAAAATTACGAGGGATGATCCACTTGTCAGAGCGTGCGAGCACAGTGACGTGTTTTGCATTATTGGCCAGAGCAGTCTCGGCAGCTTCGACACCGCTGGCACCAGAACCGAGTACGATGACACGCTTGCCTTCGAGATCCAGGTCATCCAGTTGTGAGCTATGGGCGACTTTGCCTCTCCATCGCTCGAGATTCTTGACATCAATTCGCTTCGGCGCGCCGCATGTCCCGATAGTAGCAAAGACGGCATCGAACACGGTCGTCTGGTCTCCGTTGATGATCCATCGGGATCGTTCGCCTTTCTTGTCCGAATGGTGCCGCTCGACTTTTGTCACTTTCTCCCAGCGTGTGCAGGCGTCAAGGCCGTACCGCGTCCATACCTTTTCCACCTCGCCGACGACTTCATCGCGGTGTGGGTAGGCTTTCGACCAGATGACGGCCGGAAAGAAACGATAGAGCATCGAGTTGAGTTGTAGCCCACTAGTCTTGTTGACTCTAGCCCACACTCCGCCCGGCGCTTTCGCGGGACTGTCGTCATACAACGTCACCAGGAATCCGTTGCCTATGAGATGGGCTGCAGTAGAGACACCCGATACACCGGCGCCAATGACGGCGACATGTCCGTATGCTGCATTCCTCTGATCTTGTGGTGGCGGCAGTGAGGGAGCAAAGACAAAGGCGATGCAATGTTGAACGAAACGATAGATGAAGGATACGATCTCATTGATGAGACTTGTGATCGTATAGATGACACCCTTTGGGCTCAGACTGAGCCGCGGGTGCTCGAGCTCGACTGCAGTCACATCGGAACCCTCTGAGCGCGGCATATCGGCAGTCGCCGACGGTAAGGTCGCGCGCAAGATGCAAGCACGCACGCGCCCCGCGCCCCACACGAGCAATCACGGCCACCTCGACAAGAGCTTCAAGCAAAAAGGGCACTACTGCATCGATACATGCATCGACCGTAGCACACCGGAAAGAGCAGAGAGCGTCGAGACGCCGTCTCCCTTCCTTCGACCTTGAGCGAGCCTGTAAGTGACTCTGCCCCACTGCGCTCGGCTGTCTACAAACGACGACCGCGACGACCACCCTGTAAGCCGGAGAGTATCGTCAGGATTGTGCACTGCCAACAAACGCAGAGTGCGTACCTTTCTTCGGGTAGAATCGGTGGGAACGGGCGTGACGTCCTCAATGCGGCCAATACGCATGCCGGCACGAGCGAGAGCGCGGAGAGCAGACTGAGCACCTGGTCCGGGCGTCTTGGTGCCAACTCCACCCGTTGCGCGAAGCTGGGTCAGTTGCGTAAGCGTAAAGTAGACGTGAGACGAGGAGAGCCTACCTTGATGTGCAACGCGGTGATGCCAATCTCCTTGCAGCGAGCAGCAGCGTCTGCGGCGGCCAACATGGCAGCGTAGGGTCTAGGAACAGTCAATGTCAGCTCAAAGGCTCAGCTTGAGATCGTCTGTAAACATACGAGGACTCGTCACGATCGGCCTTGACCTTCATGCCGCCCGTGACGCGAGAGATGGTTTCCTTGCCGGACAGATCGGTGATGTGAACAAAGGTATCATTGAACGAGGCAAAGATGTGTGCAACGCCTGTCCGTTGAGGCTGTCAGCAATCTGGCGAGGTGCTCGTCGAGCGTGAACTGACCAAAGACGAGCTCCCCTTCCTTCACCTGAGGGCCGAGAGAGATGTTCTCGACTTCCTTGACGACCTTTGCTTTCGGTGCCATCTTGAGCTGCTGTAGTATGGCGGAAGTCGAGAGCCAGCAGGCAAGTCAAGATTTGCAGTCGACAGATTGAGCGGGCAAGAATTATCGCGAGGCGAGTTGAAGGCGTCAAAGAGCCGACAGGCGAGCGAGAAAAGAACGAGCACAAGTAAGCGGAGGTTAGGCTACAGGGGACACGCTACGAACCTTTCTATCTTGCCTTCAAGTAAACCCTTCCAGCGAATCACGAGCGGCTGACAAAATCTCTCACGCGCTCAAAACTTGTGACGCGATACCTCGGTCTGCAAAATTAGGGACATCTTGTGCCTGCTGTTCCTTCAAGCAATGACTCGTGTGAGACGGAGCAGGACGCATGGCTCGACGAAGAACCAAGCAAAGTATTTGAAAGGACGACGGTCGACAAAGGACATCGATCAGATCCACGAAGACATTGACAATGCGACTTTCGATCCTGATCGTCGTACCCGACTCGATGGAGGCTTCAAACCGAGCCCTGAAGATCTGCCAGGTCAGCAAGAGCTCTGCTGTATCCGTGCGGACAGCGAAGAGGCATTGCAATAGTCTGCGGTAGCTTACATCTGCCAAAATTCGCAGGTGGAGGTGAACACCACTGCTTGCAGTGCGACAGGCACTTTACAACAGACGCCGACCTATCTCATCATACCAAGTCCAAGATACAGTCCGTGCAATGCGCGAACAGGGAGTTTCACAGCTGATGGTGTGAGAGCAGCAAACGTCGCTTGAAACAACTCAAGGAGGAAGCCTACTCCCATGTCGAAGCCGATGCTGGTCGAGGCATTGGCAGGGATAATCGGCAGCGTACAGGTGACGGCAAGCTCGTCGAAGAGACTATGCAATAAATATGCCCTGCTAGCGCACATGGGATCGTAGGCACCTAGAAGCGTCTCGGGCAATACCGCTGCAGCAATGTACCCCGGATTCGCGTCTCGTCAGCCCGGTGACTCTTGTACAAAATCAGCCACATTGCCATGTCTTCTTTGTCTGTTGTACAGCTCTAGGCAGGATTGTCAAACAATGTGCGACGAATAGACTCGGCGACTCGCGATCGATCCCGTCACGGCTGTAATGGCCCAACCTTTGGAATGTCCACGTCAGAATTCGTGGAATCACACCAAATTTGCGCACTTCTTTCTTTCGGGCGTCCTAGCTTGAGCTCTCGGACAAGATCGCAAGCCCCTTCTGCAGAGATGGGTGCTTCGTCTTGATGACTAGATTTTCAATCGAGTCCGGTAACGGAGCAGATCTGGAAATCTTTCCGGGAACTCTTGATGGCAGGATCGCGCTCGCTGGGCTTCGGAAGTGGATTTGCCTCAAGTCGCAAACTTGATGCCACGGCGTAGACATACTTTTGCAGCATTTTTGCTAACGGCTTGCATGTACACAACATCGTCTGACCTGTCTACCAGCTCACGCTGAGCGGCGACTTGCTTGCTTGATAGTACAAATCTCTGAGCACCTCTACTTGGTCGTCCGCCATCACAGGCGAGCCAAGGGACGATGAGCTAGCTTTGCGCGTCCTGAAGAATCTGGATGCAGCTCTGCGCAAGTCGCGTGATCGACTTGTCGCCATCTCTGATCCATCGCCAACCAAATCTGGCGAGCATGCTGATGGTGTCACGACGGACCGCTGGCCGGGTTGAAGTTCCGCTGCGAGCGTCTGTGCCGATCGGATCTGCTGAGCAAGCCTCGCACTGGCTTCTTTGGCCTTTGATGCATGAATATCGATAGAGCGCGATCGTGCAAGTCGTTTGACCGTGAGTGTGCTGCCGGGCGGACTGGAAGAGCTAGCGCGCGGGAGACCAGGCAGCGATGTCTTACGAAGCCGAGTAGCGACAAATGACATGCGCCGGGAAGCTTGCGTTGATAACATGCTCTCGGATTGCACGCGGTGACGAAGCCGAGGTCGTTCTAGGTCGAATGCAACGATGCCACCGTCATCCTTGTCTGCATCCGCTAGCTGATGTCTGATGCACGACATTCGCAACAGCCAAGCACTTGCAGACGGAGTACGTTGAAGCTCTCATCGTCAGATGCAGTCTGTGCGTGCTTCGATCTTCTCCTTCGCGTCAGATCGCAGGCAGATGGAGCGTTCTCTCTTTGCGAGCGATGATCTGAGTACGCTTGCCGACTGTCCAGACAGATACCAGCTCTCGCTCGGCCCACTTGCGCTTTTCGCCTGGCTTTGGCACTGGCGGCGGTGTTTCCTGCCCATCTGGCCCGAGCGGACGGGGCGCGTCTCGAGCAGGCGTAAGCGTATACATGATCTCAAGAGCAGCAAGAGCGCCACCATAAGCACTGGAGATGCCTGTATCGATGAGGATGACCTGACCGGCGCATCGTGATTTGATGCCTTCGAACTGTGGCGTGTGACCCATGATCAGTCGACGGACGCCAAGCGACCGCATCGTCTCCGCCGCACGCGCACACATCTCCGTCTCGTCTTCGTCTAGTGCAAAGCCGCGATACCACAGCGGACCCTTTTCCTCCCACAGAGCGCGCTCTTCGGGCGAAGCATTGCGAGGCAGACTGAGTGGGCTGGCCAAAGGACCGCTGATGCTCTTCTCAAGCAGCGAATGGCCCAGCTTGTTGATCTCGCCCACTGCATTAGGCTTTGCTGCCCATTCTGGATGGATGCCGCCATGGACAAAGCTGGCGGCTACGCCAGCGAATGGATCCAAACGATGCTCTTCTTCCGTCGTCTCCGCATCCGGCGAAGAGAAGAGCGTCTGCTTGTCCGGACCACGCCATATACCCAGTGGTCGTTGTGGGGCATGATCGGAAAGGCGTGCTTTGATCTGCCGCTGACATCGACGCTCTTGTCCATCAATAGGATCAGACAGACAATCTTCGAGTGAGTCGTTCAGATAAGGCGATGCAGCATGACCTTTGAAATCAAGATTGTACTGCACTCTTGCTGTGAAGGTATAATTTGCTGCAGGATCATCCCACGTCAGCGTGACATCCGGCAGGCTGAAGAGGGACTCACCGAGCCAGTTTTGTCCAATCCAGCCGCGCGAGGACATTGCCCGACGACGATTGCGTTCGCCTCCGAATGATTCTATGTCCTCCTTGGTCACATAGCGCCAGTCGCCCATCGCGTTCATCATCCTGACCGCGCATTGCATGAGCTGCTTGTATAGCACTGCGTTTATGAGCATCACTGACTCGTGATTGCCCATGAGCGACACCACCTGGCCGCCTACTTCTGCAGCCTGGGAGCGCAGGGTCTCAAAGAAGTGGTACAGCGCAATCGTATCCTTGCCTCTGCAGCCCGCTGTCAGCCTCATCTGCTGAGTGCAAAGGCGATTGGCTTGCCTGTCGACGATGTCACCGGTCTGGACGAGGATGGTAGACTTGCCGATCCAATGGTTGTGCTCGTTGATGACTTCGATGTTGCGGAGTGTGCGAACGGCGTGATTGAGATCGCCGTGCAAGTCTCCAATGGCCACAATGCGTCGTCTGAAGCCTCGGGGCACGTAAGCCAGATCTTGTGCGCCGAGCTTGCTCCTGCGCCATCTTGCCACGCCTGCTCGTCCGCCGAGAAGCAAAGTCGTGCACGCTAACAGCAGAGCGAATACTCGGGCCAGTCGTAGGATTTTGGACCTGAGCACGGTCGTCTTCATTTGGTCGTTCGTCATCGGCTCATCGCGACGTTCGTCAAAGGACGCGACGGAAGAAAGCGGTGACCCCAATGAAAGGCATGCATGCAAAGCTCTAAGACATGATCGCATTGTCGATGTTTGCCGCGCCAGCCTTATTTGTTCGCGATCCAGCCTTTTACAATGTCAGCGAACGAGACCATGCAGACCGTCTGCCAAATGCCCTGCATCGCCCCTCTACATCAGCAAAGGCACCTTGCCGAGCCGGGCAAGGCAAGACCGACCAATCCGATACGCGGTGTGACACCTCTGTAGAGACCTTTGATGCCCGTCTCAGAGTAGATGTAAGCGAGTGTACTGCAGGCTAATCAGCACAAAATCTGGGCAGCGCGGGCAGGGGAAAAGACAGACTTGAGTACAGTGAGCTTTGCGGGTCTGTTCTTGCCTGGGTTGTTCGCCATAGATTGCATCTCGACTCGCACGACTTCGATGGGTTGATTCCAGCATCCTAGCGCGCCACCGATCGAGGAGGCAAAGACGGTATCGAGCGCAGACAGTTTCTCTCCTGGCGCTTTGCCCCTGGCATCTCTGATCATGGTCTCCGCCTGCACATCATCAGGCAATGAGCGTCAAACTCATGAGACGCTCATGGGCAGTCACGCACGAAGCGAGCAAAGCCCATGCGAGAGCCCCAGTTTGTGCACTGGCGGATGGCGACCGCATTGACGCCCTTGTTGATGCCGCGGATACCCTCTTTCTGCCAGATGTTACCGAAGACTGCGCGCGGGGCGTGAGCACCCGGTAATGGCTATCTACAGTCAACTGACCTTGCCAGGTGGATGGCGGTGTAACGCCTTGTGCGGCTACTTTTGAGCGTGTAATCTCAGCACTGGCAGTGCAAGATGAGCGTAGAGTGCGGCATAGAGTAGACAGGGCACATACGTCTTCATGGTGGTACAGAAGCCGACTGTCGCGTATGCTTGCGCGATACCGCCCGCCATGCCACCGAGGAGACCAGCGGTGCCTTGCGAGACGCCCTTGTCGGTCGCAAAGTTCTCGACCTCTGCCGCTGTGAAGAGCAGTACTGCGCCCTTCGTTGAGGCTTCGATCCATGCCTGTCAGCTCGGTTGAGCACACGTATCAGCAGAAAGACGCGTCTGCTTGCCCATGGGATAAGGCCTTGGTAGACTGTCGTCGCAGCATTCTATCAGCATCGTGAAGCTGTGAATCGACTGGTACCGACATCCTAAAATCTTGCCTCTGGCCCAGACTTTCTGGATGGCGACAGACATCTTGTCGCCTCTGCTCGAGGCCATTTGGGTCTTGACGACTTCGAGCGGCTGGCCTAGTGTCGTTGCTGTCAGGACAGAGTGATCTCAGTCAGATGGTGATACGTGTGAGACCAGCTATGACTGACCTTCGAACATGTTCATGATAGCTCTGTACGTCGTCACGAGTGTCCCAACCCCACAGAGCAAGCCGATAGGTTGAGTCGAGCCAAAGGGGAGCAAAGGGTCGAACGATGACCGTGAGAATGTAGAGCGTAGCGTTGATCGAAGCAGAGAGCAGATGAGAGGACGACGTTGTTATCAGCTGGGGTGCTCAAAGAGCTCAGCAAAGAGTCAACTTGCCCTACACCAATGTTGGACCAATTGACGGGCGCTCGCTCGCCTGGCGCTCGCTTGGCTGTTGCACCGACTGCCATACTGCTCTGGCTTTGCTGTGACGGTGCTCAACAAGCAAGAGAAAACTGCCTTGGAGCGTGAAGCCTGGCCAACGAAGCGAACAGGTGCACACGCGCGCCAGTCGTCGCGAGATGTCAACCCAACCGGGGCCGATAGACAGATTGGCCGACGTTCCGCTCGTCTTTCTCCTCAGTCCGACCTCAGTCACATAGACAGTGGCTCACGCAGAAGTCTGTGATGCAGTACGCCAGAGCACGAGAGCTCATCGACGCCTTGCACCGCGAGGATCCTGCGGGCGAGGAGCTCGCGTACGCCGATAGCGTCGAGCGATGGGTCAAGCAGCTCTATCCTGAAGCAGATGATGTACTTCTTCTCGCTGCACGGTGTCAGCATCTCCAGCGGTGGTCGCTTCCCCGCACGAGCTTCCCCGATGGCAAAGCGGGCTATCTGTCATGGCGTACGCGCTCTCTTTCCTCGCAAGCTGTCATTGTGCTCATGCGTGACAGACAGGTCGGAGATTGTACGTTGTACAAGCAGACAAGGCGGCAGAGCTCCTCAGGCAAGCCGGCCTGCAAGACGAAGAGATTGCTGCTGTCCGACAATGGGTGTCTAAGAGCGACCTCCGTAAAGGCAATCCTGGCACACAGGCGCTCGAGGATGGGGCAGTCCTGACCTTCTTCACGAACCAACTCGAAGTCGAGAAGCTCACCGATCATGACAAGCTCGACAGATCCAAGCTGGTCGATATCGTGCGAAAGACATGGGGTAAAGTGAGCCCTAAAGGACAGGAGGCGATAAGGAATCTAGACTTGGACGAGACGCTCAAAGGCCTAGTGAACGAAGCGCTGGCTGCATAGCGAAGACTCTATCTGCATGCAAATGACGACACGATTCTGTTTTGTTGTACACACAAGCAACAAGCACGCGCGAGAGGCCAACATTTGCTGTTTCGACAGAAGAAGGGTATCCGCGAAAAAGTGATTTCACTTTTCGACAATGTGGATGCAGCCCGAGCGACGTGTCTCTTCCGAGTGTTTCTTCCATTCGCCAGTGTCTTCCATTTCCAGTCCGGTCACGTAGCGAGACCACATTTCCTGTGTCGATCTCATAAGCAGAGCTCGCAACGAGCGCAAGAAGCAACACACCTCCAAGCCAGTCTCGAGATTGCGGACCCAGCGGCGAGTGTCGTAGATAGGCGAAGTCTCTCTGCTGAGGAACAGCTTGCGCCTGAGCTCGTTGAGTTCGCCCGAACCACGTCGGATCGAGGGATCGGCTGGATCGAGCGTGTACTTGAGGCCGTTGCCGAGCTCAGCTGCTCGTCGCTCGTACTGGGCTTCATCCTCGACGACGAGCGCGTCTGCGAAGCCGCTGGCGGTGACGATACTCGTAGAGACGCGCGATCCCATTTTCTCGCGTTTGCGAGGCGACACCACGATGGGCGAGCCAGACCAAAGCACATCCACGCAGGTCGTGTGTGATCCAAGCTGCAGCTCGAGTCAGCGCGGACGAGGACGAGACATGCTGAAGGACTTACCTCCAAGGTATCAATGAAGAGATCCGCAACTCTGCCGCGGTTGAGATGCTCATCTTTCGAAGCAACAGATGTAAAGAGGATCCGCTTGGCAATTGCTTCGCCTCCCCATCGCTTTGCAGTGTCAAGCAGATTGGGCTCGCCAGCTGCAGGGAAGCGAAGGAGCCACAAGACAGAATTCGGAACAGCTTGCAAGATCTTGAGCCAGATGCAGAACGTCGAGGGGTCGATCTTGTAGAGCTGGTTGAAATTGGCAAAGATGACAGTCTCGGGAGCGAGCTCAGGGAACAGAGCCTGACGCATCCGCCATCGGCATCTCTCTTCTTCTGCCCATCGCTCCTCGAGATTTGGCAAAAGCTCGTGAGGCTCACGAGGAGCCGACTGAGCATGGTCGGCTACAAAGTAGCTGTGCGGCATGTAGCAGAGCTTCTCCGTGTAGACCCAGCTGGCGTCATTCTCTTCTGGATCGAGATCACCCGGAAGCTCCGTGGGCCGAGTTATCGAGCTGGCATCAAGCTCTTGACGTTTTCGCCAGACATTACAGGACACCATGTCAGGCGGACATACAATCTCGTCTGCGATCAGCCAGTCACACCAGCTTGCAGCGAGTGTTCCGACAAAGCCCATGTATGCCACCTGGATGGGGCACGGGCGAGCTGCAAAGATCTCGTTGCGAGCACCCTTGGTGTAGCCGTTGAGGTTGACGAGGATGTGGATCTTATCGTTGATGATGGTCTGGATAATCTCGGCGTTGCGCATGGCAGAGACATCACGGAAGCACTGCGATTCAGCTGAGATTTTCTTGCGATATTGCGATTGATCTGAGGCCGTCGTGGCATACAAGAAGACGTTGAACCGGTCCAGATCGTGCATGCCGAAGATGCTCTGCATCAGATGCGACAGAGGATGGTTGTTGAAGTCTGAAGACACGTATCCGATGTTGATCTTAGGTGAAGGCGGCGGCGGAGGTGGGTAGACGTGAGTGGGCATCCATGGCTGCGAGAGTGCGGACATTGAGATCCGTAGCGCATTGCGATGCGAGATTAGGCGAATCTCACGAGCATCCAGCGGGTATGTGAAAGTGTGGAAAGGCAAGACAGTAGGCACTGCAGTTGCTGTGAGCTGTGGCGGCAGCAGCGGTCGCTTGTACTGAGCAACAACGGCAGGATCACTGAGATCGATGGCGGACATTGGCGCATCCGACTTGACAAGCGAGCCGTACTGGTGCAGATACCAGCGGCGTTGTACGCGACGGCTGAGATGTTCGATCAGGCGAATGATGAAGCCCCCCTCATTGATAAGGAGAGCCCATCGATCAAGCTTTTCGTAGAATTGCGAAAGACGGTCAGTCCATGCCTGCGTATTGTCGAGAATGCCGCCAGTAGCGAGTGCCTGGGCAACGACTGCAAGCCAGCCTTCGATTGGCTGCGTGTTGGCGATCATGCCGGAGCCGTAGGCGAGTCCGTCGGAGAGTTGCTTCTGGACGAGCGATCTGATCTTTGCCATCCAGCCTTGAGCAGCAAGAATGGCATCCGAAGCATTGCCTGGCCGGAGAATCTGGCCTTCCGAGCCAACGCCAATCTCGAGACTGCCGGAACCACGATTTTGCCAGTCACAGATGGCGCACAACGCATTTGCAAGTCCGCAAACAGCCTCTGGAAAGTCTGGATTGAGCTGCACTGCGCGCTTGTAGTACGGCACAGACTCTTGCACGTGTCCGAGATCCTGCAGCAGGTTCAGCAAGAGCAACTCTGCGCGGAGTGTGACACACCTTGACTGCATTGGCAAGGTTGGCCAGAGCAACGTCAAAGTTCGGGTTGCAGTCGACTGCCTTTTCGTACATTTGCACAGCTTCTTGTAGGCTGCCCATGTCCTTGAGCAAGCTGCCAAGATTGGTGTATAAATGCGGATGTGAGGGGTCGAGCTTGAGACCAGTCTCGTAGAAGAGCAATGCAAAGTCTTGACCCGACATGCTCTTCGCGCCATCAGGAGTCAAGACAGTTGTCGAAGCCGTCAGACTTGCAAGTAAGATGCCGAGATTATTATAGGTCGAGGGCGTCGGATGGAGAGCCAAAGCAGAGTAGTATAGCGGCAACAGCATCGATGGCGAGAGGGGTATGCCTTCTACTGCTGCAACAGTAACATTTGGTGAGCCGATACCGTCCTGGAAGATCTTAGCGAGCGTGAGGAGGAGCGTGCTCGTCGTTTGGTTTGTCTGAGCAAGCGAACTTGTCGTACCGTTTTGGGAATACAGACTGGGCAGGATACCACCTGTGCTCGCGAAGAGATGGCTTGGCAGACGTGCGATGAGCTCGGGCGTAAGCAGCGTCATGGGCAGGAAGCCGCCGCCTTGTCGAAGCAGTGCAGCAGCGACATTGTCGCTCTGACGCGAGACCGAAGTCAATAGATCCTGCCAGTAGAATTTTCCGTGATGCGATAGCCCTAATTCTTGATCGATCGTGTTCATACACATCAGCGCGTCTTCGCCCAGAGCTTCCCGCATCAAGCACAAGCTGGCAAGACAAGAAGCGAGCATGAAGTCGCGGACGTCAAAGCCGAGTATTGAAGGGCCACGAGCGAGGGCAATCTCGATACCCTTTTCGTAATTGCACCTTGCCTTGTCAGCTCGGCCAAGATTTGCCCACAGATTCGCTTTGGCATTGAACAGAGTCTGAAAGCGATGCACGTTGCTAGCAGGAATGTACGCAGGTGTGATGAGCGGTCGCTTCGGCTTCACCTTGGCATCGTCAGCATAGAAGATACGTTGCTCCACAAAGTCACAGAGCTGAATTGCTTCTTCATGACGCGGCGGTGTTGCTGCAATCGACTCGCCTTTCGTGCTGGTCTGCGAAGGCTGTGCGGTGCATAGCACGCTGAGCAAATTGTCAAAGGCATCACAGTCTGTCGAGGGAGCATCAGCGATGCTGCAGTCAAAATTCAAGAGATCGCTTACACATAGGGCGCAGCTTGATAGCTTTCCACCACCATTGTTCAGCTTGTGCGCAATGACCAAGCGCGCGCAACGTGGTACCAATGTTCGACATGGCTTCAACGTACTGACTGTCGACTTTGAGGATTGCCTCGTTCCAGTGAATGCTCGACTTGAGGTAGTCGCGATTTGAAGCGCCTTTGCTGTAGTAGACGCAGCTGAGGAGGAGCAAAGTCGGACAGTGAGTCGGATGTGTACTTTGTAGCATGTGCAACAAGGGCAAGAGCTGCTCGTTGTTTGCGTCCTCGGTATAGACTTGATGGGCGTATCGGAGCAGATAATCGCGATGTTCTGCAGTGACGAGGTCTTTGTAGAAAAGATCCTTGAGCGTCTCAGTGACCTCAGCCGGTGCAGAAGCCCGTTGAGCTGCTTCGAAGGCGTTTCGAGCTTGTGCTTGCGTGGCCGAGCCGTTTTCATTTGCAACTTCAGGGGAGTGCGACTTTTGCTGATCGGAGCGCTGCTGAGTCTGCACGAGCGATTGCGAAGCAGATCTGGCAAGATCGTGGGCTGCCATGACATTGGCAGTGATAGCAGCGGCAGCGGCAGCTTGCACGCGCATGGCAGCCTGACGTGTCTCATCGACACCGGCGTGCGCTGCTTCGGGAGACGATGTAGCAGGCACTTCTGCCTGCAGTAAGCGAGCAAGAGCGTCCTTGTGCAGATGCAGATAGTAGCCTGTTGCGTTGCGGTCGAGCTCACGACGGTAATGATCTGCGTAGATTGACAGATCGACCGAAGGTCGGGAGCCGGAAGACGCCATATGTTCTGCAGAGGCAGCTTGCGTAGCCAGAGAGATAGCTTGATGCTTGGAATTGGTGATTTCCTGATTGACTTCTTTCTCTTGCTGTTGCACATGCATCTTCTTGATCTGCATTGCAATTTCTTGGACCTGATCGGGCTTGAGAGCTGGTTTGTTATAGAAGCTCGTCTGCTCTTTGAGTTGCTGACGAGCTTCCTGCTCCGCCCAGCTGTCGACTGACGTGTAGATGGGCACGAATGGCTTTGCCATTTCTTGAGGCGCAAGCGCGGTTAAGCTATGCTCGGAGGGCGCAACAGCCTGATGGAGCAGAAGTGCCATACTGGGATGCGACTTGATGACTTTTGTCGATTCGAACGTCGCGGGAAAGGCGCTCGGCGAAGGCGGCGGAATTGCCAAAGCTTGCAAGAGACTCTTCTACGTGTACATGTCAGCAAGGGCGCAAGAGGGAACGCAAGAGCTCACATCTTGACGCGACTGAACTGCGAGCTTCATCTGATCCTCAGGATTGCTCGTGCGAGCCAATTGAGCCAGCAAGGTGGGCGGCAAAGTCAAGATGGAGTGAATTTGGTCGTCAGTTTGTGTTCGTCTGCGTTGATGCGAATCGCCATAACCATTGCGAAAGGCTTCAGGGATGTCTTTCATCGTCAGCTTGTCGGGTCTGGCTGGAATCGCGTTCGATTGCGCGGGCGACTGACGAGGCGTGGCACGCGCGGAAAATGACCTGGAGCGCGCAGAAACGGGTGAAGTGCTCGGACTGCCGTTGCTTGCCGTCCGTCTGAGATTGCTACCGGCGTACTGACCGTCTTGGGCATAGTAGGCTTGGCGTTGCTGCTCTTGCTGTTGCTGAGCGTAGCGGAGCTGTTGGGTGTAGGGATCTGTATTGCCAAAGTGCGCAGGATCTGAAGCTTGCCGACCGCGGTGATAGCCATATGGAGCAGCGTAAGGCTGCAAGCCATATACGCCTGGGTGATCGCCCTGCATGGTCGGACTTGTCTGCTGATGGTCCATCGCGACAGCATCATAGTGTGCCTGGTGAGGCGGATAGGCAGGCCCGTGACCGTTTGCGCCTTGAGGCGACTTCGCAAGGCTTGGCTGGGGCAGGGAAGGGTAGTAGCCTTCGGGCGGGTTCACGAGCGGATGGTGCTGCTGCATGGCGCCTTGATGGTAGGTATGACCATTTGACAGGTAGGCCTGTCGAGAATGAGCTGAGCCTCCTTGCTGGTAGTAAGCATCCCATTGGGCTCGCAGGTCTGCTTGAGATCTATTCGCTGTGGCACTGTACGCTCGCTGACGGCTTTGGACGGCATCGTTCTGAAAGTCCTTCGGAACTGGTTGATAAGTGGCTCCTGAAGCGTCTTGCTTTGCAAAGCCATTTGTTGGCACTTGCTGGTGCGAGCGTGTCGCGCTGGCGGGGCTGTAGTGACCGTTGCGCTGAGCACTGGACCACTCATGTCGGCCATTGTGAGCCCAATGAGCGTCTGGCTGCGCGTGACCGTCGAGGGTAGTCTGGATGGGATCGAGCCCATTCGAGTGACCGTTTGAGGGTCGCGCGCCGACATACTGCTGTTGCTGGGCATGCTGATGATGAGCTAGAGCACGATCGCTGGGTTCGTGATGCCATGTCGACAGATCTTGACTCGAGCGTCTTTGGCTAGCTTGGACATCACCGTCGTGCGATTGTGCGACGAATGAGCGACCTTGTCGGCGAGGATCGACGTAGTGGTGGCCGGTCTCGTAGCTCATCTCGAGCTAGCGCATCAAGCTCTGTGACTGTCCTCGCTCTGCCTGTGGCTGGCCGAGGCGAGCACGATGGACCGTGGACGGCAACAGGAGCCTTGCAAGGGAAAAGGAGACGGTGACGTTTCGGGCAACGCTCGCTTCGACTTGCTACAACGTGTCAGACTCGATGTCACAGTCCATTTGGAAGATCCGACGCTGAGACGAAGCGAACATCGAGACCGTCAAAGAGCTTGACGGAACGGTTGCTCTTCGACTGGGCGTCTGTGCTAGATGACTTGACTTTACACTCCTCCGGCCGTTGCCGAAGTCGGTACATCGAGACAAACGCTAGCTGGACGTCTCCTCAATGCGCCTGCGATCTCGTCGACATTGCCAGCAGCTGCAGCAGCGTCGCTCTCTTTGAACAACGCCAGAATGGGACTTGCTCGGCTTGGCGCTGGAATGTGGCGGACAGCGGAACACGAGAGCCGATAGCGATTCTCGAGACTAGCGTGCCTTGCAGCCACATACAACTCATCGATGACAGTTCAAGGCTGCAGTCAGCTAGACCACAGTGACTCTATGCACCCCTGGCTCGCCGCAGGAGCATCACATGATGTCAGTCGCCCTTGAAACGCGGTTCAACTGAGTCATGACGCTGCCTTGCCTGAGACTGTGATAGTGGCACAGCTTGGCCCCACATCCGTACGCATGCGAAGCTCAGGTACCGATGAGAAGCTTCAACAAAGCTGAAGCAACCGTTTATCACCTCCCGTTGGCACTTGTTTGTCAAGAGCTCTCCTTGCATTTTCCAGCGTACCTCAGATTTTGTCCCGCACGCTGTCATAGCTCTCGTGATCATGATTGATCCCAATGAGCTGTGCTACTGATGTGAGCATCGACGTTTGAATCGTGTAAGTCATCCGCCCAGCTCCAGGCCAATGCTAGGCGCGCGCGCGCGCGCTACTCCGCAAAGCATCGAACCGAGTCCCTGCTGCCATGCCGCCCCCACCGAGACCAGTAGCAGGCGCGCAGGAGCCGACAGTCTTTCAGAAACGTCAGTCTGCTTGTGTTTCGGACCCTTCGCACGCTCATGATGGCATCATGCCTGCAGTCAAAATGGGCGCTCTCACAGGCGGTCTGGTCGGCCTGACCATCGTCGGTGACCCAAGTATCTCCTTCCTATCTGTCACTGAGGATGCGGATGCGAGCAGGGCTTCATTTTCGGCTCGTTCGCCATTCTGCGGTGCGTATTTTCCACCCATCAGAGCATGATGCGCTTTGCTGAAGGCGGACGCAGCAATGGCGCTGGACCGAGAGGCTTCATGCATTCGCTCTCGCAATACATGCTGACTTCAGGCGCAACCTTTTGTGAGTCTGCGAGATCTGTCAGTAGAGCGCGGGCTGAATAGACCGTACAGGCTTCTTCATGTCAATTGGCACAGTCAGTCGCCCCCTACGGGCGTGCAGGAGATACTAACAAAGCAGGATACAGGTGATAAGAACAGATCAATCGCGAGCGCTGACAGCATTCGAAGAGGCGGCTTACAAGCGGAGCGCGATCATGGGCCCTCCAGTCTCTGCAACCGCGACCGGATTGCGACGGCAGATGAGAGAGCATTACGAAAGCGAACGGAGGAGGACATCTGCGTCTACATGAGATGCAATTCCTATTGCCAGGCCTCGCTGCGTTTCCTGAGCACGGCTTGCACTTCCTTGAGCTGGAGTATCTTGACGCCACATCCATCCATCGTCCGTCCAAACGTAGCCTCGTCAGACTCCCAAACAATCTTCATCACCTGCGCGAAGGCGGGCCGACCTTTCGCTTGAGGTTTCGCGGAAAGCGAAAGCAGAGCTGTACAGTCTGCCAGCTTGCGGAAAGCGGCAAGAGGCCTGATGATGCCTGCTTCTCGCGCGGCGGCTAGCCAACCATGATCAAAGTCAAACGCAAACTGACAGCCGCCAGATTCATGGAAGACTTTCGCGATGGTGATCTTGGTGATGAGAATATCTTGAAGTGCTACTGCTACCTTGCGATAGAGTGACATACAAGCGAGCGGCGGCAGTGAGCTAACGAGACAGCTGAGAAGACCAGAGAATGCCGCCAGTGTGGTGTTCAGCTCTGGGCTGATCTCAAGTTCGTCAGGAGCAAGTGCATCATAATCCCATCGTTTGTTGAGATAAGGCTTCATCTCGGAAGTGACTTCGCGAACGATGTGCTTTACGATGAGATCGTCTGTCCTTTCCGCCAAGGCACCAAATCGACTTGCATGGCTATCGAAAAGTGCAGCGTCAGGCTGTCCTGCGAGCGCCAAGAGAGGTGCTGCCAGCTTGCCGACCTCGTCATCAGTCTTGCCAGAACGAGCGAGATCTGCGAGATGGTGCCACAAGTCGAGAAAGAGTGGATCTTCTCCCCACGATCTACATGTCTTTTGCATCCATCTCGCGCTTATTCCCGCCCGTAGCAAGCGCTGTAGCCCGCTGACACCGGCAGTCAGACGCCCACCAGGTCCTTCGCCAAGTGAGCCCGGTACAGAGCTGATCAATCCGAACGTCAAGCTTTCAAAAGCATCGACCGATGAGGCAATTCGACCATGATACGAGTCTAGCAAAGGCAATTGGATTCTGGTCAGGAATGGCAGACGATGTCTGAATGCTGGCAAAGGGCGGTAGCGATCTGTGATCTGCTCAAACAGGTCGCGAATGCGCAGTGCAGAATGCGTGGGTCTCAGACCTGACTCTGCATAATCTTCGTTGAGCTGCCATGCATCGCTTGCAGAGATGATCTCGAAGAATTTGTCGTCCGCATCTGCTCGCACGTCAGCTCGTCGACGACCCAGCTGAAAGGAGGGCGCACAAGTACGCTCTGCTTCCCGCCAGCTGCCGAACCATGACTCGTTATCAAGAATGATCTCAGCGGTGATACAGACATCTGCGCCGGTCTTGCCAGGCAAACTCTTTGACATGCGAGGCTCGAAACCATATCGGTCATGCAGGGTCTTGTCGAATTGCAGCGCTTGATAGATCGTATGCGCAAGAATAGGCGGGAGTGAGAGTAGTTGTGGAACAGATTGGCGCAGTCTTCGTGTGACCATTTTGAGATTAGCGACAATGAACTCTGTCATTGCATCGAAATGACCGTAACCTCCTTCTGCCATCAGGGATTGAACATCGTCGGTCAAGAAACGCTCGTGCTCCGATAGAAGATTGAGGACGTGAGCAAAGTACCACTCTGGCTTGTCTAAGCGGTTCGTCTGTCGCTTGCCGTCGAAATGGTAGCGAAACCTCAACTCGAGAGGTTGGATCATAGCTCGGATTGGGATAACAGGCGGTTCGAGCAGTGCGATAGAAGGTCTTTTGGGATCTGCATCCATGTCTGTCGTCTTGGCGAGACGGTAGCGCTCACCCCTACCGTCAGACAGCAACATCAGCGCAGGAGCGATAACATATGCATGCTGACGGACGCGCGTTGTAATTTGAGACCATCGAGGAAAGCAGCCTTGAGCCGTGAAGTGGCAACGCTTCGCTCGAGGGGCGGTATTGGCTTTGGCCAATGCAGCTCTTCCAATGCAGCAAGTACTTTTCTGCGGTCGACGACGATAAGTCTTCAGGGACTACGGGCCACAGCTTGCAAGCTCACATTGAGATCTCGTCGACTTGTCTGTGCCACGTGTTCCGTACAATGCGCTCGACGAAAGCAGAAGCACCCAACTTGCCGGAGACACGATTGAGGCTCTCGTGATACTCGTAGAGCTGGATATATGCCTTGAGTGCTCCTGCTGTATTGGTCGTAATAGACGAGCTCGCGCGTAGGCTGTCCGAAAGGCTCTCGTGATTCAGTCCCAGAAGGTCAGTGAAGGTCTGCACAGTCTGACCTGAGCTTCTCCGCCTTTGCAAGCACGTCCAAATAGGTCTGTGCCCGCGCGAGCTGGGCTATCTTGGCATCTAATTCCTCAAGCTCCTCGAGCAGCGTCTTGTCTGATCCCGTCGAGGTGCCTTCGCGCAGTCCGCTGGAGAGCTTGATGCGATGATCGATGATCTCGTCTTCTGTTCTCAGCTGAGTCGTATGCAGCTCGCCTGCTTTCGTGTCGAGGTTGACGATAGTCTGTCGCGAGGTCGAGAGGAGCTGCTCGACCAGCCCATTGGAATTCTCCAGCTGCCGGATTCCTGGAAAGGTCAACCCTACGTCGCCTAGACTAGCGCAGGACGACCTGCCTGCTGTTCTAGCTCGTCTTGTCGCGCAAGCACGTCTCTGAGTGTACGGTCGAGCTCATCTTGTGATCGCTTGCCCTTTCCGAGACCGCCTCGTGTGAGCTCGGTCAGTCGTTCCTGAGCAGATTCGCGAGCTTTGTAGACGTTTGGCGGCTGTAGTAACTGCTCGAGCACTGCCGCCATCCTCGCCTGGCCGGTCGTCGTCGCCACGATTTCGCGACTTTTGGCTTTTCGTGCGTCGACTGCCGCTGACTTTGGGACGGAAATGTCGACGTTTGGGACGCTCTATCGAGTGACGACGTACGGCGAATCGCACTGTGCAAGCGTAGGATGTATCATAGACGGGTGTCCGCCTGTGCGCTCGATGGACAGCCGCTCAGGACGCTACTGACAGCGATTCGATGACTCGCAGGGGCTTCAGCTTGTCGAGCAAGATATCCAGACCCAGCTCTCCCGCCGAAGACCGGGACAGAGTGCACTGACAACACCCGCGAGTCTCGTCAGCCAAGACTGTGTAGGCCTGGCCTGACGTTGGACCGCAGAGGGACGAAGCAGACAGCGTTGCTATTCAGTCTGGCACCGAGCACGGCGTCACGCTAGGCACACCGATCGGCCTCAGAGTGCAGAACAAGGACCAGAGACCGCACGACTACACAGAGACGGATCTCTACCCTCGTCCGAGTCACGCAGATTGGACCTACCTCCTCAAATATGGCATAAAAGCCAGCAGCGGCGGCGGCCGATCCAGCGCAAGAGAGACGATAGGCATGTCTACTCCCGGCATTGACTGCTCTGGAGCGCTTAACGAGAATGGATCCTGCAGGACGAGTGGCAGCGGGAGCGATTGCCGAAAAGTACTTGCGCGAGGCTTGCGGCGTAGAAATCGTCGCGTTCGTCTCCTCAGTCGGCAAGGTACATATCCCCTACCTCGCATCGACTTCCCACGCGGCATCAGGTCAGACGGTTGACCTCATTGGGGGAGGAGAAGAGGAGGATGATGCGGATGAGCTGCTCACGAAGGAGTACATGGACATGCTCAGCAAAGTCACGCGAGAACAAGTTGATCAGAACAACATCAGATGCCCGCACCCCGAAGCTGCCAAACGGATGGAAGAGGCAAGCCTCTTGCAAGAGACTGCCTGCTCGCCGATTCGGCTGACAAGGGATTGCAGAGGATAATGCGAGCCAAAGCGGCCAACGACTCAATCGGGGGTACGGTGACTTGCGTCATCCGGAACAGCCCCGTCGGTCTGGGCGAGCCCTGCTTTGACAAGCTGGAAGCCAAGCTTGGCCATGCAATGCTGTCCATCCCAGCGACGAAAGCATTTGAGATCGGATCAGGCTTCAGAGGCGCCACAGTAGCAGGCTCGAAGCATAACGACGCATTCGTGCGCAGGCCGGACGGAACGCTAGGGACACTGACGAACAAATCGGGCGGAGTGCAAGGAGGGATCTCCAACGGGGAGAATATCTACTTTCGCTGTTCGTTCAAATCGCCCGCCACCATCTCACAGGAGCAGAAGACGGCCAGATATGATGGCGAGGCAGGTTCTCTCGCTACAAGAGGCCGTCACGATCCCTGTGTTGTTCCCAGGTAAGTCCCCTCTGAGTGTCGCCCGATCCTCGCTAATGATCCGACTCTGTATCTAGAGCTATCGCAATCGTAGAAGCCATGGCTGCGTTGGTCATCATGGAGTATGTCCCTACAGCGTCAACAGAGCAAAGCTAACATCCGTCATGGCAGCGCGTTCCTGATACAAAAGTCGAGAGAGGCAGCGAGATTGATGCTACCGCCAATCACGACACTACCTGCGACAATGGCTTTGCCCACCAAGCAAGGCATCAATAAGCTGCCTACTGGAGCTGAAGCTATAGCGTCTGAAGCCAAGTAGCTGACAAGATGCATGCGTGGCAGCTGATGATAAAGAGGCATGTAGATCGGCTTCCCGTCGATCGCGGCTTCTTCTCCTTCTCTCGCGTGTGCCTAAGCTCGCATCCTCCTGTCGACGGCCCTGAACATGCGAACGTCGGGCCTGTGACATCTGCGAGATGGCGAGTGAGGCAGCAGATGAAGCGGCGGATCGTCTTGCCGATCTGGACGTCAGCGATAGGTCGATAGACAGACACGCGGCGGCCGGACCCAGCAGAACGGTCGAAAGAGCTCGCTTCAACGAATTAGCGGGGCATGAAGGATCTTCTGCCACGATTGGCTCTCGTCTGGGACGCTTCATAGCTACACTGACCTCCTCATCCGGGGTAGAGAGGCCCGGCATCGCAAGGAGCCGGTCATCTCCCGTCCTCGCAGGCAGTCCAGCTCAATCGAGTCCGGCGAGCAGTCCCTCAGCAGCCAGTGGTCAATCTAGCAACCTCAAGCCTCCCGCATTTCCTGCAGTCACTAGTAAGCAGTCCGTCTCGAGCGCTTCATCCGCCGTGACCGCCATGCCGCTCGACCTGAAGGGCAAGGCGCCCGTCAAACCTGAGCCTCAGAAACGCCGGTCGAGCAATAACAGCAGCTTCACGGGCACCTCCTACTCCGAGACTAGTGATAGAGGGATCAAGAACATCATCCAATCTAGCGCGAAGCAGATGTTCAGGCGAAGAACGAGCGCAGCAAACAGCTCAACGGCAAGTCCGCCAAGCACTCCCGCGGAGGGCTCCTACTTGCGGCAAGCCAGCTCCAGCACGACGCCTTCAGCATCTTCGATGCCCTCGCCAGTCTCGCCGGGCTCGAGATATCGCCAAAGATCAAGACAGTCTTCAACCCAAGGCAGCCCGGATCCCTCTAGGACGGTAGATTCTGTCGCGCCGGTCATGGAGCATTGCTCTTCCTCCCAGACTGTGTCGAGCAGGTCACAAGAAGCGAATGCGATCCATCGCATGCTACAGCCTGCTGGGACTAGCTCGTCCGAAACTCAAGCGCTCACGTCGCCAAGTCAGCTTTACGCAGATCACATGCTCACCCCAACGCACCGTAACGGTCTTTCGTCCATCAACAGTCCAGCGCACGAGCCAGATACACCGCATCCGCAATGGTCTGCCCAGACCATGGCTGATGTCTTCCGAGACATGGCGAAATTACTACTCGATCCTATGCAGACCACCTTGCAACAAGTAACCCCAGTGTCATTCCTGACAACCTCAACACCCGCCCTCTACTCGGTCGTCACTTCGCCGACATCTTATTTCAGTCCGCAGCCTGCGTCTTCCGACTACACCCAGTTCCTGGATCCTACTGGCGCTCGAGCCCCAGCGTCTCTACATTCGGAGCTTGACCAGGAGGACGATGCTTCGCTGATCTCCGCCGCTTCAGGCAGCGCCTACACTGCTCAGTCTAGTGTAGACAGAGCGAGATCGTTCGTCTCATTGACAACGCCTAGGTCGATCGTCGGGAGCAGTTCGAGAGTACCTGTAACCACGAACGAACAGCTAGCGAGCTCTGCCTTGACTCTACCGGCGGTCTCAGTGGCGGCCATCTGGCGGGGACTGCAGTATTTCACATGGCTGACCAACAACATGACGGCGCTCGCTGCCTTTGCGCAATCGACTTCCGCAACTGGCCCGCTGGACAGCGAGGAAGTCGTCTTCGATTTGGCAGCTTTGCTGCAATCGACCATGGATATATTGGCGTCTTTGGCCTCGCAGAAATCTGTCGAGCTCAACATAGTCACAGGGGTATCACGTCTGGAGCCTGGACAGACCCATTCGAGCGGCGAATCAGCGCGAGGCGAGGGCTACGATGGCGATCTTGAAGTCGAACAGGTCCTCGTTCGTGGCGACGAGATGGGCATAGGCTTGCTCCTCATTTCTGTAAGCTGACATACCTGCTGCAAAGGTCTCGCTCATATAGTCTATCCAGCTTATGCGGACGGCTATTCTTTCGTCTTTCCCGGGCGATGCGCTCGAGATGAGCTTACGTACACGGACTCTATCGGACTTTCCATCGCAGAACAAGACAGTCGCAGGTATTGCCCGCGATCGGGTCCCACAAGGCTCTGTCATTTGTACTTTGGAATACAGACATGCTCGACACGAGCCAATCGACAGCCCGGCCGCTGCACCTTGTCCTCTCAAGCAGCCGCTCGTTCAGGCGCTCTCACACGAGCTCGGCTTCGTGCTGACGAGGGATCCGCCCAATCCTCGCAAACAGACCTTTGCCATGGCAATTGTTCTGCCGAGTGAGAATGATCGCTCTCGCGCCGAGCGACACCGAGCATCAGATGTGGCAGCGGAACCATCTGTAAGCGACACAAAAGCTCCGCAACGATGTGCTAATTCAGGAGATCCGTACAGATTGCTGAACTGCTTCACTTTGCCGATACATCGCTCAAGGGCAAGAAAGTCAGTCTATGCGCAGATCAAGCAAGCTTGTTCGCGAAGCATTTGACTGGCTACCTTGCCGGTTGGGGCATGGACGTCGGCCATATGCCTTTCGAATCAGAAAGTGAGCCCGCTGTGCCCGCTCATTCGCCTAAGGCTGCCAAAACGCGCCTTGATATGGTCAGGCAAAATGGCGGCGATCCTTCGAGCAAGACCTCTCCGCCAGACCCTACCTTACCTGCGCTAGATCCGACGATCAACTTCATTGTCATTGACGACGACATCGCTACGCTGAAGCGTCAGCTTGTGGTCATCAGGAACAATGCGCCGCAGCTACATCTGCAGAACAGCCTCTTGGCAAAGCGGCCACAGCTGCATACGAGGCGCACCCGATCTAGTGCACAGGTTCGACAGGCACAGGTGCCACCCCCAGCTTCACCGGCTGTCATACACTTTGCGAGCCTGGCAAATTACCGTAAGATAAGAACGATCGTAAGATCTGTCTTCAAAGGCGCAAGCTCATTCGCGCCGCTGCCTGAAGTTCTCGTCGTTCCCAAGCCAATCGGCCCTCGCCGTTTGCTTGCCTCGTTTTATACCGCTTTACGGCGACCGACGCTCGATCCCTTTTTCGCGCCCATTGCTACATCGCCATCCAGCGGGAGTGGCCACATGGTCTACAGTCCGCCAGTACGCCCAAGTCCAGGGCTCAGCTTCGCAAGCAGCAGTGATCATGATTCACCGATGGCGGCTCAGACCGCCGCTTCCGTCGCATCGCACGTATCTGGCCAAAGCTCCAGCCATGACATTCCGCAGACACCTCCAGAGCATCCCCAAGCTAGTGTTGGCACGCCCGAGCAATCACCGCTGTCAGCAGATGCGCTAGAGTATTTCTCCGAAACTGCCACACGGATCGGCAGCAGCGGCCGGACTGGCGTCATCATCCAATCTCCCGATGGTAGACCATCCGCTCTGTTTTTCCAGCCGTCACTCGGCCCAGAATCGATGCGACAGCGGTTAGATGAGGCGTCATCTGGCAAGAGTGGGTCGCCAAGCTCGGCCAGCCTCGAGCTCGACCGTAGTAGCGATGTCCTCTCCGTGCGCAGTCCCAGCGAGCCGTTGATGCCGGGCTCGCCGAGCTCGCCAGGATCTATGCAGTCTTTGACGCGTTCGCCGACCGTGGCCTCTATGGCAGTACCGACGGGCCCGGGACCAGCAACAACCACTATCGTTGCGCCTCACAGCCTAGGTTTGGGCTATCTGGGAAGGCGACCTTCGGTGGGTACAAAAACGAAGACAATCGACAGCAGCACACACGCGCAAAGTCTCGATTCGTATGTGCTCACCAAAGATTCCTCATCGCTGGGTGCGCCAACGACAGAGACTCGCATTGGTGCCGCCGACAAAACACTGCCTGCGGTCGTACCTCAGCTGTCTCGTTTGGCATCCTCCCCCGCGATGTTTTCGAATCATTTGGCAAATGATGCGGCGCCCTCCGCCGCCGAAGCTTCAGCTCAACATGAGCCCCAAAGCGCGCCTATAGATGCTGCTTCCGAGCTGCGACGGTTCAGCATGTCCTTCAGAGGCACCACAGCGTCACCGATGCTGCCTGCAGTACAGACGATGCCTATCGCAGAAGAAATCGATCAACTGCCTAGCGATGACCCACAGACACGTGTCAAAGCCCCGACGCGGCGCACCAGCAGCAAGGCAGAGATCAAAGCAGCACGCCGCATTGCTCGACGTCCGACGATGCCAATTGTGCCGCCTGTCAACGTGCTTATCGTAGAAGGTCAGACATTTCTGCTAGTCAGATTCTCTCCACTCGCTGATGCATGCCCGCAGATAATCCGATCAACCAAACTATTCTCTGCACGCACATGAAGAGGAAAGGCATCAAGTATTCAGTCGCCAACAATGGCCAGGAAGCAGTCGACAAATGGAAACAAGGCGGATTCCATCTGGTTCTCATGGACATCCAGTTGCCTGTCAAATCTGGCATCGAAGCGACCAGAGAAATCCGCGAGATGGAGAGGCAATTGAATGTGGTCACGCCTGGCGACACGCCAGGTGAGGAGCGGCCGGCTTCAAAGTCAGTGACGCCAAAGTCGCCTCTGTCACCTATACAACAGCCTGTCATCATCGTGGCATTGACGGCTTCGAGTCTACAGACCGATCGGATCGCTGCCTTGACAGCTGGGTGCAATGATTTCCTAACGAAGCCGGTCTCGCTGCCCTGGCTGCAGAAGAAGCTGCTCGAGTGGGGATCTATGCAAATCCTTTCCGGCTTCTCTCGGCGAATGTCACCCGAGCCCCTCAAAACGCCTGGTTTGGGATTCGGGACCCTCGACTTTTCCGCGCAGACGACCGCTGTCGCTGAGCGACTACACATCGGCAAGAAGCCACTCATCAGTGGCGCAACGTCAGGAGAGGCTCCTTTCGAAACGGAGACGTCAGTAATGAACACGACTTAAAGGGCTAGGGAGCATCGCATCAGAACACAGAATGCATTAGTAAACGTCACGCATCGTCGCGCTCTTCATTGAACCAATCGATCCGGACTATGCCGTTGTAATGGCCGCTAGCAAGCAGTCCAGTGCAGCGATGTGAGGGATGCCATGCACAGACAAGGGCTGCTTGCTCGGGCGCATAGTTTGCCGGATTGACGCTTGCTGGAGTTCGTTTGGCGTCGTCAAAGAAGAATTGCCGCTCGCCGGACGTACCGGGAAACAAAGCAAGCTCATTTGACAGACGACCCCGCTTGAGTGTATAGATCGTGCGACTTGACTGCACGCCGGTCAGAGCACTGTCAATGAGCTCGACTGCGCCGCTTGCTGACGCTAGCGCGACAAGCGAATGGTGCAAAGATGTTACTAGGGCCTGTACGCATGGCTCAGCGCATCCAGATAAATGTGACGAAAAACTTACAAAATAGGGTGCTCGTCCGTCAGCAAGAACGATTTCGGATGGTCGTCCGACCACTGCAGCAAGCGCTTGGCCTTCAAGATTGGTGTGTATGATCGCTTTGCGCTGTGATGACCAGACAGCACGAATAGTAACATCTGGAAGCCAGCGCTTTGTCAGCTAACCCAGCATGGTCAAGCAGTGTGAGCTTGCCTGCTTCTTCATTAAGCCGGCTGATCTGAAATACGTGTCGCCAATCTATGATGTAAATGAAGCCATCCAGCGAGGTGGCAAGCGTGGCTGTGGGCGACACCTGACCGACGGCATGTATAGGCCCATTTGCGCAACCTCGCATCGCTAGCAAACGCGCACGCCATGACCTGAGCGACTCGTCTCGCTCGACGTGCCATCTAGCCAACTGACCTGCGCAAAATTATTTGCATGTTTTCGTCTTGCAAAGCCGTCTGACGTACCCGTGGTGGTACCCGCAACGAGCTCGGTCCCTGAAATCCAGTCGATGCTGATCATCGCGCCGAGATCGAGCTCGAGCTCGGCTAAGGCTGCTTTGGGCCGCACTGCCTCGCCGTCAAAATTACGTTTACGCGATGGAGCTTAGCTTACGATAGACCGTTACTTGCTCTTCGCTTTGATCCACTGGCAAAGGAACATCCAGTAGATAGACGAGACCACTTGTAGATACGAGCGATAAGGTACCCATCTAAGCTTTCGCCATTAGCCATGTTTGCTCCAGAAGGACCGAAAGAGACAAACCAGCTCGCTCGCGTAGCAAGGGGCAGGAATCCATCTGATCTGAGTGACATGGCCTACATCGAGACAGATCATCATAGCGAGCACGGGACGACTCAAACCAGACGACGCGAATTGCCAAATTTGTATGCCGCCCTTTTGACGGCCGGAATCGGGCAAGAGGGGAATCGGCTGCTCACTGTCGAGCGTCGCAATCGCCAAGTATGTATGATCTGCAGCACGGGTCTGCGTCAGAGCTGACACACCATCGTGACGATGAAGCGAACCTGCAGAATTCTCGACCGGACACCACGCGAGACTTGAGACTTGGGCGCCGGCGTTGATCAAAAGCGCGGGAAATTGGCTGAAGTCGTTGGCGAGATGCAGCGACTCGAAGGAACGCAGAGCTCTCAGATCTTCCGCCTGTCCTTCTACACGAGGAACGAGGCGGCAGAAGAGATGGTTGTCAGTTGCAGATTGCTTTGTATTGACTTGGTCTATCTTTTCAGCCTGGCGAGGATCTCTGGTCTCTCTTGTCTCGACATTTCGAAGACCATTTGGGAGATATGCTCGACAATCGCTGCACGTAATCAAGCGATCATCAGGCGGTCCGAGCAGAAGCCAGGTAGCACCCACGCAGTGTCTGGATCGAGGACCTTGAAAGCAGATGTGAAGGCTTGCTTGCGACGCATGACTGTGTCTGCAGACTGTGGCTGCGGATCATGGAGCGAAAATGCTTTGTGTGCCAAGGCGCCAGCATTCGAAATGAAGGTAAGTTCCAGGGCAACTTGGGATACGACGCTGTCTGGTTCATTCGCTGTTGTGCGCGCCTTATTGAAAGTGTGCACTTCGAGTAGAGGTCGAACAGGCTCCACAAGAGACGAAAGCTGGCCTAGGTCAGGCCTCGTGTGCGATACTGTTGCACGCTTGCGTCGTTGGCGGACGGGCTGTCTCGCTCGCGTCGGCTTCTCGTCGCCCGAAGGATCATAGGCCGAGAGCGAACGAGACCGGCGGCGGTCTAGGCTATCCTGCTCTGGATCTGCCTGAGAATCGTCCGATGAGGCAATATCGTTGCCTTCAAGACTGCTTTGCGTTCGTTCTGACTGTCCGTCTGAGAAAGCTTCGATTTCTTCTGGTATGATGCTGTCCTGACGCGGTTTAGGTTTCTTGGCTCTATTTCTGTCCCGTTCCGCAATCCTTGCGCGCTCTCTCTCCTGCTCGATGGATATCGCCTTCTGACGCTCCGCTTCCTCGGCCTCCCGCTCGGCTTTGCGAGCAGCCACAGCAGCTCTCCTCGCCTGTCGTTTCACTTCTCCCTCGAGTTCCTCACCCGTTTGAGGGTCAACAAAGGTGAGATCAGGTCCCAAGACGGGCAGCGTGGGATCAAGTGAAAGTTCCTTCTTGTTTGCACGTTGTAACATCCGCTTTGCAGCTTCTAGCTCGAGTCGTCTGGCAGCAGTAGCTCCTTTGGGTCTGCCTTTCTTCTTGTACAGATTGCCATGCTCGTCGTACGCGGGCGGTGGCCACTGCTGTTGCAAGATGATGGGCATACCGTCCTCATCCAACTCTGGATTGGCAGGCGGCAAGTTGAGACGGGGTCGCTTACGTCGTGCCGTCACGACGGGCTCGGTGCTCGTTGCTGCATTTTGAGGAATCGCTTCGGGCGTTGCGCTGTCTGCCGGCTCAGCGGGATCATCAAGCGTGACATGAGAGCCAGATGGCTGAGCAGGCTGCTCTGTCATGTTCTTAGGGTCACCAATGACGGTACGCAGTGACGTCGCCAGGTCGGTGACGCTGCCGAGAGAGAACGCGACGTGCCTCGTGCTCGAGCGAGACAGCAGCAGGCAGACAGTCTCGACGGGGAAGAGGGACAGCCGGGGGAGCATGCTATGACGGCAAGCTCGCTCTCGATCACCCAGCAGTGGCTCCAACAGGTCCTCGATCCCGTCAGTCACCGCCGCCAATCTTCGTGCGCCGAGCAGAGTGCTGACGCCCGGTGGATGCGCGGTTCAGTACAGGTACAGAGATCAAGTGTACACAGATGTCGACCGGACACTTCAGCTCATTCCTACGCTCTCTCCCAAGACTGACTCGTACAGTACGCCCTGCTTGCTCGCAAAGAGCGAAAAGGAAAGAGCCAAAGTGCTGATGCAGTCGAGCAGCATACGATGACGGCAGAGCAGTCTTGCTCGTCTGTCTGTCGGGCACGCTGCCCATCGGCTTCCGCGGACAGACGTACAACATTCCGGTAGCAATCTGGCTGCCCCATCTCTTTCCTTATCATCCTCCGATGGTCTACGTCGTTCCAACGAGCTCGATGGTCGTCCGACCGTCCAAGCAAGTCGATCCCTCCGGTCTCTGTCATACTACCTATCTCACAGCATGGCAATCCAAACCAGAAGTGAGCCCGTTCCAAATCTCAATCTCTGACCTCTTGGCGGGAATTGACGCGCCTTGCCAGGGCTGCAACCTTGTAGATCTCATCGAGTCACTCAAGGCGCTCTTCTCCAAAGAGCCACCGCTGTATGCCAAGCCGGCCTCAGAAGTCTCTCGTGCTTCGACGCCCAGTCCGAGAACAGCCACACCTGCTCTGAGACCCATCCAGCCAAACTTTGCAACGCGACCCGCTCCACCGCCGCCGCCAATCAGTTCGTCCAATCCCCCGCCGATACCTGGCAGACCCAAAGAGCTCCAAACGAACGGGCTAGCTCATTTCTCAAGCATGAACATGGGTCATACAAGAAGTCCCTCGTCGCCGCTCGGTCCGAAATCACATCTGCTACCCCGTTTGCCCACAGACTCTTACAGACCAGAGGGTTCCTACAGACCGTTGCCATCTACGAGCGCGTTTATTGCAGAGCCGGTGCAAGACAGCCACCCATTGGAGGATGACAGATTCTATAGGGCAGAGGGAACGCCAAGGTCGCCTCCGTCCTACTATCGCGAACCTGGCTCGCCCAAGCTGGGACCGACTCGAGCGGCAACACATCATGCCAGAGCAAGCTTCGGGGGTCAATCGAGGTTCTCGCCCACTCATACACCGAGGAGAAGCGAGGGAACCGCTTCCGCGGGCTACTACACGCCCGAACAGCTACAACAGCTACAGCGTTCGGAATCCTTGTTGATCAAACCTGACCAGAGGCGAAGTAGCTCACAGCCTGCCAATTTGCTCGATAGCGACGATTCAGTCTTTGCTTCGTATGACGACACGAGCTCAGGCTCGGGCACGTATCATTCTGGCTTTGCGCCTCCGCCCAGACGGCCGACCAATCCTGAACTTTTGCATCTCCAAACAGCAGTACAGCAGAAACTTATCTCTTCCCGCACTTCGCTCCTTTCTTCTCTGGCCCAGCAGAGGACGACTTTGGAAGCGCTGCAGAGTGATCTGAGGTTAGGCGAGCCTGCTATAAGAGACGAGATGGCCCGGCTGGAAGCGGTCAAGGATGTCTGTATCACTGTCAAGCGGAGGATGGAGGATGTCACAGAACGGGCGCAGAGGAATGTCGATCTTGTGAAGCTCAAGGGCGATATCGAGCCTGACGAGATTGTCTGCTCTACCTCTGTCGTTCACAACCAGTGCGTCTCTCCTGTGCTTCTCTGTGAACCTCGTCTGATCGGTGACGCAGATTGCTTGACCTGGTAGCGGAAGACGCAGCACTGGAGGATACGATCTATCAGCTAGGCAGAGCGCTCAATTCCGACACGGCCCAGATCGACCTGGACCAATTCACCAAGAGAATCAGATCGCTAGCGAGGGATCAATTCCTCAAACGGGCGCTCATCAACCAGATCCAACTCCAGCTAGCTATCGTGAGCGATCGGTCTAGTTCGGCTGCAGCAACGGATACAACAACAAACGGACGACAATTGTCATCGTAGAGCGTACCTGTGCACGATGTACTCCATTAGATCTGTTGTCCTTCTCATGTACGAGCAAACGCACGTCTTGACGCGGTATAATCCTTCTGGCAGACCATGCTGGATATCCTGACGGATGATGCTCAGACCGGCTTGGGCGAAGCAGGTCAGAAAGTTCTGGTCGGATCTGCGGTTGGGGTTTTGAGTCGAATAGGGTCAGTCGGCGGAAAAGTAGCTCACCTGGTGATGCTAGAATCGTCAGCATCAAAGAGCGACTCGTCCGCAGGCGCTAGGTTCTCTTTGACCATGATCATGCCGTTCGGTCTCAGTGCAGCTTTGGAACGTTGCAAGAAAGCGATAAAGTCGGTATCCGACAGGTGGCCGATGCACCACTGTATCCAGACGACATCGTACCCTGGCTCTTCTTCCTCCTCGAGCACTGATCCGGTCCCTGTCAACGCAGCAGCAAGAGTAGCAAGATCAGGTTTGGCGGGATCGAAGGTCTGCAAGCCGCATTGGAAGAAGCGAACGCGCTTGGCGAGCGGTGGCGAGGGCGAGGAGGGATGCATGCCATACCAAGCCGGACAGTCATGTACTGCTTGCTCGACGAAATGTTCGAGCGGTTCGACCAAGTCGACAGAATCGAACAAGGGCAGCAAGACTCTGTTCGTCACCCTTCCAATCCCCGCACCACAATCCAAGGCTCTCATCCTTCGCGTCCTTTGGGGCAAAGTCGCATGAGGACCGCTCAGGCTCGATAATGCCGGTAGGAGCGTGAGAAGGAGTGTACGCGAACCGAGTGCGTCCACTCTCGGCAGCTGGGTGGAGTCGCCGTAGCCTCCCATGACGCCGGACAGGGAGGCGGGCGTCTGCGCCCAGTAGGATACGCCGGCTTGATAGTCGGGCTGCAGAACTTGTTCCTTTGCTATGCTCGGCTTTTGCCTGACCTTGCCTCGTCTGATCGGCCTACGCACTGGCATGTTGAGACTTGTGCTCGAGAAGCTGCAGCTGTGCGAGCTGCCAGCTGACCAGGAGACGGTCACAGAGCGGGCTGACCGGTGATGCGCTCAACGCGGCGGCAGTCGACAGACGAAAAGCGCACGAAGCATTCCATCCCTGGCCGCCATGCTGAGACTGACAGGACTGCGAGGCTGCAACAGGTTCACTCGGGGCAGACGACTCATCTCGGTCAAGTCTGTGCCTGCGATCGGCGAGGATGCACTGCCGCTACAGCCAACATGGTCGGTGACCGATGACATCGAGGCCAGTCGGACAGACAAGCCCATCAGCAACGAGGACCTGCTGCATCTACACAGACTGGCTGCTTTGCTTCCTCCTCCGGTCGACTCACCCGAATGGAAACGGATCCAAGCTCAGCTAAGCTCCCTACGCGATCTCATCGAGACGGTGCGCAATTTACCCGAAGAGCCTACTTCTGTCGAGTCGGACCAGGTACCCGATGGCCGCATATGGCCGCAGGGTCGCTCGCTTCCTCTCATGGGTCTACAGAAGGAGCAAGGACGATTGAAGCGTCAGGGCAACAAGAAGAAACTCGATCCTGATGATGTTCCTCGTCTTCCTGCCAGTGACGAACGGGGACAGTCACTCCTCAAGTTGAGCAATATGACCAAGGACGACTTCTATCTCGTTCCGACACCTCTGACCAGCAGAAGAAAGTGAACTAGCGCTGGGAAGCACGCATGAGATTACGTCGGACGCGTCGTTTGGTACCGCCTAGACCGGTACTACCCGCTACCGTCAGGTAAGGCCCTGTCAGACCGCCAGAATCGAGATCGCCGTCGTGAGAGACGTTGCGCCAGTCGATCATACCGATGAGCGGCAGAGCCAATTCGCTACCTCTGACGAGAGTCTGGCATCGCTCCAGATCCTCGGGCGGAATGGAAGTGACGAGCTGCAGGAGCAGCTGACTGCCGTCGATCGCCCGAATGACGCCGAGACCGATACAGTGAGACCGAGACGGATCTGGCATACCTGTCAAGAAGAGCTCTCCAGCGTCCTCGATCGGTTCGTCAGACACGATCAGCCCGACAAGGCTGGCGTCCAGCAATCTGAGGCCATGGGCGGGCGCAATCTCGGCATCGGCGATGAAGATCTGGTTCACACTTGCCTCGCCTGCGCTGTAAGGAACGAGAAAGGGCGGAGTAGCGACAATAGGCTCGTTGTAATTCCAATTTACCATTCCGTCAGGTTGCCATCGCCTTTGCAAGTCCGACATCAAGTTGAGCGTGCGGAGATCGGCAGCGGACAGACTCCTCGCTGCAATGTCGTCTGCTATTGGCTCGATTGTCACATAATCTCTTTGAGCCATCTCAGCTGCGGGACCCTCGAAGTGATCTCTACTTTCAGCCGAGCTGAACCGGATGAACATGCTTGGCTCGACAAGATCACATAGAGCAGACTGTAGCTCTGCTCCCAATCCTTTGGTCCAGCCTTGCGTGTTGACCACTAGAGGCATACTGCCCAGACGTGTGTAGCACCGCATGAGATCACTCAGACAAGCGATATAGTGTGCAGCATCTGTTCGAGGCGAAAGAGCACCCAAGAAGTGAGAGCGGACGGGTCGCGTCGAGCGAGTGAAGGCAGATCCGATGAGGGGTAATGTACAGATGGTAAGACTGATCTGGCCAGGCGAAGTCATCTCGCTTTGACCCATGTCTGTATCGAGAACTGCCACACTCGCATGCCTGACACCCCCTGTCAGCTCAATAGGGTCCGGTGAAAGTGTGCTAGTACTTTTCGAGCAGGCGGTTGACTGCGAGTTTCATCAGGGTCGACTTGCCTACGCGCTTCCCTCCCTCTATCATGACCCGTAGCCCGATGTCTGATGTGCCGGTATGCAGTCTCTCGAGAGCAGATGACCAAGTAGCACTCAGTTCGAGTAGAGAGAGACTGTTTTGCGCAATGTCGTCGAGGCTGACAAATTCGTACGTAGCCTTTTGAGCGTAAGGCTGAGTTGACCAGATGGAGCGTGAGCTGAGTATACCGGCTGAACGAGCGAGTTGCTCTATGCCTCTACTGCCATCGTTCAGATCTTCGAAGAGGACGACAGTGCTAGCGCGTCGGATGGCTTCATCGGACTCCGGCAGCTTGTACCCTCGCTCTGATAGCTCGCTTTGTACGGAAAGAGCAGGAGCACTGCTCGAACCGGGCAGAGCGGTCAAAGGCACGATAGGCTGCAGAGAGGACGCGTGAAGTCGTAGAGTCGGACTGTTCCTCGTCAACCTCGCACAGGCAGAAGTTGCCGATCCTCGCAGTATCGTCATCTGAGCAGTCCCGAGCAGGAGTACAGACTCGTCCACGTCGAGGCAAACTAGACTTGCTGTTCTTCGTGGACTAGATGAGTGGAGCACAAGCACTTTTGTCGATACTCTGATACGTCCCTGTGGCTCAGCCATCGTGTCATCCGGTCGGGGCGCAAGTAGGGCATCTTGTGAAGGCGTCGGAGAGACAGTCGATGCGCTTTGGGGCACTGTAGGACGAGCGATGACGGGCACAGCTGGCCTCTCAGCTCTCTGGACCTTCACAGGAGGGTCCCCTGGAGTTTGGAGAGCAACGGGTGGCTGAGGCTGGACCGAAGCTTGCTGTGACTTGTAGATCTGTCTTGCGCTTGCCGGTCGTGCCTTCTTGGGCTCTGCGACTGGCCGAGCCATCTCTGCCTCTGCAGATTAGGTCAGCGGCAAGGTCAACGGTCACCCTCGCGCTCGGCGCTCAGTCTCAGATCAACAGCAGCAGCAGCAGCGACTCGGCCAGGAACGAGAGCATGACATCACTCGACGGCATACCTCAAGAGCTCAAGAGCATCGTGCCCTACTTGAGCAAAGCCAACGAGATCCACTCGTTTGATCCCGTGATCGCCTACTGGTGTCCGTCCAAGCCAGCCTGACCAGCTCTCCCTTGTCGAGCTTATCCCGGCCTGAACAGGTCGCACGCATGCACTCGATCTGGCCATCAAGCTCAACGTCTCCAGAGCAGCCCAGGCTTCACTGGAACCTATCCTCGACCAGCTAGAACAGGTCGGACTTGTTGGTTCAGGACAAACGATCCGCCGGACTGAAGCGAGGTGTGCGACCAGGCAAGGTCGAGCCTGGCAGACAATGAAGCCATCACAAACGATGTAGCTGCACAAGCCTATGTGGAGAACTTTGGTCTCGACGTCTTTGACAAGGCAGACAAGGAGGATCGCGCAGGGAGAGCCAACAAGGAGACTTCAAAGAAATTCCTGGCTGCAAAGATCTTCCTCGAAGTCCTCGCTACCTTTGGACCTCTTGACTCGGAAGCACGTTCTCCCAGCTTTTCACGACTCTAGGATCTCATTTGACGAGAGTGTGCAGATTCAGGCAAAGGTCAAGTATGCGAGGTGGAAAGCGACGGACATCATCAAAGCGCTCAAGGCGGGCAAAGTCCCCCTCGCGGGCCCTGCGTACTCCTCGGAGGAAACCGCACAGAACGTACAGCCAGATGTGGCCATGGTCACAGAGGATGAGATAGATGCGACGGTGCAAGACGTCCTTACCCAAGATATCGACACGCCGGATAACACACGCGTATCGACTTCGTCTGCGGACGCTCTCACAGGCTCAGAAGCACTATCTATGAAAGTCGTCGCGGATCCACCTACAATACCCGCCCGATCAGACTCCATCCCCTCAAAGCCAGCAGATGTGACTCCAATCGATCTCACCCAACCGGAAATGCCGAGCGCGCCGGCTGCGAGGACATTACCCTCTGCGCCTATGTTCCCGACATTACCCACAGCGAGCATGCCAAGCGCTCCTCCCCCAGCGCCCAAACCTGCACCTCGAGCTACACCTGCAAGGATAGTGGCTCAGCCTGTGCAAGCTGGAGGGCCGACAGATCCAAAGGCAATCGGGCAGGCACAGAAACATGCAAAATGGGCCATCTCTGCACTGGACTATGAAGACTTTGCCACTGCTAGGACGCAATTACAAGCTGCTCTCAGACTCATCACGCCTGTCACGATCGATCTCGACTGACGCACTCGACAAGAAGATACAGCGGAGAAAGTTGGCTGTTGTTGTACACACTCAGAGAAACGACGAACGCTTTGACCCTTTGCCCATCGCGCACGTCCTCTTCTACCTCGCTCAACCTTCGTGCGTAGACCGGACGATGACGCTCGGACCGCGAGTCGAAGATCCGACGTTGCGAAGACCTGAGAATGTCTCTTACGGCCCTCTTGGTTCATCTTGGTCGATATGGGGCCCGCTCGCAAATTACCCACCGTGTCACACTAGATCCGCCAAACATGCGCTTACGTGTGTTTTAGCTCACCCTTTGGCAAGTCAATTCGATTCACCGCTGGCCTGCTACAGGCAGATTCAACGCCCTTGCCAAAGCATCACGACGCCGATCTTGCTGATACATCAAATCGGCTCAACGACGCAAGCAACCACGTATTCCCTCGAGGATTGCAACCAGTCGTTGTCGGACTATCACTATTGACCTATTGTAAGCTATCGAGCCGACCTATCGCTCCTCGTCACGAGGGGTCAACCGCCCTCGAGACCTCCTCGTTTTATTTTCAAATCGTCACAACTCCGTTTGAGGCCTTTCCCCCCTTCTAGCGCCCCTTCACTGGCTGCTTCTGCGAGGTAGTTCGCCCGGGGATCGAGCAAAGAGAAGCAGCCTGTCCAGCGCTTCGGTGCAGCAACGTTTAACGCCAAGGCACACCCTGACTTGGGCGCGACACTGTACGTCGTGCTGCCTGCCTTGATCTCGTTTCAGCCACTTACCCCAACGAGGCAGCAAAGGACTTCAACAGGCTCAACAGGACCTGTAGGCTCAGTCGGGCCGCTGCGTCAGTCACGAATACCTCGCGGGTCAGATTTGAGGCAAGCCAACCGGCCAGACAGACAAAGGGTGCAAGCAGGCACACTTGCCTCAGGTCATCACTCATCGTGATCTCCTTCAAGAGAGCAGTCGGACAAAGGTGCATGCAACAAGATGTGCAAGGACGAGCACTCTCCCACGATTTCATCAGCCTCGCTCGAGATGTCCAGCGCTATGCAGACTCTCACGCTCACCGCTGCTGATCTCACTGCATCAAAGGCTCGTCGCTCCGTCGCCTCGTGACGCTATCAGAGGCTGACATGACTGGTGTGACAGGACAAGCAAGAGAGCTCACGCTCGAGAGTTTCATCCTCTGCGTCTGGCTTGACGAGTTCGAGCTCAGACGTGTCTGTCTATTCCACGCCTGGCATCGATCCCAACGAGACCTCTTCTGCTCCTTCATCACCTCACAGTCTCTTGGAAAAGTCGAGTGAGTTGACCTTGCCTCCTCGTCTCGCACGCGCAGTGGCTAATGTGTACGTGGTGGCGATGACAGATGGAACGGCCACGCATGCAGACACGTCTTATACCACGCCTGCTCTCTCGTTCAGCCTTTCGTCAGCTTCGGAGTCGAGTCACGCCTCTTCTGTTCTCGCTCCCGCCGTTTGCTCTGTTTCGTCTCACCCGACGAGCAAGCACGTTCAGGAGACCCACAGCTTCACAGTCGCTACGCTGCCTCGCCGTCAGCCTCAAGAGCAGTCATCACCCGCCAAGCGATTTGATCACGGTCTCAGTCAGCTCGACAAGCTCGAACGTACACCCGGCTCGCCCTCGCCGCTTTGGAAACTCGGCGAGAATGGTCAATTGATTGACGAGTCGGCCGGCACGCAGTACGAGATTGCAGACGAGATCCTTCAACTCCAATCGGACTACTCGCCTTCTCAATCGCGCTACTCATTCATACAAGACAAGCGCACAGGTCAGGACTCCTCTTCGACGTTGACTGCCACTGCAAAGGCATTCGAGACGCGCTCGAGCCTTACAGGCAACACGTCATCACAAGAATTGCCCAAGTCCAACGATGCCTGGTCCATTTGGGATGACTACCGTCAGTTCAAACAGGCCACCACTTCCTCCGGCGACAGCTCGCCTTCCAATGCTTCGGCCGTCTCGTTCACTTTGCAGCCACCGGTCGCGCCGCCCTCGATCCACTCGTCGATCAAGACAGACGGCACATCGACGCCCTTTGCAGAAGATCTCGACCCTCTTGCTGCTGCCCAGCATCATCTAGAGCTCGATGCCGCTTTCAAGGCTCTTCAGATGCAGGCTCGCCAGCGTGCCGCGCAGGCTACATCGCTCAATTATGCAAACGCTGCAGACCAAGTCTCGCTCGCTCACGCTCTTGCACAAGTCCAAGCGAGTTCCTTTGCCCAGAGTGCTCCTCGTCAAGGCAATGTGCCTACTGTCACTGCGGCAGGACTCGCCGCTCTGGCTCGCAGCAGCGGCATGGCGCCTTCTACGCTTCATTCTGCCCCCGATCAGCTCGCTTCTGCCGCTCGTACTTCGAGCCACTTGCACAGCACTTCAGAACTTCACAGGCTCGAACAAGAAGCGCTCGATCAGCAGATCTATCAAGCTTCGCTCTATTCGCCGCCCTTGCCCGCTTCGAGCTATATCCAGCAAGCTGCCGCCCAATCGCCTCGTCTTGAGACCACCTTCAGAGAGGCTGCCTCGCGTGCTTCCTCGGAGAGTGATGCTACGGCTCAGTGGTACGCTTCGGCGCTCGCTTCGATCGCAGCAGGTTCGCGTGACACGTCGTTGCTCACTGCGCTCTCGAACACGCTCGATGAATCGTCAGGCTGGGGCTCCAAAGAGATTGCCCAACTCGACGAGTACTTGCGCATTGCCAATCTTCGCGCGGCATACGAGTCGAGCACGGGAAAGCTGTCTGTCAATCCCGACGAGCCTCTCGGACCTAGCCCTAACAATCGCAAGTTTGCGCTCTACAAGACTGAGCTCTGTCGCAGCTGGGAAGAGAAAGGCGCTTGTCGATACGGCAATCGTTGTCAATTTGCTCACGGTCAGAAGGAGCTTCGCATCGTCAGTCGCCACCCTCGCTACAAGACCGAGTGCTGTCGAAGCTATTGGGTCACAGGACAATGTCCTTATGGCAAGCGCGTCAGTCGCTTTCGATCCTCTCTGAGACCTTTTGCTGATTGACCTGCGACAGTGCTGCTTCATTCACCACAGCATGCCCAAGCCAGGCGAGCCCACCACCGAGGTCAACCTCTGCGAGCCCCGCGAGCGCACTTCGTTCGATGCCGAGCCTGTCTCACGCCTGCACAGTCGTATGCTCAGCCAGTCATCAATGATGTCCTCAAATTCGGGATCGAGTTCGTTCGGCTACTCGGACCATGCTCCCTCGTACGATGCTCGCTACGAACCGGCTACGACTGTCCGCAAGTCTGACTCTGCCTACTTCGAAAGCGAGCCCGTCTCTTTCCTTCAGAACGGCCGCTTGCAGCACTACCAGGTCGTCCGTGATGCCACTGGCACAGAGAGCTTCGCCTACAAGCCCTCCCATCACTCTTCTTCGGTTTCGGCAGATCTCAAAGGCGCATTCGAGGCTCGCACTGCTCGTCAGCGCATGCCAGACACATCCGATCTGTTCGCTCCCCGCGAATGGCAAGGTCGCCGTCTTGCTGCTTCCAAGTGGTCTGCTCACACTGCCGCCTCTTCGCATGACAGCTCTGCCATCTCGCCCAAGCTCTTACAAGAAGGCGAGCTTGCCATCTCTGCCGCCTTTGCTCTGCCCACCGAGGGCTCATCTATGAATGCCTATAACAAGACTTCGATCGGTACCATTGGCGACCGCCGTCGTGCGACTGCCAAGCCGACTGCCTGAGTCATCTTCTCATGACGAATAGAAACGAAAAGACTTCAAAAAAAAACCCTCGATATTCGTGTCTTGCTGCTTCTTCTTTGCTGGACGACTAAATATCGCACTATGACAAGAGCACTGCCTTCGTTTGGAGCTCGTTCGACGTGCTCTGGAGATACATGATACCCCAATCAACAAAAGCATAGCTGTATTTCGCACCGTCTACAGATTCGCCGAACAGTGCCCAATGCTGGCTCAATGCATTTCTATCTCATTGTTACAAACAACACTTGCCTGCATGAGTCCTTTACAGCTCTCTGCATAGGGTACGGCCATGCTCGACTTGATAAGCACACAGCCGCGGTTGCAGCCAGGCTGAGAGCAGTGAAGCGGCGAGAATGCCAGAGGTGTCTGCGAATCCAACGCAAGCTATGCTGAACTCTCGCTGGGCTATCCTCGATTCCGGCGAGACTGCCACTCCGGATGAATTCTCTGCTTCTTCCAGGCCGAGCCGATGGAATACGTTGACGTATGCCAAGCCGCCAGACAGTCCTTCCAATGCGACAACGGCCACGACGCTCGTGCGAGCATGTCGACCAAATGTACTGGTGAGGATGCCTCGCGTCGATTCGAGCAAGGCAATACCCAACAGAGCAACTTGCGCGAGAGAAGGCAGAGGTATCAACCTTTTCGGCAGTGGCGGGATGCGGAAGATGCTGATGGACGAACGAGAGAAGAAGACGAAAGTCTGGTAAACGAGTTGCCAGAGCGGGTAGTAGTCTGACAGATGGTGGATGATGTGTGACCAGATCCAGCTCTGTTGTGCCGTTGGAACAGGATAGAGCAGCGTTGGTGCAACGCCTTGATTGATTGTGTACTCGGCTGGGATGATCTGTCAGCTCATGTGGTTTAAGCGGCCAGTGAGCCTACCGAGATAGACCACAAAGAGCGGGATCATGTAAGGCAGCACGAGCGGTCGAGCGAGAGCGAGCTTCTGCGACAGTGACAGGACAACTCGTTTGCCTGCTAATGTCGAGTAGACGGGCATGCTCTCTGCTTGTAGGGTCTGCAGATCTTCATCTGCTGTCGGTATGCTCGTGTATGCTGTTGTCTGCGATGATGTGTGGCTCGCAAAAAGGTGCGGCTGTGGCAAGAGTACGAAGAATGTTAGCGCCATGCCGAGAGGTATGAGCTGCGGCAGTCCGAAGCTACTGAGCTATGGTCCAATTGCTGAATAGCGAGAGTGCCCACGGAAGTAATGCTCAAACCGAGCTTTATGCCGAGGCCGCGCAGAAGCCACCAGAGTAGTGCGCCAACGAGCCCTGCTGCCCCGGTGCCAGACGCAAACCACTGCACAGCGATTCAGACGGTGCTGACAAGTTATTGAAAGCAGGCAGGCGTACGCCGACGGCTTGTGAGCCTAGCTCGTCGCGCCCGTACGCAGTCGAGAGCTGGAGATAGGTCATCTCGCCCAAGCCGCTTGACAAGCTAGCGAGCGCAATGCCGAGCAGACGCATGTCCAGCGAGTCAAAGAGTGCGACAACCTGTGTTTTTACAGTTGAGTCTCCGTCTTTGATCCGATGGCACGGACGGACGATGATGCCAATGAAGCTGATGAGCGAACATGAAGCGACGCGACGAGAGTATCGCACTCTGCCCGGGACAAGGTAGGGCCATCCGACTTTGATGAGCAGCGCGGGCGCAATGTTGGCAAACAGGATCAGACCCTGTGCTCGAGACGGGGTAAGCCAATGGGTCGCCGTGGCGCGTTCGAGAACGACTGACGGTTGGCACATCTGTTGGCAAGAGGTCCTGTGCAGCCGAGAGGATGACGACGTAGAGGGCATTGTTCTCTAGTCCGAGGAGAAAGCTATCGAGCCATTGTGAAGATCAGCTATGCGCTGATACGGTCCAAGGAACGGACAAGGCTGTATTGAGCTTGAGCAGGTCCCGGAGGGTAGCAACTGCGGAGGAGGATTCTGCAGCGTCCAGCTTGGGCGATCCTGGCACTCGCCCATCTGAGAGCGTCGTCATCTCCACTTCTTCATGCTGAGCAAGGATGATAGGGTGCATGCGGCCATGAGTGGTTCGAGCCTGGAGAGGACTGCTCGAGGCGCGAACCGCGTTTGTCGTGTCGCCAGCCGGTCAGCCACAAACGGGATGGGCAAGCTCAGTGTAAGACGCTGTTGCTCATTTTCAGGTCATGGACTGACTTTGACGTCGCCTACAGTTCAAAGGCGAGCCCAAGACCAAGAAGCGCAAAGTCTCGGCCGTCACAGAGCCGAATGAAAAAAGTGTGATCACCAGCAAAGACGACGAGCAAAAGGAGGGATGGATGGATATGCCCTCGACCTACGACGCCATTGGACCACTCTACATCATCAACGAAGCCTCCCAGCCACCTACTTGCCTTGCAGTCAACGTCACCATCAACCAAAGAGTCCATCCTCACGCTCTCACCGACTCTGACTTGCACACTGCTGAGCCAAAGGATATCTCACACGTCTGGGTCTGTACACGCATACCCGACTCGGATGACAAGGTCACCCTGCGGACTTCCAACGGGCGCTTTCTCGCTGTAGACGAAGTCGGCGTCATCTCGGCCGACAGGGAGGCAAGAGGACTGCAAGAAGAATGGACCCTCGAAGCTGCAGGTCCAGAGGGATCGGGTCAAGCTGCCTTCAAGGGAGCATACGGTAAGTACCTCAGCTTTGACGAAGTAGCGGGCGGCAAGCTCGAGATACGTGGCGACAGCGACACACTGGACGCTCAAGAGACTCTGCTGATCAGGATGCAAGCCGAGTACCGGTATAAGCGCGGCATGCTGGACGATAAGAAGCCTCGCAAAGATGGTCTGACGGTCATCAAGGACGTCAAGGGGGCAGAGAACAGCAACATCATGAAGTACCAGGCCAGAGGGGCTGGAAGGTTAGTGGGCACCGATATGAGCAAGAAAGAGCTTCGCCAGGCTAGAGACGAAGGCACACTGCACGAGACGATGCTCGACAAGCGTATGAAGATCAAGAGTGATCGCTACTGTTGACACCATGGTCAGTTTGCTTTCCGTTCCGTCTCCTTCCTCCTTAAAGATGAAATACAAATCACATAAGCTAGTCAAGCTCAACAATCTCAGCCTACGGGCGGTGCCGACTCATTTTCTGCAATGCTGATATTCTTTCCATCCTTCGCAAGTGTTACATCGGGACACATGCTGACAACACTGCATCTACAGGACACGACAAGCAAGACTGGTTATCTCTGTTGCATCTGGTATTGTTGTTGATATGCTGTATTCGCCTGGCCATAACCCTGACCCTGTTGCATCTGCTGCGGATAGGCATGCGCGTATGCCTGCAGTGGCTGTGGATAGGGCGATTGAGAATATTGTGCCGGTATAGACTGATTCTGCGGCAGGGATGGTGCATATGACATCTGCTGAGGCAGCATAGCTGGCCCCTGCGGTGCAGCATATTGCGCCACCCGAGACGCAGGCCGTGTAGCGGGCGAAGGTGGCACAGATCCCTGTGGCGAGCCGTCCTGACTGTTGTTACTCGTCCCTGGCGCTTGCGCCTGAGCCTGCGCCTGTGATTGCAATTGCTGTACTTGTGCACCGGCTTGCTTGGCTTGCTGTATCAGCTGACTTGCCGTGTTCTGCAGCTGTGCTTGCGCGCCAGGAGGGTAGCTCTCGAACGCTGGAGAGCGCATGGCGTTCATGACCTGTCCGTATTGCTCTTGACAAGAAGCAATAGTGTGCATGAGTGCTTGGATCTCCGGCCCGCTCGAGATGGAAGTCTGAGATTGTGCAGTGGTTGGTCTACTTGTGGGTGCTGGTCGGCTAGCGCTCTGACTCGTTGGGCGCGCATAGCCATTGGCAGGAATGTTCGGCTGTGCAGGAAGCATGATACGAGCAGCGGCAGGCCCGATACTGCCAGGCGTTGATGGCATCGAGCCTGAAACCGTTGCACTCCTTTGCCCCACATCAGACTCGGCTCGACTCTTCTTCGCCTCTCGTAATGCTTCCAACGCGTCGCCACTCTCTTCTCGTTTGAGCGTACCTCCACCTGGCATGCTCTGAGAGAGCAGAGCAGCCTTTGGATCTTCGACGGGAGGACTCCGTTGCGCAATCATGGCCGATTGTGTGAAGAGATACTTGAGCTGGTTGTACATATTGGCTAGCGCCTCGTTGCTGCCTATGCCGGTTGGCAGATCTGTAGATGGCCTGGGCGCTTTTAATGGCTGCAAAAGGGAATATCAGCATGTCTACAGTCCAGTCGTGCGCGACATTACTTGGTCTGCAGAGGCGGACTGGGCCTGAGCTTGAGCCGCAAAAGCAGCAAGGTAGCTCAAGTTCGCTTGTAGTCGCTGAGACAATCTGCCAGGCGCCATGAGCTGCGAGGAATAGCTGAGCGCGCTTGACGTACTCTTTGAGTAACTGGCCGTCATCGGTCGCATGCTGCGCTTGTGTACATAGCTTTATGAGTTCGGCATTGATGCTAAAGAGTGTGAAGATGGTCTGTGCATTGATTCGCCTGCGTTGATCTCTCTCGCTTACGATGACTTTGGGCGGCGTGCCACTCGTAGCAGCTTGAAGCCCCGGGCTCATATCTACTGCCGGCCTCGGCGGCTCTATTGCGATCGTATGCGGGGATACTGTCGGATTGGCGTTGGCCAGGGAGACTGCTGATTGTGCTGTCGAGGCCGTTCGAGGCGATTGTGGATCGTTGGCGGTCGCATCTCCTGCCGATCCAGAGGCTCGACGTGCTATATCTGTGCTAGTCATACCCGCTGATGCTGCTGTGAATGCTAGCCTTGCAGCGTCTGCAGTGCTAGGCGCAGCGCCGGCCAATCTATCGACCGGACTGTCTGTACTTTGGAGCGTGTTGCTGCCCTCAGCAGTAGCATATGTTGGCGTAGCAGGCTCTACTCGGTTCGGGTATTGACTATGCATATCTGGGTGGGCCTGTGCCATGATGGCGTCTGCCTGTCCAAGTCGGTCTGGTCTCCTCTCTTGCTTGTGCCACGTCTGTGACGCGCGACCGACTGCTCCAGCTGCTTCAGCAAAGTTCTCTTTTGACAAGCGTGATGACAACAACACATCTCTACTGAAGCCTGCTCAAGATTCTGACCATTCGAGCGAGGCAAAGACAAGCCTCTTCCGAGGCAATCGGCCGGCGAGCGGCGAGAGCAAGCCGACGCGTTTCCGCTCGCTGTCGACCGATCTGAGGTGAATGTAGCCCAGAACGGGACTGACGAGCGCTTCTTCGTCGTCGGCATCATCGTCCACTTGGAGGACTGCACAGATGTGATTGACCAGTTCGGGGAAGGTGCGACTTTCTGTGATATCGATATCGTAGAGCCGAAGATCTCTGCTGGCCATATCTTGGCCGAGCGGCAAGGCTGACGAAGGTGCTGCAAAGTCTGCACCGATCCTGTAGACTTTGAGATAGTCGAACAAGATGGACGCATTGTGAGGCGAGAGAGCGCCGCAGGAGACAGTGGGCCCACCGTAGAAATAAGAGTGGATTTGCTTTGCTCTCAATCGTCGTCTGTACGCATTGTCAATGTCAGACACCTGGCACATCATCAGCATACTGTTTTCCTAGTCATAGCGAAACATACGCCGCCGCTCTTGGGCACGCGCAAAACCTTGACAGATTTGTTCGTGCTCATCAGGCGAGTGATGTCGACTTGTAGCTTCTCGCTGCCCAGCACGACGATCACATTGACTGTGGCTCGCGTAAGCAACAGCAGACTCGGTGAAACAGCATAAGCAATACCTCCTAGCGTTCGAACGAGCTTGATGAGCATCTGACCTCTCGACCGTTCTGCTAATTCTGCAGGCGTATCGACCAACACGCCACCACGCCAGAGACCTGGCTCGCCACCTTCTTCGAGCTTGGAACGCAAGAATGCCCCAAGCCGCTTGATCTGCGTTTCCGCAAGTGCGTCGTTCCGTCCCCAATCTGTATGACCGTAAAAGAAAGAGAGCGCATTCAGTGCGGGCGCGAGCGTGTTGTAGTTGACTTCGAGCGGTATGAGGGCTTCTTCGGTCGCGCTGGCTTGATCTGCCTTGCTGGGCTGCTGGAGTATGATGGGCAGAGAGGGTCCATTGCTATACGTCGTACCGAAAGAGAGCGCTGGCGTTGTGGTGGGCACACAGGAATAGACAGGCGCAATGGAGAAAGTGCCGGGAACGGTCATCGCTCCATCACTGGGATCGAGATTGACGAGCATGACGCCTCGCTGCGGGCCCAGCTGATCCTCTTCGCTCGCAAGAGGCAGAGCATTGAGATCTTGTCGGGCTCCATTGCCAGACCGTATGGCCCAATTGAGCAAGGTCTTGATGAGCGTCGACTTGCCAGCGTTGCGTTCGCCGAGGACCATGACGCGAGGACCGGGTAGCTCTTCGTCCTGTTCGGTCTGATCCTGCTGAGCAGTGACAAAGAAGGAAGCAGGTGGACGAGATTGTAGCCTGGCCTGTTCAAGGGCAAGGTGCAGGTTGAGATGGAGAGGCGTCGTCGTCTCCTGGGCGATGTACTCTGTCGTCGCTTTGCCCCTCAAGGAGAGCGTGCAGCCGTGCCAGGTGAAGATTGCACCTCTCAACTCGTCAGAGAATGGATAGACCACCTGAGGAGCCAACTCATAGCCGAACACTTCTGCCGTGCCCGAGACGAGCGTGACGAGCAGTCTATCTTGACCCTCAAGCTCGAACCTGAGCTCCTGCAGCGGCGGCAAGTCCACCGGGCGAGCCTCCATGTCACCTGCTCAGCGGCAATGGTCAAATGGCCACGTCGCTCGCAATCCGAATGCCAAGAAATTCTGCGCGACGAAGAGGGCGATCGGCCAATTCGAGACTCGACGGAGAGCGACAGGGGAAACAGGCGATCAGCTGCTGTGCCGTCACGAGTGATCGGATAAGTCTATCGCTTCGTGACCGGCGACGGCGAGTACTCAGCTACAGAGCGCTCCGGTGAGCAAGGACCTCGACTCGGCAGAGCGCAACGAGGTCTTTGCACGTCAGCCTGACCTGTCCGGCATCTACTCTCCGAGTCTGCCGCTGCTCACGTGCCCAAACAGCATGAGCATCACCGTCAATCGCATCGAAAGCCTGTAAGAACTGCCGGGGCACACACAGTCAGACTCAGAGCAGACAAGCAAGCGGCTGCGGGGGAAGAAATGGCAATGAGTGCTCTCTTCGGCTCCTCGCCCTCGGGTGCAGGCATGTTGTCGACCTCGAGCCAGAAGGACCCACCGACGTTCAGAGGTCTCACTGCACCGTCTGGTGGCATACTCCTCAAGTGAGTCCTCCCTGTACACCCGAACGTGACGCTCGTCTGACCATCTCGACCGCGCAAACAGCTCGGGCAGTCGACAAGCCTCGCCCTCGCCCCTGTCCAAGAGTACAGGGCATACCAGGAGAGCGTCAGAGCTACCTCCCAGTAGCAGCTACAAGCAAGCCTACCTGCAGCCTGTTCATGGACCGGGAAGAATTACCGCGCCCGAATTCGATCTGGCTACTGCACGCAAGCTCATTGGCCGATCAGACTCGGCCAGCTCAGTCGGTTCATCGACTTCATCCGATGATGTCAACGGTTCCAAGCGAGACAGCAAAGCCAGAATCAGGTTTGCACCTCTGCCTGACCCGAGAAAGTATCGCGACGAGTTTGGCTACTACGACGATGACTATCCCGACGGCGACACTTCCCGTCGCGGCTCAGAGGGTTCGATCAATACTACAGAGCCAGCAGCAGCTACACCAGGCCAGCTGACACCCTCTACGTCCTTCTCGTCTGCGATAACCAATCCTGACGATCCATCAGGCCCCGAAGCGCAAGGCGAGCTCACGCCACGCAATGGCGCCCAACGCAAGGAATCCACTTCATCTGTCACACGGAAGCTGCTCGGCGGTCTGCTCGGCAAGAAGCCAAAAGCATCTCAGCAGGGCAGCACAGGCATACCCGTCCGTCGCGTGTCATCTACAGGCGGAATTAATTACACCGGTCGGACGACGGGCAGCATGTTCACGTCCAAAGAGGATCGTCGGCGTTCGTTGGTCGATCAGGCCCTGGAGGGCACAGATCTGAGAAGAGTACGATCGGGTCCCTCGAGCGCATCTCCTAGCGGTCAGCGCGCACGATATCCTCCCGTTGCGCAGGGCAGAGGGCGAAGAAGCAGGACGACGAGCGCCGAACCTGTCGAGGAGCCCGATTTCGTAGAATGGGGGTTCGGCGGCGTAGGATCTGCTCCTGCCTTCACGGCTTCTGCCGCAGAAAGAGCGCGAGAGAGATCTGCGAGCGTCGGCTCGGGCACACCATCACAGCCAAAGGCAGTCTCGGCCTTCCAAGCTGACGACGCATTCGTGTCTGGCGAAGATGATGACGGAAGCGGGATGGCATGGGTGCGCAAGCGACGACAACGTCAGAAGGAGGCCGAAGAGCAAGCCCGAGCAGAGAGATCTAGATCTACTTCACGCGATGAGTCTCCCTTTGGCAGCAGAGTCGCGCGGCCCGGTGCAGACTCCAATGAGGAGCTCTTTCAAATGGACGACGACACGGGTACACGCACGCCGCCCCGAACTGCAGATGCTCCTCCCATCGTCGTTTCGCCTCCTCGCGAATCAGCAACGCTCCACAAGGCGATCAGCAGTCCGACATCAGATGACGAGACGATCAAGATTGCAGCCCAAGTTCCTGTGGCACGACAAGCAGATGAGGAAGATGATGCGGGTGCAGATGATGATCGAGAAGAGGAAGATGATCTGACGACAGAGGAGAAGGAGGAAGAGGACCGACTGACAGAAGCTGCTCGCAAGACGACTGCGTCTGCAAAGACAGAGATCTTCAGCAAGCACAAGCCCGCCCCAGACGAACGCCGTCGCATCGCTTCTTGAACCAGTGGGAACCCTGCATTCACAGACGCTTTGTACAACCATCATTGTCATCTCATGTTGGGCTTCCGGGAAATGTAACATCACTTTTGACAGACTCAGTCTTTGCTAGCTTTGCTTGATCGTTGCCTAAGCGTACTTTGCTCTGGCTTCTTGTCGTCTGCGTCGAGCTTCGTCAGATCGAAGCCGCTTCGACTGCGCGCATGCGACGAGTTGCGGCGTGAATTGGAACGTGAACGAGTGGGACTAGATGCGCCGGGCGTAGTCGGCTGCGACTTCATGCCATTCAGGTACCGAATGACTTCCTCGTAATCTGCATCATCGCCGTCTTGCTCTGATGAGCTGCTCTCGTCGTCGTCCACAGCGGCATCGCCAAGACCGCGGGAGAGCGAGCTCGGCTTGGATTGCGACCACCCGAAAAGCTTCTCGTCGAGCCAAGCCATTGGATGGCTGAGCATTCGCGACTCGACGCCGCTCTGTGAATGGCTCCGTCGTAGTGCGGAACTTGCGTCCATGCTGCCTGGCGCTGGCTGGGCTTGCGGGATGATACGACGTTGGTCAAAGTCATCGAAAAGTTGGGGACCAAATTCTTCGATGACTCGACTGAGCGCGTCCGCCAAGGCTGCCCTTCGCTCTCGCAACTGTTCGATCGAACGCTGGTTGCCGGGCATCAGGGAGACCGTGAGCGGCCGCAAGGATTTCCAGATATCCATACCAACTTCGCCAAATTTGAGCGCAGAGTATCCGACTGTGGGCAGAGCAATGACAGCAAAGAAAGGCGTCCAAATCAGATATTTTGGTGGGACACCATAGCGGGATGCGACATAGGTGCTGATACTGACATACGTGCCGTACAGAACGGGCGCCATACCGAGCGAGACGAGGACTTTCCAGGTTGCCAAGACGTCGCGACCTTCGATCTTGACGGTTGAAGCAGCAAGCGCCTCTTTGGCTTTCTTCCGACTGATGAGACTTGCTGCTATGAACATGGGTGCATTGAGCACGATGCCTGGCAACGCAAGCAGAGTCCAAGCAGACAGCAGGCCGGCACGGTAGGCAAGCAAGATGAGAGACTTCCATCGTGGTCGATTTGACCGCTCGACCTGATGGTCCTTCAGACCGAGATACTGTAGCTGCTTGTTGTAATCGAGAACCTGACTGCGCAGCTGTTTGATCTTATCTTCATCTTTGTATTTGAGATAGCCAGCAACAAATCTTCTGTTTAACTCGACCACCTGGCCCAGCGTGAGTTGGTGACCTGGCGGCTTGTACAATCTCCGACAAGCTTGCACGACCATGAGCGTCTCGTAATCTGGCGCTCGGACAGTGACACTTTTGAGACCATCAAAGACAAGGTCCATGACCTTGCCTATGGCTTCGCGCTTCTCTGCCCCACCTTGCCTGAAGAGCTCGACAAACGCTTCTGGGATTTCGATGGGCGAGCCAAACTCAACGACGGCGCGAGATCTGAAGCGATGCGCGTGAAAGTAGTTCAGCCCGACTGGCACGATCTGTATGAATGAATAAGCTTGTGGCTTGATACCCCCCGAAGACAGAGACCTACGCGAAGCTTGAGCGACTTGTTTGACATCAGAGCGCCCAACGCCATGATGCTCACGCCACTGCTTGACTATTCAGCATAGTCCACGAGGCGGCAGGCCAGACATACGCTTTGAGAGGCAGCAGATCTGTGCGGTCGTGAGAGCCGCCTTCTGGGAAGATGCCAACGCAACCGCCATCCTTCAGTTTGGCATAGACTTTGCCGTACATCTACCTCGCTATTAGTCAACGTTGACGCTATGATGGGCTGACAATCACCTTTGTCTGGTCGATGTAGGGCAGAATCTTGTAGGGTACACCTCGCGAGGCAGCTGCTGCTTCAGTGGTAGTAATAGCTTCGTGTATCTTCTCGCTGAATGCCTTCTTGAGCTTCAAGGTGGTATCATCGATGACTTCAACGACCTCTGCTGCCGCAAAGTCGAATACTTTGGGCAGCTGGACTTGTCTGCGCGGCTCGAAATCTTTTGTAAAGGTCGTGCCGTGTCCACGCAGGATAAGATGATCGTGCTGCTTCGCGTTGTCATCGTAGAAAATTTTGCCTTTGCCGGCCTTTGCATCATCCGCCGCTCTGACGACAGAGACTGTTATGCCATTCAGCGCTCATCCCGACATATCCAATGGAGAACCGACTGCTTTGCATGAGACGAGCAGCAAAGCCGACAAAGGCACGCTTCATCGACTTTTCTGCTATCAAGAAGGAGATACGTCGGCCAGCGGATAGCCTGACTTCTGACAAGAGTAAGAGAGGATCAAGGAACTGGTTGTGATGCGGGGCGCCGACGAAGATGATGCCTCCGTCTTGTGGGATCTTGTGTGCGCCTCTCGGTCTGATCTCCCGAAAGAAGAGATTGATGATCCACTGTTCCAAAATGAGTCACTGATTCCGGCAAGGCACAGCGGCGTACCTTGAAGATCAAGACGAGGAGATCGTAGACGAGGTTGGAAGCAAGCAAGCCACGCTGGTGCAGTGCCTTGGCAGCCATCTTGACGATGAAGCGTACGATCGGTCCAAAGAGCTTCTTTGCGTAGCTCTGGATCTTGCGCGAGGGCAGTATGCGCACAAAGACGATGAGCAAGCTTTTGAGATCAGCTAGCGTGCGCGCGTGCGCTTGACGTTCTGCCTCGATCGATGAAGGTCGACGTCTACCAGCCCGATGTGAGACTGCTCGACCAGGTGTAGGCTCGTCTTCGAGTTCGTCGAGCTGGAGTGCGTTCGAGTCGGCTTCGATCGTCCGACGTGCTCTCTCGGGCGATAGCAGGAGTGGGTCTTCTAGCCTTCCTCTGCTTCGCGAGCGTGAGCGCCGACGCTCTTGATTCGCTTGTACGCGATCGTGGCCGGTAGGTCGCCTACGGAATTGCGGTAGGCTCCGATCAATCGAGTCCGTCTGAACAAATTCCTGCGAGACTGCGCTTGACGGGCTACCGACGCGACTGAATTGAAGTGCGATGGGCGATGTGACGGGGGATGTCTGAGCAGTGGGCAGGGATGAAGGTGCAGGAGTTTGGTTGCGAGAAAGAGCAAGCAAGCGCCTGGCGGCTTCTGTTGGGCTCTGTCCACCCGAACGAGTCGCAGGTCCTGTCGAGCGATCTGGGGTCTCCTGCGTGATGCGTCTTGTATCGCTTGGCAGAGTAGCAGGAGAGAAGCCCTCGATCTTTTCGGCAAGCGCGAGTGAATCTGGCTGCTTGGGCGTCGTGTGGATGGGTATATCAAAAGATGTCTGCGAGGGCGGACCGGGTACGCTCTGATGATGCTCTCTGAGCACGGGCAGGGGTGTCGACGTATGCGGCAAGATGGGCGGTATGCGGAACGTCTGCTCGGACGGCAAGGGCGCGCTCGGACTAGCTTGAGGCTCGACTGCGCCTCTTGCCGGTGCTGCACTTTCGTCGGCGTTGGCAGATGCAGAGGTGACGGGTACGATGACTAGGCTGCCATCTTCGACCTGCTGCGGATCACTGCTGGACAAGCTAGTTGGGGCAAGAGCTCGATCGTCTCCAGTGGCTCCGGTACCGAGCTCAGGCGATGTCAGTGGCTCAGATTCGGCAGCTCCGTCTGCGCTGAGGCGAGCGGCAAGCTTCTTGTCCTTCTGCTTGCGTCGCTTGCGCTTTGCAGGCGTCTCTTGACCGGCAGACTCACCAAGGGTGTTGTTGGCTGGACGTGCGTCGTCGAGAGACGTGGCAGCGGCGACGAGGTGAGGCAGCTTGGGTGGGCCAGATGAGGAAGGCTGCCTCTTGCGTGGTGCTGCGGGCATACACTCTTTGCTCTCCTTTCCCGTCTCTGCCTTGCGGGTCTCCTCACGACTTCGCGTCTCCTCGTGGACGGACGAAAAGCGAGGCGCGGCGAGTGCGCGACGGGTTCGCTCGCTCTCCCATCTCAGCTGGTTTGTCTGTCTGTCTGTCTGTCGTATCCAGATCATCGCACACCATGTCTATGCAATGCGCTCGTCGTCAGCCGTGAACGGTCGCGCAGCACCGAGCAGTCGGCATTGCAACCGTTGCCTCACTCTGTCATCGCCATTGAGCTCCCCGATCGCCACTCTGTTCACCGTCCACGATCCGTACAAGCAGCACACAGACGCAGGAAGTCATGCTCAGCTTACTCGCATTCACAACGCTCGCCTCGTTCGCGATGGCCGACTTTGGTGTCAAGTTCGATGTTCGTACCTCGCAAGGCTGGTTCTTGCCGTCAAAGGGCACAGCGTCGACCACTCAGTTCGCGCTCAATGGCGAGGTTCGTGCCGATGGTACAGGAGGATGTAAGTCTGCTGAATCTTGGTCGCGCGTCACTATGGATGTTGACCTACGCGCAGCAACTGCGTGCGGTGCATCAGCATGGGGACCTATAGGCGCAAAATATCATACAGACGGGCCTGGAAAGGGTATGCCCAACGCTCACTGATTCATCTGCTTGCTGACGAATCTCACAGGTCCGGGCTTGGTATGCACCGTGCCCCGTATTGCCATTGTCACCGCGCTGACGTGAACTCCCGAAGCTCTACGCTGCCATCAATCAAGGTAAAGAGTGTGCGCTTCGCTGATCTCATCAAGCTCATACTATCGCAGAGGCTTTCGGAAGTGTCCACGGCAGCGGACCAGCATGCGGACTGTGCTTCGAGCTGTCGCCGGTCTCTGGCAGTGGTCAGGAACTTGCTGATCAAGCTCTGACCTTTGAGATCATCGATAATTGTCCCGTGGGATCGGGTAGCGATCAGAACTGCGGTCAGTGTAAGGGCACGACCAATGCTGCCTTTTCGAAACCGACTCACTTTGACATCGCTAGCGATGGTGCGTTCTGCCTTTGCCTGTCTGTCCTGCGCCCTGCTGACGCTCAAGTAGCCATGTCGCCTGAGCAATACGCTCAATTCTACAACGGTGTGACAGATGGCTCAAACTGGCGTTCCATCAATTTCAAGAATGTTCCTTGCAATCCAGACACGAATCCCAAGTTTGCAACGCTCAGCTGGGGATGTAACGGCTCATGCAAATCCGAAAACATCGATTCGTGCGTGGACATCAATACTGGTAGATCCGTAGAAGGCATGCCGGCCAGTAGCGGCATTCATCGCCGCATGACGCCTTTTCCAAGCAGTGCATTTCACTATCACGGTCGTCGACGCCATGCAGGCCATTGAGGCAAATCAGATAATCACAATTTGTGCGTTGTGCCAAAGTATTGCATAGCAGCTGGTCTGCTGTCTGCGCATCGGGCCATTCAGTGTAGACGCCGAGCGTTCGGACCGTGAGCACAGAGTCAAAGACATCGCGAGTGGACTGGCTGGGCCACCGCCAAGGAGCTTGAGCAATATGCGCCGAGAATTCACACTTATCGCCATGTCACAGCCCTATGGTTGCAATGACAGTCTATGCGAGACCTGCTCGTAAAAACATCTTCGTCTTTGCCTACTTGTCAAGTGAACTGACGGGAGACATGGTCATGCGCTTCTTGTGCAAGCCAGAGTAGTGATCCGCCACTTCCGTTGAGACGAGCTTGCCCGTCGTGGCATCCGTGCAGGCATCGAGTGCGTTGTTGAGCTTACATCCTGATGCACAGCCCCAAGAGCGCGTGGTGAAGAGCGGATTGACTGATCTGTCACAATCGACGAGCTCGAATTGAACTGTGCGTGTGTTGTCAGCTTGGTCTTATGCTATGTGCGGGCGGTGTACCTTTCTTCCAATTTGATCCATAAGTGATGCCTTTCGTGAAGGTGGCATACTGCTCGGCATTCATCGCATCCGTTGCAATGTCGAAATGGAATCTTCGATAAACCAAGGTTTCAGCTCAAGATGGCACCGTAGGCAGAGAAAGACTCACTCTTGACCGAAAGCGGTATTTGTAGAGCCTCGACACTGACCGCAATTCTTGAAGTTCTGCGTGCCAACCGGGCAGAGATCACAGATTTCGAATGTCAGAGACTGATCGCAGAGCTGCGTTTGCAGGTCAAGTCTGCGTCGCACAGATCAAGAGAGGGATCGACTGACCACTTCGTCCGCATCGGAGATCGGCGTGATGGTGTAGCATTTGCCACAGGCCCAGCCCGGCCCATTGACTGGCGAGCTGGGTAAGCAAGAGCTTTGCAGGTTTCAGATTGGCTTGCCTGCTCCAAAGGCGCGCTGATTGATTGCGGCATAGAGCTGCGCAGCGTCAGTAGGCTGACTCGGCCATGATGGATCAGCTTACAAAGCCAGGTCCTTTGCCAGGTCCGTCCGTATGGAACTTTTGACCAGGACCTGCCCAGCCAGCCATGCCGCACGCAGTGGCTGCGAGGAGTATGAGCCGGCACAAGGTACCAAAGCGAGCACGTACAGCCATACGAGCCATCTGCCTTGATCTCGTCGTTTACTACAATGCGTATCAGTGCATGTTGACGTTTGCCCAATCAGATGACTGACAAACAAATTGTGTGGTTGAGGCATAGCCGGACGATGGCATCATCCATCCGCCGTCGAGCTGCGTGTCGAGCTTGAGTCCGAGCTGGGCCAGCGAGCCGGACGTGACAGCGAGTAGCACGAAAGTGTGAGAGATCATCCTTGCCGTAACACACAGATGGCGACAATTTGCAAGCTTTGAGTAGTTTGCCAATTGCTGAATAAGATGTAGCTAGTCGCCAAAGCAAAGGGTCCTTCCCCTGCTAGAGTTGTAGTGCTACACCGCACATCTCGAAGCGCTATATGATCTGCAAGGGCACGACGGGAAGTTGTCGAATGCGAGGCGCAGCGCGATAAGACAAGGTGATGGCCTACTGCCATCGCGCTCTGGCTCGGTCCAGCAAGGTGTCAACCTGATCGAAACGAGGTCTTCCGCGCCTGAAAAGCCTACGAGGCGCAGCCTGCATGGGCGGCGGAGAGCTCCATCTGGGCTTGGGCGGCGGGAGGTGGCGCTTTGGCGGCGGTCGACCGGTCAACATGAGATACGCAGACGCTCTCGCCAACTCGGACCTGTTTCCTTCGACGCAAACGAAAGTAGCAGCTCCATCTGGAGGATCTACCGACGTGCTCATGGCAGTGTTGGTTGTGATAGGCCAGGCGCAAGCGTCTGATCTATCTGCTGCTGCTGTGCGCGATTTGGGCGAATCCGGCTTCATGCCGAAGCATCCTGCTCGGTCGATCGAGAGCTTGTGAGGAATATGTGAGGGCTTGTCTGCTGCTCTCCGAAGCTTGCTCGGATCTGGTTTGGTCAGCTTGTGCGGTCGGCTGCCATGCGATCGTATGCGTGTAAGGTTTGTCTGACTAACACGGCGTTGACGAAGCTGCGTCGCAGGTCGGATCTTTACGAGCTCTACGGGCGCTGGCGGTACCAGCACAAAACTGTCATCGTCCTCTCGCAAAGTCGGCGAGAGCTGAGTTTGACGCTCAAGCCAAGTCACTCGCCGCAAAGAGCGCGCGATATCCTCGATTCGCCGAGATATTGGCCTCAGGCGAGCATCATCGAATGCCGAACCGCGCTGAGGTTTGTAGACGATCGAAACCCGATTCTGAGCCTTTTGAGTTCTCGTGCGTTGTCTGAAGAGCTACGTGAGCGTCATGAATGCCATCGAGACTGCGCGTACGAACAGATGTCGCTTGCTGTGATTGCGGCTGATTGACAATGTCCTCCTCTCTTGTGCATCCTTGGCAGAATCGATAGAATCGACAAGCTGAAGGGGAGCATCGTGTTCGATCGGGAGACCGAGAGTCGCAGAAAGGCGATGCTTGTCCGTCGTTATTGCAGTCTCGCCATCGACGACGACCAAGCTGAATCGCTGACGAAGGTCATCTGAGAAGCTGGAGAACGTTCCTTCTGTAGGCACTTTCAGCTGTGGTGCGGTAGTCGCAGACCTGCTGGAGCGCGAAATCGGTAACGGCTTTCTACTTTGCGGTGGACATTCATGTGACGCTGCAACCATTCCGGGGTAGGTCTCGTACGTCATAGCCTGTACTGAGAGCGTAGGATCATCATGCTGATGAGCGGCGGCCGGCTCACAGTAGCCTTCCGAGACAGCAACGAGGGCCTCTGGAAAGTGTCGAGTGTCTGCGATCGAGAGTTCGGCAAGCGTACTGTAGACGATCTCATAGTGGCCTTGTGGTGGCGCCGATACTACTGAAGGCATCGAGAAGAACGCTAGATTCAGATGGTAAGAAGAGGGAATGTCTCATGTAGGGCAATGTCAAGGTGACTGAGTGATGTCACAGCACGCGCCTCGCGCGACGTAGATAGATAGATAACAGACCGACGCCTCGTCATCAGTCGAGCACGATGACTTCGCAGCTGTCTTCCAATGCTAATTTGATGCGCTTGCTCGAAGCTACGTTGTCTTTCTTCTTACGTGCCTGTAACGGCTTTGATTCAGCTTGTGCCGAAGTCTCCCTCTTCAGCTTGGGCCTGTCTAATGCTCGCTTGGAAGATTTCACAGGCTTTTCGTCAGTACTGGATTTGCGCTTCATCAGTGGACTCGGCCGCTTCTTGTTCGCGGGTAGCTCCTCTTCGCTTTCGTCGACCGTGTCATCTTGCGAATCATGAAAGTCTTCGCCCGATTGCACGACTGCGCATAGCTCGACGGGCACGCCAGCAGTGAGCAAAAGATCGATCCAGACGTGCTGCGTCTCCGACAAGCGGTCGCCAGGTCCTTTGACTTCGACAAATTTGCAGATTGATTGCTCTTCGTTCCACATGCAGAGGTCGGGAATACCTCCCACGCGATGTCCGTACTCCTCGGCGAAGACGGTACAGATGGTTTCGAGAGCTCGACCGCCCAAGCACTGCAATGCATCAGTCAGCGCTTGTAATCCACTTGCACGATTAGTAATGACATACCCGAACAATAGCGAGGAGATCCTCGCGTGTGTATCCCCATCTGACGCCAATGCACCAGGAATTACGGGGCCGCTCGCGATCGTCAACGGCAGAGAGAAGCGCTTCAGCCTGGCCGTCTGCGATGGCCGCCAGTCGCTCCTTGACCAAACCAGCACGGACAATACTGAAAGCATCCGTTGCAAGATCGAGCGGGGCAGATTGATAGGCGGTCTCGAACACGCCATCGACGGGCGCAAAGAGGACGTCCCAGAACAGCAAGCCGAATATGGTCGTCAGGATTCCATTCTCGCAATGAAAGCCTTTGAAGCCTTGGCGCTCGTAATACTCGAGCGAGAGTTGTTCGACGTTGACTTCAGCGCCGTCCATGGCTCGCCAGCTACTCTTCTTACCCGTCTCGCCTTCGCTGAGCTTCTCGCCTTCGAGTGTTCGTCGGGTAGCTGCGCGCAAGCCAACGTAGTTGAAAGTATGCTTCCTGATGTCATCGAGCTTCAGCAGGGACTCGAGTCGCATGATCCGTCGCTGGAGTGCGTGTTTGTATATGATGTGCGTGAAGGGATCTTCGAGACCGCGCAGACAGATCTTCAATGCTTGCTTCCGCCGACGATCTTTGTCATCGTCGAGATGATTCATGATCACCAGAGCCAATCTCTCGTACCAGGCACCGCGTTTGCCGCGTCGAAAGCATTTCTGTGCGAGCAGCGCTTGTAAGCATTCAACTTCGAGCTGATACTCCTTGAGCTTCGACAAGATCTGTGCGCCTTTGTATACGACACGCGTGAGAGGCCAGGCTGAATACAAGTTATCAGCAGTAGGCTCGAGCAGGATGTGTGAGACTGACCAGGATGGAAGCGCTTGCGATAGTATGTCAGTCGATCGTCTATGTCTTCCTTCTCAAGCTTGATACGATCCTCCTCTTCGGCAAGATGTACCATCTGCTTCCAAGCCGGCCAGACAGCTTCCCAAACTCGCCTGCCTTCGATGTAGCCTTGCGTGCGCCATTCTGTACCCTTTCGCTGTGCCCAAGTCTCCGAAAGCTCGCCCAGACAATCTTCCATCTTATGCTCAACTAGCAGCGCCTTTTCGTAATCGAGTAGGCTCCTCCTGCTCTTGAAGATATTGAAAGAGCGCGAAATTTGATATTCCGGATAGTTGCGTAGCTTGAATCTACTCAATAGAGATGAAGTGAGAGTGCCCGACGACAGCACGCTTGAACGATGAAAGATGAGATGGACGCGGAGAAAGAGTGAGACGACAGTATGATCTAGCTCGATGCATGCGCCTAAACGAGTCAACACTGATTGACGCTGTCAGTAAGCGCCAGCCTGCGAGCGAAACGCCCACCTTTTGCAACCATGATCTCGCCCTGACAGAGCGTTCTGCCCTTTTCGTCAAACTTGAGACTCAGCTGTGGACTGCCACTTGTTTTGGTTTCTAATGAGGGAGACCGCTTCGGCAGAAAGGATAGCGTTGTCTGAGAAGTAGCCGATCTGGAGAGTGCTTTGATGATACTGTCGCGCGTCGTGCCTGACTTAGAAATGCGCATCTCCTTTGCAATGAGCTTGAGCTCGTCGAGACTAAGCATGGCCAGCAATGCAGGCAAATCGTCCTGCTCCCGCAGGACTTGCTCATCTCGTGCGAACCGCACAATGGCTGGATCGTCATTCCTCTTGGCACCCGGGCCTAGTGTACGCGCCCATTCGGGTAGCTCTGCTTGCGAGCTCGTCGAAGGACTAGCAGATGGCGCGCTCTGCATAGGCCTTGGCGCTGGACGACTTGGCGGACGCTGAGGCGAGTCATCTATCGAAATGGGTTCGCCTGCATTGCCGCTTGTCAAGAAGCTGTCGTCTCCCGCCATAACGCTTTCTATCGTTCGCACGCGCTCTGGAGTAGCAGGTGCAGCAGGCCGACGGCGAGCAGCAATAGCAGCGCTGGCTGTGCGAGAAGGACTGACAAGAACGATGGGGTTGAAGTACGTCGTGCCTGTGCCCATCTCTGGTGCAGGTGTGACTTCCCGGTCAAGACCAGGCGAGGCTTCTGGCAGTTCTGAGACCGGTTGGCTCAGCTCGTGACACGCCCGCGCGACATCTGCAATCTCGTCTGCGTAGCCTATCTGACTTGCTCTATGCCAGACGTGCTTGCGTATGAAGAGCCTCACAAAGAGGTATCGCGCTTCGTCTTGACGAACAAGCAATGACCACGCGTCAGTCATCGTGATGCGACAGCGTGTGAGGACGTACAAGACAGCGCAGACCAGCGGGATAGGACGCGAAGCTCAGTTTCTGAGAAGAGGAAGCTCTCTGAGCGGAGTACGACGTCCAGCATCTCCTCGAAAGCTTGGACGTAGATTGATATCCGTTGCTGAGGGGGTAAATCGACAATCCTGTCGCTCGAAGGCGAGTCGCCTGATGACGTACAGGGGGCCTGCTCATCTTCTGCTCGTGATGTCGGCTTGAGCGGTGTCGTAGGCTCGGGTAGATCGCTCATGAGGACATCGTGCGGCGCGAGAATGACAAGGACAAGCGTCGCGACGTACTTTGACTCGAGGCGCCTCATCGATGGTAGCAGACCACTCAGTCCAGATAGCTATCGACCGCGGGGGAACCTTCACCGACTGCTTCTGCTCATGGCCGACCGAAGATGGCAAGGGCAGACGAGAACACATCATCAAATTGCTCTCGCGAGATCCTGGCAACTATGAAGATGCTCCTCGCGAGGGTGTCCGTAGGCTTCTAGAGATCGTGCTCGACAGGAAGATACCGAGAAGTGAGAAGCTTGACACAAGCAAGGTGGCATGGCTGCGTTTGTCCACCACCGTTGGGACGAACGCGCTCCTGGAGAGGCAAGGCTCTCGGCATGCGCTGCTCATCACCAAAGGCTTCGGCGACCTGCTCCAGATAGGCAATCAGACCCGCCCCAAGATCTTTGATCTCAACATCCGGCGGCCGCAACAGCTGTACGACCATGTAGTCGAAATTGACGAAAGAGTGAGCCTGGTCGGATATGCTTATGATGCGAAAGCTGCGGAAAGAGCCGTCCAGTTCGACGAGACCGGCAAAGTCAAGCGGCACTACGATGGTGTCGAAATGGACAATGTCGTGCAGGGCATGAGCGGGGAAGCTGTCCACATCCTCAAAGCTCCAGGCACGTCATGTGCAACTCCTCTCGCCATGTACTCACGCATGCTGTAGACTCGGAGCTCGTGAGACAGCAGCTACAATCAGTCTACGACAACGGCATCAGAACGCTTGCCATAGTCTTCATGCACTCGTATACCTTTGCAGACCATGAAAAGCTTGTGGGCAAGATAGCGCACGAAATGGGCTTCACTCACGTTTCGCTGTCCTGCGAGGCAATGCCAATGATCAAGGTCGTGCCCCGAGGCATGTCCTGCACTGCCGATGCCTACCTCACTCCTGTACTGCAGTCCTATATCGACGGTTTCTTCGGCGGCTTTGACGAGTCGCTCAGGCGGGGCGTCGAAGATCGCAACGCAGACGCAAAACGCACGACAACCGTCGAGTTCATGAATTCCGATGGCGGCTTATCTGACGTCAAGACCTTCTCTGGTCTCAAGAGCATCCTCTCCGGTCCAGCTGGTGGGGTCGTGGGTGCTGCATTGACAAGCTGGGACGAGAAGCAAAGGCAGCCGCTCGTCATGCTCGACATGGGAGGCACTTCCACAGATGTCTCCCGCTTCGACGGCCGCTACGAAACCGTGTTCGAGACTGTCACAGCTGGCATAGCTATACAATCGCCGCAGCTTGACATTAACACAGTCGCAGCAGGTGGTGGCTCGCGCTTATTTTGGCGCAATGGCATGTTCGCAGTCGGACCTGAATCAGCAGGAGCTCACCCTGGGCCTGCATGCTATCGCAAGGGTGGCCCGCTAGCAGTGACGGACGCGAACCTGGTGCTCGGTCGGCTGATACCGAAATACTTTCCGAGCATCTTCGGCGAGGACGAATCGCAGCCCTTGGATCCTCAGGCAAGCCAAAAAGCTTTCAAAGAGCTGCAAAAGACAGTCAATGACGGTAGCGGTAAAGATCTGTCGCTCGAGCAGGTAGCAGCCGGCTTCATTCGCGTTGCAAACGAGAGCATGTGTAGACCAATTCGCTCTTTGACAGAGATGAAGGGCTATTCGACAGCAAAGCATATCCTTGTCTGCTTTGGCGGCGCCGGTGGACAGCATGCCTGCTCGCTCGCAGCAGCTCTGGGCATTCGACGGATTCTCATCCATCGCTATTCGTCCTGTCTGTCTGCTTATGGCCTATCGCTCGCCGATCGCGTACTTGAGCGTCAAGAGCCAAGCTCGGCAACGCTATCCGATGAAACAATATCATCCTTGACGTCCCGTCTTGCCAAGCTGGCAGAGGCCGTCATGCAAGGACTAGAAGAGCAGGGCTTCGAAAAGAGCAGGATCAAGATCGAGCACTATCTCAATCTGCGATACAATGGAACAGATTCCGCCCTGATGATACAGCAAGAACAAGAGACGGATCGATCGGGTTGGCAGAAAGCGTTCGAAGACGAATACCGACAGCAATTCGGCTTTTCGCTCAAGGCGCGCGAAGTCATTGTGGATGATATTCGTGTGCGCGGCGTTGGTAAATCCTTCGACACCCTCGGCAAGTCTGTCTTCGAGGAAGAAAGCGAGACGACCTTCGAGACTGTGCAATCGAGCGATGCCGCAGAAACGAGCGAGTCATACTTTGACGATCACGGCAAGGTCTCAACGCCAATCTATCTGCTTGGAAAGCTCAGACCGGGCCAGAGCGTTGAAGGGCCTGCATTGATCATCGATGACACTCAGACACTCGTCATTGAGCCGAAGACTATCGCCAAGATTTTGCAACGGCATGTGATCATCGATCTCTAGTCATCGTCTTGCTCGATCGCATCGTCTGCTCGCTCAAAGAGCGCAAACACGTCACGTATCCTACCACGCCTGGATCAGCTAGTCCTTCGTGCAGCCAGACTGCACGCACCTTCCCGCAGACCTGGGATCGAGGTCTTGCGCGTACGTAAGATGCCGAGTCATCTTGGTTCGATCGCCCATAGCACCGTAGAGTTTTCCAAGCATGTAATGCACATTGAACTCATCTGGCGCTTCGTCTTTCAGATCGAGCAGATCTCGCAATGCAGGCTGTGAAGTCAATTGATCAGAGCTGCTGAAAATGAAGCAAAGTCGACCGACCTCGAATTGACGCGTTGCTATCCTTGCTTTAGCTCGTCTGAATTTGACAGCCTGGGAAGTTGGCGCAAGCAGGCAAGCAGCATCGTACTGCTCAAGGGCTTGCACGCGCTTGCCAAGCTTTTCGAGTGCCATGCCGATACAGCAGACGAGCAGAGCATTGCTCGGATTGATAGACGCAGCTCGACGGAAGTGATATTCAGCCAACGTGAATTTGCCGGTTTTCATGTAGGTATTGCCGAGACCGTACCAGGCACGATAAGAGACCCTATCCTTCTTGACGGCTTCACGATAGAAAGAAGTTGCGTGCTCCCATTCCTCGAGCGCGAGGGCTTCGTGACCGGCGAGCGTATAGGCCAATATGCACTCTGGACTTACCTGCAGAGCTCTTTTGAAGCATTTCAATGCGCTTTGATGGTCTTCGCCCCAAGAGAACACGTTTCCTGTCGCTATCCACGCTTCTGCGGACGAAGGCGCGAATGACATGACTTCTTGAGCGATGAACGACAGCGAAGCTGGCTTTTGCAGATGCCAGAGCAAGCTCGAGTAGATATCCATATGCTTAACATGGTACGGTGACAGCTCGCGTGCTTTGGCAAACGCGCGGTCTGCTGCGGTATAGTCGATCGATTCGAAACGGGCAAGAGCTAGCAGTATCCATGCTCTGAATGTGTTGCGCTGTTCGCACGGGAGAGCAAAGATGGTGCTGATGACAGATTCGCATTCGTACTTTGCCAAATGAGATTGGGCTTGCGCAAAACCATGGACGATGCCCTTTAGCCAAGATGATGCGCCTTCGAGCTGAACCGGACCTGACTTTGCTTTAGTTTCCGGTTTGATCAGTTCTGGCGAAGAGGCGCTATCTACTTCTGAATGATGTCCGTTCGTCTGTTTGGCCGTGTCCTGCGAGGTTGAGCTTTTGTTGTCGCTGCGATCGCTTCTCTTGGGTCGCTTGAGGTCTCGCGTGTCAGAAGGCAGCCTCGAAGTCTGCTTACTTTCCAGCCTGCCGGGCGCGACTTCCCCAGATCCGGCAGAGATGACACGATGAAGGCTTGTTTTGCGTTGTTGTGGGCCAGATCCATCAATGTCTGGCATGAGGTGGCTCGAAGGCAAGTTGAGTCCGACGCCGAGTGTTTTGCGATTGCCGTCCGGGCCTGCTCGACTTGGCCGAGGCAAAGAGGAGTCTATCTGGAAATCTGGCATCATGGGCGGCGTATTGGTCTCTGAGCTGATGTTTGAGCGCGGCCGCTTCAACGGCGGTGGCGGTCGAGACACAGCAGGTGCGGGCGCAGTGGGCGTGAAGAGGGGCCCGGCAGGCAGTGTGCTTGCAGGATCGCTTCTGCTCAGTGGTGGTAATGTTGCCAATTCAGTCGTCTCGCGCACAGTCGGAGCAGTAGCAAAATGACTGTGTCGAGTCTGCAATAGCGGCTTGACCTGTGTTGCTGCAGCGGCTGATGTCGCCATGTTGAGATAGGACATGTCGAACGAGTTCGAGAAAGAGTCGTTTAATCCGAGCTCGTTGCCGGTATCAATGGGCGCGCCGGGATGAGGCAGGCTGAAGACGGACTGCCAATCCTTTGATCGCGTGGCAGGCCTTTTAGCCTCTGCCCATTGCGTTGTGGCGGAAGGTGCAGGTGGCCGAACGCTCGGTCCAAGTACTGCCTCGAGATGAGGCGGTCGACCCAGCCGACATAAAGCCTCGTAGGCGTCCCAACAGTACCAGCAGGACTCGAGCGCATCACGATAATGCTTGACAGCTTCATCTGGCTCTTGCGCTTCCTGTGCAAGCTGGCCGAGCTGGAAATGTATACTCGCATCTGTCGGGTCGAGCTGCATTGGCAAGTCCAGCTCCACTGTCGCGGCAAAAGCTCGGTGAGACAGGCGTCAGACTTGAAGGCACATGACGAACCTCTGTCGTCCACGAGCGTCTCGGGGTCGGCAATGCTAGTATGCAAGAGGCTCTGTCGCTTGGCCGCAGACAGGACAGCCTGCCCTTCTTTCGCGCGCCCGATGGCTCGACAAGCCTGAGCGTAGACCGTTGCACATCTCACACTGGCGCCGTACGCCGCTTCAGTGGCCTGATGACCTGGCTGTTTGCCCGCCCGACGCGAGAATGCAGGCGTGAGGTGTTGCGTCGAGCTTGATGCCCATGTCGACGTACTCGCCCCGCTCTGGCTCGCGTGGACTTGAGTATTGTGCAGCAGATGTAGGGCTGCGTGAGGCTCTGCGTCGACGACGAGACATCGTGCGAGCCAGAAAGTTGCAATCTCGTCGCTGGGTCGCAGTGCGTGTAGCTGCTCTGCGAGGAACAGGGCCGTCTTGTCGAGTTTGACATGCAATGCTCTGGAGATCAACGCACGCAAGAGCAGCGCAACGCTCCGTCCGAGCTCATCTGCGTCGGCCATGCATGCGCCAGTCACCGGTCACCTTGGTTTGGTGCAGGCGCGCTTCGATTGACTTTGGCTTTTGCCCTTTGCACGAACTGATCGCTTGCAAGGCACCCAGACAGGACACAGAGCGTCTTCGAGACTGCTAGCGCTTGTCACTGCTCGCTTGTCAATCGCTCAGCCAGCAGACTCGGCAGTCACCACGGGCTTTGACTGCAAAGCACCGCCAGGCACGCAAATTTTCGGCGTCGAGTCATAGGCAGATCCTGCAGCGATGTGCGGCATCTTTGGAGCCCACAACTACGATGGAGACATCACTAGCTTCAGGGCAAAAGCACTCGCACTCTCTAGAAGGCTACGGCATCGAGGTACGCTCAGGCAGCTTATGCAATGTCGCGCTTTGCTCAGTCTCTTGGCACCGCTGCAGGTCCAGATTGGTCAGGATGTGTGATGACAAAGGACTCGATACTCTGCCATGAGCGACTCGCCATTGTGGGCGTCGGTGCGTTGTGACCGGGCTCATGCGAGGGCCAATCTGAACGATCATGTCCTTATCACAGATTCGGGCTCGCAGCCGTTGACGACTGAGGATGGCAAGCTCATCCTCGCAGTCAACGGGGAGATTTACAACCATCGCCAGCTTCGTGCCGGTCTGAAACAGCCCGCGACGTTCAAGACGCATTCGGACTGCGAAGTCATCCTGCATCTCGTCAGTCGCGTCTCCCCTTCAATCACTCTTGATCTCTGAATCATGCTCATCCAGTACAAAGAGCACGGTACTGATCTCTGCGGCATGCTCGATGGCATGTTCTCCTTCCTCTTGCTCGACACAAACGTCACTCCATCTCGCCTAATCGCTGCCAGAGATCCTATCGGCATTACGACATTATACCAAGGCTGGAATTCAGCCGCACCTCAGACAGTCTACTTTGCTTCTGAACTCAAAGCGCTCCACGACGAGTGCGATCATGTCATATCGTTCCCGCCTGGTCACGTCTACGATTCTGCGACCGGCAAAACAGAGCGGTATTTCCAGCCTACCTGGTGGCAAGGCGACTTGTCAGACGACGCGATTCCCACTCAGCCCGCCGACCTCAAGCTGATCAGAGATACCTTGGAGTATGCAGTCAAGAAGCGACTCATGTCAGAAGTGCCTTATGGCGTTTTGCTTAGCGGTGGCTTAGATAGCAGTCTGATTGCGTCCATTGCTGCCAAAGCGACCGATCAGGTGGCCGCTGCACAGTCTCGCGCATCTAGCCGAGGTCGATCGTCTTTCGATAGCAAGACAAACCGCACCGAATCACCCAAGGGGTCCTCAATGGGCTTAGTTGGCGTTGCGCCCGGCGAGGATTCCTCCAGTCTGACCGCCTGGCCCAGATTACACTCCTTCTCTATCGGCTTGCCGGAATCACCAGATTTGCTCGCGGCGAGAAAGGCAGCAGAATTTCTTGGCACGGTTCACCACGAATACACCTTTACCGTTCAAGAAGGGCTTGACGCCATTCCCGATGTCATCTACCACCTCGAGACGTACGATGTGACGACTGTACGAGCCAGTACACCAATGTATCTGCTCAGTCGCAAGATCAAAGCCATGGGCGTCAAGATGGTCTTGAGCGGTGAAGGATCGGATGAGATCCTGGGCGGCTACCTCTACTTTCACGCGGCGCCGGATGCCAAGTCGTTCCACCAAGAATGCGTCAAACGTGTCAAGAATCTACACACGGCAGATTGTCTGAGAGCAAACAAATCGACAATGGCTTGGGGCCTAGAGGCCCGCGTGCCATTCCTCGATAAGCAGTTTTTGGAGGTAGCGATGAACGTCAGACCGGAAGAGAAGCAATTTGGCAAGGGACAGCAGCAGCAGACTGACGCTCAGGGAAAGCCGATCATGGAGAAGTACATACTGCGCAAAGCATTCGATTGTATCGCAACGGACGGACGACCGTACTTGCCCGATGACATTCTTTGGCGACAGAAGGAGCAATTCTCGGATGGCGTCGGCTACTCGTGGATTGACGGGTGCGTATGCATAGCAACCTCTGTGCGCTGCTGACAGTCCCGTTTGATCGTACAGTTTGAAGGAACATGCTTCCCAAGTCGTCTCTGATGATGCGCTCAAAAACGCAGCGCAACGCTATCAGATCGACACACCCACGACGAAGGAAGCCTACTATATCCGCGAAGTCTTTGAAGGTCACTTCCCGACAGAAGCCGCAGCAAGGACAGCAGTCAGGTCAGTGGATCACGAGGCTCACGCGGCGTTGGCTGACCTTGTGCCGCAGATGGATACCGAGGAAAGATTGGGGCATGGCTGAGGATCCCAGTGGCCGCAGTGTTGCTATCCACGAGAGCGCATACAAGGGCAAAGCATAGATCTCATGTTGTCGAGCGCAGTGCATCGCTAGCATTGCCGACGCGGGGAGCTCGCGGGGAAATAGTGCCTGGCGGCACCGTCTCACACTCATTTCCACGCTGGCCAGATGCGGTCTGCTCCAGCGCAGCGCAAGAGGAAGCAACTCAGTGCGGCAGATTTACCCTGGAAGCGTGTCAAGACTGGCTTCGTCAGTGGAGCGGAAGACGAAGTTGCAGGCGGTCTGCTGGATTTTGAAGAAGTCGATGATGTGCAAGTCATCACCGAACTCGACGAGAGCGGCAACAAGCACTTTCGCTTTCTCGTCGTGCGTAGAGCTTGGCAAATGCAACAATGTTCGCTGACTTGAGGTTTGCCCAGGCGGAAGCAGAGCCGGAGAAGGAAACAGCAACACCGACTGCAAAGCCGTCATCGATCAAAAAGAGGACAAAGGACACCAAGGCAGAGCAGATACGGCACGAAGACGATACAGCCTCAACGTCTGCTCAGCCTGATGATGCTGAGCCGGCTTCAGGCACAGCAGATGCAGACCAGCTGCTACGAGAGTTTGACTTTGCTCACTTGCCTGGCTATGTGCCACAATCCCTTCATCCCGCGCTGGCACATGCCATGCTCGAACTCGGCTTCAGCAAACCTACTCCTATCCAGAGAGCTACATTCGATATCATGCTGGGAGCAGACGCTGTCCTGAAAGACATCATGGGCATCGCTCAGACCGGCTCAGGCAAGACGCTGGCATACGGCTTGCCCATTCTCGATCAGATCTTCAGGCAGAATGCTAGATGGCCATCTAAAGAGCAACCACGCAAGCTGACTGCGCTTATCTTGCTGCCAACTCGTGAGCTTGCAATGCAAGTCAAGACACATCTTGCTACTGTCATCACAAACGCGAGCAGCGCCGGCATCGATACAAAGGGCAAAGGCAAGGGTCCATATCCTTTTGCAAATATTGTGGCCGTCGTTGGCGGGATTTCAGTCCTCAAGCAACGTCGTCAGCTTGCTGTTGACCGAGGAATCGACATCATCGTGGCGACACCCGGACGGCTCTGGGAGATGATAGATGATGACGACGATTTGGCTCGCAAGATTGCTGCCCTAGACTACCTCGTGCTTGATGAAGCGGACCGAATGGTACAAGCTGGCCATTTCGTTGAGCTAGACAAGATCCTCGACCTCACGCGACGCGGCAACAGCAGCTCAATATCTCACGACTCATCTGCTCCTGACGTCGACATAGCCGATCAAGATAAACCAGATGATCAAGCCTTCGCAGAGCAGTCTGTCAGGCCAAATGGCAATCCTCGCATGCGCACAATGATCTTCTCTGCCACTTTGAGCAAAGATCTGCAGGTCAATCTTTCGATTCCCCATCTGCGCAATCTGCGCGCTATAAGAAAAGCGGGTGGAAGTCAAGGCGCAATAGGCAAATTGCTCGTCATTGTCATTCGGCCAGGTGCTGACAAGAAAGCAGATGATTTACTGCTGAAAATTGACTTTCGCGATCCGGATCCCGCCCTCATCAATCTCTCCTCGATGCAAGGTACCGTCGACACTCTGCAAGAATGCTTCGTAGACTGTATGATGACTGAGAAGGTGCGATTTGTCTTCAGAGACACTGAGCTCTGCTTGATCGATGTGACGCACAGGACCTATACCTGTACTACTTTCTCATTCGCTACCCTGGTCGAACCATCGTCTTCCTATCTGCCATCGATGGCATTCGACGCTTGCAGCCCATCTTCAAAGCGCTCCGCATGCAAGTCGTGCCCCTCCACTCCGGCATGCAGCAGAAGGCGCGTTTGCGGTCTCTCGAGCAGTACGTCCTCTTTCAGCCACAGCAACCAGGCTTACACTCTATGCAGATTCAAAGCAAACAAGCACGCAATCCTACTGGCCACGGACGTCGCTGCACGCGGTCTCGACGTGCCGCTAGTCGACCACGTTGTGCATTATCAGATCCCTCGAAGCGCAGACGTATATATCCATCGCAGCGGCCGTACAGCTCGCGCCGGACGCGAAGGTGTCAGCTTGCAGCTCTGCTCACCTGACGAAAAGGTTGCACAGCGTGCTTTGCTCAGGAGTATCAACAAAGGTAAGTCCATCTGCGATGGAGATGCACCGTGCTCACGCGTCTGGCAGAGAAAGCACTTGTCGAGCTGCCGATAGAGCATTCGATCCTCGAAACACTCCGAGACAGGGTGGATCTTGCTCGAAAGATAGATTCTGCTCAGCACAAGGCGAATAAGGAGACGCACGATCAAGATTGGCTACGCAAGGCGGCCAAAGAGATGGAAATCGATATCGATTCCGAAGAAAGGCAAGCCGCGTACAGTCACAATTGGAAAGAGAGCGTTCTGATCCCCGTCTGACCTGCCAGCAGTGCTTCTGACGAGCCTTCTGATCGCGGTCATCGGGGCAGTCGGATACGAAAGGCGCGAGGACAAGCGCAGCAATTGCAGGCCGAGCTGGACAGATTGATCCAGCAGCCTTTGCGGATCAGAGGCGTTTCGGCCAAATACCTCACATCCGGCTCACATGCATTTGTCGATGATCTCCTAGCCTCGAAAAGTATGTTTACTCACTCAACTCGGCGGCCACTCGCTTATGCTTCATGATAGATCACGCGGCAGTGCTTGGGCTGAGCGCTTCTACCGCCGTTGGTGATGTCAAAGCACGCTCTAGGAAGGAAAAGCCGCCGCGCGAAGAAGCGCACCATGCTTGATCTGCCGGATGCATTGTAACTGCTCGCTGCATTTGCAGACAAGAGTAAATCACGTGATCATGAGATTAGATTGATTGTCGATCTTTTCGAGCAGGTTTGCCTTTCGCGGCACGTGTCGCGAGTGCGCGCCATCTCTCGCCAGTCTTCGGAAGCGAGATTGCGAGGGTTGCCTTGTGCGTCAATGCAATATGGCCTAGCCATTCATCATGGACCTGCCCCCTTACTGTATCATCCATGATGGCTCCTCTCCTCTTCACTCCCTGCCTCCTCGCAGCAACTCTCAGCATCTAACGCCCCAGCATCCGACTTTGCGTACCACAGAGCTCGACCAGGAGCACCACACTGCCAACAGGCACCCGCATCATCAACCTTACATCTGACAGGTGTCAGGCAAGAGATTTGTCAGCATGCGTAGCGTCGTCTATCCAGTAGCGTTCCTGGCTGCTCTCTCCGGCCTTGTCAAAGCTGGCGATGCACCAGCCTTTGTCGACCATGCTCCTGCTTCGCCTGCGATGAGCAACCTCATGGATCGGATCTCCGCACGCATTGGCTCCGGTCTCGCTGTCAACAAGGCGCCTGCCTTCCTCAAGTCGAACGCTACTTCAGGTACGTCCCTTGCTCGTCCGCGCTTGCCTCAAGCTGACGATCTCTGATGACAGCTTCCAACGAGACGACAGCGAGCGGCGGAGAAGCGAAGAAGTCAGATCTCACTGCTCGCACCTTTGGCGGTAGGCTACGTGCAAGCATGCGCCAGATCCGGCTAACGCAATGTTACAGAGCCCTACAAGCTTGCCCCTCGAGAAGGTCCCAATGTCAAGGCAGAGATCTGTGAGTGTCTTTACTTGCATGCGGCGGATCCGATTGCTGAGCAATCACGCACAGTGGCAGCGCTCAAAACGGCGGGCAACATGACCACCGGCTCGGCGACCAACATGACCAGCTCAAGTGGCACAGTCAAGGTCGCCACGCCTCCCCACAACAACGCACACCCTGGCGAGCCCATCAGTAATGTCACTGCGGCATCGCCAATCAACAATGCCACAACGGGCATGCCTGCAATGACGCCGGTCGTCGATGAGCAGCTCGTCAGACGTGCCCACAACCACACACATCACGCCAAGCACACTGCTAATCCGAATGTTGCCAAGGCGGCCAAGCTGGCCAATACGAGTGCACGCGTGCTGGCCCCCGCCAGAGCCAGCGCAGCCAGCGGGTCTACCCACGCAGCTGCTGCTTCATCTGCCTCGCCGGCCAGCGTTGCCGCAGCGTCAGCCTCTGCCACATCATCTGCGGACGGTATGGGTCCCTACACGGGCATGATCGGCCTCTGGGGTGGTTATATGCCCGCCGAGACGCCCGATGCTGGCTTCCCGGCCCCGTCAGCGGCGCCCATTGCCGTCAAACGCAACGCAGATGCCTCTCCTGATGACCCATGGGGTAACGCTGCAACGTGGTTCACGGGTGGGACTGGTCTCTGGTTCGGCGGCGCATCTGTCGGCGGGATGGTCACGCCGTCATCATTGCCCTCGAGTTTGCCCATCCCCGTCGTCAGCGCCGCACCTGTCGCCGTGTCTTCTCCGGTCCCTGCAGTCGATGTCAGCGTGCCCATCAGCAGTGCCGTCGGTGCTTCGACTATCGCTACAGACTCTGCCGCGCCAGTCTTGGTCGCAGCGCCCTCGTCGGTGATCAGCTCGACCGCACCTTCTGTAAGCTCGTCGACGCTCAGCTTCTTTTCCATTCCTGACACGATCCTGCTCAAGCTTGCTCCGACAGCGCCGGCTGCTGTCCGAGTCGTCACTACGACCGTCACAACGACGACTACATATACCAAGCGGTACCACAGACATTCGAGCTCGACCGCGACCGCACTGCCTAGCTCGACCGGTATGGTCCGCCGTCACCGCCAAGAGCGTCGCGGCCCAGTGCTCATCCATTAGGTCTTAGTTTCGACGTTCTTGTATACAACATTGCACAGCCGGCTTTTTTTTCTCCTTCAATGATCTACTTGCACCTCCGGAGGAAGCTCTAATGCCGTCTCCGGCGCGAGCTCGGCGACCAAGTGGAGCGCCAGATCGTCTGCTTTGATGACATCCCGCATCTTGCTGCGACCGTTGACGGAGCTCGCGAGTGGCTTCTTGCCTGGTATAGCAGTACGTCGAGCTTCTTTGGCGGCTGTAGCGAGCTCATCCTCGTGTTTTGCCAAGGCGATGCTCTGATCCTCATCATCTAGCCAGCCTTGCTCGCGATAGTATTCGTCAAACCGATCTGCGAGAGGCCGCCAGCTTGGGCCGAGTCTGGGCTTGACATCCTCTTGCATGGCATCTGGAGATCCCACTGCGTCTTCTGGTTCATACAGCAAGCTCTCGATATTTGCCGGTGGAGGGTAGGCAAAGTGAGGACCAACAGCGAGTCTGACGGTGCCGCCAAAGTATACACTCGCTGCGGGATAGTAGCCTAGCGTACCATCGTCGTGGTGGTTTGTCCGATCGAGCGCAAGCTGCTCTAGCAAGCTCTGTCGCTGAGCTTGGGCCAGCTTTGCAGCCGAAGGGGGGTGCGGTCGAAGCGGTACATAATCGAACAGATCCTCGAATGCGACACCCATCGGACGGCCGTTCTTAAAATAAGCGATGCGTGAGCCAGGCAGCCTCTTGAGCTCACGCGGCGGCGGCGGCTCATCTCTGACGATCGCCTTTTTGCCGGGCGCGGCTGCTTTGACAGGTGCTGCAGGTTTGACCGGTGCAACTTGACCCGCGGTGAGGTCGGCAAGGTCTGTCATCTCTTTGCTTGCGACATATTCCATCGACTCGAAATAAAAGTGACCACGGTATCTGATCTGCATTCTCTTCCGAACGAGATGTCTTGGGTCGTCTGGATCGTCTGGATCAGGTAGACTGGTCCGAGTGGGCAGAGATACGTATACCCCAATGATGTCCCCCGTCTTGAAGGGTTCGCCGTAGCTCTCAGGCTTGCTGAGGGTGATCTTGTCACCTGTTTTATCTCGCAACCCGTAAGAATAGCCATCATAGCCCACAGGTGCATTCATGGTCGCCTCTCGTCGTGCCAGACCTAGCCTGACATGTGCAGACGCTCCTGCTCTTGTCGCGGCTGAGCCCGCCATACCGTCAGACCCTGGCGCTGCATCTGCTTGTCCTGTTCGGGCATTATCGCCGCCGCCACGTAGTACTTCCCATTCAAAGTACCACGAGCCTTCTCGCAGAGGTACGTTGACGCGAGCGGATCGGAAGCCCTTATCGGTCGTGATCGTCAGGGCATCCTCACTGATGTACGTATAAGGAGATCTGTCCTCCCAACTGAAGCGTACGCCCAATGGCGGTGACGGCAGCAAACGATAGAACGGAATTTCAGAAGCTGGGCTGCCATCTGCGCTGTCACCAGCAGAATGCGATCTGGCTCGATCTCTTGTCCGGCGGGCCTGCAGAAGGACTGGACCGCAATCGCTGTAGCGGAAGCCAGATTTATTCATGGGATGACCTCTTGTCGCGTAGAATTTGACTTCGTCAGCGGACAGCGGCTGTACGGAAGCGGGCACGAGCAAGGGAATGGCAGGCTGGGTATCGATGAGCGCAGATCGGGCATTGTTCTGAGCTTGATCTGCAGTAGCCTTGCTGGGCAGCTTGCTCGAGGACGCGACTGGCGATTGCGAGCGTGATGTGATGTGATCTTCTCGTGCTAGCGACTGGAAAGTCTCGAGCAAGGGACTGTCGGAGGGCGAGGATGCTTCGCTGAGTTCAGGTAGGCTGCTAGGGTCGAGACCAGTGTCGTTGAGCCAGAGCGACTTGCGCTTGGTTGAAGAGCGTGCAAGCTCATCTGGCTGGTCGTCTGGCACCTCCTTCTGCCGTCAGGCAACTCAGTCAGCTCCTCGAGCTCACTAAGGAAGCTACTGACCTCGTACAGCGCCATCGGGAGGCGACTAGGCCGCCCTTTCGTCGAGACGAGTCGCTGGAATGAGTTGGAGCGCTGGAGCACTCGGGCGGAGCTGCTAGCAATCTGCTGCTAAGATTTTGCTTGGAACGGCAACATGTCTGCAGCAGTCGTTGCCGGCTTCTCTGCTGGGCTGTGGAGCAACATTGGCTCCGAAAGAGTAGCTGCAGCAGACAAGCTGGTCACGGCGCTTCGACCGCAAGCAAGCGGATCTAATGAGACACTCGACTCCGATCTCGAATATGCACTCAAACGGCTGATCAGAGGCTTGGCTAGTCCTCGCGACAGCAGTCGAGTAGGCTACAGTGTCGCTCTCACCGAGCTACTTGTCTCTCTGCCAGGTCGCACAGCCGAAGGAACTCGTGCGGCTCCGCTCTTGACGCTCGAAGGCGTCCTCAACCTTTTGCTTGAGACGACGAGTGGCGTGCAAAAAGGTGCCAATGCTACAAGGACCGTCAGCGATGAACGAGAGCTTCAATTTGCTCGCTTGTTCGGTATTCACGCCATTCTGCGATCGGGCGCATTGCTATCGAGTCATTCGCAAGCAAGTGGACACTACTCGCAACTCATCAGAGAGCTCTACGATCTGCTCGACAAGCGACTATGGCTGACAGACAGTGTCACCTGGATCATCGTCGAGTCTGTCCTTGCACTGCGGGACGCCTATCGTCGTGGCGAGTGTCCGTGGATCGCACAAGCACTCGACGCCGTCATCTCTACTACGTTGACGCGTTCCCAGCCGGGCAAGGCGAGCAAAGCTGCCAAGCCAGCTTTCACCGAGACGGATCTGGCCATAGCTCTGGCCATCGAGGCCGCGTTAGCAGTCTCGAATAGCCTCGAAGTGTGTAGCACCGTCAAGTGATTGGCTGAGCTTATCTGGCTCAAGCAGGTCGAAGCGACCTTCCACGAATACTTGGGCGCGCATCTGCCTCGTCCGCAAGCTATCCTCAGCAAGCCAAACGTTGCAAAGCTCACTACTGTCTTGTCGACCGTCAATCCGACTGATATGGAAGGCGCGCGTTTACACATCGTCTGGCATGGTTTGCTTTCGTGTGCGTATGATGCTGGTCCGAACGCGAAAACGTCAACGTCAGCAAACGCTCGGTCAGATATCTTTCTTCTGCTTGTGCATGCGGTCGTAGAGGGTCCTTCATCGCAACTCTCACGAAACCCGAGCTGATGTGTCACTCGCAGGTACTCTGAGTCAACCGACTGCAAGCATGTTCCAACGACATACCGGCGTGCTGATCATGCTCTATATACTCTCGAGCGACCGCATCCCTGCGCAACAAAGGCTTCACGTCTTCTCAAAAGCGGTCGACTTTGCCCGCATGCTGACGATGAACCTCAAGCGAAAAGATCGTATTTTCAACAAGCTATGTCATCAAATAGTGCGTTATGGTACACTCGCATGCGCTGGTGTTTACTGGTCTGCAGATCGCTGCCTTGTCGAGCATCGCCAAGACGAGCGCCGCCACAGCGTACGATATGCTCTCCGTCGCAACAGAGTCTCCCATTGGCAGCATTGCCTTTGATATCACCACGCATACCAAGCTTGTTGACGGTGTCCTTGGCTCGATTGAGATCAATCAAGCCTCGCAATTCCTCGGCAAGCTCAAGGAATTACTCGCACACCCTCTGGCCTCCTCCCTCTTACCAGCTCATGAACGGCACGTAGCGCCTGCCGATGCAGCCACGATGGACGAGGAGGATCTTTCAAGGTGTGTCTTTTGCCCCCTCTGTTGCTCGAGGCGCTGACGCGACGGGGCAGGAACGCTAAAGCGATTGAGCATGCTCGGCGTCTGGCGCTCGACCATATGGGCGCACTTGTACGGAAACACGTCAAGCCAACCCTTGGTAACTCGGATACGGGTGCGCAAGATATGCTAGCTACTGAAGCCATCACGATCTGTCTCGCGCTCGGCTTCTTCAAAGCGAGCTCGTGCGACCCGCCTTTGTCGGAAGACACACAAGCTGCAGCCCGGCAGCGCTTCTTCGGAGTTCTGGCGGATATCCGTCCGGCACGACCCGATGCAGATTTCGTAGATCCTCTTGAGCAGGCTCTCAGAGCGCTCGATAGGATGGAGGGAGGTTCGGATGGCGAGCTGCTTGCAGCTAGTACGCCTGGATTTGCTGTACATCGTCAGACAGCCGGCAAACTACTCAAACGAGTGCAAAAGGTCCGAAGCTCTCGCGCGGTGTGGCCAACAGAAACTGAATGTATTCCGTACAGAGCAAGACGAGCGAAGCGCGAGCTGTCGAGACCCTCGTTCGCGCTGTCACATTAGCTCTGTATGACGATCCCGAGAGCGCTGGACAGTCCATCGAGGTATGTCATTGACCGCCGGATAGATTTCCTGCTGACATTGCAGCAGACCCTGTCTCAATGCGTGGAAGGCATGTTCCCGAAGAAAAGCAAGAGGGATGCGCTGGTCGTAGAGGAGGCAGAAGAAGAGGGAGAGGAGGCTGAGCCATCAACAATTCTTCTCGATCTCGTTATCGATTTGCTGCAAGCGCCTTCGGCCTTCTTGCGCTCTATATGTGAGAGCACCTTTGCAGCCTTTGCGAATAAGCTCGGCGTCCAAGGCGTGCAGCTTCTCATCGATGTGAGTTCACTCGTAAATACGCTACGTAAGCGCTGAATCCGGTATGTGTAGCAACTGGATCCAGAAGGTGACGTCGAAGGCGAAGAGATAGATTCTGACCAAGCCAGCAACTCTTCTGACTCTGACAGTGCAAGCGATGGCGAGGAAGACGAGGACGAGGAGGATGACGAGGAAGGGATCGAGGGCGTCGAGCTCAGTCTACTTGACGAGGATGTAGACCTGCGGGATAAGGTCGCAAAGGCCCTGGCCAGCTCAGGTCTTGCGCCTCGCGATGGGGATTCTGATGCCGATAGCTCAAGCGGAGAAGAGGAAGTCGATGATGCTAGCATGGCCAAGCTCGACGAACAGCTCGCGGAGATCTTCCGTTTCAAGCGAGATGCGAAAAAGGGTCAGAAAGGCGAGTACACATCATGACAGCACGGTATCGAGACTGACTAGGCAAACGCAGAATTGGAGCGCAACGAGCAATATGCCAAAGTGCGCGTCCTAGATCTCGTAGCAACGTACTGCAAAACTGCCGGAGGCAAGGTACCGGCCTCGCTCGCTGTCGCCATCCTCGCAACAGCCAAGCCGCGAAAGTCTGTCCTACCTGAAGCAACAAGAAAGGCAGTAGCGATACTTCGAATCATTAGCAATCGCTCCGGTATTCTGCTCGGGGAACAGACCGCTCATCAACTGCTCGAACGTGTGCACAGTCTCGCTCGTCGACCGCCGACGCCAGAGTATGCAGAGCTCTGCTCGTTGGCCAGCATCTTTGTCGTCTCTTCCGCCTGCACGTCAGAAATAACCCAACTTGGGGAGGTATTTGCTGCATCTGTCAAGGACTACGCGACTCGCAAAACCTCGCAATTTCCATTCTCGCTCATCATGACGGCATGTCGGCGCTCAAACGCGGCTATGTGGCAGGCTCGTCAGAGTTTGCTCGATTCATCGAACGCTGCCGTCAATGCACACCGGCGTCTCGAGCTCCTCGCTGCGGCTCAGTCGCTTCTGGCGAGCCATCGCAAGGTTGGTCTTGAAGACGAGCAAGTGATACATGCTGATGCGTAATCGCAGGAGACGATCAAGGATGCTGCATCCCGCTCGAGCCTGAGCTCGGACGCCACAAGCTACCTCGCCGCAAGCATAGCTGCCATTCAGACGTATGTCCGCGACAGCCTTGCAGCCGAAGGCACAATCAATGCTGCCAAGCTACGAGATGCGCTCAAAATTGGACTCCAGCTAGCGCGGCTGTCTGCCAGCGTCACCGTTAATGCCTGGTCAGTCGCGGATTTACAAGAGCTCCTGAACGATTTGGCCAGCTCCGATAGATTCAAGAACACAAAGTCCCTCCACACACTTGCGAAACAGCTTCTGGCCATTGTCAGCAAGAGCGCTACGCCGTCTGCTAGTCCGGCAGTGCCTGCAGGCAAGAAGCGAGCAAAGACGGAAGACGATTCAGAGACGCCGGTCAAGAAGGCCTCTGTCAAGCGGAAGAGAGTCAATGGCAATGCTTGACGACGTGCAGTCCTCTTTGGTCTGCGTGGATAGGAAGATGTTGTCAATTGCTAGCTTTGCCCCAAGCCCCATGCCGCGCCGCAGACAGCGTGACGCGTCACGTGCAAGCCTCTGAGACATCGGTGGTGACGTTTACCGATTCGAGCCACTGCACGCTGCTCACCAACTTTGGGCCTTGTGAGTCGTCCGCTGTAGCAAGATGGTGAGTCGCAACATGTCGCACTGCGGCAAGGCTCATTCCTTGATGTGCAGGGACGAGTCATCCGTAATCAGCGTTTCGGTGGACCGACCTTCAAAGCGCACAACCATCACCGAGTCGCTCCTGCTCAGCTACGTGCACTCGACTTTGCTGAGCGCAACGGCTACGTGAGAGGGCTGGTAAAGGAGATCGTTCACGACCCCGGCCGGTTCGTTATGGCTCATCTACAGTGTGAGGCCACACTAAAGAGTTAGGGAAACAGCGGCGCACCTCTTGCTCGAGTTGTCTTCAGAGATCCTTACCGCTACAAGACTCGCACAGAAACCTTCATCGCAACCGAGGGTATCGCAACCGGTCAATTCGTCTACTGCGGCAAGAAGGCCGGTCTGGCAGTCGGCAACGTCCTGCCGATCTCTGCCCTGCCTGAAGGAACCATCATCTGCAACGTTGAGGAGAAGCCAGGCGATAGAGGTAGCTTGGCCCGCACATCTGGCAACTACGCAACCGTCATTGGACATGATGCGGGCAAGACGAGAGTCCGTCTCCCGTCTGGCGCAAAGAAGTCGATCATCTCTACCTCTCGCGCAACCATTGGCATCGTGGCCGGCGGTGGCCGTATCGACAAGCCCATGCTCAAGGCTGGTCGCATGCACCACAAGATGGCAAGGAAGCGTAACGTCTGGCCCAAGACTCGTGGTGTGGCGATGAACCCTGTCGAATCCGTGCACGGTGGTGGTAATCACCAACATATCGGCAAGGCCTCCACTTTCAGCAAGGACGCCGTGGCAGGTCAAAAGACAGGTCTCCGTCGCGCCCGACGAACTGTCAGTCTCTCCGTTGCCACGTCCATCTACGCACGAGCTGACTCTCTCATGGATGGCAGGGTCTCATCCGCGGTACCGTCCGCGTCAAGGATGTTTAGGCGATCACAAGTCTTGTACGACGATTGCTCTGCTGTACTTCGCTGCATGGCTTTCATTGAGTCGGGCAGCGTGCGAGTTTCCATGAGATCAGCCCAGCACACTCGAGTGAGCTGTTCGCCTCCTTTCGGCCTTTCGACGCGCTGTCGTCACTCCTGCTGGTGGGCCTATTGACGCAAGATGATAGCTCGACGTGGGCTGCTCAGAGCCAGTGCACGGGCTCAGCATGGGCTCAAGACGACGGGCAGTCAGCAGAAGCGAGCACTCTCGATCCACGAGCACTATGCCATGGGTCTGCTCAACGAGGCAAGCCCTTCAAACACTGGCAAGTCCTCATGGCGCTGATGGAGTCGCAGTACGGCGTCAACACTCCCAAGAGCAAAGCAGCCTTCTCGGCCGATGAGGCTTACCAAGTAGCCAAGTCAATGGGCAAGGACAAGCTCGTCATCAAGGCTCAAGTTCTCGCTGGCGGTAGAGGCAAGGGTCATTTCGAAGGCGGACTCAAGGGCGGCGTACAGATGGTCGACTCGCCCGAGCAGGCAAAGGAGTATGCCAGCCAGATGATCGGACACAAACTCATCACCAAGCAGACCGGCGCCGCAGGAAGAATCTGCAACGCCGTTCGTCTCTTCAGTCTCACGCGCGCGCGATAGGTCAAACTGATGAGGCCCGCCATTGGACAGATCATGCTGGCCGAGCGTCGTCCGCCCAAGCACGAGTACTACCTTGCCATCCTCAACGACCGCTCGTCAAACGGTCCCGCACTCGTCGCTTCTGCTCGCGGAGGTATGAACATCGAGGATGTTGCGAAAGAGGACCCCTCTGCCATCCTCACCCATCCCATCGATTACACAAAGGGTCTCTCCTCTTCAGAGTCTGTCTCCGTCGGCTCCTGCACATGTTTGCGAGCTTACTGAGGGCCGCAGAGCTAAAGAGTTCGCTGGCAAGCTGGGCTTCAAGGGAAAGCAACAGGATCAGGCAGCAGACACTTTTGTGAAGCTCTACAAGCTGTTCAAGGAGAAGGACGCCACTCAGATAGAGATCAATCCGCTCGCGGAAAGCGAAGACGGTGAAGTGCTCTGGTCAGTCAGCCTCATGACGCGCTGGAACCCTGCTGAGGGAGATGCAGCATGGACGCCAAGCTAGGCTTCGATGACAATGCAGAGTTCAGGCAGGAAGCTATCTTCAAGCTGCGCGACATCACACAAGAGGACAAGGCAGAGGTCAGTCGGACGGCTCGACCGCATCTTATCGCTGATGATCTGGACATCCCGACCCTAAAGGTCGAAGCAGCCGAGTACGGCCTCAACTTCATCAAGCTCGACGGCAACATTGGCTGTCTCGTCAATGGGGCCGGTCTGGCAATGGCCACGATGGACGTCCTCAAGCTCAACGGAGGCAATCCGGCCAATTTCCTCGATGTGGGCGGTGGCGCGACGGCCGAAGCCGTCAAGAAAGCGTTTGAGCTCTTATTGTCCGAAAGCGGCGTCAAGTCCATCTTTGTCAACGTCAGTGCTCCGTCCGCTTGATGGTGAAGGTACTGATCGGGCAAACAGATCTTTGGCGGTATCATGCGATGCGATGTCATTGCTGAGCAAGTCCTCGCGGGGTAAAGTGCGGGCTATTGCTGACAGCGCAGCTTTCTACAGAGGCATCATCAAGGCGACAAAGGAACTGCAGCTCGAAATCCCGCTCGTTGTCAGACTACAAGGCAAGCGGCTTCTGCTTGTATCCACGGCCCAATACTCACAGTGCGCGCCGCGCGTAGGCACAAAGGAGGCCGAGGCAAAGAAGATGATCAACGAAAGCTCGCTCAAGATCTACGCATTCGACGGACTCGACGAGGGTGAGCCGGCTAGCCTGATAGCCTATCTCAACCTGACATGCCTTCGTCATAGCGGCTTCAAAGGCCGTCGAGAGCGCAAAGATTGGTCAGATCCCAGTTTGATGACTTGTAGAAATGTAGAGAGTCGTTACAATGGTCCCGCGCGAGATCCTAGACTCGAGCGTACAACATGCTTCCTGTCTTTTCTATCGTTACACGTGGGCGTGGTGAGAGGAAGGCTGACTGGCGAGGCGTTACCTGCGAGCCTTTTGTAGCGAGTCAGGCGTTGACGAGCTCGTCGTCGGTCGGCTGGCGGGCTCGCTCGAGGGAGCTCGATCGGAGCTGTACAGGCCGTTTTGCCTGATGTAGTCGATGACCGTGTTGGGAAGTAGATACCTGACGCTCATGCCGCGTTTGATGAATAGCCTGACTTTGGTGGACGAGACGTCGTTGCGGACGAGCTGTTGGACCATGAAGATGTTCCGCCGATAGAGCGCCAGCGCGTTACGGGAGTGAACCGAAGAGTCCTTGAAGAGTGCCTGGTCGATCTCCGAGTCGGCACGTTCTACGATGAAGCAGCCGTATAGGCCAAGTATGTGGTGCAGCTGCAGATGTCAAGACGGCGTCAGCCCATGCAAAAGGCTGACTGTGCATGACTTGCATCTTGCTGGGCCCATACGCCCGGCTCAGACATGGTCTGGATGAGATCTGATCCGGCAAGGAGCATGATGCGAGCCTTCCGTCGCTCTACGCTCGTCTCGCCCGTCTCTGGATCTAAAACTTCTATCTCCACGCCGCCCTTGACGGTATTGATCTCGTGTTCAAAGTGGTCGAGCACGCGCGCTGTCGGCAGGTAGGTGTCGTGACGGGCCTCAAAGGGATCGACCATGATCCAGTCGGACATGGACTGACAGGCGAGCTCGCACATGCTCACACGGTGCACTGCGGACACAAGGCCGGGCTTCTTGTAAGCATCATTGACGGGACTGAGGTAGCCTCCGACGACTTCGTAGCAGCTGTGCAGGCGAGCGTGATCCCTCGCCATCTCGAACATGCGCAAGTGGAGGAAAGTGATGGGAGAGAAACTGCCGCAGCCGACCAAGACCAACGGCTGCTTGCCGGGCTCCAGTCGGGGCACGACGAGCCTCTCTGTCGGAAAGACATAGTCGTCTTGCATCCTTGCCGACCTGACTGTCGACCGCTGACGGCTGGCTGACTCGGCAGTCGGGCGAGCACGTCCAAGCTGACAAGGTCACGCACGCTTTGACTTTGCTATCAGCCCGTTTTGCTGGGTGGGACAGGGTGGCGCTGATGTCAGTGCGCCACCTCGCGACGTGCCTCTTGCGTTCTTCGAGGCGAGGCGAGGCGAGGCTGCCCGATGCGAACATGCGCTGCCGACAAAGCCATCAGCGAGACCGCAGAGCTGATGGCAGATGAGCAGGTAGACAGCAGACCAGCAGCGCATCGACTGCCGCCGGAGCTGATCGCAGAAATTCTCAACTACACTGAGGATTGGGAACTCGCTCAGACGCTCAACTCTGCGCACTCGCTGCCGACTTCGACACCATGGCTCGAGCAAGCAACGCCTCTCGACTGGGCTATCCTGAGCGGCCAAGTCAAGCACATCCAGGCCTGTCTTGACAAGGGACAAAATGAGTTCACCGACTGGGGAACACGCGTCATGATCCGGTTTGGCTACATCCACCTGCTCGAGGCATTGCGGACCGCTCAGCCTGACCGACTGCGCGCGAGATGCCATGTGCTCTTGCCCGAGCTAGCCTCGGCTTGGGGCAGGACGATCGTCTTGGAATGGGCAAAGGAGCACCAAGTGGGCATGCAGGATATCACGCCTGGCACGATGGATGAAGCCAGTCGACACGGCCACGTGGAGACACTCAAGTGGTGGAAAGATTCTACGCTCCCCGTGCGCTATTCTGAGCATGCGCTCCTGTCGGCGACGATAAAGCGCCAGATTGCAGTGCTCGAATGGTGGCGCCGTTCAGATCTGCCGCTCCTGATTGGCAACGTACTTGACCTTGCCTCGATGGAAGGCTCCACCGTCGTGCTGGACTGGTGGGCAAAGTCTGGACTGGAATGCAAGTACAGCAAGTCTGCGCTGTACCATCTGTCTTGTCGGGGCAACATCGACTTGCTCAACTGGTGGAGAAGCAGTCGGTTCAGACTCATCTACGACAAGGATGTCCTCGTCGGCGCCACCAAGCATGGTCAGACGGATGCGCTCCAATGGTGGCACGAGTCAGGTCTGCCGATTCAGTTTCGATTCTTCGACATTGAGGAAGCGCTAGAAGATGCAGTGGCCGGCCCAGAGGGTCGGGCTGCCTCACTGGCTTGGTGGACTCGGAGAGGCTTCGATAGTGCATCGTCGGATCCTCGTGCGTGGATGTCGACACGCTTGCTCTCATCTTGCACATGAACCCATTGTCAACGACCCGCAGCATAGTCACGAATAATGCATTTCCGTGTGAGATGGCTTGGCTGGGTATCTTTGGTTCTCTCTACATGTGTCCAGCATGGGTGCGGTCTCATTTGGACCAAGTGCGAGGATCAAGTCCATAGCGATAGTGCAAGTAGCCAAGGATGATGATGTTGACCAGACCGACACGATCCTTGCCAAAGCCGATAAAGACGACGCCGCACCAGAGCAGACCGACGATGCGATCGAAAAGAGTGCCGATGATCTGCTTGATGCGCCAGCTGCCATCTACGCCAAAGGGTGGCGAGTGCGCCAATCTAAGCGGCTCGTGCGGTCGGTGAGGATGTCTTGGCAGGGAGATGATGGAGACAACCTGCTAGATATCAGGATACGTATCGTGCGACTGATGTGCATTCGCTTACGGGCTTGTGGTCAGAGTTTGTAAAGGCCATGATAGACCGATACAGATCTATGCGAGCTTCTTTCGTCTTTGTCGCGCCTTTCTTCTTGCGCACCGTGCCGTCGCCCGCGCCGTCATCGGCCCAAGTAGCATAGAGCACGCGATCGCACCAACCGGGGATACGCTTGCTGAAATCTTTGTAGGTATCCGCCGTGTTGACCTTGTACTTGTAGCTCGGCTTGAAGTCGATCTCGCCTTCCAAGAGATGGTGCATCGTTCGGCCTGCTTCCTTCTCCTGGTTGAGCTGGTCGTGCTCGAAGAGCTTGGGCAGCTCAAAGTGGATCTGACTGCCAATCTGCTTGATGCTGAGCGGACGGGGTGTCGTCTGAGATAGGCGATAGTTGAGATCGCCCATGACGAAGAGGTACGAGGAATCGTAGATTTGCAGTGGCTGTGAGCCCGAGAAAGGCGAGCGCGGTCGGGGCGGCGTGAAGTGACGTGAAGGCTGTCCGGGCGTGAAGACGCAGCGGGAGATGACGTTCTTCCAGTCGTCGTTGCGCTGCTTGATCTTGTGATCGTGTGCGGCGAGGTGACAGTTCACAAAAGTGTAGACGGCCTCGCCCGATTTCCTTTCGCCTTCGTCGGCTTCGTCTACGGTCAGCCGAACGGCCACACCGCCCTTGTTGGCCATATACACGTAGCCCGTACCCGCAGAGCTGACGCGAACATCTCTGACCTTGTTCGTGATCGTCTCGTCACGGGTATAGACGAGCAGGGCGATAGTGCCCATGATGTGCTTTGCCATGAGCGTGTAGTCCTCCCTCCCGGGCTTGTTGTCCGGCAAGTTGGTGATCTCATTGTAGCTCTCGATAGCCTGCTTGATGCCGACGTCGTGCTTGTCCAGCACGGAGCCCGATAGACCGACGAGCGCCCAGTGCAAAGGCAACACCTCCCTGGAAGCGCTAGCCCATCAGCTCCTGTGCGGACAGCATAGCGGAGATCTGATTGACTGAAAACCTATAGCGTAGATATCAGGAGGTTCCTCGTCGGCGTACTCTCGGCTGTCGTCTGACCGTGTAGGGACGAGCCACTTATCGTAATCTGTCTTGCCTTTGCCCTTACCCAGGTTGGCGTTGAAGGTATGGCAGGAGACCCGAGTGCGCGGCATGATCGAGATCCGCTATCTCTCCGTCTTGATCGACGACGGTCTGCGCCCCGAGGTTCAGAGCCACTGCAGGGAGGCTGGTCGGCGCGGTGCGAGCCAAACGATGACGCGATCGACCGAACGCGGGGTCGAGGAATTCGAAGTCTGCCGGCACTGCTCCGAGCCGTCCGAAGAAGCAGAGGTCGGCGCATCATCGTCATCGTCATCATCATCATGAGTGGCATCGAAAAACAGACGACGGGACAGAACTCGCTTGCCAACCCGGACTGCAAGCCGCTCCAATGGAACAAGACCGGCTATTCTTCATTCAACCAATTCTATCCTTATTACCTGGGCGAGCACTCCCTCCCCATCACTCGCCGCTTGCACAACGTCGGAACGACCATTTCACTCGCTACGCATGCTCGCTTCTGGCTAAGCTTCTTGCCGGCGCTGTTCCCCAATGCCAAGCAGCTTGAGCGACTCAATCTCTCGTTTCCACGCTGGAAGCTCTTTGCTGCAGGCATATTCAGTGGCTATTTCTTTGCATGGTATGTCTATGCCGACATCAGACTGGCCGTCTTTCTGACTGACCAGCCTGGCCAGGGTGAGCCACTTCTTCATCGAAAAGAACAGGCCGGCTACATTCAAGGCGCCGGTATATTCATTGATGTAAGGCGACCGTCTGCGTACTTGGCAGAGAACGCTGATCACGCTCTGCGCGGACAGGGGCGACATGAAGCTCTGGTGGGAGGTCGTCACTTTCCAGCGAGCCTTCTGAGCTCGTGTCGGCCACTTCATCCTCAGAATCGCGCGCGTACGTCTTGTTGTCAATGCATCGCCTCACAAACACAGCAACCTGGCTTGGTCAGCTTCGAAACTACCCTGAGCAAAGCTGGCGAGCAGATTCGAAGCAGACCGTAGCAGTCGTGCCTGGTCAGCTTGCTTGGCTATCGCGCTCTTTTCGTACGCTCGCTCGAGCAGGCGATCCGGTAGACCGGCGATTTTGCCGACGTGGATGCCATGGGAGCGCGACGCAAGACCGGCAGCTAGCTTGTAGAGGAACACAATCCTCTCGCTCGAGCTGCCAGAGGTCTCAAGAACCTGCATGTGATATGACGCCGCATCCTGAGGGAACTCTGAGCAGAGCTCACTGACGAGCGAGTGAAAGTGCGTCACGAAGATGATGAGACCCTTTCGATGAGCATGCAAATACCGCAGGATTGCATAAGCGAGAATGCGACCGTCGACATCCGACGTGCCCCGACCGAGCTCGTCCAACAAGACGAAGCTTCTTGACGTGGCAGACCTGACGATATCGGCGCTTTCTGACATCTCTACCATGAACGTCGATCGTCCATGAAGGATGTCATCGGCAGCACCCATTCGTGTGAGTATATTGTCAAAGATGCTGAGCCTCATCGACGAAGCCGGCACATAGCAGCCGATCTGCGCGAGGATGACGAGCAGAGCACACATGCGCGCGAAAGAGGACTTTCCGGACATGTTCGAGCCTGTCAAGAGCATCGTCCGCATGCCTTGCTGATCGTCCATCGATACGTCATTGGCGACAAATGGATCCGACAAGATGCGCTCAATCTGTCCATCACGTCAGCTTGCTGTCATACAGAGCCATCACAGTAACACACGACAGGATGACGACCGCCCGTGACATGCAGAGTCACAGTATCATTGTCTTGCAGAACGGGCTTGCAGTAACCGGGTTGACTGCTCGTGCGCGCCAGCGAGAGCAGGCAATCGAGCTCCGCTAAGGTTCTGATGACGGCTCTGAAAGTGACATATTCGCCGCCGAGCTCGTCCAGATAAGTGTGACATGCCTCTGTTGCAGCGAGATCACGGCGCTCGATGCTCTGTGCGCGTTCGGCCAGCAATTCAGTCATTCTCGGTGAACGGTAGCGATAGTTGGTGTTCGTGCCATTGATCCGGATCCAGTCTGCCGGTATACTAGCGGCATCGCTTCGACTGATCTCAATCAGATACTTCTCCAGATGAACATCGATATACTTCAATCTAGGCTTCTTGAGCAGTTTGCGGAGCTCGGCAAGGTGTTGGTCGAGCTCGAATTCGATTGTGCTTATGACGTCTTGAGCATCAAAGACGGCGGGCGCGCGAGCTTCGACATCCTTGAACATGCTCTCCTTCCGGCTTTCTTGACAAGCCGGCAGATTGAGCAGGTTCAAGAAACGCTCAATCATCGAGCGAGACTGCGCGACAGTATTGATAGCGCGCTTGAGAAGAGGCGACCGGACTGCTTCTCCAGCCGAAGGGTTCGCCATCGACTGCAGCTCGCCTGACACACGACTCAGAGCAGAGAGCATCTTTGATAGCTCTGGCAGAGTGATCTTGCGATAGTGGACACGGCATAATCCACGCTCGAGATCTGGCAGACCTGTCAGGACAGTACGTAGCTTACCTATGACAAATGAAGAGCTTGTTAGGATCTCAGTGACAGCCTTGAGACGCTCCTGGAGGGCTTGCGGATCGATCAGAGGCGCTGCTAGCCAATGTTTGAGCATGCGGCGCCCAAAGACAGTCTGCGTCGAGTCGAGCGCCGACCACAAAGTCCCTTTCGCCGAGCCATCCGTCTGGTTCTGAAATATCTCCAGATTTCGAAGTGTCTGGCCGGTCAGGGTCATGTGCGCCCGTCGACCGAAAGGTAGGAAGCTCTTGGGTCGTAGAAAGATATTCTGCAGGAAGAAGAGCGCGCACTGATCAATCAGTACGCTCAATGCAACTTTGACGGTCTCTGGCAGTGCTTTGATGATTTCCATACTGATGATCGGCTCGACATGGTCACCGTCGAGATCTATGACATCCTTTGGCTGCTCATAGAATTCCATGAGCTTTTCGACGTGTTTTGACGTGCTCATGAGGGCCACTCGATCGATTCGACCTCTCGGCTGGCTCGCCTCGCGATTGTTGACGAGCGTGGCAATGACGGACTCTGTCTGGCTGCTCAGCTTTTCGATGGGCACGATGACTTCGCCTGGCGCTAGATGCATCAATCTCGTTTCGAGTGCGTGCCGCAGGTGGTCATCGTCAAAGCTGTCCCAAATAATCTCGCCTGTTCCGGGTGTAACCGAGCAGACAGCGAAAGCAGTCTTTCCATCAGTTCGTGTCATGCCATCTTCGAGCACTACAACGATAGTCGATGCACGACCTTGCTCGCTCGAGAGCTCCGAGCTATCTAATTCATCGACCCAAGTAGACAAGGTGTAGCGCTCGGTTATCTGTCGCTTGAACAGCTGATTCCGCGTTGACCCAACCTTCTTGAGCGCGGCAGTTTCGACCTGACGAACGATGCCGACCTTGTAGCCCGCCATGACGAGCCGCTTGACGTGTAGCATCAGCCGATGTGTGGGGACCATGGCGCTATTGAACTTGCCACCTTGGAAATTGGCAATGTGTAAGATCTTGCTCGCTATCAGAGCATCTTCGTTCCAGAATTGTATCTTGTAGCCTACTTCGAAAGCGAGTACAGTGTCTTTGTTGGCAGCCTTGAGATCGAGCCACTGCTGCTCGAGCGGCGTGTACTCTTTTGCCGCTGCTTTGCCTTTCCCATTGGATCGCTTCGGGGCAGCATACGCTGACTTGAACGACGCAAGCTCGCGTGCGAAGGAATCATCGACTTGTCCTTCCTCCTCTGAGTCAGCTTCAGCTTGCATGGGCTCTGTCTCGGGCGTGTTACTTGGCGACAGTGCATGGACAGGTCGCTGTGTGAGTCTGCGCCTGACCGCGGCTCTTTGACGCGCGCGCGCCTTTAGACTGGCTGGATCAGAGTCCACATCCCGAGTAGAGCTTGCTACCTCGTCGATCTGGGAGTCGACCGATGTAGGGCCGTATTTCCAGCCGGACAGCCGTCCTCTGATGTGCTCCTGGACTTTGGCATCTGCAGCTCTCGTCTCCTCGGCTCGAACTTTATTTGCTGCTGCCGAAGTACTCGCGACGGGCGCAAAAGCAGTCTTGAGAGTCAACTGCTTCGTTGGAGCCGTACTCGTCGCTCTGCTGGTGCTTGCGCGGGGCGAGAGCCTCTGAAGTTCGTCGTGCTCGCCCGAATCTGGTTCGAGCTTTGCAGCCTTTGCAGGGGATGCGTCATCTTCGTCGCTCGATATGAGCGTTACGGAGGCAGCACGCTTCTTGCCGAAGTGCGGCGATGCCATGAGCACCACGGCTCAGGACGATCAAGCACCGAGCGCTGAGCTGAGATCCGTACGGAGCAATCATATGGTGACAGATTTATTCAGCTGACTCGCGTGGCGCCTCGACATCAGCGAGTGACGACGTCAGAGTGCCGTATCTGCTCGCTTCTTGACCACGACAGGCTACTGGTACGTCGAGACCCACGGTGATCTTCATAGAAGGCTAATGCTGCTCGTCAGGCACCGCGAACCATGCAGCTGAGATCGATCCGCTGGCTTTAGCCGTTCCTTTCCTCCGCTCTCGACTAGCCTCGTTCGGCCCGTCAACAGTCATGGCGCAGCCTTCGTATCCGCAGGCAACGGGTCCCTTGTTGTTCTATCAATCGCCACCTGCCCCTTTCCCGGCAGCTCAACTCGGTAGACACCCGCACATGCCGGCACAGACGGCCTCGTCTGTCAGTCCTGAAGGGCGATTCACACTGCCGAGCTCGGACCAGCATCTTAGGCAAGTTCGCAAGGCTGGTATAGCCTCTACCGATAATCCGTTAGGTACGATGGCGCTGGCTGATCAGTCGAGCTCGCAATTCGAACAGCGACCATCGCAGACTGCGACCTTTCAGCCGGGCAGCACTAACTATGCGCCGTTCTCCATCGCGCCACTCGTTGCATCTCCGGAGGAGACAGAGTCCAGCGCGAGCTACTCTCGTGCCTCTTCGCTACCTCCGCCAAGTCTGCCCTTCAAGATGCCCCGTCGTCGTACGCAAGAAGCCAAGGAGCGTAGGCAGGCCTCGTCGAGTTCAGCAGCGTCCTCATTAGGCAGTAGCTATCCTTTCAACGTCAGCGAAGGATTTCTGGCTACATCTGCGCCCACGCTCGCGCCTGCGCTGACTCCGCCCGTGGCGATCAGTACGGACTCGCCTGTGCCTTCGACCAGCCGCAAGCGACCCGGCATTCAGCCCGCCAGCTCTTACGTCTCTGATGAGAATCTGTTCAATAATGGACCGCCGACTCCATCATTGAGTAGCGCGACTATGTCGTGGCACACGCCACACACAGATCATCCGCTCAGCTTGCAGGAGCAGAACGAACTCATCGAGCGCATCCAAGCGGACCTTCAAGTTATCGATAGCAGCAAGCTCAAAGGTCCTTTCCATCGCATTGCTACCGGCTCGGCTGCTTCGGAGATCAACCCTCGCAGGGCGAGCATGTCGAGCACAGCCGGTCACCTGCGGCCGCCGTCATTGAGTGACGTAGAAGAACTCACCGTCAGTCCGCGAGATGTCTCGCTCGATCCGGAAGTGAGTAGGGCAAGCTCCACTTCGAGTGCTATTCAGTCGAGCCCTGTCATGGCTACAGCGACGCATATCAAAGGCTCTCCGCCGTTCTCAATGTTTCCGCCTCTGCACAAGATCCCGACCGCAATCGTTACCACGCCGTATACGAACGCCAATGGCGGCGTCGACGCAGGCGTGATTGATGGCATGACTGCAGCCTCCCGCGCGCGGAGTCTGAGTCATCCACCAGCACAGCAGGCTCCTATAAAGCAGCCGACGACTAGCAGCCACCAGCGTTCGGCTTCGCATCCCTTCCAGCTGCCCAACTCAATGATGCCGCCACCGCCGGCGAAGGAGGACATTTCGCCCGAGTTTGACTTCCAAATGTCGAGCGGCGAGGAAGATCCGAGTCCTCCAGTACCGACCGTCAAGAATGGAGATGGCCCACGTCCGCCTCCGTTCGCTCTGCCGCAGTACGGGCGCCGCGTTCCGGACAATCGCGAGAATCCGTACTTTGCGTCCAAAGCGCCTTCGTATCGAGTTGGCGATAGCACCGGCAGTACGTCTGAGGAATCGAGCATGTCGAGGCCCCCCTCGAACAGCGTCGAATCGCCTGGCCAACGTGGGCGAGCGCCGCCGCCTGCGCCTTTATCGATCAATCGACATCGTGTCAATCTGAGTCGGCCTGAATTGCGCCGTTCGCCTTCGAGTCCGCAAGACTCTGCGGAGCGATCGACGTACTACGAAGAGGAAACACTGGAGCCAAGCGAGTCACCTGACAACGATGCTGACGATGCGACTTGGACACCTGGCCGCAAGCCAATGCAGCACGGTCCATCAACGGGACAAGCGCTTCACAAGCCATCTCAGACTGCCGTCGGCAGCCCTTCGCATCAGTCTTCGAGCCTTGCGAAGCGACCGCGCAAGCAGAGTGCAGAGTACACAGATTCAGAGGAGGCAGACGATGATGACGAGTACATATCTGGGTCGCACGCAAACTATTTCCAGCAACACCAGCCCAAGCGTCAGCGGATCAACAATAAACACGCTGTCGGCTCCCAGCCGACGCCCAGAGTGACGGGTGTGGCGGCATTGGACGAGATCCCATCGCATGTAACATCGTCTGGCGCGACCATCTGTGATTTCGTCGATCCGCAGACGGGCAAGACCTGCGGTGTCTCTTTCCGACGGCAGTATGATCTCGTCAGACACAAAGAGACCAAGCACACGCCCGGCAAGAGGAAGGAATGGATCTGCGATATCTGCGGCGGTTCATTCTCGCGTAAAGATGCGCTTCAGCGACATTTCAATCGGGGACATGCTCGATAGGCTCTATACTACCTGTATGCATCACTGTGTGTCTTCTGTGATGAAACATCTTTGCCTGCCCGTGATGTTGAAGATGGATCGTAGGGCGAGTTGGCAGCAAAGTCGCGCCTTTTAATTGTGCCCCTCGCCTCTCGCCGACCGGAGCGCACATGTCGTCAGGCGTGCCCAAGCTATGAACGGCGGCTATGGAGAGGATGGCCGCGGGCTTGCATCCCGCTCGAGCTCGAGCTACGACACGCCTGGGCCGAGTCAGATCCAAGCCTATGCGAAGCTACAATTCGAGGCTTCTGATTTCTACATCAAGAAGCTCTCCGTCACGATTGGACGCCGTACTGGCCTCCTCAGGCCGCCCGTGAGTCACTCAAGCTGGTCAATTCCACCCTCGAGAGCTTTAGCGGACCAGAACGGGCTCAGGCCGGAGCTGCTCTCGCCAACGTTGAGACCAACCTCTGCGACTCGTTCGACTTCGCCTGGCTTGGAGGCCGAAGCCGAGGTAGCACCTCGCTATGCTGCTGTACTGGGCCGACCGAGACTATCGAATGCGGCAAGTCCGCCTGCCAACGGAGACGCCCGACCTGCTGTAGCAGCTCCAGAGGACGATGAAGAGCCAGCGGATGTGGATCTGGGCGCGATCAAGGCCGTCTCACGTTGCCACGCCAGGATATTCTATCAGCATGCGACACGTGCCTGGCAGCTTGAAGTCCAGGGCCGGAACGGTGTCGTGATTGATAGCCGCTGGACATCTCGTGGCGAGATCGTCACTCTCAGATCAGGGTAAGCCTAGGCAACTCGAGAACCGACACCGCTCATGTGGGCTCCTCAGGTCCAAGATACAGATAGCAGAGCGCATATTTCACTTCCTCTTACCCAACGCGGGTAGCGCTGATCGCCCCGGAAGCTCGGACCTCGCGACACGGCAGAGCCCTCTGGTCGCAGATGAGATCGATGGAAGCGACTTCTCGGACCACAGCGATGAGGACATGTCGGCTGCCAGCTCGCTCTCCGAGCCTGAGGATCTCGTGCAACGCTCGCGTACCGGCTCGCACTCTCGGTCGCTTTCGATAGATGCTGGAAGCTCAGAGCGCGCATTGAGCGAGGAATCCGAATCGCGCGCAAAGAGCAAGATCAGACTGGTCGTCTCCGACACAACACACCCGAAGCTTGCAAAGCAGTCGAAGCGGCTGACGAAGAAGCAAGTTGCAGCATCAGCTGTGGCCGAGCGGCGAAAGGCACGCAAAGAGCAAGCTGCCGAGAAGCGGAAAACCAAGGGCAAAGGCAAAGCGAAAGCGAAAGAAGAGGAAGATGCTCGATCAGAGAGGTCTGCTTCTGCCAGTGTTGCGCCTTCTACAGCCACCAAGGTCGCGCCCAACGGCAGTTCACTTGCGCCAACGCCGAATCCGTTCATCGGCAAGCCCGAGAAGCCTCAATATACCCTCGCAACACTTGGCGCTCAAGCAATACATGCTAGCAAGACCAGTACACTCACCCTGCCGGACATACACGCATGGATCTGCAAGTCATACCCCTTTTACGCGTCAGCATCGGCGCCAAGCTGGCATCCTGAGCTTTCGCAAGCGCTCGATAGTCTGAGAGCGTTTGTCAAATTGCCAGCGACAGGTCATGTCCCCGCTACGTATGCGCTCGAAGCTGCACATGCAAAGATATTTGATGGCACGGTCTTTCGCACTTCAGTCAGCTCGCTTGCTCTTGCTATTGTCATCGGCTTGCCACCGACGAGCTACGTCAGGCCGGCAAGCAGCATTCCGCAGAAGGAAGATCCTCTTGATCGCTTCTTGTCGTCTCATCAGCCTGTCGTCCTGCATGACAATAAGCTCTACCTGGCGCCTTCTTTCTTCTCGCGGATGACGAAGGTGCAGCTAGAGCATTTGCAGGGACTGCAACCTCAGGCGCTACTACGAGTACTCCAAGCCTGGCTAAAGCAGCATCTCGAGCAGCGCATCGAGGTGCTGGCGCAGCAGGGAGCCCCGCAGCCAGAAGCAGTCGCCACGGAACAGGGCCCGATCATCATTGATGGCGATGATTGAATGAGTATGTGCATTATCGTGTTGTTCATACAACGTAGTCGTTCAGACTTGCGAAAGCGGGACCGGCCCGCTGATGTTGAGTTTGCGCGTCGAGTGAGAATGCTCAGATGTCGCAAACTTGTCAAGTTTGCCGTCGGTATCGTCAAACGTGAAGACGCTCCTCAACTCGTTCATGGCCACGCCTGACAGCTGCTCAGCCTTGAATGCACAACAAGAAATTGACATACCCAGTAGCAGACCGCAAAAGACATTGATGATGCCCATCACAAAGAGGGCAACCGCAGCACCGCTGAAGAGCGAGTCGTGAAAGATCAATCTGTGCTGCACGTGAGCTCATCTCAATGGAGGCGAAGAGAGCTCTTACGTCCCGGACAGGGTCTCTGATGAGACGATGAGCAGTATCGCTCCCAGCCACCCGCTGCCATACTTTGCAGAAATGATGGGCAAGGCGTTTTGCAGCATTTCCTCCGCGCGAGGAAAGGGCATCTCGGAGATCAAGCAGAGTATGAGCGTGACATCGATGCCGAGGGCGAACAGAACGACAAAGGCGATCGTGTTGGGTTGCGAAGGTGTGACCTCTTTGAGAATCGCTATCCTGCCAGAGTATGCCAGCGAAGAGGCCACGATGTAGAGAACAATGATGACGATGTCGGCTAGCCTGACAAGATTGGTCAGTATGAAAGGTATGCCGCTCGTTATCGACTTCATCTCTGCGTGCTTATGGTGCTTGTGCTCAAGGCGAGAAGAGGAAATCGGTGGCACTCAAAGATATGCCGAAAGGTATGAAAGGCGCAGACTCAATCATCGTAAGCGACGGACGATTGATGGTATGAAAGGGAAGAATGCATAACAATGGGTAAGAGACGCTTGTTCGGTAGAACGATCGAGGTCCCCTTAGTGCGCAGAAGGTGGCATCAAAGGCGGCGCGTTCACGGTCTCACGCGTCACCCGACCGTGCTTCTGTCCGTTGAGCGTTGAGCGTGTGATGCACATTCTTCCTCAGGCGAGCATGTCGTGGCACGCGGGGAGGGTTGCTTATCATCCTCTCGAACGTTGAAGAATGCCGTTACGTGATCGCTGGCCGAGGCCGAGAGGACGTCGTGGGTGCCTGATACCTGAACGCAGAGCTGTCATCGGCGTATTGGCTGTTCTCGGTGCGATTGTGGTGCGCGAGTGAGGTTCACGAGCAAGATTGGGAGTCCGTGCGCGAGTGAGGTCCACGAGCAAGATTGGGAGTCCAGGCTGACTGGCTATGAGCAGTCTCAAGATCTGACGAGGGTCGCGCTCGTCACTGGCACCCTCGAATTGCGCGCCATGTGATGCGCTGCGGAATGGCGGCAGCGACGGACAGCGGCATTTGCGCCGAACGAGCAGCCAGTTGAATGGTCACAGCACAGCCATGCAGGACGAGCAGCAACAGCCCAAGCATTTCTTTGAGTCGCCGGCATCGACTGCGCGCAATCACCCAAGCTCGCCAGGAGGGTCGAGTCGAGCGCACCTCAGAGGAAAAGACATGCTAGCAGTCGAGAAGCGGCAGGCGACAGATGTATGGGTATGCGACGCCAGCACGAGTACACAGCGACACGGCACGAGTCTTGCCCGAGATCTTTGCGGCAAGTCACACTGCCTCGCCCCAGCCAGCCAGTATACAAGCTGACGGTCTGCCTGACATGCAGACGGCCTCTCCTCGCCCGAAGAGACTGTGCTGTCTCCCATCTCCGGTCCGGGCGAGAGGAACAGGCCTTGGCCGATGACCCGCACAGAGTCACACGACCAGCGACGAAGGAGACAAGCCACTCTGCTCAAGCCAGTCTCCGCTGGAGCTGACTCGCCCCTCATCTCGCCTCTCCACCTCGGACAGGCCGTACGCATCGGGGCCGGCTCGACCGGACCCTCTTCGTTCTGCCCCACGCCGGCGGCTGAGCGAGATCGAGAGGTGGACGAGAGAGCTCAGGCTGCACTCGCTCGCGGTCTAGAGCAAAGTCTGATGCTCAGATCCGAGGAGAGCCCGAGGTCTGTGGTGCGTAAACCCATCAGGTCTCCCTCACCCCGCGAATCGCCTCGCCCTTCCCGCTCAAATTCGACGAGCTCCCTCGCAAAGGCAAGTCCGAGCCAGAATCACAAGCAGCAGCGCCCTGTGCTCGTCATACCCTCGTCACGCGTACGAGCTAGCCCCGCAGCAGCACAAGCGCAAGCCAGCCGCGCATCAGCGGTCAAGAAAGTCCTGTGCCTGTCAGAGACGGAGAGTGACTGCTCGCCCGCCATGGCGCCACTGTCCAGCTCATATACCTACTCGAGTCCTTTGCGGACACCAGGAGCTGCCTCCGAGGCAGGGACGGGCAAGACGACTGCCTATGCTGCCTACAAGGACGGCTCTCTCAACACGCCCGCCAATTCGCCTGTCGTCCACAAGGCAGTCTCTGGCAGCGCTGGCCGACTGCAGGCAGACCGCGTCGATCAACGGGGCAGGCGTACTTCCAGGGGCGAGCAGACTGAGCGACGGTCCATCGAACTGATGAGACGCAATATTGAGTGATAGCAGACATGTGACATGCACGTTAATGATACCATGACCACGCGCACGGGCGAGATTGAAGAGATGAGATGAGCAATTCGGCGACACAGTGACGCCAGCGTCCCCCCCTGTCAGAGCGATACCCCACAACGGACGACGGTGCAGACTTGACGACGCTCACGCAGAGGCAGGTCTGCGTTTGCGTGCGCCGTAGCTCTGCGTTTGTGGAATCGTTACCACACCGCCGGACCCGCCTGCGACCGGTTTGATGTTTGCGAGCTACAAGATTGTCTGCCTGGGCGATGGCGGTGTCGGTCTGTCCTGAACTGCTCTCCAGGACGCAGTGTGACTCATGCAAAGCTCTGTTCTCGTCCGGTGTCCAGGCAAGACTGCTCTGACCATACAGCTCTGTCTTAACCACTTTATAGGTCTGCAGCGGCCGCGCAGTCTTTCGCCAGCTTGAGTCTGACGCCTGACTAGGACAGAGGCGTGTCTATGCGCTCCATGCAGGGCGGCGCAGGTCTGAACGGCGCTCCAACAGGCTTACGATCCGACAATCGAAGATTCATACAGGTTCAGTCACGCACGCCTCAAGCTCGGACGGCGGGCACGCTCATGCTGCTCCTGGCCAGGAAGCACGCTGTCATTGACGACCAGCCTTGCCTGATAGAGATTCTCGACACGGCAGGTCAAGGCGAGCAGCACACCTCCTCGAGACTGGCCTGATCCTCACGCGACGCGACGGCCCCTTGCAGAGGAATATACGGCGCTGCGAGATCAATGGATAAGGCCAGTCCATCGGCCACGATTGACATGATGCATGCGACTCATGCCTCGGCAAACAACAGGGAAGGCGAGGGGTTTCTGCTTGTCTATTCGATAACAGACCGGGTCGGTCAGCATCTCGTCGGACCGCTGCTCTGCTCACGAATGCTTCGAACAGACGACCTTTGAGCGCATAGATCGATTCAGGTCGCAGATCATGCGCGTCAAGGATAGCCCGAGGATACCCATCATGCTCGTGGGCAACAAGGCAGACAAGATAAATGATCGCGTCGTGTCGAAAGACGAGGGCGCTGCGCTTGCTAAGCAGCTCTCGTGTGAATTCGGTACGCCAATCTTGAGCCGTATGGGTAGCCTCACGCTGACGACAGAACGAAGCGGAGACATCTGCAAAGACAAGGGCTGGCTTGGAGGTCGCGTTTTAGCAAGTTGGCCTTTCCTTCACCGCGAAGGCGAAGCTGACAGCGAGTGAAAAAGCACTGTCATCAGACGGATAAGAGACAACAACGAAGAGCAAAACCGGAGGACCGGCAAGAAGGATAAGCCTAGCGCCAAACGAAGGTGCAGAATTCTCTGATGCTCTGAGAAAAGTCGTGCTTCTCCTTCTATGCAAGCGATCCGGCTGTCGCCCGACAGGCTGTCCGACTATTATCATCTTGCGATCGACATGAGACGAGCTTCTCGTGATCTCAAACGTGGAATTTCGTAACAGAGTGCGTGGGCGTCGGCTGCGGCCGGCCAAAATCTGCGGGTGATCGCCGTGAACTTTGTCAAAGTTTGCTCCATGACGCTGTTCCAGCGAAACCTTATTGTGGCTAGCAGCTAGGGGCATGTTCTTCTTAGATCCAAAACCTGTGCAGTTTGGCTAAGGCTAAGACACGAGAAGCCGACGGCCGACTGATAACCTCTAGCAATGGCGTCTCGCCAGTGTGATTCAGCGAGAAGGAGGTGTTGGGAGTAAGGTAGCAAGGCGAGCTGGACGAAGAGAGCTCTGTAGACATCATCAGCCGCCTGCGCCAGCTGAAGAAGCGAGACCGCCCGAAATAGCGACCGGACGACTCTGATCCGGTTCGAACGAAGGACCCATCAGCAAGCGAGTTGCAGGCCAGAGGGATTGGCGTTTGCAGATCAGCCGCGACAGAGAGGCCTTCTACATGATCGAAGCCAGACAGCTCCAGTAAGGCGCAAGAGCCAAGCTTGTGTCTGCAAGAAGAAGCAGACTCCTGTCAGATCCGCGGCTGTTGTGAACATGATCTCGCCCCATCAGCCGTCACATGGCCTCGGCGGTGGCAGCGGCAACAGACGAGAGGTACACTATCCTGAAGCTGGACATGGCTTCGGTTCGACAGGCTTATCGGGCGACTTGCCCTTTGCGTCGCCCAAATCGCCACTTAGTCTGTCAGAGCTAGAGAGCGTCGCTCCTTCCAATCTGTCTCAATTCGTGCTCGACATGGACGACATCAACGCCTTTGTACAACCTTTTGACTCAAAACCTCATCGGTCGACCAGCGAATCCCTCGTTGGATCGCCCAGAAATGGACTTGCGCGGATATACGACCCATCGATGAGCAATTCGCCCGAGATGCCCGTCTCTGCTCTGTTCGGTCACCAGCGCGGCGGGTCTTTCGCGTTCAAAGCTACGCCCAAAGACAGCGATCTAGCTCTGTCCGGCGGCTCGCTTGCCCCTCATGAGACCTCAGCAGCCGCTTCGCCTCGCTCGCCGCACTCACCTGAATCTCAACCATCTACACCGAGCTCTCATAAGCTCTCGTCTGGCTCACGAGGCTCGCCTGCTCCCTCGACTGTGCCGACCGCGACGCCGACTCCGAAATCGAATATGGTCACTCTGAAGCATTGGGATGAGGAAGATACAGACGTGTATCTGATCCATACCGGCGCTTTCACTCTTGCTCGCCGAGCAGGCTAGTCTGAATCGTTCCCGCCCTGACACGTGTCTGACTTTGCACGCAGACGACGATGCCATCAATGGCACAAAATTGCTCAACGTGACCGGCATCACTCGCGGTAAGCGCGACGGTCTACTGAAGATTGAGCCCAACAGACGCGTCGTCAAAGTCGGTTTGATGCACTACAAGGGCGTCTGGTACGTTCTGCGACATTTGGCGCGCATGCTCTCGTTGACAGGGATGCCAGGATTGCACTCGATCGAGCGAAAGCTTTGGCCGCTCAGCATGGCATCCTCGATATGGTGTATCCTCTGTTCGAGCCGGACTTGTCAACTCGCGCAGTCCTGTCAAGTCCCGACGCGACCATGCGACCCAACAGGTCGACCCTCAAGATTGATACCACGGCAGGCTCGGCTGCTCTGTCCCGTTCGCCGGCATCTCCCTGCAGTCATTCGGTGCCGGGTTCATCGGATCAGTCCGACTACAGTGGCAGGTCGATGATGTCTCCTGCCTTACATTCGCCTCACTTCGGGATGCCTATCTGGACTCAGGCATTCACGCCGCTGCCCTCACCGTCGCTCCAGGCGACAGCGCAGTTTGCGCAATGGTCAGGCTTAGCCGATGTCCCGTATCCGCCTGCGAGCAGCACTCTGCCGACGATGATGAGTGTCCCGATGACGGCAGCTCATCTGCCGTATGGCCATTTGCCGCTAGCCTCTACAATTTATGATGGCATGGTACCACCCCTCGCGCATCCACCGCCACTATCGGCCACTTATTCGGGCTTACCGTCACCCGCATATGCTAGAAGTATACAGCCACACACAATGCAGCCCCAGCAACAACAACAGCAGCAACAACAGCCACAGACGCAGACGCAGCTGCAGCCGCAGTCGCCTCGTCGTTTGCAGCAGGCTGGCTCGCCACATCGATTGTCGTTCAGCTCCTCAGACCCGGCGCTCGCCAGTCATGCGGCTGCGTCCCGTCCAGCGCCAGCTCGAACGCAATCAGCGCTCACAGCCAGCGCACCGAGCTATCCGCGCTTCGATCATCTATCAGACTTTGGCGGGTCTCTCATGGACCCATCCCAGCGACACGCTGTCGACAGTCTGCATCTTGCGCTATCGCAACATAGACAGCGCATGCCGAGCAATCCAGCTATATTGAACCAGCAGATGGCCTATTCTGTCAGCACGAGCCCGACCGGACAGCGGAAGCGCGCCTTTGGCTCAGAACGACAAGCCTATGATGCGATGTATAAAGTCCATCAGCAAGCTCTCGACAATTCTGCAGAGCCAAAGAGGACGAAGCCTTCTTAGCGACGAGTGCCCACCATTTTCACGTCTGTACATGAATGATTACCACGAGGGAAGACACAGCAAAGGTAGTATAGAATGTAAGACAACAGTGCTGTGTAGAACAGAGATGCATGTAGAATCATCCCACGATCTTGCGGAGGTCGTCTGTGGTGCACCTGAGCAGTGTGACCGGACAGCGTGCATGCTTCTCGACATAGTCGTGTATGCTGGTGTAGTTGTAAACCCAACCAGATGGCAATGCTGTGGCATTCGTAATCTTCTCGCCGGTGAGGGGATCTCGACCTTTGACAGGTTTCTCGCCAGCGGTGACGCCCTTTGGGTGTATCGGCAACGGAGTTGGTGGTCTGATGGCCGCATCGCTGCTCGACGATCCCGGCCCACGTCGCGAGCGAGCATAATCGGAGGAATACCACCATTCGAGAAATTTGAAGAAGAAGATGGAGGTGGGCAGGATGATCTTGAGCGCCTCGAATGCATACTCCGGGCCGAGGCAAGCATACCGCCAGATGACTTGCAGGTACGATGGCGGGAGACCGGAGCCATGCCGCCGTCGCAGGGGCGAAGAAATGGTGCTGAGCGCTCCTTCTCTTGCCTTCCTCTGCGCCGCTGAAGAGATCAGACCTGTACGGCTCAGAAGTGGCAAGAGACATACATAATCCAAGGCACTCATCCGACGAACATCGACGCCCATCCAAGACAGCCAAGGCCGATAGTAGGGCGTCTTGTCGAATATGTAGGCGATGTTGTAGCCGAGCAGCATGACTTCATATGACAGATTGGCGAGGGGGTATGCACTTCGATAAAAGTCTCTCGAAAGTCTGGCAATGCGCTCGTGCCGCGTCTGCAGGAGCGGTCAGCGAGCGCAGGTCGACACTGCGCAGAGCGCACCTCTTGTGTGAGAGAGTCCGTTGCTACGCCATCATTGAGCAGATCCGCGTTGACACCGCCACCGACTTGCTCGTAGAGATCAGCTGCTTTTGCGCGCACGTAAGGCACACCAATCTAGGCGAAAGCGATCAGCGCGCGTCAGCCTGTGCTCGTCAGATGAGTGTGCTGCTCCGACGAACAAGAAAGAGGAGAGAGCGTTGTATGTCTGTTCTTCGGAGCCGTTCGTGATTGGTATGTAGCTGAGTCACCGAGGCAGACGAGCTGCGTTCGGCGGCAAACCCAGGCCGTCGCCGTCGTTTGAGGCCATAGAAATTCTCTGCAAAGGATGCGCCTGCGGAGACAAGCGTTGAACGACAGCCTGTAGGTAGGGCAGACAGATTCACCCCATTCGCGTAGGTAGTATCGCTCGACAAAGTACATGGTGAGGGCATAGAATTCATCATGTCTATTGACGATCCTGAGCAGATAGCGGGGCCGACGTTGGGCAAGCACCTGTCAGATGATGCGCTGTCAGACTGGCCTGCATGCGACGACAAGACGGGCACGGACGGAGAGGATATATTTGATGACGGGCGGCAGTAGCTCTCTGAGCTGTTCCTGGGCTGCCAACTCGAAGAAAGATGGACGATATCTGGCCTGCGGTCAGCCAAGCGTTCGCGTGCCGACTTGCTAGCGTACCTGTCTGGCCCGTTGGCGATGTCACCGAGGAATTCCATCTATGAGAGGGTGTGAAGACTGATAGCCGGCTCGGCTCGGGGTGACGTTGATCGTTCGTTCGGCGAGTCGCGCGCGTTCTTCTGCGGACGAGAGGACACGACAGAGTGGTCAGACGACTCGCTTTCCTGCCCCACAGTTCCTCGCAGTACGCATCTTGCAAGCGACAGGAGAGAAGCGAGAGCAGTCGACAGGATGGCAGAGATGAGAGGATGGGTAGCGCGAGTCCAGAGCGGTGACACTCTGACTTTACGTGGCAAGCCAGGTCCTCAAGGTCAGCCACCCAAGGAACGGGTCCTCCACCTTGCCTTTCTCGCCGCACCCCGTCCAGGCTCTCGAGATCGAGCAGACGAGCCCTACAGGTGAGCTCTGGGAGCCGCACTGTGACTCATAGGGCTAAAGTTCGCCGTAAAACAGCTTTGCGAGTCGAGAGTACCTACGTCAGCTCACCATCGGCAAGGAAGTCCTCTTCTCGGTCGTCTACACCGCACCAGCCCAGAGTGGCCAGCTCGACTTTGGCAGCGTCAGGATCAACACGCCCAACGGCATGATGCGTGTCGAAGATCTGATCGTTCGCGAGGGCTGGGCAAGAGTCAAGGAGTCTCGCAACATGAACGCACCTGCCGAAGGGGAGACGCTCAGCGACGAAGCCGTCCGACGTGGCTCGCTCCAGAACAGCCAGGAGCTCGCTCGAACGGAGGCACGCGGGATCTGGGCGAGTACGCAGACTGATGCAAATCACGATGTGCAATACCAGCCGCCGTCTGACCCGAAAGCTTTCCTTCAGCAACACCTCAACAAGCCCATCACTGCAGTCGTCGAGCAGGTTCTCAATGGCTCGACCCTCCGTTTGCGCCTGTTGCTCTCGCCAGACACGCACCAGTTTGTTGCAGTGACGCTTGCGGCGACACGCTCGCCTCGTGCTGCTGCCATCACCAACGGCAACGATAGCAAGAGCGAGGAGCTTGGTGATGTCGCACGCTTCTTCACAGAGTCCCGACTGCTGCACCAAGACGTGACGGTCAGCCTGCTCGGCCTGCCACCTCCGCCCGTGACGAGCAATACCCCCTTTGTCGCGACTGTCACCCATGCCCAGGGCAACATCGCCGCCTTCCTGCTCCAGGGTGGCCTCGCTCGTATCGTTGATCCGCATGCTGGCCTGCTCGGACCAGAGGAGATGGGTGCGCTGCGTCGCGCAGAGGCCGACGCAAAGGCTGCCAAGAAAGGCATCTGGCATGCCTACACCGCTCGAGCGCCGAACTCGACATCCAGCGTCGCCTTTGATGCGACCGTGACCCGAGTCTACACAGGCGACAGCATCGGTATACGAAGAGCTGGCGGCTCACACGAAGAGCGTGTCATTCTCAGTAGTATCCGTCAAGCCAAGGCGACGGATCCCAAGCAGGCAGGCTATGCGAACGAGGCGAAAGAGCTGATGCGAAAGAGGCTGATCGGCAAGACGGTCAGCGTGACGACAGACTATACCAAGCCGCCAGACGGTGAATTCGAAGCGAAGCAGTGTGTCACCATCCGACTGCCCAATGGCACCAATGTTGCCGAGCAGCTCCTCGAGCGCGGTCTAGCAGTCGTCATCCGCCATCGCAGAGACGACACCGACAGATCACCCGAATTCGATCAGCTCATGGCGGCGGAAGCGAAAGGTCAGGCTGACAGGAAGGGTGTGCACAGTGGCAAGCCATCTGCCATGCCACGCATCAATGACGCTTCAGAGTCTGCCAACAAGGCAAACGGCTTTCTTGCTGGCTTCAAGCGCGCCGGCAGATTGCCCATCATGGTCGACTTTGTCGCGACAGGCTCTCGCTTCAAGATTATGATACCCAGGCAAGAAGTCAAGCTCACACTTGCCCTCGCTGGCATCCGTACACCTCGAGCACCTAGAGCAAACGAAAAGGGCGAGCCTTACGGTTCCGAAGCCCACGAATTCATGAACCAACTAGCGGCGCAGCGAGACGCAGAGGCAGAGATCGACTCGACTGACAAATCGGGCGGCTTTCTTGGCACGCTCTGGCTGCAGAAGGATATCAATGCGGCCGAAGTCCTCGTACGAGAGGGCTTGGCTCATGTTGACCATCGCTCGGCGGAACGTCTGCCGACTTATCAGCAGCTGGTCGCCGCAGAAAAGCAGGCGCAGGAGGCGCAACGTAACGTGAGTCGATGCAACGAATACGTTCCAGTTAATCATGCTGACACATTCGACAGCTCTGGTCCGAGTATGATGCGCAAGCCGAAGCGCAGAGGAGTGCCGCGATCAAGGCAAGCGCTGCGCCTGTTGACCCATCGGCTGCGCGCACTGAGAAGATTACGCTGGTCATCTCTGACATTGACAGCCGTGCGACGCCCTTCACCTTCTCATTCCAGACGTTACAAGCGAATGGTCGCCTGCCAGAGCTCGAGTCACTCATGTCTACATTCTCAGTAGCGCATCAGGCAGCGACGAATGGTGCCACTGCGCCTGTCGTGCCTCGCGTTGGCGATCTCGTGTCTGCTCGCTTCTCATCGGACAATGCCTGGTATCGCGCCAAAGTGACGAAGCATAACCCCCAGCGCAAAGTAGTGGCGCTGCTCTACATCGACTATGGCAACACTGAGGACAATGTTTCTTACTCGAGCCTTCGTCCTCTCGAAGATCGCTTCCGAAAGCTGCCGGCTCAGGCGCGCATGGGCATATTGAGCATGATCAAGCTACCATCGGTGTCGAGCGACTATTCAGAAGACGCGTTTGCGGCGCTGCGGGAATATACAGAAGGTCAAATCCTGACCGCCAATGTTGACTGGCACGACGTCCATGGCAGGCTGGCGTTGACGCTTTACTCGGGCAAGGCGAGCGACCCGAGTCGGTCGATCAACGCGTCACTGCTGCGCGAGGGCCACGCGACGGTCGACGAAATGGCGCAGCACAAGAACGCATACCCGGCTGCTCTCAAGGCCTACAGACAAGCTAGTGAAGAGGCGCGTCGTGCTCACGCTGGTCAATTCGAACACGGCGACCCGAGTGAAGATTGATTCGCAAGACATCAACAGTTGGCGCGAAGCGATCAGCATACCGCAAAGCAAAATGCATCTCGCAGAGTACCCTGGCGCTACTGCTTCTGAACGACGATGTGCCTCTTCCGTTCTGCTGTCGGGAGCTCAGCAGGCAGGTTTCGCGGACGGTGAGCCTGTCGGTTCTCTTCCTTGCGTTTGCGAGCATCGACCATGTCCCGATCGAGCCGCGTCGCATTATGAATGGCCTTGGGGAGCATGCGCTGCCTCTCAATCTTGCCGACTTCGCCGACGTGTTGCCATTTGTCGCGAAGGGTGTCTCGGTATTGTTTCTTCGCGAGCTCCTTGGTCGAGCTGACGCCCAGCTTGTCTGATGCGCGAGCCTTCCATATCCTGAGATTGCCGTCGTCTGAGCCGGACACGATGAACCGGGTATCGAGCGTGAAAGCGGTTGACCATATTCTGCGGGCGCGCACAATGTGAGCGTGCCAGCAGGTAACGATAGCAGACCAACCTCTGCATCCTTTTGGTGTGATAGGTATCTCTCGCGCGACCTTGTCCGGCTTTCCATATTCTGACGGAGCGGTCGTACGAGCCGCTGACGAACTCGCGGCCAGTGGGCGACCAATCTGCAGACATGACTGCGCCTACGTGACCCTTGAAGACTTGTGTAGCGCTAGACATGTTGCGAATATCGTAGGTATACAGATTGTGATCCTCAGAGGCGATGAGTAGTACAGAGGCCTGCAAAGGATTGAACGAGAGACCATTGGCACGCATGCGCATGATAGTCTGTCCGGTCGCGGTGCCACTACGGAGATCATACAATGTCAAAGAGCGATCACTGCCCGTCGAGGCGAGAACAGAGGTCTCGGAGGGATGGAACTTGACGCTCGTCAGATGCTCGCCCGCTGCATAACCCTCGTCACGTTTGTTTGCCGATCTAGCAGACAAGTTGTTCGCGAATGAGAGCGTGGTGATGGGAGTCGTCTTTGATTGATCCCAAATGAGCACGCGATCCGATGCAGTAGCGAACATGGCCTCTCGACGATGATGGTCGACACCGTTGAAGCCGTGTGTGCCGGAGTAGACTTGCAATGGCCGAGGTGGCGAGTCGCTGCTGTTGTGCTGGCCAGCCGAAGACCAGAGCTTGACTGTCTTGTCGACGCTGCAGGTCAGAAATTTGCTCTCGCCGCGAACGTGGGAGCCGTCATCTGTGTCTGGCAGACCGTGAAGACGAGCCAGCATGCGATCGTCATCATCGGCGGCGTCTTCGTTCGCGTCGTCTTGCGCTCCGTCTGGATCGTCGTGCGAGGTGGAAGCAGTCGGCAACTGACGACGCGATGCGCCGTGTGCAGGCGGACAGAAGGAGATGCCTCTGACGATTCCCTTGTGGGCGTTCTTGACCGTGAGAAGAGAAGACTGTGTTGGGAGCGACCAAAGCTTGATCTCACCCTCTGCGCCGCCGCTTGCCATGACGCCCAGTCTTTCTGGATCGCGAGCGAGAGAGTAGACACCCTCTGCGTGGGCTTCTAGTGAAGCGACAAACGGTTTGGCGAACATCCTGTCCATCTTGGCTGCAGTGAGTGCTCGCTGGTACTCCCTCTGCCTGCCAAAGGGATGCTGAGATGGATCAAGGTTGCGTTTTGTCGGCGGAGGTGCGCCCAATGTTGCCGGCATGTGATCGTCGAGCGAGCGCTGGATGACTCGTACCTTCTGCAAGGGTCAGCCGTCCTCATCAGTCAGAGTGCCGACTGCGAGCAGGGACAGCGCTCACCATGTTGCACGGTCTCGAAAAGGGGCGAATCAGCAAAATTGGACTGACGTCGACGGTCGCGAGCAAGTTGCGCAGGCGCAAAGCTCCACGCTTCGGTCCACTGCCAACGTTTCAGCGGCTAGGATGCTCAGCCTAGGCAGGACAGCCGTCGCTCGGAGCGGCGTGCGCACGTTTGCCAGTACCTCCCGAGCCTCGTCGTCCCTGTAAGCAAGCCTGCAGAGCTGGCAAGGCAGCTCGAGCCCGCCCCGCGCCTCGAGTTGCCTCTCCACCAGCAAGGAGCTCATGGTCTTCGCTGTCCTCAGGTACGAACAGACGATTGCCAACATCCGCATCCACAAGGACACAAAGGTGCTCTGCCAAGGCTTCACGGGCAAGACGGTCAGTGGCTTTGCCAGACACGAACGTACCGCGCCCGTCGCTGACAGTGAGGCGTGACAGGCGACGTTCCACTGCAAGGAGGCGCTCGACTATGGCACCAAGCTCATCGGAGGTGTATCGCCCAAGAAAGCAGGCCAGGAGCATCTCGGTCTGCCCGTATGGGGCAGCGTCAAGGATGTTCGTCGCGCTGCTTGCGCTTGGCTCCTCTTCATGCGCTCGGGCTGAGCTGTGTGGACAAGACAGGCCGTCAGAGAAGGCAAGCCGGACGCAACAGTACTCTACGTTCCGCCTCCGTTCGCAGCGGACGCGGTCATCGACGCCATCGAAAATGAGATCCCTCTCATTGTCACCATCACCGAGGGCATCCCACAGCAAGACGAAGTTCGAATTGCTCAAGTCCTCCGTAGCCAGACAAAGTCCCGCATGATCGGTCCCAACTGTCCCGGTATCATGGCGCCTGCTTCCGGCGGAGGCTGCAAGGTTTGTGTATTGCCGAGGGCAAAGAGTGTCGCGCCCAGGCTGATGCTGACTCGATCAGATTGGCATCATGCCTGCCAATATCTTCAGCCCGGGCTGTATCGGCGTCGTCTCGCGGTCGGGCACGCTCACCTACGAAGCTGTTGACCAGACAACAAAGGTGGGACTCGGCCAGACACTCTGCGTTGGCATCGGAGGCGATCCTTTCCCAGGCACCCAGGTGAGCCAGCCCAATGTCTGCTATGCGCAAGCTTATCGGCATGACAGCACATCGACGTTTTGAAGGCCTTTATGGAAGATGAGAATACAAAGGGTATTGTGCTCATCGGCGAGATTGGGGGTACGATGGAAGAGGAGGCGGCTGCTTACCTCGAAGAATTCAACAAGTCCCGAAGCGTACCCAAGCCCGTCGTCGCCTTCATTGCTGGCGTAGGTTGGACTTTCTCTGGCTCGTGCTCTTGCTGACCACTAGCTCGGCAGAGGACGGCGCCGCCCGGTCGAAGAATGGGCCATGCTGGTGCGATCATCAGCGGTGGCAAAGGCGGTGCAGACGACAAAGTAAAGGCGCTCGAGGCTGCAGGCGCCTTTGTCTCGGACAGTCCTGCCAAGCTGGGAAGCATCATGCTCAAAGCCATGAAGGATGCAGGACTGGCATAGACGAGCTCTCGTGTAGAAATTGCATAGGTACAAATGACAACGAATGGGCCACCTGTGCCTTCCCTGATGGGTCGCGCAAGCGGCTAGCTGGGTGGCAGAAAGTACGGATGGCGCAACGCTTCTTCGCACGACAGCCTGCGCGATGGGTCAAAGACGAGCAACTTTTCTAATAGATCGATCGCCAGAGGGTGGGCCTTGGGATATAGCTGAGCAAAGGGTATCTTTGGCGTTCTCGGGAACGGACGCATCTGGATCTCAGGCTGAAAAATTGCTCATTAGCTGCCCGTAATGGCACGACTTGCGCGCGGAGACATACAGATTCGTTAGCAATGCGCATCAGTGTCGCTTCATCCGGCGTGCCGACGATGCGCAGGATCTGGTTGAGCTGATCGTTGTTGTCACGGCCTCTGAAGAGAGGCACGCCAGATATCATTTCGGCCATGATACAGCCCGCGCTCCAGACATCAATAGAGGTCGAGTAGGTCCTGCTACCCATGAGCACATCCGGGGCGCGGTACCAGAGCGTGACGACCTCGTTGGAAAAGGTGTTGACGGGAATGCCGAACGCTCTGGCGAGACCAAAGTCGGCCAACTTGAGCTCGCCGCGCTTGTTGATGAGCAGGTTCTGTGGCTTGAGGTCCCGATGGAGCACCCGGTTTTCGTGACAGAAGGCTGTGCCTTTCAGGAGCTGGTACATGAAGGAGCGCACGACGCCTGGCTCGAGCGCGCCTCTGTCGCCCTGGGAGTCCATGTACTTCTTGAGGTCGAGGTCCATGAACTCAAAGACGAGCATGAGTTTTGATTCTGTGTGATAGACATCGTAGAGCTGGACGATGTTGGGATGCTTGAGCTCCTTCATGAGCGAGATCTCTCGGATGGCCGTCGAAGGCGTGCCGTCCTCTGCATCAAGATGGCTATGCTTGTCCGTCAGCCAGACTGCCAGCGAGCGAGCCTGGCCTGTCTCGCTCACATCTCTTTCAAGGCGACAATCTCGTTCGTCGTGCGGCTCTTGCCCTTGTGTACGGTCGCATAGGTACCCTGCAGTGACGCAAACGCATCAGCGTCGAACGCGAGTCAACATTCGAGCGCTGTGCACCTCGCCGAGCTTCTCGAGCTGGACATAGCTGCCAGGTCACTCCATCAGTCGATGATCAGTCCGACAAGCAGCACACCACGCACTTCATGACCAATCTAGCGTCGTGCCAGCAGCGGCTAGCGAGTCGACGAGTCGAGCAACGATTCTACGCGTCGCGCTTGCAAGCCTACGGCTACGACGACGAACGGCCTTTGCTACCTGGCCTTTCGACTTTCAATGACCACGATGGCATTCCCCTCCTCAGAAACATACTCGTCGAGCACTGCCTGCACTCGCACACGCTTGTCATCGATCACGGTGATCACTGATCATGCCTGCCCTCGACGCGTGCCCGCCCGGCACATGGGCTCGCCCGTGACCTCCCGGCAGTGAGATGATGCTCGCCCAGACTTGAACGAGACGGTCATGTCCGAGCCTATTGACATACCATGTCAGACTGCGAGCCAGCTGGACACTCACCATTTGCCCTTCAGAGCGAATCCACAAGGGCCACCCTCTGCAGGCGAAGGATATCTATTCGGTCCGGCGTCAAGCGACTCGGAGCAGAGATCCGACCTCAGCTCAGCTCTCTGCTCGATCAGCTCAGCTGCCGCTCATCCGAGTTTGGCGAGCGAGATCGCGACGTCCACTCAGGCCAGCGAGCTCTCCACGCCGACGACTGAAGTCATCGATCTTACTACCGAATCCAAATCGATCGATATATTGGGAGAGCACGGACAAGCGATGTCGGACGTCTGCGCGCCTACTGAAGCAATAGCGGGTTATGAAAATGCAGTGATCACAGCCGCGCGGACTGCGCCTCCGCTTGCACAAGCTTCGACGCCTGCGGCCGGGTCCCCTCTACCTTGCACACCTCCTCGGCCTGTCTGGCCTGGCTCAAGTCGATGGGTAGATGGCAAGGGCCGTCCGAGCTCCCCTCGCGGCAGCCCGGATCGTGCAGCGCGCACGAGTAGTCCACAGAAGCTACATGATCGATACGAGAGTCTCTCAGACAGCCCTCGACCGCCGAGCACGCCCAAGCGACAGTACGCGCTCAGGGATGACCTATTCAACCAGGTCTGGGACACTTCACCCCATGGTCACGCTGCATCGCGCAAGCTGCCGGGCTTGACAAGGTCTCAGCGTGCCAGCGATGCAAGGCAGAGATGGCAAGCAAACGAACGCGATCGCCTGGCACGCAACATTGCGCAGCACGAGCGGCGCAAAAGGGCAGTCGCGAGAGCTTTAGTCCTCTCAGTGTTGCTCATCGGCGCATCGCTGGTCATACTATCGCGGATCGACACATCATCAATAGACACTGTCCTTTTGCCTCATTTTCATGCGCGTCGCAGCCAGTCGCGTGCCGAAAATGCCAGCGTGGGCTACGAATGGCTCAATCCGGAAGTGATAGACAGTAGCACATATCAAGAAGCGATTACGCAGTCGGAGCGAGAGATCGCCTTGGCCTACCAGCTCGTGAAAGACGACCTAGGTATCACGCAGGCCAATTTGAGCAGCGATACATTTGGCATCCTTCCCCTCGCCGCCATCGACAATTATGCTCAGCGCATGTACGGTCTGCCCTATGGCGTTCGAAGTGGAATCATGGTGGTGTGTCGTCCGATCGGATGACGGCAATCTATGACTGACTATTTACGCCCAGCAAGGACCGCATTCGTCTGTTGCAGGTATTGACGATGCTACGACGAAGCCTACCGCTAGTAGTGACCAGTCGACCAGCTCGGCTCGTCAAGCGCACCGCACGCATGCACATGTACATAGCCACAAACATCACCATCACCATCAGCATGGTCACCCGAAGGACGCAGGCGAAGAGGTGAGTACCTTTCAGCCATATGCTACCATTCTGTCTCATGCACTGCATGTAGATCTTGTGGACACTCAGATGGGATAAGGATGATCGTAGCAGCGCGTTGCGTAAACGAGACCTCGCCACGAGCACAACTGTCGTCACTTGCACTGTCCCATTTCCCAGCACACAAGTCATCGTCGAGAGCGTGCCTGCAGCAACGGTGACGACAATCAAGACACGCAATATTTTTCACACGTCGACAGTGACGGAGACCGACCAGGATACTACGACAGTCTACAAGACTCGCCTGACGACAGATAGCGTCACAGAGACTGCGGTCAGAACGACGAAGCAGACCATCCATGCAATTATCGTCCATACCAAGACCGTCACAATTCAGCAGGCTGAAGCGACAGCGGCGGCTTCCATGACCTCGTCGATCGAAGAGCAAAACGAGCAAACGACAAGCTCTTCCTTCGACGCTGAGGAGGAGCCAGAGACCGTGTACGAGACGGCTACGGCAGTCGTCACCGATCTCTCCTACGCCACAGTGACGATGGAAGCTGATTCGACACATCGCATACACAAAGAGGCGCGCGAGCGAGCCAGGCAGGCGCGACACGCTCAACACCAGAACAAGCATCATCATGATCATTCACCTTCTGGTGGCGGCGTCAAACGTCGTGCGTTACCGAGTGGAACGACAGACACCAGCACACAAATATGGCGTATTCAGAATGCGAGTGGCGGTAGAGATCTTGCCTATATATTTGGCTATTCAGATGGCTGGCCCTGGGGCAACACGAAAGTCGAGTTCGTCGAGAGTGTCGACCCCGCGATACCTCTACATTTCGAGCACCTTACCAGCTCGTCTCTCTCTCAGGCAGCCTTTGCTTCCGGCTATGCGCCTTCAAGCGTGGACGCGATACACTCGACTCGTGTCATCATTATGACGGTAGAGACCATACTGCGCGCCCGCTCTCTCGGTCCAGGTCAGCATCGCGATTACTCCGCTGAAGTCATTACTAGCTCATCGACCGCTCACGGCTCGATTGCTACGTCGCATTTGGAAGAGCAAGCAGCGACATCGAAAGAACCAGCTCGACAACACGATGTCATTCTGGAAGCGCGACCGGATAGCTCACCGGCCCGTAGTCTGTCTGTGGGATTGGAACAAGCTGTTGGCCTACCTGGTACCGTCCGAAAGATATCAGCACAAACGGAGCTAATAGCTTCGGATAGTGGCTCCCCGCAGTGTATCAACCATGCGGCTCACTTACGACGTGCTCTTTCCGGAGACCTTTAACTTTCGAAGCCAAGGGAAGCTTCCTGGTCTTCACGGAAGGCTAGGTACCGCGAACTACACGATCAGCCCGACAGTGCGTGATCTGCCGTCCCTCAAGTGCATGTTTTGAAGGGGTGCCTACAGTGGGAAAAGAATGGGACTGGTCTCCTTCTGATCGACGCAGAGAATGTCCGGCAATCTGGACAAGCTTGTAAAGCGCCTCCGCAAACGGACTGCAGATGGAAGGGCAAGATCTACGCGGGCATCGGAGCATGGTCGTTCCCTGCCGGTTCCTGGAGCAAGCTCGACATATGCATTGCTCAGACTTCGCCTGCTTCGATGAAAGTATCCATCTTTGTTAATGACAGTACGAAGCCGTCCCGTCGATCTGGAGATACTGCTGATGAGCACGTAGCTCTCGCAACGCAAGCTACAGACGTGACGTTTACATCGTCCCAAGCGACAGTGAAACGCGAGACAGGCAAGCTGAAGTCACAATGCAGCGCGCGAGGCTGACTGCAAACAGACGAATGCTTTGAATGTCAAGGTCCTCGCGCGCTCGAGAATGACTTGCACGACACGCTACTCAGTACACAAGGGTCATCCGAGGTTGCTCAGTCGACTCTCAATCCGACCCGCTGCTATTTTCAAGGCATCTCTCTCATGCTCTTCGGAAGTGGCTTCTTCACAGGCTTGAGCGTCCAGAAGGCTCGCGAGACGCTATACCTTGCAAAGTGAGTGAGACATTGACGCACTACGGTGTATGACGCTCATGCATTTGGTCGTCGTGACAGCTTTGCTTTGGAGTTGAGCAATGACTGACAGTACAGCAAGCTCAGGCGGAGACGTCGATGTAGCTAGCACTGGTCATGCGGCCGCGCACCGCCGAGCCAAGTGTGCTACGCGAGCGATGCATCAGCGGATAACCTTATGAGCGTTGCTGATGATGAGCCCACCCGATAGCGCTGGCTCTGATGCGAGTTGAGAAGTTCTTGGAAGCTATCTCATCATCGCGAGGGGGACCGATGGGCTGGCGCATGGCCTGGCAGGCATTGCGCGGGCCGCCAGAGTGAAGGCGCTGCATGGGGCCGGACGGCTTGCGTTCTGAGGGCTGCGCGATGGGAGGCGAGACGCGAGCGGGATGACCGGCAGCAGTGTAAGGGGGCGAAGGCGTTGCGAAAGAGTGTGGTGGACCGTGTTGGCCGTGGTAAAGTTGGCGAGGCTGACGTCGGGCGGGAGTGACGTGTTGGGAACCCGCATAGTACTGCTGCGGCTGCTGCGGCTGCTGCTGTTGCTGGTAGTGCTGCTGGTAGTGCATCTGCTGGATGAGCATCTGTTGATACTCGAGCTGCTGCATCTCCCATGCGGCATGTTGAGCCTGCTGCTGCATCTCGAGCAGCATCTGATGTTGCTGTAGCGCGTAATAGTCGATCGGTCCGTGCAACTGAGCGCTGCCATTGGCAGGCTGTCCCGGGCGAGTCTGCTGTCGGTATGCCATCTCACTCGCTCGCTCGCTCGTTAGCGGGTTGCAGGTAGGTCAGGCCAGGTCTGATTCGGTTGTGATGGCCGGTCGGATCCAACGTTGGCCGGTGAGGGTTGCAAAGGGCGAGCTCTGCTCGGGACAGGCGAGTCAGCGCGCGCAGATGGTCCAGTGCCACACGCTGGCCTGCTCACCTCGCAAGCTCAGTCCAGCTGAAGTGAGTATGGCCGTGTTGATCAGTCGATGCGTCAAAGCGTGGTAGCGGTCGTCAAAGGCAAAGGTGGGCGACCAGCGAAAGGAGAAAGGCGAAGCTGAAGTACAAAGTATCACAATCCGAGTCCTACCCTGCGTTCTGTCCGACAATGCTCGCCTCGACACGGCCTTTGAGGGCGTCACACAAGCCACGACGAGTCGACGACCGCCGAACGACGCGCCTCGACCGACACCGTCAGCGGACCCCCTCAGCAGTCACCGCCGAGCGCCCGCTGCTTGTGATCAACACAGCAGATCGACGGCGAGTGGATCGATCTCGACGGCCATGAGCACCACGGCAGCAGACTACGTCACGCCAGTGTCATCCCTAGCGGCACTCGACCGCATCCTCGACAAGGCAGCTTCGAGAGCGGTCATCATTGACTTTTATGCGGTATGCCGCCTGTCTCTCTCACTGTCCATGCGTCGACGGCTAATTGAGGATCTCTAGACGTGGTGCGGGCCCTGCAAAGTCATTGCGCCCGCCTATCGCGATTTGGCCAGCAAGTACCGTCAGGCGGTCTTTCTCAAGGTCGATGTAGACCAAGCAAGGGACGTGGCCTCAAAGTACTCCGTCTCCGCTATGCCGACGTTCATCGTCCTCAAGAACAGAGCAAAAGTCGACCAGGTGCGGGGCGCAGACAAGGCAGCACTTGAACGAGCGATCAAGAAACACGCATCCGGCGAGGCTCAGTCTGGTCCCCACGCCTGGGGACAGGGTCAATCGCTCGGCAGCAGCAAGCCCGTCTCTGCACCTACTGCAGACATAGCCAACAAGATCAAGCTCAATCTCGGCGGGCTTGACGATCATGAAGCTATGGGCCTCGGCTTGCTCGCAATCTGGCTCGCCACTGTCTGGCTCTTCGCTTGAGCTTTGCCTTTTCCCTCGGTCCTGTTGCAGCAGTCGTTCTGTCTAGATGTTGTACATTGTATGAATGCGTCTATGCGTCGTCCAAAAACAACAAGCAGGGAAAGGTGGAACAAAGTGCCAAGGGACGGCCTTATCTCGCTCTCGATCGGATGGATCTGTCGTGAGCTATGAGTGATTGGAGCAGCAGCTTAACGGGAGACGACTGACTTGTACAGGCTCGATTGCTCGAACGTCCAGTCGGCAGGAAGCTCAAGGAAGCGGTGATCGAGAAGCTTTTGCGCAGTCGGGCGCAGGTCAGGATTACTGACCGCAAACGTCAGGGCGCAAACCGGTAGATAGAGCTTGCTCACATGATGAAGCACTGCGATATGAAGTGAGCCGACATTGTCGTCAACTTGACGTCGCGTGGAATCGGTGGCGCCAGTCGTTCGGCGCCGAGCTATATGAACACTGTCAGCCGAGCTCATTTGCTCGCATAAAGGAATAGCCTACTTTGAACATGGCAGCAACCGCTTGCTCGCTGTCCCATGGCCGTCTGCCCGAGAACATCTCCAAAGTCACGCAGCCAAGGGACCACGTGTCACATTTGGCACTGTAGCCCTTGTTGGCGCTATGCACGACCTCAGGCGCCATCCAGAAGATGGAGCCTTGCATCATCGTGTTCTCGTCGGGGTCATAAATTCCGCTAGTGCTCTTCTTGGAGATACCAAAGTCGGTGATCTTGCATGTTCCATTAAGGTCGAGTAAGATGTTGTCCGCCTTGAGGTCTCGATGGAGAATGCCGCGGTCGTGAAGGTACGTAAGCCCTTCCAGGATCTGCATTGTGAAGGAGACGATCACCGGTTCTTCGAACTTGCCGTGCTTGCGCAGGCAGCGGCCGACTGATCCGCCCGGGACATACTCCAGGAAAATACTGATAAAGTCTGTCGTTTCCTCGAAACCGAGGTACTGGACAATGTGAGGATGATCGAGATCCTTGAGAGTCTCAATCTCGAAACGCAGCGCTTGTATCGAGGAAGCTTGTCGTCCGTCATCTGCATCAGATGCTTTGGGCAGCGCGACCTGCTTGACAGCCAGCATGTCGCCCGTGGTGGCATTGAGCGCAAGATAGACGGAACCGAAGGAGCCTTTGCCAATGAGATCGCCCTTGACCCACTTGAATGAGACTGCTCGCCTTTATCAGCCAGTGACAAAGCTGCAGATGGCAGACAAATACTTACAATTCTCCGGATTCTCGCTGTCTGCTCCCGCCGAAGAAGCAAGTGCTGCCATCTGGCTGGGCGTGACTTCTTCAACACGGTTGCCCCACAAACGAGTACTTTTGCGTCGCAGGAGATTCGCGTTGACATCTTGAGCAGCTGTCAGGCCAGGCTTGGAGCCTCGCCCACGCTGTAGCACCCTGCGACGATCCTGAGCCACGACCCGGATAGACTTCTTCGACCGGATGCCGATGCCGGGTGGCAGCGATCTGATAGGTAGCTCGCCTTGTGCCGAGCTCGATGAGCGAGGCGATTCGCCTGCACCCGCTGCGCTGTCAACGATCGGTTTATCGACGTCGTGCTCTGGGAAGTAATCCTCGATGTTATCGAGAATTTGAGTGACCGCAGGTCGGTGAGCCCAGTCGTCCGGTCGAGCGAACGAGTTTCGGCGGGCGATAGGTGAGCTTGTACGTAAAGCACGCAGACGAGTGTTGTTTCGAACAGAATCAGCTGGACCGCTAGGCAAGCCTTGATTCCTATCAGACGTCTGCGAAAGAGGTGGATGTGTACCACTGAGCTGACTTGCTCCCGCATGAGCTGCTGAAGGGACGATCTGGAGTCGTGAGAGTTGTGGTCGGCGTTTCTCTGAGCCAGTCTCGCTCTCATCGGGCTGCGCGGATGTCGCGCTGCTGGAGAGACTGCTGCTTGCGATCATCGGCATGCCCCAAGTGGCTGCCTCGGCATCGATGTCATCATCATCACTCAGATCCGTTCGTGATGGCCCACTGAGAGCTGGGCTACTGTTTGCCAGCTGCGGCGAGCGGTGTTCTGCTCTTGCTTGGGCAGGCGACTCCTGTCGCGCTGTTCCTGCTTTGTAGTCATTCCGACCGCCGAGCCGTACGGTGCCTCCCTCGTTATCGGCCTCTGCTGACAGGTCGCTCGTTGTCGGCTTCCATGTCGCGGTATCACCGTCCGCAAAGTCATCTTCCCATAGATCCGGCGCGGTCGGCGAAGGCAAGCGCAACTCGGTCGGAGGCGCAGACGGCAGGGAGTGCTCATTCGCTGGTGTGAGGGGCTCAGAAGTAGTCGACCGAGTGCCTGCAGAGTACAGACTGATCGGCCGCTCGGCGTCGGTGTCGCTTGAGAGGTCGTGGACATACTGAGCTGGCTGCGAGGGCGGAGATGATCCAGAGGATAGACTTGAAGTCGTCACTGGGCTTGACCGCATAGCCATACTGGGACTTCCCGCACCTCTGCCCGCCTGTAGCACCTTTGGATGGCTCATGATGTCCTGCCGCCTGCGCTCGCGAGCCTCGTCGCGAGCTTCGTTCGGACTCGTCTCGGTGGGGACAAGATGACGCCTCGGACTGACGAAGGACAGATCCAGATCGTCACGAGGGTGCTGCTCGCTGGACAAAGGCGTGCTGCGATCTGGCTGAACCATGTACTGATTTCTTGGGGGACCAGTGTAGGGCGCGCCAGACCCAGACCGAAGAGCGTTGGCGCTCTTCTGTTGCTGTTTGGACTCTCGCAACGCATGCTGGAGCGTCTCGCCTGGTTTCAGTGGGAGTTGGTCGTGCAGATCAATCCGTTTGGTTCTTGCCGGTGATTGCTGAGCTATGAATGGCTGGCCAGGCACATTTCTGCGCCCAAGATCGATGGAGCTCATGCCTACCTGAGGATAGTACTCATTGCGCTGTCGCGGACCGACAGGCGGGGGCAAACCGCGATATTGGTCTTGGCTGTAGCTATGCTCCATGGCTTGCTGACGGGGCGGCCCTGCGCGAGCTTGCAAGGGAGCCGTATCATACCTTCGATCTCTCGAGGATGGCGGCGGTACGCTATGGCTCGGTGCAAACGGAACGCCCTGTCTCGAGTTCCCGCGATGATACTGGTCCGGTTCATGACCAGTGGGTGTTTGCAGCCGTAAGCCAGACCAATGCGGTCCTTCTTCATCGTGCTGGTTGCGAGGCGCAGGAGCTGGCGGTACTGTCTCGGACGCATCAGCCATTGAATGATCAGCTCTTCCGTCGAGTGCATACCTTTGCGTGTCTGGGCTGGTCGCATACGAGGATCGTGATCATACTGCTGACTGTGGGCGGCAAGAATATCGTCGCGCGTCAGGTCGGTTGAGCGACCGCCAGAGGTCCTCCTGGTGTACTGCTCCTGGCGACTTTGATCGTAAGCATACTGACGCAGGCGCTCGTCTGGGACGGCAGGTGGCACGTTACGGCGCTCGCGTTCGCTTCTTGCCGAGCTCGCGGACGATCGTCTGTCGGTCTCGAGCAAGGGCGAGGGCATGCTGGGCGAGGTCGAGGTGGGTAGCTGCTGGCCGTCGCTCGTGCGCCCCCGAGAGGGCCCAGCTTGCTGCTGAGGCTGACGTGCGGACGAGGAAGAGCCGTAGGAGTGCATGGGTGCGCTGCGTGCGGCAGAGTGCTGTTCATCTTCGCGGGCCGGATTTGGTTGGAGAAAGAAGTTCTCGAGTAACTGATCAGACAGGGCAGGCGGTTTGCGACTCGTGCGCTCGTTGTTAGCCGAGTTGGAAGTCATGCGGTCGCCAGAGGCAGACATGGCTGCAGTTGGCTGGATGCGCCGTTCGTTGGGCGCAGGCTTGTTTGCGGCTGTTGACACGGAGACGGCTCTGTTGTAGGCGGCAGAGATGGAGGAGGTCTCGTAGCCAAAGGCCTGCAAGCTCTTGACCATGAAGAGCGGCGGGGCCGGTGCGTTTGCAGACTCGAGACAGATGGACCAAAGCTGAGCTGATGACATGGCAGTCGGATCAGCGGACTGTCCGATGCGTGCCTTGTGGATCGTGCACTGCTCATAGTCGTCGTCCTCTATCCTGAGCCTGGACAGCAGTCGTTCTCTGACGGCTTCGGGGCTTGGCAGGCCGGAGAGATCGACTGTGGTGAGCTGCTCGCTGTCCTGAGTGACGAGCACGATGGAGCCGTCCGCGAGGCGATTGCTCGGCTGGCTGGATGCCATGCTGCCGGTCAACAGAGTGGACGAGGAGGGAGTTGCGCTCGCACTGGAAGCGAACGAGCTGGCGCCTGCCTGTTCGTCCACGCTGGCGCTGTGCTTCCGCAGTAGACGACGTCCCCCGGCAGCGTCGGTACTCGCTGCCATCGTCTCAGGCCATGCTTGGCGGGAGACGAGGCGAGGAGACGGAGGCCAAGGCGGGCGACGGGCGACAGGCGACAGGCGGCAGCAGCGCGGCCAGCCAGCGAGACTGGGGAGAGAGCGAGTGACCGCCGCTCCGATCAAGGGAGCATGCCATCCGATGGGCTGCCGGAGGAGCTGCTGCGGTCCGGCACAGACGATGCGATGTGCGTACTTGGCCAGTCCAGCGACGCTCGAGCTCATGGCCAGCCGACAGCGAGGCGGCTCTCGTGCAGCTTCTTCGCAGACTCACACAGGCAGACAGCGCAGCGCAGCCAGCGCCAGCATCGACAGCCCGCACAGATGAGACCTCTCAATCGTCGGCACGGCAGGCTTGGACAGATGCGCTCCTGCTTCTCCTCGAGCAGGCACTCGAAGACGCACGAGCGACGCCCGTCTCAGTCGAACGACCACTCGATCGTCTGCCCGGCCTGCTCGCCCGCACCGTCATAGCTTGCGAGATGACCGACTTCGCAGCCAGCTCGGCCGGCCAGGCGCTCGTCGATGTCGTCTGTACACTCGACCATCTCCTCGAGAGCGCGCTCGCACGACAAAAGAGCTACATGGCACGACCAGAGAATGCCATCGACCTCGAGGGGACAGCACAGGCCCAGTCGAGCAGCACGATCTACGCTGCAGACAAGGCTCAGCTCGCTAGGCTGACCCGCCAGTGTCTCGACGCGTCTCTGATCTCGCTCGATGCACTCAAGCTGTCGACCGACAGTGCTGCCAAGGAAAACCTGCTCAACTCGAGTGGCCTGTTTGACTCTGCTCAGCAGCTGCTCTGGGCACGCGCAGAGACTCGCTTGCGGACTACACTGCTGTGCGTCTTCCGTCTGCTCTGGTCATGTACGCCAGCACAAGCTCATGCCTGCTCGTCGGGCATTCAGATACAAGCAGAAAAAGTTCAATCTACTGCGAGAGGAATCGGAAGGCTACGCCAAGCTCGTCGTCGAGCTCACCGAGTCCATGGGTCCTCCAGCAGACTCGCAGACAGCCAGTCCGACCGAATCAGCATCCGAAATGCTCGCTCGCGCAAGGACAGTCACTCGCAATGTCCAAGGTCTCATCGGCTTCTTTGATCTCGATCCCAACCGCACTCTTGACGTCATGCTCGATGTCTTTGGCGACAACCTCGTCCATCATTCAGACTTCTTTCGCGCCTTGCTCAAGCTGTCGCCTTGGCATACACATGCTGCTCAATATCACGATGAGCCACCGCCGCAGAATGTGCCGTCCGTGGCAAAGACTCCGCTGCGACCCAAGGGCTCTGCCCTCTGCGCACAGCTGATGGGCTTCAAATTTCAATACTATCAGGTCAGTCGCCGGTGGTGTCGTTGCGTGATATCACTTACGCTGCTCGTGCCAGTCGCCCTTGGCACCTTCAGACCCGCCGGAGCGCCTCTACATGCTTACAGCAATCTTGATCAAGGACGGCATCATCAGACTCGCAGATTTATACCCATACGTATGTTTCCGCGACTCGGCCTTTTGAGCGTACGCTGACAAGATCCTGGCCATCCGTAGCTCTCGCCGGACATGTCTGCTGCCGATAAGATGCGCTCCGACTACGAAAATGCCTTACTTGACCGCGTAGACGCTGCCAAGTCGAATGCGCTTGCGACTGCTGCGGCACTGGTGGACGACGCTCTTCCATCGAGGTCGAATGATGCAAACAGCAAAGATGCGGCAATTGTAACGCCTGTCGCGCTTCCCGTCCGCGAGCCGCCAAATGAAAAGCTTGGGCTACTTAGAGCGCTCTTGTCGATCGGCTGTCTGGAAGAGGGTTTATTCATCCTCGCCGACTGGCCCCTGTTCATCAACGCGCATCCCGATGTCGCAGATCTACTTCTACGTATCATGGACTACCTCGTAATGCCGGCCTATCGCAGCTTGCCACTGCAAGCGAACAGAGTTGATCGATCAGCATCGCTGGCAACGCCAAAGTCTCGATATTCGCTAAGTGAGCGCAGATTGATCCCACCTCATGGCCTGGTCAGCTACGCTCTCTCGGTGAGAGCCATCAACAATCCGCCGAAACCTGGGCAAGAATCTGTGTTCTTCATGCCAGATTGGTCGAAGATGCTGCGGCAAGCTGCATCTGCTGAAAATGTCCTTGATACTCTCTGGGATCTCCTCAAGCTCGTTGGCATCCAGCTAGGGCGACATCTGACCTTTGCAACGCGTCTCTGCCGGATCGCTCGGTATTGCCTGACTCACGAAAACAGCATGAGTGAAGCGCCCCGTGCGCAATGGCTAACGGTTATCCGAACCAGCCTGCTGCCCGCGCTCGCGTTATCGGACACCAATCAAGCATTCGTGGCAGAGGTCTGGATGGTCCTGCAAGTCTTCTCGTACGAGCAACGTTTTAGCTTCTATGGCGAATGGCGCGATCGATCTTACAAGACGATTCTCGAGCTCAGAGTCAAGCGAGCAGAAGCAGAATCGCAGACCAAAGCTCTGCTCAGGCGTCTATCGACCGAGAATGTCAAGCAATTCGGGCGCAGTCTCGCCAAATTAGCGCACTCGTCTGCCTGTATCTTGTTTCCGATAGCGCTGGGGCAAGTCCAATCTTACGATAACCTAATCGCGCCCGTTGTCGACGCAACGCGGTACATGACCGATCTCGAGTACGATGTGCTCACCTTTTCACTGATCGATGCCTTGGCGGACCCACTCAAAGCTCGCACAAAGACAGATGGAACGAACGTTTCTCTTTGGCTGCAAGGCTTGGCCAACTTTACAGGCAACTTATATAAGAAATGGAGCCGATGTGATCCGGCTCCAGTATTACGCTACATCGCCTGTCAGCTAGGCGAAGGCAATCCGAAAGACCTCATCATCCTGCGCGAGATGGTTACGCAAATGACAGGCATCGAAACCCAGCTTGATTTGACAGACGGACAAGTAGTTGCGCTGGGTGGCGGGCCGCGACTACGACAGGAAGTACTGCAGCCCTCGACATTGACTGTCACACGCACAGCGCCCAAGCGTAGCGCGACGAGGCTCTTGCGCACTTTGCAAAGCCACCGGCTGGATCTAGTCATGATGCTCCATATCGCTTTGCAACGGCAAGCCTGCATTTATGGCGAAGGCAATGACTCGGCGCATCTGAAATATCTAGGCAGCCTCTTCGACCAATGTCATACTGTCTTACTGCAGTATGCAGAATTCCTGCAAACCCAATTGAACGAGGCTGAATATGCAGAGCTCCTGCCATCCCTCGACGCACTCGTCGGCACATTCGACATTGATATGAGCATGGCGCTGAGCCTCTTGCGACCCAAACTTACCCATCTACTCGCGCTTGCAGCCCCTCGCCTCCCGGAGGTTGCGGCAGACGTGTCCATGCAGCTCGAGGAAAGCTCGACATCTGTCGCGCCGGTCGTCAACGGCGATACCGCCGAAGGTTTGACGACGCCTTTGTCTGCGGGCAAGACATTGGATCAGACTAACGACGACGCCACCATGGCAGATGCGGACAATGCCTCTGTGTCCGTCAACAGTATACCGGCGATTGCTGAGCCCAGCGAGGCCATATGGCAGGAGTCTTTGCAGCCATTCATTCTTGAAGCGGAAAGGCACCTACCGCGCACAGCCAAAGCATTTTTTGCGCCTGGCTTCTATGTGACGTTCTGGCAGCTGTCGATGTTCGATATCATTGTGCCAACTGCGTCATATGAGCGGGAAATAACTCGATTAAGCACAATGGGCAATGATGCCGAGCCCAAGACGCAAGCCAGACTGACAGAAATCGCGAACGGTTTACTGGCAGAGGTTGGCGAGCAGAATGCCTGGCGAAAAAGGACTATGAAGCGTCTCAACACCGAGAAGGATCACTGGTTCAAATCTATGCACAAACGGCAGAAGAGCCAGACCGCGCATCAACTCATGCAGATGTGCATCTTGCCTCGCGCTCGCATGTCACCTATCGACGCCGTTTTCTGCGCACAGTTCATCCGCACCGCGCATTCGCTTGGATCACGACAATTCCCAACGCTATCGCTGTACGATCGAGTCAGTCGGAAATGATCCGCGCCTCTTGAATAGCCCTGTGCTGACGTCGACGTGCAGATATTCGGTGAGTGGCTTGCTGGCGAGATCTGGACGTGCACAGAGTACGAGGTCCGCAATTACTGTAAGTACAGGCGCACGCGTAGCACAGACTCGCTGTTGACGCAACACAATCCAGCGCGATTCCTCGCAGAAGTCCTCGGAACGCTAAGCAATTGGTTTCGCGATGCAAACCTTTTCGCAAAAGAAGCAACGGGCACGGATCTGCCCGAGGATCGGAAGATTACTGGTTTTGACCTCCATCCTGGCAAGCCTTTGCCGCACAACGATTTTCGCACAGTCTTCAACAAATGGCAGAATCGAATTCAGAGCGTATGCGTCGCCCTCTATCGTGCTTCTTTCTTCTGACCTGGTTGCACGATGCAGAGCTGCAAAGCTTGCTTGCTCTCGGGTGACTATATGCGCATTCGAAACGCACTCATTGTACTGAACAAATTGTCGCCTTCATTCCCATACAACCTCAATCTCTGCCAACTCATGCTTGCAGATGTCACTGAATTGTCGAAGACAGAGACCAGAGAGGACTTGAAGATTCAAGCAGCTGGGTAAGGGACCTTGACTCAAGTCTACTTTGCTGAGGTGTGCCTCTCAGGTATTCTGCCGTTCTTCAGAAAGCCCAACAGATAATGTCCTCTCGAGAGGCAAAGGCGCCAATCCCCGTGCGGCCTGCTGCTACGCCGCAACCCCCAATTAGCGGCACACCGTCAGCTCAGAACACGGTTGCGATGACCGCTGGTCTGTCAAGTGAAAGCCGAGCTGACGAGTTCGCCAAGCCGGCAGTCTCAGGCGACATGCAAGCAAGCGTTGCGATGCCCAGCGTCGAACAACGTGCTGTCAACGGAAAGGCAACAGACCCTGCAGACGACCGGAGCACGCCATTTTCACAGCTGACAGACAGTGCCGATCCAAGTAGATCACAGCCTGTTTCAGCGACATCCGAGAAGGCCTCCTACATGCCTCGCGACCGCGAAGCTGCCCTCAGGAAAGCTTCCGAAAACATGGGTAACGCTCGGACTGGCAGGGCAGCACCTGATAATGGCCTGCCAAATGGATCAGGCGCGCCACAGGAGGACGCAAAGCAAGACCGCGCGAGCTACAATGGCACGCCGGGCACATCTTCACGCGCAGCTTCGCCACGAAGTACTCACGGCGACAACACTGTTCGAGCCGTGCCCACAGGCCCTCGTCATAGCCGCACTGAGTCGGACGCTGCCAGTGAGGCTTCCTATGCCAGGGCGCGATCGAGCCGGCAGCCTCCCGCTGCTCCGGCGGAGCCTGGCAAACATGAGCGTGCACGATTGGGTCAGGATGAAATCAAGCCGGCTGAGCCATCGAGCCGGGCGCAATACATCAGCAACGGGCGCAGCGGCATGCACAGGTCGGCCGCTGATGGTGACTTTGACAGTCAACGCAATGGCGCGTCAAAGTCAAGTCGTACGGATTGGGACAGTGATCGCGATAGAGCCCGACGACGTGGTAGAGACCTGGAAGCAGACGACGGACGACATGCTTCCGCTTCATCGACGTATCGCCGTCCTGCTAGCCGGGACGATCGACAGCGTGATGCTGACGATGGTGAGCCACCGCCGCCCGACAAGCGTCAGAGGATGAGCGAGCTCGCCGCACGTCAACAAGAGTTACGTAGCTCACGTCGTGTTGATTCGGCACGCGACTCGCCAAAAGAACGCAGTGACCGCGACATAGAAGCGTCCACAGCAAACGCTGCAGCCGAACGCGAGCCGGGCAGAGTATCAATAAGAGGGCAGGCCACCAACCGCATTGCAGCACCGCTCTTCCCGCCGACAAGCTTAGCCGATGCGAGCGGTCAATCACGTCCAGATCGATCTGCTTCATCTCGAAGAGTCAGTGAACAGTCCGCGCGCTCTCAGCGACGCGCTACACCGACAGAGCGAGCTAGCAACTCAGAAAGCAATGCGTTGCGACTGAACGACCGGCTTTCGGAGCCCGGTCAGACTACTTCGCGTACGTCTAGGCTACACTCGAGATCACCGACAAACGACTCCGCAAGGCGTACAAGACGACGCGCCTAGGCAATGGCGCCTAAGAAGTGACAGCCATTCGACGCTGGATGAATCCCCTCACCTGCACATGACCGTCCTCTGTCGTAGCAAAGCGTCTGCTGCCCGGTTCGCCGAGCCAGAGGACAGCACCGATTTGTTTCGCGTAGTCGCAGACGAGATCGTAGTCGGCCTGCGAGCGAAAGTCATCGTAGAGGAAGCCTTAACGTTGGTGTCAGCGTAATGCAGAGCACGTTTAACAAGGAGCTGACAAGGCTCGGTTTTGACTCGGTTCTTCTCCCGTTCCCAAAGTTTGATCTGATCAACCACAGTTGGCGGTAGCAGCGGCTCCTGAGGACTTCGTTGAGCCATGGCAAGGATTGCGATTGGTGATAGCGAACCTGTTTGCGCATCTGTGGGTGTGCATGAGCGGTCAGGAATGCGATAATCTGGTGTTTGCAGGGTCAGCTCAGCAAAGGCGAATTGAAGCTGCAAGCAGACCTGATCAGACTTGATGCCGTTGGCCAAGCCTGCTTTTATGCTTTCGCGAGTGATCATGCCGACGACAAGTCCGGGAAAGCGAGACTTTAGCGCGACGAAAAGATTCAAGACAGCAATCTGCAGTGGATTCTCTATGGCTAGCTTATTCAGCGGCATGCATAAAGCACCAGATCGAGCACTCACGCGTGTAAGCGTACACTCGATAATTCGTCTCGAGTATGAGAAAGCCTTGCTCTTCTTCTGCTGTGCCGGCCTTGAGAAGAGGCGGCGCACCGGAGGTGAGGGTGACCGCAAGCCGCGTTGGGCTATAGTCACCGGACTGCAATGTGCAGATAAGCTAGCGGACCGAACAGAGCTCAGCAGATCTGCCTTATAGACGTAAACAAGGCCGAGTCCGCCGAAAGTCTTCAAGATGTGCAGCTGCAGCGGGTTGAGTGTCTCGCTCGAATATACCTGGCCCTCTTCTCAGACGGAGGTAGCTCGCGCGCCTACGAGACGTACCCTTCCAAGCTCCTGATTACCAATCTGGAACACGAGCGCAATCACCTCCTTGAGATCGGTCCCCGCATCCTGCGGCCTGTCGTGTCAGTACTTGCAGGCGATTGGTCGGACGAGCGAACCTCGGACAGCTTGAGATAGTGAAGCAAGAGGCTCCATAGCTGACTATTGACATCCTCGAGAAGAAATTGAAAGCCGAGCGAGGTGATCCTTCTTGTGTCCCGGTCACCGCTCGATAGTAGGCCTGCAGCAACAAGGAGATCTATGACAGCCTTGCTGGGCTGCTGTGATCTCTCTGAGCCGACGAGACAGTGCAGCAAGCTATCCCATTGATCTGTCGCATACTCGTCGAGTTGGGGTATAGACAGCGCGTTCTCGTCGCGGCTCGAGCGTGCAAACCAGCCGAACGAGCTATCCTTGCCGCTGTTCGATCGATTTGGGACTTGTCAGCATGCCTTTGCTGGAAGATGCCGACTTATACGCACGCGCCGGTCAGAGCCTTGCGCAGACTCTTTCGAAAGATGTGCGACAACGCAAACACGGTATTACCGGTGGGCTCGCCCGCGATGAGCTGGACGATGTGTAGCCGCTGTAGTGCGGCTATGGCAGTGTCTAGCTGCCTGTGTGACGCTCATGCTGCGTCAGTGTTGAAGCTTCAGGAAAGCCAGAGGGCTTGCCTGCGGCCCTCGCCACGCTTTGTATAAGTATGCAGATCCTGCTGGGGTATGTCATGCTCCTGCCAGAGTGCGTTGACGATGAGGTGCTGAGCAGTGCTCGGCAGCAGGCGGAAGACTGCCAAGCTTGATGACGGCAAGGCGTACAATCTCGAGAGCGTCGATTCGGGCAAAGAGTCCAGATAGCGATAGATGCCCGAAAGAGCCTGCTCGTCTGTGCTGCGATCGACGATGACACCGTCCATGGTGCTGTAGCAGAGGCACGATCAGCTCTGAGACGAGCAGGCATCGGACAAGGATCGCAAAGGGAAAACGGTCAGGCTGACGTGCAAAACTGGTGTCCTTCAGCGCTCGGTGGCCGAGCAATCGGAAGTCTAACATGCTGTATTGGTTTTGTGCCTCATCATAGAGAGTGTGCAAGTCGCTGTGCTGGCGGGGAGGACTCACATCTGGTCAATCAGGCTTGGGCCAAGAGCCAAGCTGGCGCGGGCTCTCAAGCTTCAAAGTCAGGCTGCCGTGTGTGAGCCCCCGGTTTGCGTGCGCCTTCGTCAGAGCTGGCGGGGCCATGAATGCTGCAGCACCGACCGATTGGCACACGATGCAAGCGTCCAGCCAGCCTCGAGTGCGCACGACGAGCTGACCGCACGAACGGGTGGCTGCAGTAAAGTTGTCGTGCCGTTCCTGACGGAGGAGCAGGCCGAGCTCGCACGCACGATACTGTCCATAGACCAAGAGATCAAGCCTTACATGATCAAACGCACGCTCACCGCCGCAGGTACATCGCTCCAGGCCAGCTTCGAAGCTCTCTCGATACGCCAAGCCCGGGTGTCGCTCAACCACTTTCTCAGCGACATCGAGCTCATCGTCCAGACCATCGACGAGCTCGGCCCATCGGCTGGTTTCAGAGATGCAGAAGAGCCCGACGAGCTTTTCAGATGACGCAGCAGCAGGCTCAGACTCTCCCTTTACGCCCTTTGAGCATCAAGTCGCTGGTCACCGCGACACCCTCTTCCTTGTCGATCAAGGGCGTACACTGCTCAAGCGATCGTCCGCTCGTGAGATACAGTTCTACACTGGGGACGGACCTCGTCTGAGCGCTCGCCTGATGGCGGACTGTCTACCTCGACTGCGCAACATCAAGCCGGCCTGGCTTGCTCATCTGCCTCCGCATCCTCATGTATGTCGGCGACGTCCGCGCAACGCTGCAGGCACGCTGACAAAGGATACAGTGGCTCGCTGTCGAGAATGTCCTGGCCCCATTCGAGCGGCCGAACGTCATAGACGTCAAGCTTGGGCAACAACTTTTCGATGAGGATGCGCCGCCTGACAAGCAGGCTCGTATGCTGCAAGCCAGTCTGACGACCACCTCGAGCTCGATGGGTCTCCGCATCACTGGCTTCAAGGCGAGCAGAGTATTCGCTGGCAGTCCTCAGCTATTGACCCGTGAGCGCGCAGGTGTGGGACGAAGCGCGTCAGGCATATGCTCTCACAGACAAGCAGTATGGCAAGCATATCACCGCAACCGAGCTGCCGACTGCAATGCAGCGCTTCTTCCCTTGCGCAGAGGAATGTCTGCCTACCACGGAAGCTGAGAAGTCTCACAGCCCGGCCGGAATGGCCGCCCGCAGTCTCGAATACATCCTGACAACGTTGATATCGAGACTGAGGCAGTTTGCTCGCTTGACAGGTCAGCTTGAATGGCGAGCGCGAGCCAGCAGCGTTTTGATCGCTTACGAAAGTTGTGGGACTGCATGGCGACAACAACTGCCTCACCGTCCAATCGAGACTCTGGCAGAAACCGGACAGCCTCACCTGCCTTGTTGCGATGTGCGCTTGATCGATTTTGCTCACACGCGAGCGACGCCGGGAGCAGGCAAAGATGTTGGCTTCGAGCTAGGTCTCTCGACATTGATCAGGCTCCTCGAAGACCGCCTTGCGGATGTCCAGATGCTCTGAGCCTCGTTGTCTGGACATGCACATTGCCGCACTATGCATCCCAACCGATCCTGAGCATTCAGATGGTGAACCCTAGATTGGCCATGCACTGCCGATGCTGAGCAATCAGCTCTTGACAGGCTTGCTCCGCCCTCGATCCAGGCTCAGGGGGTCCGTTGCGGAGGAAACAGTCGTCCCGAGGCTTCTTCGTTTCTGGACAAGCACAGCAACTGCGAGCGACCGATGGTCAGGACCTGTCAAGCTCCGTGTGCAGGCAGACTCACGGCTTGATACCCTGGGGGTTGAGAGGCGTGACAAATTTGTTGGCCTTCTCGATCGATGCGGTAGCGCTGTCGCTCGAGCTGATGGAACCCCGATCGCTGTCGCTGTCTCTGCTCGTGCTAGTCCATAGCCAGCCCATGTTCGATGCGAGCTTGTGACAGCGAGGAATCAGATCGCGTCAATCGTGCCGCGAAATGCCACGCAGCCTTTTGCCACCAGACATTTAGACTTGCACCTCCTCGCACCGTGCCTCCTCTCTGTACACGCACACCCGTCGCATCCTCTGATCTGGCCAGGAATGCATACTCTTGAAGCTCTTTCGACGGCCTGGCAGGCTCGCCGAGTTTTGCGCGGAATGACTTCAACCTTGTGGTCCATGAAGAGCGACGATGACATGCTGCATCTGCTCGTGCAACAAAGTCTGGCCGTAAGATCACGGATCGTCGGTTGCTCGTCCGGCACCAAGACGGCAGTCAGTCACGACACCAGCGAGCTGATATAGCAAAATTAACAATTGCACGATGCTCGACTTGTGTGCGGTTGCAGTCACTTTAAATTGCAACCGCACACGAGTGCGATAGCCGAAGACACTCTACTGCAGTCAACGGATACTAGAAGATGCAATCGAAGGAGCTGGGTGACAGTGCCCTCGAGTAGTCAAGTCACAAGCATGCCCTGGAGAAAGATTGCTACTCAGCCCCAAGCTGGTGGCCAGATCTCGTCTGATCTCTCGACCGATTTAATAACATGATGTTGCGATATGCTTGCAAAGAGGAATGTATACTACGGGTCACACACAGGCAGACAGAGCTACATGCATCTTTCCGCTATAAATATGAGAGTGCTTGTGCGTTCTGTGAATGAAAGTTTTGTGTGTCCGTAGCTGCTTCCCCTCAACATCACCACAGATCTACTGTGAGGAGGATCCCGCTCAACGGCATTCCGAAGGCGTCCGTCTGCTCGCAAGACTTCGAGTCCGAGCAAAGGTGGCGCCCGACGAGAGCAAGCTAGCACGTGATCAGCTAGACTACACAGCTCCACGTCATGACTACAATCAAAGTAAATCCAAATGCTCTCGAGCTCTGTCTAGTGGTCGTACAGAAGCTATCAATGTGTTACAGTCAGCGTGAGCGCGATCTGAGCAGTTTGAGCAAAACTGTCTCAGCGTTTACTATACGCTACGTAAGTATCGCTACAGAAGATTCAGCCCGTTTTTGCTCAAACAAGATCAAGATGCTCTATGAACCGTCGCATCGGTACCACTAAAAGTTTGTGACCTTGGTGACCTTTAGCTATCTGACGTGCACCAAGATCACGTGATGTTCACTTGACACGTGTATGTGATGGTGAGTTGACACGTGCTCACGACGCGGACTCGCCACGTGTCATCGAGCTGTCGATTCACCTTCGTACACTTGGCCAGCTCGAGGGCGATATCGCTCGAGTCTGGCTTCGGCAAGCGCCGAGCCTAGCCATTGGCGCCCGGTCGATCAGGATCTCGATCAATCAGGCATTTCAGCGCGAGGAAACACGAGCCATTTGAAGCCTTTGCAAATTGACCTCGAGCTCACTCGGATACAGTTGTGGCCCACCATTGGCGGATGCAGTGCGACTTGAGGTGTGCATCCAATTCATGGACGACACCTGATTGTGCTCATGCTTGCATACATAGTCTCACATGAAGCTAAGCCAGTTTGAGAGACGCCATGGAATGCTTAAAGCTCTCGTGATCGCATGCCTTTCCCAAGGGGTCCAAAACTTGAGCTAGCGATGTCCTATGCGCATAAGAAGTACGATTGCTCCTTTGACGACGGGTGTGCGCTCGCGTAGGGTGCCTCAGCAATCCGGCATAATGCACGCGCGCGAGTTGCCTTCACTTGGCCACGGGAAGGCGTGAGTAGCATGAGCGATGGGACCTTTGCGGACAATCAGACTACACAGCAGTGGCGATTTCCCGAGTTCCTCGTCCAGCTCGGCTCGCTAACGGCCGCTGGAGCTATGGACTACTTTGCCCTATCGCCATTCTGGGACAATCGCTCGAACAACCAGACACTGCGTATGCAGACGATGTACTCTGGCGTACCCCTCGTGAACGAAGCAGAGCAGCTCAAGTTAGTAGGCAGCCAGTGCCTGTTGCACGAAAGCCGGCTGGCCTGCTGACCGCCCCTGCCGGCACAGGCAATTCATCGGCATCGAATTTGCGATCGTACACGCACAGCCGCCGGGGCTATTCGTGATCCATAAGCGCAAGCGTACAAGCCAACATGAAGGTAGCACGCTCGACGATAGGTCGATGCAATAGCTCACCAAAGGAGCGCGCGCAGCTCAGCCCATTGCAGCGTATTATGTGCTTCACGGCAACGTCTAGTGGGTCAAGCACGCAGACCGGTCAACGGTGTAGGCTCACGAAAAGCGCAGCCAAGCACCAGATCTCTATGCTGTTCTTTCTAGCCGACTAGTAAGTCTGCATGGCGCTACATCTGCTCGAGCTGACCGGCTGACATTCTCATTCGCGAACTAGCTGGGCGCTGGGGCGAGGTTGAAGGATTCGTATGATCGCGTGCACAGCAACCAACCAGCGTATGATCCATGGGTGCAGTCGACTTATCCCTGGCGAATCGTCAAAGCCGAGCGAGGAGCGGAGCGGACTGCCGAGACATCTCCCAGCGGGCCTGCCAGAGACGCGCAGATCGAAGCAGAGTCTGTGTGACGTTATGCTATGGCTTGGCATGCTGCTTTTCGAGCGTGTCGAGCAAGTCGCTCCAGTGTACAAAGACTTGCGAGACGATCTCAGTCTGTGTCGCCTACAGTCAGCGCGGCGGAAGAACCCGAGTCGCACAACGCGCGCACATATCGATCGAAGCGATGCAGCAAGTCCGACAGACGAGCTTCCTGTCCTTCGCAGTTCCTCGTGCAGTCAGGCAGGTCTGTCAAGCCAAGTCGCTCAAGAGACGCTTTGAGGGGTGTATGGCCTAAATAGCGCGTCTCGCTTAGCCTCGAGTGACCTGACACGCTCGACAGCAGACGTACGGGCAAGCTGGCCTTGACCGTGCACGTCTCGAGATGCATGCGTCTCGATCTCGCGCAGAGAGCGCTCTGTTTCGCGCAAGTCTTGCTCCGCTTCGGTCACGACTGAGGCTTTGCCGGCGAGCGAAAGGCTTGCCGGCAGCTGCTGCTGCGCTGCAAAGCTGGCTTCAAGCAAGGCTGCGTTGCTGTCGTCTGTAGCTTATCCAATCCAAATCAGCAGGCAGAGGAGCCCAGACAGCAGCCGCGTGAGCGTACAGACGGTCAGATAGTTGGCAATGTCATCATGAGTACCAGCCAGCTCGGCCAGCTGACTTTGTAGGTCTGCTAGCGGCCTCTCCACTCTGCCCGTACCGATGAGGCTCTCTAATGCGCTCAATCTGAGCTCGAGCGCCAGCATGGCATCCTTTCGACTCATCTCGGCAGACCGAGCACCAGGCCACTAGCAGCGCGCGCATTGGCCGGCCGACTGCACGCACTCAATGAACGATGCCGCTGCCTACTACGCAGCAGCGACAGCGCTTACCATCCTCGCCGCCCTCCTCTCGAGCTATGTGTTGCGAAGAACGGCGCAGTCCGCAACAGCTATCAAGGCCGGCACCTCCAGACGCTCTGTCGTCCTCGCCGGGCCCCTTGAAGCTGGCAAGACAGCATTGTGGGCACACCTGGTACTAGGACCGGACTCCGTCGACGTGTCGGCGAGCCCAGTCACGGTCTCGTCGCTCCAGACCAATCAGGCAACGCTAAGAGGCTCCAAAGAGCCGATCAGGATCATCGACACGCCTGGCCATCCTCGTCTGCGCACGATAGAGCTCGTACAACATCTGCCTTTGGCAAACGCCGTCGTCTTCGTCGTCGATGCAAGCTCGAGCTTGACGGGCAAAGGTCTACGCGAAGCTGGCGAGAACTTGCATGTCCTACTCTCACTCCTCTGGCTGATTGCACAAAGCAAGTCTGTCAACAGGCAGCCCAGGCTACTCATTGCCCTTTCCAAAACCGACAAAGTCCCATCTTCAAGGGCAGAAGGGGCTCGATTGGCACTGCTCGAGCGAGCCAAGCTTGCAATCGCACGCGAGCTCGACAGACGACGCAACGTAGCAGCCGGCAGCGAGAGTCCCGCTCTGACGGGACCGCCGACCTTGACGAGGATCGAAGGCATGGATGCCGTGCCGCTGCCCACAGCATCCTTCCTTGCCTCACCGTTCGGCTGGCTTCGACGGCCCGGGCAGCAGGCAACCCATCTCGGCTCGCAAAAGGGGTTGCCTTCCGATGAGCAGGACATCCTTGCCAGCGACGCATTGTCCTTCGACGGCGAATGGAGCTGGCAGCTGGCGCGAGAGCGTCTCGGCTTCGACGTCGACTGGACAGACTACTCGCTGACTGCAGCCAGTAGTACTCAGTCCATCGTCGACTGGCTGCTCGCGACTTAGCAGGCCTTGATGGTTGCAATGGCATACCAGTTTCCTCGCTCCCAGCCAGCTTCGTCGATTTGCGCGTCGACCTTGGAGGACGTAATGGCGCGCTGAACAAGGTCGGACAGCTCGCCGTCTTCGAAGAGATGGTAAAACCGCCGATAGACCCGCGCCTCTGCTTGATCACTCTTGTTCTGCGCCACGTCAAGATGCCAAGGCACAAACACATCTGCACCCGCTGAAGAGAGAACTGCCTCGTCGTCGGCAGTCTGCAGTCGTTTCTCCTGCGCACCTGAGCTTCTGTACAGCTGCTTCTCGTCCTTCTGTTCCTTGGCCCAGACCTGGATGAAGAGCTTGCCATGGCGTTTGTCGAGGACACGCAGCATCTCCTGTGCGGGAGGCATAGTCAGATTGCCGTTGCATCTGTGCAAATCGATCGTGCTCACCTCAATTGCCGCTAGCCTGCGCTCCTCAGTCGCAAAGTGATGAATGGTCGCTATCGAGATGGCAAAATCCTGCGCTGACGATGAGCTCGGCCTGCTCAATATCAGCTTGGTCGCGTCGCTCACGATGCTGTCGTCCCTGAACGGCAGCGAAAGACAGTCAGCCCGCACTGCGTCGTGTCCGCGCTCTGCAGCAATGTCTAGCAGCCCTTGTGAGCGATCTGTGCCCAGCATGATCAGGCTCCCTGCCCTAAGCGAGAGATATTTGCCGTTGCCGCAGCCACAATCTGCGCCGATGCTGCTGAGCGGCAAGGTGTCCAGGAAGCGGGCGATGAGTGGCCATGGCTTGTAGCGAGTCGCCGAGAAGTGGGACGCTATCGCTTCGTAGACCGAGTGAACATGTCGCTCTTCAAAGTCCACTGCTGCTGCCGTCATGTCATCAACGTCACCGATCGACATCGAGCGCGCTTTCTGTCTCGCCAGCTTGCTTGCGCATCAAATCCTCCTCTTTGATCATGACGAGCTCAAATGGGGCCATGACAGCGGTCGTGACGCCGCTCAGGCGAGCACCCGGTGGCTCCTTCGCGCTGCCCAAGAGCACCTCGTCTGCCAGCATTGGCCGGCTGCGAACGGCTCTGTCCAGCACGACTTCTCGCGTCGAGCCGAGCCAGGCGACACTTCAATCGCTCGACACCTTTGCACCGGCCAAAGTCACCCTGCCCGCTGGTCCACTCAATGCGCAATATGGCTTCTTTGCAAAGACTGTCATGGCATCCCGTCTCCGCCATATCTACGCGCTCGCTTGGACTGGCACAACTTGTATGCTCTGGTTTGCCTCGCTCTCTTTGACCAGTCCGACGATCGCAATGTCTCCCACTGTACTCTTCTGCGTCTGGCTCACTTGCGTGCCCATCGTCGTCTTGCGCAAGTCTCAGCCGGAATGTACGCAACCTGCAAAGCCCCCCCATACTCGGCTGATGACGGCTCATGCATGCAGTCGAGCTCACACCAGCTGCATGGTCACCACGAGCGTTGCTCTCCTCTGCGAAACGGCTATCTACCTATCTTGTCTGCCTGGCATACGCCGCCTCGTCAGCCGCTTTGACTATCGCGCTGCTGACTCGACTCAACCGCAGCGATCAGAGTTTCGCGCTGTTCACGTCCTGGCCAGAACGGTGCGTGAGCTGCGGCCGAGCTGCACGCATGACCACGAGCTCATAATCAACGCCTGCAGCTACGAACGCGCACAGCTCAACGAGCGCTGCATGTACCTCGTCTGTCAGGCTCTCTTCATTGCGATCGTCTCGGGCTTCCGTTCTGCGCATCTACACGAAGGCGCCTTTGAGTTCGAGCGTAGGATGCAAAAGATACCTTCGAGGATCGTCTCGAGACTGCGCGCTCGAGTGCCGCTGGCATTGCGGCTTGCCATCTCTCAGACAGTGGTCTACAGCGTCTGCCACCTGACGCTGCGCAAGCCCTTTTTGAAGCTGCTCATCTTTCGTATACCCGGTGGACGTCATTTAAGACCTTGGCTACACGCCTTTATGCGGCAGAACGCTGTCTGGTCGCCCTCGCTCATCGTCCGGTCGCTCCTGGCAGCCTGTCTGCTACACCTTGCATGGGCGCTCGTGCACAGCCTGACCGATGTCTACTTCTCGCAGGTCAGTCTCATGAGCTACCTCCGCCGGAAGGGAGCATGCTAATAGACGGACGACAAGACCATGGCAGTCTCGCAATTTTCGCCGGTGCCAAGCCGCTGTATCATCAGCGGACTCGTGGAAGCCAACCCGCACCTCAAAGTGCGTCCTTTGCAGATTCAGCTAGACGCACTCATAACGAGAGCGTAGCGTCTTGCTTATCATGAGCTCGCACATCTCGTTGAGATCTCGCCACCACGCCGGAAACAATTATTCGAAGATGTGGCGAGCCCGCCAGCCTTTGCAACCCTTACCCGGGAGTGTCTCAAGCTACTTGGACATACGCATCAGCAGGCCAAGGTATTGCAACGTGCGTCTCCTGCAGGCTCTGTCGCAGCTGCCACACCAGGAGAAGGCTCGCTCGCCAAACCAAGCAAAGCGCCAATTGCACTGGCCAAGCTGCCAATCCAGAACACGAACGTTTTTCAGCCAGTCAAGCCACTCTTCTACGAGCGTTTGATTGGTTCAGACGCACCCTTGGAAGGTCAGGCAACCCAAGACAAGCTTGTCTCGAAAGCTTCGACCGCATTCGCGCAAGCGTGAGTCCTCCCGTCAAGGACTTATCTGCTGCGCTCACCGGAGGATCTGCAGCTCTCAGCATGCTTCATTGAAATTGCCGAGCATGCCTCTCCCCGGCGTCCGCAATCTACGCAATGTTGACATTAGTCTCTGTGCTGTGCACAGTGAGCGACGCGTCTTACCGATACGATGACGAGGTACTCATTCGGCTTGCAGTCTTGAGCTCGATGCTCGTCGTTTCGCTTGACGAAGATCGTTACGGCACAGCTTCGCGAGAGCTCCCGCGTACACTAGAGGCGTTTGTCCTCTTGTGCGAATCGCTACAAGCAATGCTGGCCTCTAAGCGCCCGCCCGCTAACGCACGGGCTATTCAAGAGCTCGCCAATGGTCTGTCATTCGTCCTCTTGGACGCCGTCAGCTGACACGCAGTCCCACGAGGCAGCGCTCCACTTGGCAATCAGCGACGTATTGTCTGCCTTCAAGCCGTATCTCTCAGAATTTCGCTTTCCGACTCACATCGCGACAAAGCTGCAAGTGGACCTACATTGACGAAGAACTAGCATGTAGACCTACTACGCGTCATATGCTGACAATACAGTAGGCGCTATCAAGCAGGCTGGGGCAGTAAATCCAGTCCAGAGACGGAACTGCTCGTAGCCTTGGGCCAGCAAGACCTCGATGCCTGGCACAGCTCGCCAATCTGGGAATGTCTGTGCAGCTTTAAGCAATGCAGTTTCCCGTGGCGTGTATGCCATGTCGATCGCGATTCCACCACCGGGGCGAAAGAGCGAGCTGCTGATTTCTATCGAGCTGGAGCCCGGTACAGTCGACACGATCGCCTGAGGCTGCCCAGCAGATTGTAAGGAATCGATGATATCTACCTTGATAGCAGGGGCAAGCGAGCGAGCGACGACTTGCGCGTTTGCGATTGTGCGGTTATAGAGCAAGATCCGAGCGAAGCCAGCCTGGTGAAGCGCGTAGACAGCCGCTCTTGCCGTACCCCCTGCCCCGATGACCAAAGCATGTGAATCCGCAGTGATGGCCAGCTGCTCAGCTGCGATTATGCTCACAATTCCGCGGAAGTCTGTATTCTCGCCACGAAGGATAATCTGGCTGCCTCTCTGGACGGGCACGAGCGTGTTGCAGGCGCCAATGATGCGCACTGCCTCTGAGACTTCGTCGCAAAGCGCGATGATAGCTGTCTTGTGCGGAATTGTCACCGATGCCCCGCCGAAGTCTGACGAGCGCACAAAGTCTCTGACAGACTCATCCACTTCTGCAGTCTCGAGTAGTCCGTACGTGTGGGGCAATCCGAGAGCAGCGAAGCCAGTGTTATGCAGCAGTGGCGATTTACTCGCAGAGATAGGCTGACCGAGCAGCGCAAAGCGCTTGACAGAAATTTGACCAATCAGTGACAACGCCTGCTGGATCTGGTATACTGCAAGTTGACCAGGCGCGGCTGCAGCAGGTAACGCCGGGTGTGTCACCGGGCTCAGGACTGGATTCAAGATGCGCGAAAGTTGACCAACTGTGCCCATGTTGACGGTGAGCAATGGCTTGCCACTCGCGTGAGCCGCTCTAAAGCTGAGCATCTCGGAGTTATCTGTCATCGACTGTGCTTTAAGCACGATTTTGACTACGTCGCCATATAGCGATGCACGTGCATACGCTGCGTCAATGGCAGTCGACTTCCATTTGTGCACGCCAGACCAGTCATGGAACGAGGCCAGTATCAATGACGACTGCTTGGCTCGGACGAATTTCGAAAGCGCTCCTGTGGGCCATTGCATCTCGAGATCGACGTACTCGCATGCTTGGCGGACAGCTAACGTGAGCAGATCGAAGTACGCTTCTTGCGCGTCGTCCGGAAAGAAGCCACCTTGCGATACTGTTCGCACAGTGAAGATGATAGGCAAGCTTGTATGTCGTCGCAATTGCGCTAATTGGAGCGAAACGTATTTGGTCGATGGCACGAAAGGCTTCGAGGGCGCTTGAGAGCCAGTCAGCAAGTCAACGCGAAGCTCGATCGCGTCAACGCCGACAGTCAGAGTGTCAATGACAGCGAGAGCGGGCGTGACATCGGGAAAAGTGAGCGACAGAAAGTACGACCGCCGGTCTTTGAGATGAACATGGTTGCTGTCATTGCCAGTCACAAAATTGAAGAAGCGCTCGATCTCTGGATCGCTCGATTGAATTGTGACATCGTTGGGCTTGCTCCTGAGCGTGATTGATGGCGAGCTGAAGTAATCCCAAGACGAGCACTCATTGTACCATGGCGAGCGTCGGGCGAATACTGCCTCGACGGACTCGCCATATGCCGGACGAGTCGGATCTGCAGCTAAATACGCGCTAATCTCATCAATACCGCGCGAGACTTGCACAACCGGGCCTTTTGAAGCAGCGTATGTTCTCAAAGCTCGTCTGCCTTCCGCTGTCTCGACAATGCCGCCACCGAGCGCAATGACGTGGCCCATGGCATGCGACTCACAGAGCTCTTGCAAGTCTTGCAACTCTGCTGTGCGAAATGAGTCCCAGCCATGCTCTGCGACGAATGTCTTGACAGTCGTCGCGCGTTTAGCCTCGAAGAAATGGTCGGCATCGATGAATTTGCGAGAGAGCATCAGCGCTGCCAGCCGTCCGAGTCGAGACTTGCCAGCGCCGCGCATCCCAGTGAGCAGAATCGTCGCATCGGGCGGGTGAGTTGGTCCAAATGAGCTTGACTGGACGGGTGCGCATTCGTAGCCCGAGACTTGCACTCCAAGCTTGCTTGTCAAATCGTCCCACCAACCTGGCCATGTCTTCTCGACACACCGTCTCTCGTCAATGATGGCTCCACGACCGCCAGGCAAGCTCGCCAACACGCTGAATGCCATAGCAACTCGATGGTCATCGTAGCAATGCACTCTGGCACCTGCCTTGAGTTCACTTAGACTTACGCCAAAGACCTCGATGCCGTCGGAGAGCTCTTGACATTCGACGCCGAATTTAGCGAGTTGCTCTCGCATGGCTGCAATACGATCGCATTCCTTTACGCGTTGATTCGCGATACCGTGTATGCGTGTGCTGTTATTGGGCTGACCAGACTCTACTTGCCCACGATCAGACGGCAGGACTGCAACGGCAGCGAGCACGGCCGCCGTGAGGAAAGCGTCGGTCATGGGCTCCATGTCAATCTGTGGCAGAGCTCGCAATCTTCCGGGCGGCGGGCCAGTAACGGTCGTAGACTGATCCGTCTGTTTCACATTGCAGCCCATTGGTTCGAGAACATCACGTGCGAATCGAGCATCGCCTTGAAGGGACGTGGCGCCAATGCCCTGCACCGTACACGTCGTTCCGGTGATAGCCGCAACGGCTAGCGGATAGGTCGCACTGGACGCGTCGCTTTCGACGACGTAGCTGACGGGCGCTGTGTAACGGCCTTGAGGAATGCGATACGTGTTGGTCGGCATACGCGTGACAGAATCGAGGAGTCGCTCCACAACGATGCCGAAGTCGCTCATCATTGCGATTGTCATGTCGATGTAAGGCTGCGAGATGACCGTGCCGCCTATGAGTTCGAGCGTGACCGGCTGTGCTGCATAGGGAGCGGAGAGCAAGATCGATGAGACGTACTGCGATGAGATCGAGGCTGACAGTGCAATATGACCGCCTCGTAGCCCGTTTGTACCAATCTGCAACGGCAAGCAGCCTTCGCTCTCTTGGTAGGTAATGTCACTGCCATTGCTGCGCAGAGCTTCGACGAGGGGACCAATTGGGCGCTGCTTCATTCTCGTATTGCCGGTAATCGTGCTTCGAAGATTGCCTTGAGCAAGCGTGCAGACGGTGGTGACAAAGCGGGCTGCCGTGCCCGCATTGCCCAAATAGATCTCCTTGCCATCTGCGGGCGGCTACACATCTAGATCAGCATTGTCTAGCCCGTGCCAGCAACAGTGGCCGTACATGTAAGCTGCCTCCGTTACCGGTCACAACGAGTGTCTCTCCACCGTCTCGCCAGGTGAAGGATGCGCCCCCGAGCTGCACAAGTGCGGTCATCATGACCTGGGTATCATCAGAATGCAACAGATTCTTGATCTCGCAAGTGCCCTCTGCTAGTCCTGCTAACAGTAGGGCTCTGTTCGAAATGGACTTGCTGCCCGGCGTCGTCAGCGTGACATGCTGTTTACATCGTTCGAGGGCCAGTGGCGATACAAGTACAGAGGAAGCCAGAACGCGCGAGATGACCGAGTCTGATACGACCGTTGCCCGCTCTTCGAGGCATCGACCGAGTGTAGTTAGCAAGACGACTTTCTTGCCTTTGCCAGCATTCTTCTTGTCGACGGACATGACGTCTAGCAGCCGCGCTGTGTTCAAGTCCGCGCTTTTCGCGCACCCCACGATCAGAGCATCTGAGAGCGTCGTAGGGAGACCGTATGCTGCGAGGCATCGTTTCAGGCGTCCGATGTCGGCGTTGCCCAGATGGCCGAGCGCTCGGGCCACTTCTGCCTCTAGGATCATGCCGACGGAGACACATTCGCCGTGCAGGATATCTGGCGTCATGACGGCCTCGATAGCATGGCCGATCGTATGGCCAAAATTGACGAGGTTGCGGAGACCCGTCTCCTTCTCGTCGACGGTGACGATGTGCGACTTGACTGCGATCGAGCCTTTGACGATGGAGAGCAATCTCTGCTGCTGTATCGAACGCGTTGATGCTGTTCGGCCTCGCTGACTAGCTTGTGAGGATGATTGAGCAGCCGCGATGACCTGTTCGACACCGCTCTCGAGTGACTCGAATTCGTCTGCAGACCAGATGGCGGCCGTCTGTTCGAGCGGGTGAGCGGCCTGCCGAGCACGAGCGAACGAATCGTCTCACCTTGACGACCTCTGCCATGCCGTTGGCAAACTCACGGGTCGGCAGGGTCTCGAGGTAAGCGAGATCAATGAAAATGTAGCTCGGCTGGTGGAAAGCACCGACCAGGTTCTTTCCGAGCGGTGTGTCGATGGCAGTCTGCATTGCGTGTCAGCATGACAATGAAAGAACGCTCTTTCAGTGCGAGCCTACCTTGCCTCCGACAGAAGAGTCGACCATTGCAAGCAGGGAAGTCGGGATCTGGCAGAATCGCAAGCCGCGCATGAACGTCGCTGCAACGAAGCCGACGAGATCGCCCACGACACCGCCGCCGAGCGCAAGAATGACGGTGTCCCGAGTGCATCTCTGTGAGAGCAAGAAGTCTTCGATGTCTGCCTTTGTCTGACGAGACTTGGAGACTTCGCCGGGAGGGATGACATAGGTCAAGAAGCGCTTGTCGGTGCCCAATGCGCAGACTGTGGATGCCCCCGGGTGGTGGACTGGCTCTGGAGAGCGTGTGCCGTTGATTTGGGAGCCGCTTGGTGACTGCTCGACGAACGCGCGCTTGAGTGGCCCGAGGTAGAGAGGAGCGAGCGATGTGTCGGTGATGAGGACATAGTTGCTCGACGGCAGCCCCTCCGTCACCGTCTTGGCGATGTAGTCTGCCAGGTGGAAGCCGATCCTGATGCTGTCGGCGCCCAGGATGGAGATGTGCTCGACATCTGCCATCCTCTCGAGGAGCTGGCTGGCTGGCTGAAGCGCTGACTCGCGTGCGGCTGAGCGAAAGGAAATTTGTCGACAGCCTGATCAGCATCAGTCGAGCCAGTGACCGAGCATGCAGAGACAGGCCAGCACGAGCAGGCTGACGGCGGTGTGTGCGTCAGCATGTACGGCCACAAGGCGGCCAGCAGCAGAGCTAGCCCTGCCAGCGCGCACCAGACGGCCATACAGTAGCCCTGCGAGGACAGCAGGAGGAGCAGCTCCAAGATCCGCCCTTGCTCGTCCTTCCCTACCCTCTCCGGCTCAGCCGAGGACAGAGCGACGGGCGCTCCACAGACGGAGGCCGCTCACGTACGATCTCGATCAAGACCTGGGCAGCTTCATGTCGAGTCGCACGCTCAAGATGCTCGCCGTCGATTTCCAAGATGGACTGCTTCACCGTCTGAACGATCAGGTCAGAGGTCCGCCCCCTCTGCTGATGAGTCGTTGGCCATGTGCTCATGCCGGGGGAGACAGGCACGCCCCTCGAGAATGCGACCGTGTTCAGCACCGTCACTCGCACGGCCGGCGACCGCAATCAGATCCTCGCCTTCAACCTGGCATCCGAAGCGCTCAACAACAACTTCTTCCTGCATCACTTTGTCAGTGAGACCTACCACCTGTCCCTGCGTTGCTCATGACCGCTCGCGCGCAGACGAGCGAGGAGAGGAGTAAGGAGCGCACACCCGCGCTCGACACTGCGCTCGCCGCCCAATTCGGCGACTTCACTGCCTTCAAGAACAAGTTCTCATCTGCCGCCATGGGCATGCATGGCACCGGCTACATCTGGCTCGTCATCGACGGCGTCGACCAGATGGGCATCCTTGCTACCTATGGCTCAGGCACCGTGCTCGTCCAGGGCGCCGAACAGCGAGGCTACTTTCACGAGATCCTCGGCGAGTCTGTCGCGCGAGGGACGGCGGTCGAAGCACCGCCTTCCGATACCGCAGCCGGTCCTGCCGTCGCATCGTCGGCATCTGCCACAAACGCAAGGCCGACCCGTCCAGGCGAACGCGCTTTCTCCACGAGCGCCAGACAGCAATACGAGCTCGCGGGTGGGCTGGAAGTCACCAAACTGGGTCGAGTGGGCAGTGAGCTCGCCCCTCTGCTCTGTCTGAGCGTGCACGAGCGGTCCTGGCTCTTCGACCACGGCGTCTGGGGGAAGGAGGACTACATCCGGCAATACTGGGACCACATCGACTGGCAGGCAGTCTCTGCTTCCTACTCGCGCATCGCGAGACAGGGCATGCGATGATCTCAGTACAGCATGCATCTCTCTCTCTCTGCGTGGCCTCGAGGAAGGACCCGGACAGCTCTTCATGCGACCGGCTTGGCTGCTCGTCTACGCTCTTGCCATCGACGGATCTCCGTCTCTGTTGCTACACCGCCTGCTCCTGCTATATCTGTCACGCTCGTCCAGAGCTCGTCAATCGGCTGTTGAGGCGCCTGTGATGAACCACAGTGGGGCTCACCTGCCATGGCGAGCGTACGCATGGCACGCTCGGACTCTTTCTGCTCGCTTTCGTAGTGGAGCAAGTAGTGATCCGCCCAGGTCACCATGCCAAAGATGCTCGCCGAGCTCACGAGGAAGGCCTTGCCGGCCAACGTCTGGCGTGCAAAGCCGGGAAACGTAAAGTGTGCCGCGGTGACCAGCCCGAGAGCGTAGACGGTCCACCTGAGCGCACCCTCTTTCGCGCCCTTCACCTGGAGCTCATAGGCAGCCTGGGTCTTGTCCTTCCGTCGAGCATACTCGGCCGACGAGATGCCAGACATCCCATCGACGGCCGACCGTGGGAAGCGGACAATGAAGCGCTCGATGGCTTGAAGAAGCCTTGGGCGATCGAGCGCTGAGCTCAGCTCGCGCCTGACTGAGGTCGCGAGATGTTGGCAGCTCGCTCGGATCGACGAGACAGGGTGACTCTCTCGTTCCCTCTGTGCTGCTGAACAGTGGGCTCAGTCGGGCTCAGTCTGATCATAGCGCGGCCATGGCAGGCGCTGGCAAGGAGAACGTCGACCCTGCCAAGCCAGCCCCCTCCGCGCAAGTCGCTGCAAACGATCCTGCCGTCGTCAAACCCATCGTGACAAGAGGGACGAGCAGCCTCTCCTCGCTCGTCAAAGGATGCAAGGTCTTCGTCGATCGACCGGCCGACGAAGCCAGGCGGGCAGAGATCCTAGCCATACGAGACAGGTCTGCGCGAGCCTATGGAGCCAGCCGGGGCATCCTGCGAGGAGCGGCAGCCTCGGGGAGCGACAACTCTGAGCTGCCGGAAGCAGATCGGCTGGAGTACTACATCCACTACGTCGAGTTCAACAAGCGCCTCGACGAATGGGTGCCCGGCAAGAGACTCTTGCTCGACCGCGATGTCATCTGGCCCATGCCTCCCTCGGCCTCGGCAGACGACAAGAAGAGGTCTGGCAGTGCGACACCGAGCAAGAGCCAGAAGGGCTCCCCCGCCACGGCCACCCCGCCCGGCATACACTCTCTCAAAGGCTCGACGGGAGGCAGCATGCTCCGCAAGGCAGCCCTCAAGGCAGCCACGGCCGCGGCAGGGCAGAAGCGCAAAGCCGACTCGGAGACGCCTGCGGAGAGTGAGGATGGTGATGGCGAGGGCGAGGGCGAGGGAGAGGAAGACGATGGGGGTTCCGAAGATGCAGGAGACGGTGGTGCCGTCGTGGCGGTCGAGATGGTCGATGACGACGCTGATGGGGACGGCGAGGAGGCGTCACTCATGGACGACACACAGTCGCCCGCCGAGCCAGAGACGTTCTCCAAAGAGCATGAGATCGAGAAGCTGAGGACGCAGGGCTCGATGACGCAGTCACACAACGAGATCTCCCGTGTCAAGAATCTCGACAAGATCACCATGGGCCGCCACGTCGTCGAAGCCTGGTACTTCTCACAGTATCCTGTCGAGTATGCCCACATCCCGATGCTCTACATCTGCGAGTTCTGTCTGAGCTTCTTCGCCGCACCCAAGTCACTCGAGCGGCATCGACACAAGTGCACGCTCCAACACCCGCCAGGCAACGAGATCTACCGACATGAGGACATCAGCTTCTTCGAAATCGATGGCAGAAAGCAGAAGACCTGGTGCCGTAACCTCTGCTTGCTCTCGAAATGCTTTCTCGACCACAAGACGCTCTACTACGACGTAGATCCGTTTCTGTTCTACTGCATGTGCCTCCGAGACGACAGAGGCATGCACCTGATTGGCTACTTCAGCAAGGAGAAAGAGTCTGCCGAGAACTACAACGTCGCCTGCATTCTGACACTGCCACAATACCAACGACTCGGGTTCGGCAAGCTCCTCATCGAGTTCTCGTACGAGCTCAGCAAGAAGGAGAACAAGCTGGGCAGTCCAGAGAAGCCGCTCTCCGATCTCGGCTTGCTCAGCTACCGCGCATACTGGCAAGAGACGATCATCGAGCTCTTGCTCAATACGCCAGAGGAGATCAGCATCGATGAAATCGCCAACAAGACCGCCATCACTCACAACGACGTCATGCATACCTGCCAGGCGCTGCAGTTGCTCAAGTGGTACAAGAACGCGCACGTCATATGTCTCTCTGATGCGGCTATCGAGGTGCGCGCCTATCATGTAGCTGCTAGCCCGAGCTGATCATGCATCTGCAGAACCACGAGCGCGCAAAGAAGAAGCGGAGGCGCAAAATCGTGCCTTCTTCCCTACTTTGGCGTCCGCCCGTCTTTTCAAGAGAGCAGCTGTCCTTCTTCTGATTGTCAGGTCATGATCACTGTTGTCTGTACATAACGTGCATCGATGGATGCCTGGCGCTTGACGCTCTGACGCGCTGGCGACTTGGCAAACGCGACTTTGAGGTTCGAGCAAGCCGACTCGCTGGCGTCCTTTGCAGCTCGATGCCACAGGATGCGGGCGCAGAGGATAAGCATCAGCTGCTCCCTGACACGCCGCACAGCAGACTGGCGGTCCCATCATCCCAGTCCAGACGTGCGAGCAATGACGGCTCGACGAGCAGTGGAACGAGCAGCCGGCGTAAAGCCAAGCGAGACAAGCTCTTCAGAGCCGGCTTTGCTCAGGAGATGATCAGACAGACCGTACCTTCGCTTCTGCTGGCCACGCTGGGCTCTGTATTGGCAGGCGAAGTGCTCGCGAGACTCAAGGTATGCCGCTTTCAAGCCGAAGGGGTACCTGCCAGCTTGACGCTACGAGCAGACTTGGACCGTCTTCGTCCGAGTACCGGAGCTCTTCATCCTCGTCCCGATCTTGCTCAACCTCAAGGGCAATCTCGAGCTCTGTCTCGCCGCTCGCTTCTCGACCAGCGTCAGTCTCGCATGCCATTGTCCTGTCGCTCGAGCTCATCGCCACCGCGCAGGCTAACATTGGCGAGTTAGACGTCAGGAGGACGAGGAGAGCGCTCGTGCTGGGCAATCTTGCATTGCTGCAAGTGCAGGGTCTCATCGTCGCCCTCATCGCAGGCGTCATCGCCTTCTTGCTCGGCCTCGCGTCGCGAACCGGTCTACCCTTGCCTGCCAAGGCTGCCCTCGACGAGACCGGCATCACCGCCAGTACGCGGCCGGGCACTTATTTTGAGCTCATCATGGTACTCTGCGCGGGTATGCTGGCAGCTAGTCTCAGCAGCGCCGTCACTGGCTCGTTCATGTGCAGTCTAGTCGTCCTCAGCAGATGGGCACGCATCAATCCAGACAACATAGCAACCCCGCTCGCTAGTTCGTTCGGCGATCTCATCACGCTGACGATCCTTGCCGTCATCAGTAGCGCTCTCGTCGGCGTGCTCGGCAGCTTCGTCTCGACCTTTATCTTTCTGGGCTTGCTACTCTCCATCGTGCTCCATTTCTTCGTGACCTTCCGCAATGCCTACGTACAAGAGCTGCTCTGGAGCGGATGGATCCCGCTCATCACCGCCATGCTCCTGTCGAGGTGACTTGCCCATCTCGCGATCTGGACGAGCTGACGGTTGGCTCAGTGCGACGGGCGTGATCTTGGAGCATGCCGTCAACAACTTTCGAGGCTACGGTCTCGTGGCAGCTGTCACCACAGGTGCGACGTCTCCGAGGTTTACAGACCAAGCGCTGATGATGAGCTGGTCGCAGCAATATGTGGCAACGTGGGCGGCATCTTTTGCTCGCGCATCTCGACTTCGCTGCATGCGTCTCGAGAGGAGAATCACCTGCTCGTGGCATCGACCCTCTTCGCAATCTCGATGCCCGTCCTGTGCGGCTTCGTGCTCTTCGTCTGGCTCACCAACGGCGCGCGAGTTGGTCTCGTATTCTGTCTTACCTTTACCGGCGTTGCGGCCGGAACGGCGAGTGCTCTTTGAAGTGCTCAGATCCAGTGATCTGACTCCTACAGGAGGACGTGCAGGTGTTTGCATCGCTCACCTTTGCCTATCTGCTCACGATCCACTTGTGGCGAAACGACTACGATCCAGACATCAACGCGCTGCCGCTCATCACATCGCTCACAGACGTCGTCGGCCAAGGCTTGCTTGTGCTCGCCTTTTCGCTATCATACAAGAGCCTCGGCCCGGATCCAGAGCTGACGAGCGCGATCGGCAGCAATGTCACATCGATTGCAAACGCGACCTCTTTCGTCAATGGGACGGCCGATTTGCTGACGGCAAAGGCGTTCATGTCACCCATGTATATGTTGTCACATTGAGTTGCAATTCCTGAGTGTAGCAGAGGGGTGCACGAGACGGCCCGAACAAGCAACTGATAAGTGGAACGATACAGATGATGAGCCCACAGATGCTCCCAACGATCGTGTCATCTCCGTCGCTCAAAGGCATTTGATCTTCCCATTGCAACGATGGATAGATCGAGGGCCCATTCGCCGAATCTGAACGAGCGCAGTCAGTTGAGCGAGATCTCGACTACGAAAGAGGCGGACGACTCACTCGAGATAGGTCGCCATGAGTTGCTTGAGATCCTTGCTGCCCATCTGTGCAGTCTGGCGTGCTCAGCGATCGCCAGTGAACGACATCGCAGAGACACTGACCTTGCTCAGGGCAGGCGACAGTCCTGTAGATCGCTTGATGCCTGCTAGACAGGCAGAGACGAGCAGCGCATCGAAGAAGAGGTGCGCTAGCTGCGTGGCTCGACGGCAGGTCAGCTACTATGCTCTGCATGATGCCTGCCAGCCTCACCCTCCCAAACATGCTCGACCGAGAGGTGTGAAGCCTCTGATCAGGTGCACTATCGACGCCGACGGCCGACAATCGTCGCGACGAGCCGACCACGCTGAGCGCCAGATCTTAGTGCAGTCATGGCTGACGTAGCGCATCTCAAAAGCCTTCTGGGCGAGCAGTATGCTATGCCCATCCTCATCAGTGCCACCGCATGCTGAAGCCCAAGACAGTCCCGATTTCCCCAAGAAGGGAATCGTCTTTCTCGACATGTTCCCTATCTTGCGTGATCCAGTCGCTTTCGAGTCGTCCGTCTCTGTCTCCCGTCGAGTGGACGAGCGCTCATGCTAGTCTCAAGCCTGATCACGCACTTTCTACAACACATCTTCACCGTCACGCTGCCAAGGACGCAGTCCAAACGAATAGACGTCGTCGTCGGTCTCGACGCCAGAGGGTTTTTGCTCGGACCCATCATCGCCCTCAGACTGGGGGCGGCGTTCGTACCCGTGAGAAAGGCAGGCAAGCTGCCAGGAGAGTGCGTCAGAGCAGAATACGTCAAGGAATATGGCACAGTGCGTTCTCAATATGACGCGACACCGTGCCAGAGCTCATGCTGGCGCCGACAGGACTCGTTTGAGATGCAAAAGGGAGCCATACAGCCCGATCAGAACGTCATCGTCATCGACGATCTCATCGCGACGGGCGGCTCTGCTTTCGCCGCGGGAGATCTCGTCCAGCAAGTCGGCGCAAAGACGCTCGAGTACCTCTTCGTCATCGAGCTCACCTTCCTCAAAGGTACCGCAAAGCTGAACGCGCCGGCTTATTCGATCGTCCAGGATGACGGATAGAGGCAAGGATACCTTACTAGATTGTAGCAACAACAGGGATTTGCGAACATTCGTCGGGTTGTGTTCATTCTAAGAGTTTCACGTTGAGCAAGAGGCAATTATTGATCTGAATCTTGCTATCGGGCACAAGCTCCGGCGGCATGGCTTCGATCTGTATGCTTCGATTGCTGACAGAGAGTAACTCGTCGAGTCGTGTACCCGTCGAATTGCTGACGGTGATCAAAGGTACGCTAAGCTTTGCAAGAAGGTCGACTGGCTCGCCGTCCCCGGATGCCTGCAACGCCTCGTCGTGGTCCGAGCTGACGATGAGACCAGATGCACCACTCTGAGCTGCATAGTATGCCTTGTCGACAAACGTACAGTGTCCTCTCAGCAAGAAGACGACCGGCCCCGACGCTTTCGGGTTGGCTGGCCGCGCGACACTGTAAGGATGACAACCGTACGTGGTCGAAGAAGGCTTGATGAGGCTCCGCATCGGGGCATTGCGAGCAAAGTGCGTCTGACTGAGTACGTTCGGCAGCAGTGGGTTGGGTCCAAATGTCGCCCTCATGCCGAGATGAGACTCGACAGCATGCCGTCCAGCAGTGTCGAGGTAGCGCGTCTTCAGCCGGACTTCTTGCGTCGATTGCGGATCGTGCCGGAACGCATCGAGCACGCTGGGGTCTGCAAAGAAGACGGTCGCACCCTTTGGTATCATGTATTGCGATATCCTGGTGATATCGTAGGCGCCGCCAGAGTCTGGCCGTTGGGTCAATGTAAGCCGGAGACCTTCCATCTTGCGGACGACGAAACCGTTCGAGAGCATGATCACTTTGTCGGCGCCAGGATTGGGATCCTCGACTTGACCGTTGGGTGAAAAGACAACTTCGACAGTGCTTGGACGGACATACTGCTCGAGCTCTGGCTTCGCGCACTGACTATATGGCGACCACATGCCGGTCTGAAGCGCGAATGACTCGCTCACATCCCAATTCACCAGCGCTCGGGCTACATCTGCATCTCCTCGAGCTGCAATGCTAGTCGTCCATGGTGTTGGCTGTACCGGATTGACGCAAGTAGCCCTCAGAGCACCTCGCTGTGGTGAAGTGGACACTAGCGGATGTGTCGAGTGGTTGAGCTTATGCCGATCGACCGCGAGGTAATGGCCCTCGGTTGACCAGACGGCGTTGCTCTCATCTTTGTGGACCGGATTTGATTCATCGAATAGCAGATAGGCGTATTTGAGGGTCTCGCTGAGGACGAAGGAATGCATGCGGTCGTCATGCCCGCCAGTCTTGACGTTCTTGAGGCTAGCTAGTCCGCAGTCGACCCGGGTACGATTGACGAAATCCTCGATGAATCGCTCGCCCACAAAGAGATAGTACGGATCGCCTGTTGCTCGATACAGATAGAGCGTTCTGCGTCCTCATCAGACTCGTTAACGCAGGCAAAGCTCTTGGCGCACGACTCTATGAACTCAGGCCGCAGTGGATAGCCCGCGGAGACGGCCTCTCTGTTCTGTATGCTGAACGTCTCCGGTAAGCCTGAATAGCGAGCCCAAATGTTCGCATAGACGAGGTGACCCTTGATGGCCGATTCGACGTCGCCGGCAAGGACTTGCGTACCCGGCCAGAAAGCGCCGAGACTATCGATGTGCGTCTGTGCGATCTTGCCGGAGTGCATGTTGACGCCGCGGTACCAGTGACCTTCTGAGCTCTTGACATGCTGCTGTATGGCATCGTAGCTCTCTGCAAAGACGTTCCAATACTCTTCATCACCCAATAGAACATAAGCTTTGATCATATACTCCATAAAGCTGTCGATGCCTGCACCGACACTCGCGATGCCATAGATCCATGCGCCGGTCTGCAAGTCAATCGTGTTGCCGAGCAAATTGAGTGCTGATCGCTTGGCCCACAGGGAGAAAAAGGCTTTGCGTGCGACTTGCTCGTAGATGGGGTTGTCCGTCAATCTGCTGAGCGTGGCAAACTCGAGCAATAGCGAACCAGCACCTGCAGTGCACGTCTCTGTGCTTTCCGTTCGCGAAATGCCATGTCGCAGGTTGATGCGCGCAAACGGCATGCCCGTCAAGCTGTACTGGAACGCAGGCAAGAGACGTTCACCGAGGTCTTGTGCGAGCGAGAGCAATTCTCCCTTGTAGCCTGAGATGGCAAACCCTCGAGTTTCGTCGCTAGCAAAGATGTGCGCCGACAGCAAACCGCCCATAACACGGATGGTGACCTCGAAGACTTGGACTTTGCTATCCATATCAAACGAGCTGAGCTGACGCAGGACGTCTTTGACGGCTCGCTCGAAGCCTGCCTTGTCCTGGAACACCACAAAGGTGTCCAAGGCGTCGATGAGTGTCAAGGGAAAGTGGCCGACGACGTCATTGATCTCATCTGTCGGATCTGGTGAGGGACCGAGAGGCTGACATGAAAGCGGCCGTAGCTCTGCTTGAGGATAGGCGACTCGCATGTAATGTCGCATGCCATGATTGAACGTCTCTCGCGTGAGCTCTCGTAGTTGCCGCTTGCGTTCGTTTGACATGGCTGGCCCAGCTCTGGCGCGGCCGCCTGCGCTGACGCATAGCCAGACGCATGCTATCACACTCCAGTAGGAGGTGCGCCATCGCATGCTCAGGTGAAGGAAGGAGCTGACAGCGCTAAAGCCCAAGCGACTAACTTGTCGACGTCACGCGGCGCGTTCGCGGGTTCACGACATACCAATGCACCAGGTCATCTAACGTTCAACAACAGACTTGCAGGAAGTGCGCTGCAGCGCCACCACTTTCATCAGTATCTTATCGTGACCCTGTTCATTGGAGCCGTACGCGGGCAGAGATCTCTCCCTCGTCGTAGCCGTATGAGCCATCCGAGCCATACTCGTCAAGGTTCTCCTCGTCAACCTGGTCATAGCCGTAGCAGTCGCGGTACTCGAAGTAGTGGTTATCGTTCCCCCAGCGACTGCGAAGTGGCCGAGCTAGATCCTCCTCGAACGCAATGGCAAGGACCTCGAGCCGGTATCTGAAGGGGTCCCATGCTTTCGTGTTGCAGTATTACCTAGCTGTGCATAAGGAAGATCGATGTGGTACTCTGAGCTGCTGCCTGTCGGCAACTACGTACACGATCTGCTCAATCAACCCAAGCGCTAGCCTGGGCAGATTTTTGATGAGGCCCTTGAGCTCGTTGCCGTCAAAGCACTTTTTGCAGACACTTTTGTCGAGGCATGTATGGTCAGGATCAGGCACTGTCGCAACAGGCACGACATGTCAATATCCCAGTAGACCTTGCGAACAGCTATACCGCACTATCGACAGACTTCAGCCTGAAGAGCTCCGCGAGGGGTCTGATGTTGCCTTTCCCAAAGGTAACGCGCGCCGACCACCAACCTTGCTGCTTGTCGAGGTCGAAAGCTGTGAGTAGGCTTGATCTACTCAAGTCGAGTGACCAGGCAAGGGCAGCATTGCCCATCACGAAGTGATCAGCCGAGCAAGGCGACCGTCGTCCTGTTCGGCAAGCCTCCCGATGCCGTTAATGAAGCCAGCCAGATCTGTGATAGGCGAGAAGCGCAGCCACGAACGGTTCTCGAAGAGCTCGGGGAAGGCTGCCGAGAGCTCCACAAGGTCCTCCATGGCCTGCCGCTGGGATGGTCGATGATGCTAGCTTGAGGAGGCCGATAGGCGACGCGACGAGCCAAGTCGACTATCAGCAACAGCAGCACCGACATTTTGGTATCGTCTCTCCCGGCCACTTCTGCACTCAGCACGCGAGGCCGCTCCTCCGGCAGCGGTAGACGATGCAATGGGAGCTATCGTGTCGGTACTGGACCGTACCGCCGTCGCCAATCTGACCGGTGCCTTGTCTATTGCCGCCTGGCTTGGCGTCGTGTTTCCTCAAGTCGTCGCCAATTATCGCAACAGTCTGTCATCCGTCAAAGACTTCGAGGCTCTGTCTGAAGCTCCACTGTGCTCGCAGAGTCTGTAGAAGGGCTCTCGTTGCCTTTTTTGCTGTCCTGGCTTGCTGGCGATCTGACCAATCTCGCCGGCTGTCTGCTCACCCATCAGCTTCCCTTTCAGGTAAGCATGAGCATCGCTCGCCGCTACCCAAAAATTCATGGATCTGAGCAGACATGGCTTGCATCGTACTTCTGCGTTGTCGACTTGTGCTTGATGTCGCAATACATCTACTATGCACGCCAGACTTCCACCTTTGACGAGAAGCTACTCTTCTCTGCGCCAAGCGAAGTATATCCAGAACACCGTCATCTCCGTCGGAGGACGTCCAGCGAACGCGGTGCGCGGCTCGGTCACGGTAAACAGCGACCGATCATGCCCAAGCATACCTATTCTGGCAGTACCGTCACTTCTCCGCCAACGCATGGCGAACCGTTAGACGCCTCTGTAGCTACACTCACTTCCATCGTCTCGTATGCATCTACGCCTTCGGTCGAAGCGAACAGCAGAGGGAGACACGACTCGCGCGATCATGCTCTATCTCACGCGCCAACTTCCCGAAGAGCTACCCACCTTGGGCAGTCCGCCGACGAAGCCAGTCCAGCCACGCTGCAATCGACTCGGACGTTCTCCTCGCCCGCACAAGGCAGGAGAGCCCAGCGAGCGGTATCTAAACAAAAAGCAAAAACGATGGTCTTTCTGAGCGTAGCCGCCGTCCTGGGCTTGCGACAATACAACGCGGGGCCTAGCGCGAGAAGTATCAGCTATGGGGAGGCTGCATGGACACCGGCTCAAGGATGGGTTGTGCGAAGCACATCGCCGTCTTCGAATTGGCTGGGCACGCGCCACAGAAAGCGCTCACTGGCGTTTCCGAGCACGAGCGATGGGGATGCTCCCGATGAGGACCCTCAGCCTGCTCTTGATACCCAAAGAATCATCGGCAGAGTGTCAGCATGGGTCTGTGCTACACTGTGAGCGACTTGCAGTGCCCGTCTCTCAAAAACTCACAAGCGTCTCAGATACCTCACTTCGCGTTGTCCGCAGATCTATCAGAATGTCAGTCTGCCAGGGAACGGTGAACATGGAGCTGAATGAGAACACAGTATCGGCGGCGGTCAGTTGAAGGTCTCGCAATGCTTCTCTTCGTAGCCGCATTCATGGGCAATCTGTTCTATGTCATCTCGATCCTCGTCGATCCGTCGACTGATCTCAGGGAGAGTCTACCCTTCCTGATTGGTTCGGGCGGCACACTCTGTTTCGATGTGACTATCGTCGCACAGTCTTACATCTATGACCCCAATCGCAAGCCGATGCGCAAACGGGCAGTCTCGAGGAGATTGGCTAGCAGCGTAACAGATCTGAGCCAGACCGTCGCTCAGGACGGGCCCCATGACGAAGAAGCGGGTCTGCTCAGCATGACAGAAGATACCGACGATGACTCGCACACTGACGACTGGCTACCGTTCGAATATGACGATGACGCGCCGTCAACGCGAGGCAGACAACGGCAAGCTCGCACAGACGATGCCAAACGCTGGACGGGTATCATGTCCAGTGCGTCCCGGGAGCGTGCAGCTTCGCATCGCAGGCTCTCACAGGAGCGATCAGCGAGTCTCGCATCGAGCATCTCATCCCAGTCACACACGCATACTAGACAAAACTCGCAAGAGTACAACGACATTCCACAACTTGGTGGCGGCCGATTGCCGTACAACATTGCAGGAGCGAACAGCAGTCAGAGCAGGACGAGAGCCATTCATACGGCTCTGGGCGACTTCGAAGCTGGGTCGCCCATACCAGAGCTGAGCGAGAGCGGCGTGACTCGCTTTGGCGGTAATGGTACGCCCCGAGCATAGCCAGCTCAAGCACATCAGGCGAAGAGGCTGTAATCGACGATGTGCAAGCTGTCCATGATCTGCTCGAACACGGCCAACGGTACGGATTCGTCCTGGAGCGCTGTCGCATTCTGTTGTAGCAGCTCGAGCGCTTTACCGGCCGGTGCGTTGACGCAGACCAGCATCTCGGCGCCCTGGGTCTTTGAACGCGTCAGATTTGCCGGAATGCGAATGAGACCTAGGTAGATCCGAACGAGATCTGCTTGATCGCTCGACTTGTTGAATTTGGACACTGACTGCCATCCTCGAAGCGATGCACGAGAGAGACCATCTTGGCTGGTCGAAAGAGCTGTCACATCCGTCACTTTGGACGAGAATGCGTCGTTGTCATGCGCGAGGGAATCAAAGATGTGTCTATAGTCACGCAGCATGAGATCCGTCTCGGCGAAGACAAGATGGGCGGTGGCCCACCTGATGGCTTCTTCATCTTGCTTCAAGTCGACAGCTTGCAAGATTTCAAGGATCACGGAAATATCCGAATCTGGGGCAAGGAAGACTTCTTGCGTGTCTGGAACCTGTCTCAGATCGCTTGCATCGATGTATTCGGCAGGTAGCGTCGCTATGACTGCTTCGCCCCACAGCGAGCGCCGTGCCATTGCATGAGCGGGCTTTCATGTGAGGTCGGCGCGGAGGATGCATGTGGGGGTAACCGAGCCCTTCTCGTGCCAGGCACAAGCAGCAAACACTGTTTGACGAGCCATGTCGAAGGCAGCCGCAGCGTGCGTGCTGCTCAGCTGCTCCTTGCAATAGCGCTGACTCGCTGTGTCTATGCACAGAGCCGTCGAATGGACGCGAGTATACAGCAAGCTTGGCTTATCCAAAGGTCCGCAGCTTGCCCGCTGCACGATGACGGCAGCGTATGCTCACTTTGTGATGCTTGTAGAGACCGTCTCGACTCTGCAAGCCTTCCGAAAGCGTCACGATGATGCCAGGATCGCGAACAATGGCCTGAAGGAGCAAAAGGCGGACATCGACTTTGCTCACTACCGTGAGGTACTGAAGAACAAGGATGTCATCAGCCAGGCAGAGAAGCTGTACAACGACTTTAAGCCTGTCGACTACGATCTCGGAGCGCAACTCAAGGCTATCGATGCCTTCGAGGCCAAAGCAGTCGAGGCAGCCACTCAGGCAGAGTCAAAGATCGATACCGAGCTTCAGCAGCTCAACGGCACCCTCAAGGACATTGAGGACGCTCGTCCGTTTGAGGATCTCACCCTGCACGACCTCAACAAGGCTCGACCAGAAATTGCCCAGGTCGTAGAATCGATGATGAAACGTGGTAAATTCACCGTCGATGGATATCAAGAGAAGTTTGGCAACCTCAGTGAGTCTGTCGTGTGAGACGAGCGGACTTGGCCTGACCGTCAAACAGGTGCCATCTAGGCTCATTGATGAGATGCATCGTGGCTTTTGAGCATGTGCGCTCCGAGTGGGTGATTGCGACTGATACACACGTAAAACGTGTCCGCGTGACGTTCATCATCAGTTAGCTTCGGGCGCAATCTTGACAATCACTTTCCCGGAGCCTGCTCTCGAAGAGAAGAGCGAGATGAAAGCCTGCTCGAGGTTCTCGATCCCGACACTCTCATCCTCGACGTATTTGATCTCGCCGTCTGCGACCCATTGGGCCCATTCCTGATGGTAGAACCTCTCCTTCACTTTCGCAAAGTCGTCACTGTAGACGAATCCCCTGATCGTCAACTTCTTGGTGATGACGTAGAACCAATTTCTGATGCCGTGTTGGTCCGCTGCCGCCTTGGAGTACTGACTGATTGCTCCGCACACCAAGTGGCGCGCAAAGTCTGCTGCCGTCTCGAAGAAGGCATCAATGTCGGACCCGCCAGTGTTGTCGAAGAAGATATCGATCGGTCCGTGCTTCTTGAGCTCATCGAGTACGTTCGCCGTGCGGTAGTTGAATGCGTGATCCACCTTGAGTACGTCGCGCAGATAGGCAACCTTGTCGTCAGAGCCAGCAGAGGCAATGACGAACAAGCCCTGCTTCTTGCTCCACTGACAAACCATCTGACCCACTGCGCCGCTCGCTGCCGTCACGAAGAGCTTCTCGCCCGACTTGGCTTTGGAAAAGACTTCCATGCCGGTAAAGGCAGTCATGGCCGGCATGCCGCATGCAGACAGCCAAGCCGAATAGCGCGGTAGCTTCGGCATATCGTTGGCGTTGAGCACGACAGAGCTTTGGAGACCTCTGGCCGGCAACACTGCATATTCGCTCCAAGGGACGCCGGACGCAAAGAGCATGTCGTCCTTCTTCACCGAGCTATGCTCGCTTCGCAGTATCTCGACGATCGCATGCCCCTCCACGGCTTGACCGATCTCGAACATAGGCACATACGACTTGACCGTCGGCGGTCGCATACGCTGCTTGATGTATGGGTCGGGACTGAGCCAGTGTACCTTGGCGAGAGCTCCGCCATTGAGTGGAACATTGTCCAGATCAATCTGCCCGTCAACGAGCTTGAGATGCTTGCCCCGAATGAGCTCTGCAGTGGGTCTCTCTGACAACGTCAGCGCTCTATTGGGCACCATGGTTCCGGCTAGATTTGTGTCCGGATGCCCTCCAATAATTCGTCCGGCAAATGAGGCTGAGCCTTTCTCCGTACAAACTCCGCAAGAGGACGCTACCGATCGAGCAGGCACGGCGCGCAACGCGCAGACTACGCGACGGAGGAGCCACGCGGCCATGTGCTACGCCCGTCCCTTGGTCCAGCCCCGCAGCTTCATTAGCACCATGCCTACTCGATCAAAAGTACTGTTCTCAGAAGCTTCGGAAGCTTCATGACCGGCGCGTCGTCTCGCTCATATAGGAGCCACCCTCCCCAACTGGCGCCCTAGCCTCGCGCCAGTTCCTCGTCCGCTGCCTCAATCGCAAGTATGTCTAAGGAAGGAACGGCAAAAGCGTTGGGAGCGGCCGCCAAGGCTCAGGCAGCAACGCCCCATGGAGGCAATCTGTTCGCGACCTCTATCATCGGACTCGACCACGCCTTCTTCGTGGGTATGCCAACGGCCGGTCGCATATTGCTCTATGTCCTTGCTGGTCTGTATGCCATGTCGGTCAATTGCGAAAGTCAGAAGACGCGGCGGCTGATGCAGTGCTTGCAGAGGCATCATTTGCTTGCTCACCGGCTTCTTTGCTCGATGGCGAAGAGGCGCGTTCTGGCTCGTCAGGCTCAAGACAACCCCGAGCGGCACGTTCATTCGCCCCAACGCGACGGTCCTGCACAGTTTCTTCGCCTTTATCTTCATCGTATTAGCGGAAGCATACATCTGGAAGAGCCTACAAGCACTCGATGTCGGCGCCAATCTCGACAGGATCATTGCGTGGAAGGGTCTCATTTGGACACCGCTCTGGCTGTCTGGCTGGGCAGAAACAACAGGCGTCGCCAGTCAATACCTGACAAGCTCCCGCGGCCAGCTCGGCGTACGCAAGTCTCGCATTCCTGCCTGGGCGTTCAACACGGTCGCGCTCGTTATGCCAGCCGTGTTGGTGGGTCTACAGATGGGTCTCTTCAGCCTGGCCTCCATCAAGTTTGATCAAATGTACTCGGTCTATCTACAAACGCGCGCTATCCTTGTACAGTACGAGCCATCCTGGACGCCAGCCGGCGCGGCAACCGTCCAAGGCATGGCGCTCTCGCAAGAGCTCCTACATCTCACTGCCGTCATTTATGATCGCCAGACGCCCTTCTTGCGCTGGTTCTCTGCCGGCTGGATCTCACTTGCGGTCTGTACTGGCATCATGTACTCTGTAGGTTCAGCGCACATGGACAGCCGAGCAGCTGCTGACGATGGTGCCAGATTTATGTGCCATTTGTGCTCGTCCACGTTCGCGATCTGAAGCGCCAGATCGTGCACCTGACTGCTTCCGAGAGAGTCGCAGCTCAGCTGCCTTCCTCTGGTCACATCTTATCGAAACCCTATCCTGCCGTCGAGATGGACCGCACGCACAATAGCCAGAACAGCCAGACGAGCTTCGGAAGTGACGAGAAGACGCTGTCGAGCGACAAGTCGCATGCATCGAAGCCATCTTACAGTTCCTCAGTCACACCTTACGAGCTGGCCCGCGTGAGCTTGCAGCAGGAGGCACCGCATGCCCTTGCTCGCGTGCCATCGCGTTTTCAGAGAGCGCTCGGAAGCCACGATGATGGTCTGTCATCTGCCGAGCGACACATTCGCGCGCTACGACGCGCTTGCCGCCTACGACTGTACTCCGTCGTCGTCATTACCATCGTGGTCGCGTTATACGCCGTGCTCGTGATCTGGCTGGCCGTCGACCCGGCACAGGTCATCATGGACGAGAGCAGCTTCACCGTCAACACTGTCGCATCTCTCATGATCTACTGCATCCTCGGCCTTATCATGCAAATCTTCTTCGTTCGTGCATCGTTCGTCGACAAACGTGCGGTCGAGTCTTGCAACGCAGAAAACGAAGTTGCGCATCTCGACATTGGCCATGCATTTGCATCTGCTCCTATGCGCACCACAACGAGCGTTCTGTCCGCGCCGAGTCTCAGTCGGCAAGGTCGCCGCGCAGTCTCGCTTGCCGATGCAGTCCATGTCCACGTTCTGCAGGTTCAGAATGTCAGCGAGGCAGTCAACGAGGCGCACGAGCTGCATCGACCGGCCTTTATTTCGCGCTCAACGGACTCCTTCCAATCATGCGAGACGACCGGTCGGGCTCTGTAAGTGAGAAGACTTTGGCTGTACAGTATGTCTGTTTGCACGCCCACAGCGCAATGCCTGGCCACTTCGCGACGTTGTATAAACATGAAGAATGCAATGCAATGCAACACGATTGATCTACATGCTCTGTCTCTTGCGTCATCGTACAACGCGAATGCCCATACTTCGGCAGGAGCCAAGGACACTCGTGGCTAAGCTCTGTATGGGCACATGCTTCAGATGATCGTCTGTTGACTTTATCCGCGCAATCTCGTAGATATGCTTGAGCGTCACTTGGCCGACTTGGCCACTCGACGCGATATCCTTGGCCGTGTCAAAGAGTTGCCTTCCTGCCGGCGTCGCGCCGCTTCCAATATTGACGCCTGCTGCCTTGAGCAAGAAGTAAGACGTCGGCGGTGTCTTGATCGTGAACGTGAACGTCCTGTCGGGCTGAATGGTCAAAATGACAGCTGAATCCACTGCTGGATCAGCCACCGCCTGCTTGGTCTCGGGTATAGCTGCTCACGGGTGGGTATACCTGGCTCGAGATGAGCCGTGCGAGCATTGAACTCCTTGCAGAAGTCAGCTGCTTTGAGTCCTCGACTGCCGAGCGCAGGACCGATTGGCGGCGCTGGAGTCGCTCTCCCGCCGCCGACGATGAGCCTCGAGTGAGTCCCACGTCAGCATTGTCCTGTCTGCTCCTTATGCATGGCCTACCTGACTCGCTGTGCAGCTTTGGTAGCCATCGCTCCGGCCCTGACAGCCAGGCTGCTAGCAAAAGATGATCGGCGCGAGCAAGCTGGCGCACATTGCCTGCGCTTTGCCGGCGTCACTAACCGGGCCAAGGCATGAGCGATGCTCCAGCTGGCAGCGCTAGACGGGCTGAGAAGCAGCGAGCCCCGACGCAGTATCCGTTCTGGCTCGGCGGCGCAGCTGCATCCATGGCAGCATGCCTTACACATCCGCTCGACTTGACGAAAGTGCGGATGCAAACGCTCGGCAAAGCAGGCAAACGACAGGGCATGTTCGGTACACTCGCAGGCAGTATACGTGATGCAGGTATCAGGAAAGGTGCTTACACCGGCCTGTCTGCAAGCCTGCTGCGACAGATGACTTGTCAGTCTCGAGAGCTCCATTCTCTGCAATCGTCAGCTGAGCGCTCCTTCTGCCTCTTCGGGTGCCCCCTTGCCCCTCAACAGATTCCCTGACTCGATTCGGTGTCTATGACTCATTCAAAACCGCTCTCAGAGACAAGCAAGGCCTGCTAAAGTCATTTCTGCAGCCTTTATCGCGCTGAACATGCGCGCGTCACAGACGGTTCCCTGTCCGTCTGGAAACTAGCGCTAGCTGCAGGGGGAGCTGGCGGACTCGGCGGTCTGGCGGGTAACCCAGCAGATGTGATTCTTGTCCGGATGATTGGCGACGTGAACCGGCCGCCCGCGGAGCAATTGCGCTATCGCCATTGGTCCGTGTCGGGCCAGAGGCTGCATTCTCTCCGCTGACGCACACCACAGCTTTGATGGTCTCGCTCGCATTGTCAATACCGAAGGCGCCTTGACGCTCTTTCGTGGCTTGGGCCCAAATGTGACGCGCGCCATCCTCATGAACGCCAGTCAGCTCGCGACCTATGACACCTTCAAGGACTTCCTGCTCAGCTCCAAGCTCTACGAAGAAGGCCTCTGGCTTCACTTCAGCGCAAGTTTCTGTGCTGGCACCGTCGCTACTACCATCTGCTCTCCGTTCGACGTAATAAAGTCACGCGTAAGCCAATCAAAAGAAGTCTGCCCAGGTCTTGATGTGTCGCACAGATCATGAATGCTTCCGGCAAAGAGACTGTGAGTTTCACTGCCACCTACAACGACTTCTCTGACCATCATGGCAGGCCCTGGGCGTGGTGGCAAAGTCCTTCAAGGCGGAAGGGCCTGGCTGGGTATTTCGAGGGTGGACACCGGCGTGGATTAGACTCGGGCCAAGTGCGTGACTACATCAGACTCAAGTAAGCAGCTGACAAAATCGACAGACACCGTGGCCATCTTCCTCATCTTAGAGCAGCTGCGAGTGTTGGCTGATTCGCTGCGCACACGGTAGATCATCGATTGTAGACGACACATGAGAGCAGTACAAGTAGAAAAACATGCAACAAGGTGTACAATCACTCTTCTACGGCCCGAAGTATGTCTCTGTAGCCAGTGACGCCAGTCTGGCTTGCTCAGTCTTCCATTCTGCGTTAATGCCGGCCAGCAAAGCGTCTCTCTGAGAATGCTGTATCCGCTTCGCTTTGACCATGAACCTGGCAGAAATCGGTCTGTGATCCGAAATCTTGACCTCGTGACGCTGGTAGCTAAGCGGCGTCACTTGGCCTTTGTGCGAGGCCCGCCACAGAATGCGGTCGCACCAGGCGGGTATCCTCTTCTTTTCGGAGGAGTCGTATTCGTCCGTTCCGGGATCATACTTGTACGTCGGATTGAAAGATATCTTTGCTTCTGTAAACGCACGCAGTCTGAACGACTGATTTGTCTTCATCTGTTTGTGCAACTGGTCTTGCGCCCACAGGGCTTCCAGATCTCCTTGCTTGATAGCTTCCAGTACTGCGTCGCGCCGCATGTCTATCCTATAGTTGAGATCGCCTTGCGCCCAGACGACTTCGTGGTCGAATACATTTACACCACTACCGCCTCCATAGTAGGCATATGGTGCATGAACCGGGTGCTCAGCAAAACTTGACTTTGCTTCCAGAATGTCGACCAAGTCTTTGTTGCGCTGGCGAAGGTGTCGCTGACCTGCCGCGAGATGCATGTTGATGAAACAGAGTGAAGTGTCGTCAACGACAAGCCTTGCGAGTATCGCGCCCTACGAAGATGTAAGTCAAAGCCGCCGAGACCCCGTGCTTAGCTTACTTTATTACCATATCGCCCGCCCATGCCAGTCTTGACGTTCGTGAGCGCTACATCGCGTAAGGCAGCCCGCTCGGATGACTTGACAAAGATGCACGTGAACAGACCGACGAGATTCTCAGCTTGCAATACCTCGTAAGGCTGCGCAGGATCCATGGCCATTCGAACAGACTGAGCGAGCGTCTCGTGCCAAGCACGATAGGTATGCGAGACGGCATCCGAATAGACCGAATCCGCTCGCTTGCGACCAAAGAGCATCGTCTTGGCCGTCAGCTTCTTGCTCTCGAGATCGATCATCTCTTGGAAGCCAAAGACGAGGAGATCAGGCGAGCCGCTCGACGAAAGGAGATCGTGGAGATAAGTCATATCTTTGCCATCGCGATTGAGCTCGCGAGGCTTGTTTGCGTCGACGTTCCAGGAAGAGATGAAGACGCTGATGTCTCGGAAAGTGCAGTACTCTTCTTTGCGTGCGTCTAGGCGCGCGTCAGTCCAGTCTGTCTTGAGAAAGCCATCCCAAAAGTGAATATAACCATCGAGTCCCGCGCTGACGACATGTAGTTCGCCTCTCTGTGCAAGAAATTTAGTGTCAGTTACCAAGCGAATGGCCAGGCGCACCGAGAGCAGGACGCTTAGGTCTGCAATGATCTTGACGACGCCTTCGCTGTGGGCGCGCCAAACTTTGCGTACGATCCAGGGCTCCTTGCTCAGGTCGTAGACGTAAGTCGAACCAGTTCGGAAGCCTGCCCAGAGTAAGTCGGTCACCCCACAGAGCGCAGTCACTTGGTAATTGGATATTCTGACGACTTTGAGACACTCGAGCGTACGCTGCGACCAGACACTGACATGCCCCGTCTCGTGGCCAAGGTAGACATGATCATACCTGGGCACAATCGTGCCACTCGTTACTGCGCCCACAAAGGCAAAAGTGTCTGTCGTCATTGCAGGCTTTGACGTGAGACTAAATGCGCCAGAAGTGGCGAGAGGATCATAGACGCGTATCAGGGGACCGCGTGCACCTTTTGGCGGGGGTTGAGCTGTCCAGATCTTGTTACCTATGAGCAAGACGGCAGTCTGATGGTCAAATAGATGTATGCGCTGCGTCCTCGGCACGTCTGTAATGCTGCAGGTGCTCTGATCGCCGGCAGCGACGTCGCTGGTGAAAGTTTGCACTTTGCCAGACTCATCGATGGTGACCATACTTCGGCCGATCTGCTGTATAGTTGTGATGCGCCCAGTATGAAGCGATGAGCGATGTTGAACGACCCGATCCTGCTGTATGTCGATCTCCGCGAGCACACCGTCACGCGTCCCGGCCCATACAATGCGAGGTGAATCGCGAGGATTAGCCTCTGCGCGAAAACAGAGTGCTGTGATGCGATGCTCGCTGCTTGCAAGAGCGATCGAATATCGCTCGAAGCCCGAGAGCGAGTCATAGACGCGGAGATGGTGCTGTCCAGCCGCACAAACGAGTCGATCATGCACCGCGAAAGCTAAGATCTGATGTTTCGAATGACAGGACCGGGGTGGGTCCGTCACCGGCGGCCTGCGATTAGCGAATGCAGATTCTGGCAATTCGTCGGCACGGCCTTTCGCGCTCGAGTCGTCGTCCGCTTCTGGGCTTTCATCGGACTCCGAGTCGTTGCCGTTCGCAAAAGATGACGACGTCATCGCTCGAGAACGTCTGATGGGCACCGCAAGCGCTGCAGCGGCTGCGGTACGCGAAGGTGGCACTGGCAGGCCTGCCAGCGACGTGATGCCTGGCTCGGTTCTTGGCGGCGTGAGAGGTCTAGGCGGGACAGGCGGAGCTGTGAGACCGTTTGCCGTCTGGACGCTGCGTGCATTGGCAAGCGCTTGCTGGGATGGCCTCGGCGGCACTTTGGGCGGAGCCTGCGAGGGTGTAAGCGGTCTCGAATCGAACGGATCTTCAGCAGAAGCTCCTATGAGGGTATGTGTCGGTCTCGGAGGCACAACTGGCTTGGGAGACGGCTCGGCCAAGGCAGTGGGCTCGCCTGGCGATGACGAGGGCGAGGCAAAGTAGGTCTTGCGTTCGGTCACTGGCGAATGCTGTTCGTCGTACAGTCGATGAGTGCGGATCAGCTTTGGCTTGGGCAGTTCAGACTCGTCATACGAGTCATTGTCGGACGAGGCAAGCGAGAGCGAACGAGCAGGGGAGACCGTCAGCACCGATGGCCTTTCGAGCGGGAGCGGCGGCGGCGGTGCTTTGCGTCGCCAGGCAGGCATACTCTCTGGCGGGGGCAAGGAGCGAGCGACGACCTGTGAGAGCGGGTCCGAGGATGACCCTCTTCGACTGCTCTGGCCAGACTGGCTCGGACGAGTTGGCAAGTCTGGCGCCGAGGCCAAACTGACCTTGCTACCCCGCCGAGACAGTGCAGCGTCATCGTCGCTGAGTGTCTGAGCATCCCGTGTCAGTGATGGAGCTGTCCCATACTGGCCCGACGATCCGGAGCTGAGCAGAGAAGTCCTTGATCCATTTGCCGGCCTGACGGGCTGTACGGTCGCCGGCGTGCTCTGGCTCGGTTTGGCGAGGCTGAGCTGCTCGAAGCGACTCTTGAGCGAGCGGACATCGTAGACCTCATCTTGCTCGGCCTCTGCTACTCCGGCCATGATCTGCTTCCATCTAGCCGGAGCAGTTCAGCTTGTCGCCATGTCCTGTCCTGTCCTGTCCTGGTCGGCTTGTGATGCGCGCGCGCCTGCTTGTCGACGACCTTGGATGAATCTTGAGCTCACCAGTCAGCCAATGCCATCTTCTAGCAGCACACATCTCATGCAGGCCGGGCAGATCCCTTCGCCCAGAGCTTTCCAGAGACGATAGACTGCTCACTCGACAGCTATGCGAGCATCGTCAAATTCAATTCTGGCGGCCTCTTTGCAGGTCACTTCATCGCCGTCGGCCGCTCAGATGGCTGCATCAGCATCATCGACTTTGAGACAAAGGGCACTATCAAATTCTTCGAAGGCCATGTCAAGGCCATCACGTCCATCTGGTCAGTTGACTCTCTCTCTCGAAACGACGAGGTGACGCGCGAGTCTGACGGAGGAGCGAGGTCGTCAGCTGGTCAAAGAACGGTCGCTATCTACTGAGTGCATCCAAAGACTGGAACGTCATCATCTGGGATGTCGAGACGGGCGAACGTCGCGACGCTGTCAGGTGCGATGCACCCGTCACTAACGCGCAATTCCATCCTCGCAACAGGTAGGCGATGCCGAGGTGCGTCGATGTGCCACGACTCACGCCGCCTGCTGGACAGTAAGGTGCTCGTCGCTACGCTGCAGAACCAAGCCGACGCGATGCTGATCGACCTGCGCAAGCAACGCGGCGGACGCTGGCTCCTTGAGGCTGAGCAGGAAGACGATATGGACACGACAGACGATCAGGCGCCAAAGAAGGCCCCGCGCAGAAGGTCGAGCGCTCACCCTACGAGTCAACAGAGCTGACCGGGGCAGCAATCCCATGACAGGAATGCGGCCACTGCGGTCACCTTCAACACGACCGGCGAGCTCATCTTTGTCGGCACAAGCCAAGGCAGTCTGCATATCTACGAGACTGCCACGCGCCAGGTTTGCGTCCACTCGCTAGAAGCTTGCACAGAGCTTATAGCGCGACCAGTTGCTTCATACTGAGATCGTCTCTCCCAACTCGGCGTTGAGAGGCTTGCGCTTCGACAAACGGGGCGCGTCAGTCTGATCGCATCACTTCTGGTAGAGCAAGCCTGATTGCGATTATGCAGCTCTTTGGTCGTCAATTCAGGCGACAGATGCGTTCGGATCTATGCGATGGACGCGCAAGACGGAAGCATGATCATGCAACACAAATTTACCGATCTCATCAGTCGCACACCCTGGAAAGACTGTGCATTCTCACCAGACGGCGACTACGTCATCGGCGGCGCAGATTCAAGCTCTTCCCATAATGTCTACATCTGGGATGTCGCCACCGGCACGCTCACAAAGATTCTCGAAGGTCCGAAAGATCCTCTAGAGGCGATAGACGTATGTTGCGCCTCATTCTTGCCAGGACCGAGCTGATCCGCAGCGATAGTGGCATCCCCTCAAGCCGATCGTGATCAGCGCATCGAGCCTCGGGCTGATCCATGTCTGGGTCACCAGTACGACAGAAAGCTGGTCCGCCTATGCGCCTGGCTTCGAGGAGCTTCAAGAGAACGTCGAGTATCAAGAAGCAGAGGACGAATTCGACATTGTCGGTCTCCTTGCTTATCCGTAGGCACATCGTGCTCACAGGACGCACCGTAGGAAGACGAGACGATCGTGAAGCAGAGGAAGCAAGACGAACAAGACTTTCCAGTCGATGCTTTCACGATCGACCGGCCTGCTACGCCGCCGCTAGATGACTATGCAGATGAATCGCCTGACGAGGACGCTTTCGAGTTCTATCCTACCGTGGCTGGACCAGGTCGAGGCCGTCTAGAAGAGCTCGTCTAGCGTTGCGCTTTCAGCCAGCTCCGAACGGCGTCAGCCAGCTCTTCACGGTGTTCCAGGAAAAAATGGTCGGCGCCAGCTAGCGGACGAACAGTCAGGCTGGCGGGAGTCGCTTTGCGACTGAGCACACCCGTCCAGCGCGCGTATGCCGAATGCGAAGTAAAGGCATCTTGCGTGCCAAAGACGACGAGGATCCGATGATGCCTCGCAACGCTGTCAAAGGACGTGTAGAGCCAACCGGTCTGGAAGGAGCACAAAGCCCAGATCAAGCTGACAGGCATCGCGATCCAGCAGAAGCTCAGCTCGACGTCTTGGGTGGCAGCATGATGACCAAGAGCAGCACTCATTGCTCCAGCGGAGTAGCCAATGCAAAATCCATGAAGCCGTCCAAGATGACCTCTCGCGTCAATCATCTCTTGCACGAGCGCAAGGAAGTCCTTTGCCTCGGTCTGACGGGTCCATGTTGCGCTCAAGCCACTCGAGGGTGTCCCACGGGCATTGTAGGTGAGCACGTCGATGCCTTGCTCCAGACAGCACTTCGTGAGGAGCTTGACGATGGGATCGTCAAAGTCTCCGCCATATGCCGCGAGAGGGTGTGCTATGACGGCAAACTGCGACGCTAGATGCAACTCGCTCGCTCTGAACAGTCTCGTACGAAGCTGAGTCCCTGCTGAAACTCGCTCGACCAGCATGCCTGACCGGTCCAGGCGATCGGAACGCCGCGCGCTGGTTGTTGATCAGCTCGGCCGAGAAGCCTGGGCGTGACAAATCACGGCCTGATCTGAGAGGAGGATCTCAGAGAGGCGGAGCTGTCCCGTGTCTGTCCTGAGAGCCGCAGTCCGAGTAGAGCGAACTGCCTTGCAGAGAAGACTAGGTCCGTGCGTAGTGACCGCCGGCCGCCTAGCTCAGTCGGCATCACCCACGCCGTCGCCCTATCTCCTCGCGCGCTTTGCCTGCACATTCTTGGCCAAGCCGGCTCGGACTCGATCTCGAGCCAGACTATCACCGACACCACAGACATACAAGCCACTCTGAGCTCGCACGACGGCCCGGACTTCACTCCGAGCGACGTCAGATCGAGCTCACACTCGTACACTGCGGCAGCCTAATTCCCGCGGCGGAAGCAATCACTCGGCGCAGTCCATGGCCACCCCTATCTGACACAGCACAGAACATCCTGCCACGCACACCAGCGGAGCGTTGTCAGCTACACATCGCCATCGCGCACTGTCACAAACCTGAAGAGGGCGACACGCAATCTCACGCTGAAGAGGCATGGGAATCTTTGACCGCAACACAAACACAACGCATCACAGTAGGTCCTCGCTCGTGCCGTCTGCTGCATCTCATCAGATCCGCTCGGCAGATCACAGAGACGAGCTTGCCCGACGGTCCTCCAATTTCGGCGGCTCATCTCAGCAAGCCGGCATGACGCCCTTGCGCTCGAGAGACGAAGAAGATGGCCAGCTGCCTCGTCACAGCACCATGCAGGCCTCCCACTCGGGAGCTCGTATGGTCCCTATCTCTGAGAGTCGAAGCAAAAGCAAGATCAGACAACGCTTCGACAAGAGCAAGTCATCCTGTTTCACCCTCGTTGAACGAGCTGATGATCGTCAGCATTGCAGTGACCGACTTTGACTTGCTGGCCATGTTCGAGCCCAAGCGCAAGCCCGGCCGACCGAGGACAGTCCTCTTCGGCCATCCGCTCCCGGTTCAGGCATGGGCCCCCTCCAAAGCAGGTCAGAAGCAGATCAAGAAGCAAGGCATGGATCCTCAGTCCGATCAGCTCGATCGCGCGGTAGGCAAAGTCCCTGCACCTGAGTGGGAGTTCAGCAGCAACCAGGCAAGCTCTGCTGTCGCTTGCAATCATTCCGTGCGCTGATCGCGCGAAGTAGGTTCTGACAAGCAAATACAACGTCCTCACATTCATCCCCAAGAATCTGCTCGAACAGTTCAGAAGAGTCGCCAACATCTTCTTCTTGATCCTCGTCATCTTGCAATTCTTCCCTAGATTCTCCAATGTCTCGCCCGCCCTCGCTGCACTGCCGCTCATCGTCGTCTTGGCACTCGCTGCTGTCAAAGACGCATACGAGGATGTCCAAAGGCACCGCTCGGATCGCACTATCAACAATCTTACCATCAAGACCCTCAAGGGCCCTGGCTTCCACAATGTGAACATCACCGAGGAGAAACGCAAGGCAGTCTCGCTCGTCACGCTCTTTCCCTTCCTTTCTGGCTTCCATATCGGCACGAAGCACGATGTCAAAAAGGCAGCAGAAGAAAGTGAACGGCAGCGCCTGGCAGAAGAGGCCGAGCTGAAGCAGATTAGCGAGAAACACCACAAGGATCATACGAGGAACTTCTGGGGCAGGAAGAAGCGCAGAGTTAGTAAAATGCCCGCGCCTGCGTATGACGAGACGGACCCCTCGGTGGACCCAGAAAAGCAGTACGCCTCCCCGCCTATCGATGCTCCAGGCGGTGGCAACCTCCAGTCTGCGACAGGCAAGCGAGCTGAGGAGGCCGGCGTGATTGAGCCAGACTATTCAGAATCTCCACTTGGCGAAATTGACAACGAGGCATCAAAAGCTTCGTCCGGCGATGGTACAGGCTGGACCAATCAGACTTGGGAAAACCTGCGGGTAGGCGACTTTGTCCTTTTGAGGAACGACGACAGCATACCAGCCGATATTGTCATCTGCGCCACTTCCGAGGAGGAAAATGTCTGCTACGTTGAGACCAAGAATCTGGATGGCGAAACCAACCTCAAATCTCGATCGGCGATTCCGGAGCTATCTCACCTTCGTACTGCCAAAGAGTGTGCAAGAGCTCGCTTCATTATGCACGGAGACGTCGCCGACAACAACATGTTCAAATTGTCCGCAGCTATCGAACTCCTTGACGGGCCCAAGGCTCATGACGGCGCAAATCTTCGGGCCCCCATCACGCTTAATACCACTTTGCTCCGTGGCTGCGTGCTTCGCAACACAGATTGGGTCATCGGCGTCGTGCTCTTCACTGGCTCGGATACGAAGATCGTTCTCAATTCTGGTGGCACACCTTCAAAGCGATCAAAGATCGAGAGACTCATGAATCCTATGGTCTTCATCAATCTTGGCCTACTGGCTCTCATGTGCATGATGTGCGCCATCGGCGATCACTTCTCTGAGCAATACTATTACGATCGAAACGCTTACTGGGAGTATCGGGCTGATCGCTCTGACGACAACCCTCGCATCAACGGCATTGTCTCGTTCGCCAACGCGATGATCACTTTCCAGAACATTGTCCCCATCTCGCTTTACATCTCCATCGAGGTTGTCAGAACTGCGCAAGCCTTCTTTATCTGGGGCGACGACGAGATCACCTATAAGCCCACCCAGCGACGCACGCTTGCGCGCTCGTGGAATCTTTCTGACGATCTTGGTCAAATTGAATATGTTTTCTCTGACAAGACGGGTACACTGACACAGGCAAGTTTTCTAGCATGTCACATTGCCATCTGCTGACATGCATGCACACACAGAATCAAATGCAATTCAGGGAATGCTCTGTCGGTGGCGTCATATACCGAAGCGACCAGCCTGCTTCCGACGGCTCATCTCATGAGAAGGGCGGCAAGGCATCCACACTAGGCTCAGATCGATCAGACTCTGACACGGACGTCAAGCATTCGCCCACTACGTCTTCGCCGGATGCCCAAGAGACTTTTGTCTGCAAGCAGATCGGTCAAGAACTTGCTGACACAGCTTCGCCGCAAGCTCGCCGGATATATGGCTTCTTCGCCAATCTGGCGTTGTGCCACACCGTGCTAGCATCAGAGGACGCAGATGGCTCTATCCAGTACAAAGCGCAATCACCTGACGAGGCAGCTCTCGTACAAGCAGCTGCCGACGTTGGCTTCATCTTCCGCGGACGAGACAAGAATATCTTGCGCATCGAAACGCCCGGCAGTCACGAGCTCAGCGAATTCGAATTGCTCAATGTGCTCGAATTCACTAGCGCCCGCAAGCGTATGAGCGTCGTTGTTCGCAAATTAGATGGCGACCACAGGCTCTTCTTACTCGTCAAAGGCGCAGACAACGTTGTCTTCGAACGTCTAGCAGCCGGCAATGAAGAGCTCAAGCGGACGACGGACCAGCACCTCGAGGTCTTTGCATCCGAAGGCCTGCGCACGTTGACTCTTGCTTACAAAGACCTCGACGCCAAGGAATACGAAGATTGGGCTTCAGAGTACCACGCTGCGACCGTGGCGATGGATGACCGCGAAGCCAAGATTGAGGAGGTCTCAGCAAAGATCGAAAACAATCTTCAATTACTGGGCGCAACAGCTATCGAAGACAAGCTACAAGAGGGCGTACCTGAAGCCATTGCCGACCTGAAGCGTGCAGGTATCAAGGTTTGGGTTGCTACAGGCGACAAGCTTGAGACAGCCATCGCTATCGGCATGAGCTCCAATTTGCTGACGCGGGACATGAATCTTATTATCGTCAAAGGCGGTGCATACGATGGCACGCGCAAATCAGCATACTATCAGCTTCGCAAAGCACTTGTTGACTTTTTCGGCGGAAGTCAGCTTGTAGATGACCTGCAGCATCAACCACCAGGTCTAGAGCGCTCGATCAGTCGTGGCTCGAAGCGGCCTGGTCATCGGACCCAGCTCTCGCAAGCCAGCGGTATGTCGCGCACCAGCGAAGCCGACGACGGACTGGCAGATATTGTTGGCAACGACAACGGTCAGCGTACAGGCGGCTACGGTCTCGTCATTGATGGCTCGTCTCTCACTCACGCCTTTCAAGAGGAATTCACGAAAGAGCTAATGCTCGAGCTGTCGACGCGATGCCAAGCCGTGGTCTGCTGCAGAACTTCACCATTACAGAAAGCGCTCATCGTCAAATTGGTGAGAGAAGGTCTCGGCGCAATGTGTCTTGCAATAGGCGACGGCGCCAACGACGTTTCGATGATCCAAGCCGCAGACGTCGGCGTCGGCGTTGCGGGCGAAGAGGGTTTACAAGCCGTCAACAGCTCGGACTACGCAATTGGTCAATTTGCATATCTCAAGCGACTCTTGCTCGTGCATGGGCATTGGTCATATATGCGAAATGCCAATATGATCGTCAATTTCTTCTACAAAGAAATCATTGGCATTGCGATACTATTCTTCTTCCAGTTCTACTGCGCATACAGCACGACAACCGTATACGAATACATCTATCTGCTTCTGTGGAACATCATCTGGTCGCTCCTGCCGGTGATTGCGATTGGCTTCTTCGATCGCAACATATCTGATCGCGTCCTCATGGCCGTACCGGAGCTTTACCGCTACGGTCGCGAGCACACTTTCTTTGGCATCTCCCGCTTCTGCTGGTACATGATCGACGGCATCTATCAAGGCGCTGTCATCTACTTCTTCGTATCGTATACTTATGACACAACCACATCAAGGCAAGACGGCTACGGCACTTATCTTTACGAATGGAGTACCACCGCCGCCATCGCGGCTGTCATAGCACTCAATATGTACAACGGGCTCAATACGCATGCCTGGACTGGCTGGGTCGTCTTTGCCCTTCTTGTCGGTCCTGTGCTCGTATTGGCTTTCACAGCAGTCTATTCTGCTATCTCTCCTGGTCAGTAACGCCTGCATGATGATGCTTCGAGGCTAATTACGGAGATACAGGCTGGATATCAACCGATGTCTACGGCAACAACTCTTTCCTGTGGCCGTCGGCTTATTTCTACTTCAGCATACTGTTGACCGTCGTTCTGGCGCTGATGCCACGCACACTCGTCCGGTACTATAAGGAGATGTACATACCGACCGATATTGACATTCTCAAATGGGTCGGGAAATACGATCCAAACCAGTGCGTCTCAGGCAGATCCTAGCCGTGACAGGTGCTAACGGGCACTTCACAGTGACTTTGAGAACGACCCACAAATGCCCATCACGCCTGCGCGGAAAGAGAAAGCAGAAGCTGGCTCGCCCCGCATGTCTGCTCAGCTACCGAGGACGGGTACGCTCACTCGACAGGTCACGGACATGTCAGGCCACAATGCGCCCTTGCGAGGCTTCGGCTTCGACATGGACGATTCGACGGGCGCAGCCGCTGTCGGGCGACCTCTGCGGACGTATACCTCGAGGACATCATCGAATCTGCAAGTGCCGACGACTAGAAATCGACGAGGATCGATCAGGCTCGCCGGCATCGATCTCGGTTTCCCTACCCTGAAGCGGGACCCCACTTCTGCAAAGAGGAGGGTCACTTGGCGCTCGCGTGCGAATACGCGCGCATCCATGGCGACCAGCGAGGATGGTCTGAGTGCGCCGAACACGCCGCGGGCGGGTGCGGAGGCGTCGCCTTCAGCATCTCCGAACGCGCAAACGACCCTGTCACCGGCAGTGCTGGGCTCGCCTGACACGCCCACTAGGTCACCCAGCGGGCACTTTGATGTCTTCAACCGCAGAAAGACGCCACATTCTTGAGATCCTCTAATGCTTGCCCTATTGCACACACGTGTACAACAATGAATCAAGGTCTAAACTGCGTCAAGGGTTTCTAGAATGCGCTTTCTCGAATGATCGTGAGTTCTGCTTGCAAGCTTTCAAGATACTATCTCTAGTGCAGTGTCTGCATTGAAGTCGCCGTCGTTGGCTACGTCTCGCGCGCGCAGGTGGCTCGCGTCTGAGACTGCCACGACAGCGCCCTTGGGAGGGTTTGCGGACTGATCGACAGAGATGGTCGTCAGACTGCAGTTTGCGATCGATGGCGTCGATGGTATCTCAGCTGGCGCACTGTAGCCTGAGGTTCCTATCAGGTCTGGTATAATCGCTTTGATTGGTCCTGAAGAAAACACAAGATGAGCCCATGTCAGGCGCCTGTAGCAGCTTGGGCAGACCTCCGTGCGATATGACGAGGACCGTTTGGCCGGTTCGGTCGGTGGCAAACAGCATTGACCAGAAGGAGCGTAGTCGAGCGATGAAGACGTCGAACGGCTCTGCGCCTTCGACATGGCCACCTCTCGGGACTTGACCATAAATCGTGCCCTCGAGTTTCCCCAAGCCTCTCTCGCGTATCTCGGGACAGATCTGGATGGGCAGGTGCCGATGATGCTGACCGATGATCTCTGCAGTCTTGCGGCACCTGACAAGATCAGACGAGTAGATGGCGTCTACCTTGCGATTCTTGAGGTGCTCCGCCGTGCTGTGAGCTTGAACTTCGCCGACGCTGTGAAGTGGGGTATCGATCCAGCCCTGGATCCTGCGCTGAGCGTTGTCTGCCGTCTCGCCATGTCTGATCCAGATGACTGTCGTGCTCATGCGATCACGTCCCTGGACAGGACAGGACAGGACAGGACAGGGCGACGCTCGGCGTGGCTGCACCTCAACCGACGCGACGCTCGTCCGCCGCTCACTGCGACGTCAAAGTACGAGCCGGTCATGCCAGCCAAGAAGCCGATCCTGCCACCGGGCGTCAAGCAAAGCAACAGTGTCACCAGTGCGCCCGAACCACCGAAGGCGTCGAGCAGCAGGAGCGGTGCCAATGCTTTGGATGAGCTCATAACATCCTACTTTGATGCGACACCACCCCGCCTGCAGCTCATCGACGCCTTCCTCGTCTTTCTCATGCTGAGCGGGATCGGACAATTCCTGTACTGTCTGCTGCTCGTGCGATATCCCTTCAACGCGTTCCTTGCAGGGTCAGCCTCGCTAGGAAGTGCATGCCCGTGAGCTAAATCTCCTTCCCGACAGCTTCTCGAGCACCATCGGACAGTTCGTCTTACTCGCCTCACTCCGCAGTCAGGTCAATCCTGGATCGAGGAGCGAGTTCTCGAAGATATCGCCAGAGAGGCAAGTCTGGCGCTGCTAGCCATGGCCTGACTGACGCTGCGCCGACAGAGCGTTCGCCGACTTTATCTTTGGCAGCGTCGTCCTCCACTTCCTCGTCTTCAACTTCCTCGGCTAGCCATGCGAGCTGATATGCAAGAATACGGGCGTGGATGTAGTACAACAGTGTAATGTGTAAAGTGACGCATCACGCGTAGAATCTGTCCAACGATGCATCAGCGGAGTAGCAAATCGGATCTGAGAGAAGGACTGACTTGCGACCGATGAGGTGAAGCAGCATTGTCTGGCAGACAAATCAGCGCTACTCGACTCGTCACAGGAATGGCTTACCAGGTTGAATTTGGCTACTTCGACCGCGATGCCTTGTTGGTTGTTGAACTGTGCCTCGAGCTGCGTCCGAGTCAGCCAGACTCCCGCACGCCATCAGTAGACGCACGAGATCTTCCATTTTAAATTCTGAGTGGCCGCCCTTGACGGTTGCACCGTTCCAAGCAATCGTGACAGCAAACACGCCGACTTCGTCGGAGCTGAATGTCAGAGTGACCTTATCGAATTGTCGCGGGCTGAATTGGTCGATGCTGATGAGCACATTCTTGTCATACAGCTGCTGCGCATTGTACTTGTAGCTGCCAAACTTTGGCTTCTTCTGACCAGACTTTGCAAGATCCCGTTCGTGCCAGAATTGCCGCGTGAAGGGTAGCGTGAGCCTTCGCTTCTTTTTGCCTGCCACATTGCCGCCAGTCTGTATCGTGTTCATCGCTGAATCGACATAGTCGTGATATTGCTTTTTCTGATCGGAGAGATAGCGATGCTTCTGCGCCAAGCCTTGCAGCGTCAGTGTCATTGCAGCTAGCTCCCGCTGTCGTTGCAGTCGCTGTCGATGCTTTGTACGGATGTCAATCGCGATCAGGTCCAACATCTGCGCGTCTGTCAATTATCTCCCAAAGTGATGGCCGGAGCAGACACACTCTCTGGAAATTGTCGGCGCGATCGACCTTGCGCATGCGCTCAAGCTCCAGTATGCCCTGCAAGGCACGCGCCTTGAGCTCGGCGAAAGCGATCCCTTGTACGTCGTCCAGGTATGCTTTGCGAACATCTGCTGTCAAAGGCCCGCGCGATTGACGATGACGCGCTCGGATGGAGGCAGATTCTTCCTCAAGAACTTCTGCCCAGAGAAGCTCGTGATCCTCGTAGACAGGTCGCAAGAGGAGATCAAACAGATTATCGCCAAGCTGTACTTTGAGCAGCGAGACCACGTATCGCTTCGTACGGACGAGCACAGCCTTTTCTTCCGGCTGGCCACGCTCTTGGATCTCTTCATTTTGGTTGCTTAGGCTGAGTGCGATCTCGCCTGCCCGTGCTTTGTGTAGCTCGCCTGTTGCGATCTGCGGCGCACCTCCTAGCTCGAACAGCAAGTCTCGCAAGGCATCAACTTTGCTCGGTGCCTGTCATGCGAGTCAGCGAGGGTTGAACACGAGCAAGATTGCTCACAATGATCTCGAGGTGTTGCAAGATAATCGAGTGCATCGAATAAATCTCATTTGGAGAAATATAGATTACCGGCCTTCGGGCGACTGTATAGTCGAGGTATTGATCTGCCTGGAAGTGCGTTTCTGCGTCTGGCACGTCGATAACTGCAGCACACGTCAGCCACGCGAACTAAGAGCGTTCCGTACTGACTATCGAAAAACGCGTCTGTCCAGCGTGCTGAAGCAGCGGCGATGTACTCGTTGAGTGAGCAGAGGTAGCTCAGATCTTCGCCGTCAGTATCTTGGCCAAAGTATTGCGTGCTGGCGACCATGCGCATCATGCGGGAAACCTCGGCGAGATTGCGACGTTGCGTATCTGTCGGTACGTTCTCCGTCATTGCAAAGTCGTCTGGTTTGAGCACGGCAGGATCGACCCATCGTTCGTAGATCAGCTGACCGACGATGCGAACGAGCTCGACATCTTCCGCGTCCTTGAACTTGATGCGCAACGCCCGGAAGATTTCGCGAGCGACATAGCGGACGCCAAAAGGGATTCGTTGCATCGAGCCGATGAAGCCCTGCATGTACGTCTCCGTGACCGCTCGGAGCGCTTGTAGGTTGCGAACAAAGATGCTCCTTGTAATCGGATCGGAAAGGGCTTGAAGGCCGTCGATGTTACCACGCATCCGCTGACTCGTCAAGCCAGTCTCTGCTTCTTCTTGATCAACAGACGTGTGATGGATTGCTCGCGGATCAGTCTCGAGCGTCATGCGCGAAGCAGCAAAGAAGCTTTTGACGACGCCGCCAAAAGTCTCGCGCATGTATCGCCGGTCGCCCGGGCTTTGCGCATATCGAGCGAAAAGCTCCAGATAGGCATACCGTCCAGCGAGTATATCCGTCGGATTGCGCAAGTAGAGTATCTCTTCATGCAAAGATCGTTGGATGAGCTTCAGCAAGAGATGCTCTTCACGTGCATCTTGTGCAAAGCCGAACATCGTCAGGACGGTCTGCTCGATATCTTTGCGAGGCCTGTCGCCGAGTCTTGCTTGACTGAGACATCTGAAAAGTCGAGCGAGGTACTCTGGCTTTGTTTGCAAGAGATAGAAGATGCTCTGGTAAAGCTCAAGCTTGCGCAACGTGCCTTTGTCTAAGGCAGATAACGCGAATGGATCTCGAGCAGCACTGAGCACGCTTCTGCCATGATGAGCGTCCATGACGCCCGCCGCGGCACGTGAGCGGATGATCTCGTCAAGAGTGATCTTATTCTTGACTAGCAAAGCGATCTTGAGATCGAGTTCGTTGACTTCGATCTCTAGAGACTGATTGACCCGGATCTTCTGCACTACATCCTGCTTTAATCGCTCTATCTCGATTTCTTCGACGCAATCCGCATTCGAATCGCTCAGCAGATGTACGAAGCGTTGTACGGTCTGAACTGGAACGACTTTGCCGAACATGAGCTGGCGGTACTGTTGGCCTTGTTGCTTTGAGCGGAAGAGCGCTTGTATCTTGACGACCTTGTCAACATTGCGAAAGTAATGTGAAAACAGCGCGTGGTACCGCAAGCGAGCTATGACAGCGCGACATTGGCCTTGAAATCGCGTCATCGTCGGCTCATTGCGTTCGAGTCGACTTTTCAACGAGACGAGCCGATAGCGAGCCTGACTCGCACGTGCAATTGCCTGAAGGCCAGCGGTCTCCGAGTGGCAATCGTAGAGCTGCGTTCTGAGCTTGCTTGTCCCGGACCGCTGCCTCTGACCACGTACGAAGCTCTGGAAGCCGACCAGTGTGGTCGTGAAGCCAGGTGCTGCGATGCTTGCCTTGAATCGAGCATGCCGCTGACGAACCATAAAGCCTCGTGTTACGGACTGCAAGGCGGCAGCAGTAAACGAGAAGCGACGAAGTTCGCGCACCCGGATGAGCATGTTGCGACGAGCAAGAATACCCCGACACAATGCCTGAAGCGGAATGAGTGACCCTTGACGGCATTGTAGGCTGAAGATGAGCGTTTCTTGTCTCTGTCGAATGAGAGCACCCCTGGCTCGGCTTTGCAAGCTCGTGATCCATGCCGCAGTCTCGTCGCGCTTCTGGCAGGCATATGCAAAACGCTGTCGACTTAGGTATGCACGCGCAAGCGTCTGCAGCTCTGTCGCTGCTTGCTCTCGCCGTCTGGTCTCTCTCTGCCGTTCGTAGAGCTCACGGGATTGCTCCTGCTCGAGCTGACGTTCGTACTCTGCGCGTTCACGCTGGCGCTGACGCTCGATCTGCTCGCGTTCGTACTGACGTCGCGCCTCGTCATGTTCGTGCTGACGCTGACGCTCCTCGTCTGCGCGTTGACGTTGCAGATTATCAAACTCGCGCTGACGGTCATAATCTGCTTGTTCTTCTTTGACGCGTGCAGCTTTCTCATCATGCGCACGCCGGTGGTCCTGAACAGGCACAGTCTCTTTCGCCAAGGTGGCGGTGATTGAGCTGAAATTGGGTAGCGTGACCCCGCTAGAGTCAAGACCTCGCTGCTTACGATCTAGCTCCTCGTCTGCTCAGCTGAGTCAGCTCTGGTTCGCTTTGACAAATGTAAGCGTACCCGTGAACTCTAGCCTACCGACTAGATTTCCGACGGGAGTGGCCATTCCTTTGCCAGCTAAGAAGTGGCCAAGGGCATGGATACAGAAGATGACCTTGGGTAGATTGCGGGCTTCATAAAGATCAACGAGCTCGAAGATGAAGGTTTCCGGCAGGCCTATGTTTCTGACGAAGGTCAAGAAATGGTTGATATTGTCCGAGTGCCGGAACTGGAGCTTAGGATGCTGCGTGCATTCGATCAGCACGGCAGAGAAGCTTCAGTCGAATACGCACGACGAAGATGCGTTGGACGACCCGTTCGCCTTCGTAAGCTCGGGCGAGATGCGCTAAAGCGACGCCATCGCGCAAAGATTCCTCAAGATCGACAATGCCCTTGGCGGACAGGTTCTGAGCCATCGAAGCAGCGACATCACTGGCAGACGAGATCGAAGAGGAAGCCAAGCAATTCTTGAGCCAGTCTTGAGCTTCGCCGACATGACACAGATATTCGTAGACATGCAGGACGTGTCTCTGCGAATCCATTGCGCGCATGTTCTGAGATGGCAGCTGGTTTGTGTCTGCAAGGCCCGAAGGCTGACTTGCTTGTAGTCGTAGTCGTCCATTCATACCAGAGACTGCATGAGCGTGACCTGTCAGTCCGGGCACGTAGAGCTCTCCCGTACCGTCGTCTCCTGCTCCGAGGGGCAAGTGTCGACCAGCGACAGATTTGATCATGTCAATTTTTGGCGAGGCGGGGAACGAAGGCAGGAGAGAGGGATCCAAATGGTTGACAGACTGTGTACGTGCTCGCATCATCGGTCGCGAAGGCACGGCAGGCTCTTGACGCGCTGGTGAAGCATATGAAGAGGCTACAGAATGAGCCAAAGGCTGAGGACGATATAGCGCTGGCTCTGCTTGGGAGTTGCCTGCGCGAGGATACCCTGACAGGCTCTGCCGTTTCCAGGCGTTCGAACTCGTGTCCACTTGTGGGGGATTGAATTGAGCAGGACTGGCAGGTCTCGAAACGGTCGAGCGACTAGGCACAAATGCAACGTGATCCGGGTTGTCGCGGCCAGTTTGCGATGCAGCAAGTTCATAGCGGTCTTTGAGGGCGCCAAAGGATGTAGAGTTGCCGGGCGCCCAGGTCTTACGCTTGTCTTCGCGCGAGGTGACCGGCGCAACCGCGAAGGCAGGCGCGATCTGTGCACGAGCTGCCGCTCGAATGGGCGAGTCTGACAATTGGTACCTCACAAGGCCATCGGTGCCATTGAGACTACCACTCGATTCGCTTTTTGCTTCGATGGGGCGAGGCAGCGGTCTGCTCGGCGTTGTCTGAGCTGGCTTGTCGCTGATGGGCACCGTGCGCACAGGCGACTCGACCTGATTTCTGATATCCTGTCCGAACGTACGAGCCGGACTGGAAGGTCTCTGGGTAGCATCATGACGGCTATACCGACTAGTGTACACAAAGGGCTTGTCTTGTTCGAGCGCTTCATCCTTGGCACGGTCTATGAGCCGTGTTGTGCTCGAGCCGCCCAAGAAGGGCAGATCTGTATCGAGCGAGGCCGATGTAGCCGGTCTGGCAGCATCAAGATCGACGCTGCTGGACCAGATCGACCGCCTCCGCTGCATTGCCGTCGTCAACAGCCAGGTTTGGTCGAGTGCACAGCGAGGGAACGGTCGAGACACGTCTGAGCGAGGAGCGTGCCTGAAACACGTGACTTGGCCCACTCGCCGAAGTCACTGGCCGCCAACGGGGTGATAGGCTACTTCTCAAAGGTTTCTCACAAGGCTGCGGGCGCATCGACGTACACGGCAAGGACGCTTGTCGATCGCTCTCCTGCCAGCATGACCTGCGCCGCGAGATAGTCAGGTCGAGCACTCCACGACTCTGAGGCTCGAGCCAAGTGCGCTCGTTCTATCCTTTGCAAGCATGGTGGCATCTCTCGCAGCCAGCGACCTGGCCTCGACGCCAGTTTCGCCGAATAAGATGACGTTCGGCGGCAGCAGCAGCAGCAACGGCACACCGGTCGCCACCCAGTCTGGTCCCAAGCAGAAGCGATTACAGAGCAGTAGCAGCACCCACTCGAGTGCAAGCACGAGCAGCAGTGCCGGCGCTTCTACCTCGGGATGGAAGAAGATCCTCACCCGCCTGGGCTCCTCTTCCGGCACCTCTCGCGATACCACGCCCTCGCCTATCCAGACGAACAAAGCTCGAGCAGCCACTCGCTCGACAACCAGCACCAGTCCACTCGCATCGCCTAGCTTGCCTACCCAGAGCTCCTTGGGCAGCATAGACGGCCTGCAGAGCGCGAGCACGAGCAGCTCCGCCTCTGCATCTGGCTCATTACACTCTGCCTCTCCTGTCGTTTCGTCTCATGGCAAGCGTGTCGCGAGTGGCTCCTCGACGCTCACCTCGGTCTCGTCCCAGTCTGTCTCGCCTTCTGTCGTAGCATCTTACAAGTACGCCGAGGCGAGGAACGCAGACCTGCAGGCGAGCCCGATTGGTCTGGGCGTGGACATGCCAGATAGCGTCGACAGGCGAGCCACACTGACCACACTGAAAACCAAGGAAAAGAAACGTCTCTTCTCGTCTGGCAAATCGAAGGCTACGCCTACAAGAGAGCCTCAGCCCGAAGCGCTCATGCAGGGCCAGAACGAGAGCTCGAGCACGCTGTCGCTGCCACAGCGGTTCTTGAGGCGGGTCAGCTCGGCACCAAATACCAAGGCGCTCTTTGGTTCCGGCTTCTTTGCTTCCTCGCCCACTTCGGACGAGATGCCAGGCTCACCGCGCGAGCCCATGACCACCATCCCAACTGCAGGCTCAGCCTTTGCGCCTGCAACGGCAAAGACAGATCCCACGCACGATCTGGGCTGGACACCTGCTCACGAGGCGGCTATTGAGACACTCGGATCTCCAAAGACGCCGCCACTGCCTGGCAAACGTAGCTCGCCCCTCACCCCAGGCATGCGATCTGTCACCTCACCCATCATGTCCTCGCCCAGCTTGCGATCTCTACCAGAAGGATCACCCTCAAGCCTCACTCTGCCATTTGCCTCCTCGCCATCGCTTTCGCCATCCATGTCACCTCGAGCGGGGTTCAGGCGGACGTATAGCTCAAACTCGATCAAGATTCGAAGCGTCGAAGTTCAGCCAAGCAGCTTTCAAAAGATCAAGCTACTCGGCAAAGGCGACGTCGGCAAGGTCTATCTGGTCAAGGAGAAAAAGACAGACAAGCTATTCGCCATGAAGGTCTTGTCCAAAAGGGAGATGATCAAACGCAACAAGATCAAACGCGCGCTTGCTGAGCAGGCAAGCCCTGCTATGTTTGCATCTCACTTAGCTGACACACATATCTCGACATGCAGGAGATATTGGCGACGTCCAATCATCCATTTATCGTGACGCTATACCACTCCTTCCAGTCGGACGAATATCTTTACTTTTGCATGGAGTACTGCATGGGCGGCGAGTTCTTCCGAGCACTCCAGACTCGACCTGGCAAATGTCTGGCCGAAGAAGATGCCAAGTTCTATGCAGCCGAAGTGATTGCAGCTCTCGAATATCTGCACCTCATGGGATTCATCTATCGAGGTACGCCGATCTTGTCGCGTGTCTGCAGACGATGCTGACGCGCACGAGCAGATCTCAAGCCAGAGAATATTCTGCTTCATCAGTCTGGTCATATCATGCTATCCGACTTTGATCTCAGCAAGCAGTCTGCAAGCAAACATGCGCCCACCATCAAGCAGATGACGCCCAATGGCGCGCCAATGGTCGACACAAAATCATGTGTCGCCGACTTTCGAACTAATTCGTTCGTGGGCACGGAAGAATACATTGCGCCAGAAGTCATCAAGGGCTGCGGTCACTCGGCTTCTGTCGACTTTTGGACCGTCGGCATCCTCATCTTCGAGATGATCTACGGTAGCACGCCTTTCAAGGGGCAAAATCGACATGCGACGTTCCAGCATGTTCTTCGGAAGGAGGTCCACTTTCCAGAAAGTCCAGCGACGACAACGATGTGCAAGAGCGTCATCAAGCAGCTCCTGCGCAAGGACGAACACAAGCGTCTGGGGAGTAACAGCGGCGCGAGCGAAGTCAAGCAACACAAGTGGTTTGCTACACTCAACTGGGGCCTTCTCCGGCATACACGACCGCCTATCGTGCCCACCATCTCCAACGGCGTCGATGCTGTGAACTTTCGCACGATCCGCGATTCAAAGTCACTCGATCTCGAAGGACAGATCCGCGCGGTGGCAGGTAACGGAGGCCCAATCACAGAAGAAGCGAGCGATCCCGTTCAGCCGAATCCGTTTATCGACTTTACTTCGCTCACACTGCATCATATGGACGACAACTAGCGCGCCCCTCACCGTCTGGGGCATGCAATACATTCATGGACCTTTGATCAAAAGCTCTACAGAGCTCTGTTGCATGTACTGTCTATGCAATTCCGTCTCGTGTCGTGTCCGCTCTAATTTTGCCGTGTTTATTGTACGGCCGCCCGTCACAGCCGATCGGCAGCCGCGGCAGCCGTGAGACACGCGACACAAACAGCGCCTTCGCCCTTACCACGCCGCCTTCGAAGGGAGAGCATAGCCTGCATTCTGACAGCACGACACGCTCATTGGGACACACGGGATCCCAAGGATAGACATCAGATCTACTTAGCACCTGGTCGAAGGTGCACAGGCACGCGCAGTCACTTCTCTTTCGCTCGGTGCGCCCAATGGCGAGATCAACAAGCAAGATGGCACTACAACGGTCCAGGATGGGTTACACGGCACTCCTACTGGGCAGCCTCATAGCATCTGCACGGGCACAGGCCGACAATGCGTTTGAGATTGTAAGTCTTGCTGCCTCTTGGCTATCGATTGCCTCTCTTCACGAGATCGTCCATCGCAAGAGTGTCTGCTCTCGTTGCAAACCTGCGAGCCCAGTAACGGCCGGCTGAGAATCTCAGATATCGAGCCATCCATGCCTCGGGATGATCGCGCTCCTTTTGGGCGCTCAGGCACCGTGTCCGGACAATTGACTGATACTGTCATCGTGTGCTCAGGTTGGCAATTCCGGTGCGTCAGCCCAGCAAGTGTTCCTTCTCGATGTCAACACGGTCATGGTCGTCGACAAGGTACGCAAAAGTGACATGGTGCCGACTGTCATTGACAAGTCTGCCGAGATAGACTGAAGGCAACGGCAATGCTGATATGGTACAAAGCGACGGCAATCCCGCTTGGGCAACGACATACGATCTAAGGACAAACACATACAAACCCTTGGATGTCACTACAAACAGCTTCTGGTACGTCGCACGCTTGCAAACGACCAGGATGTCATTCTGATAAATTTGCGCTCTTAGCGCCGGTGGCTCTGTGCTCGGCAATGGGACATGGCTGAACGTCGGCGGCAATCAGGTGAGTGCTTTTTATACATAGATCGATGCGCAAAATCTGAAGCTAGGCATGCAAAGGCTATCCGGGCGGGTGGACTGAATTCAGTACCCGTCAACACCGCAGCCACGCCGTACTTCGACGCCGATGGAGGCCGGACGGTGCGAATGATGCAGCCATGTACTGGCGGTGTCAATTGTGCATGGACAGAGCTCATCGACTACATGCCAACCAACCGCTGGTACCGTGGGTACTGCGCAGTAAATGATCGCGCGCGCGCTGACGGCCGCTTCAGCCACACTTGAAACGCTTGGCGATGGCAGTGTTATCATCATCGGAGGTTGCTTGAATGGAGTAAGTGTCTTCTGGTGCATCCTGCTTGCCGTGCTAAGCCTAGTTCGCAGGGATGTGGGTATTCAGAAAACCAGAAAGGAGCGATTGACTGATCTTTCGCCACAGATGTCAATGATGCCTCTCAAAATGTCCCGACATATCAATTTGTACCACCTCGCGGCGATGGTACTCCCATTGGTCTCAACATTCTCACAACCACGCTACCGCTTAATCTGTTCCCTCTCACAGTCAGTCGCGCGCCGGAGCTTAACCTTGAATGCGCTTACACTGGAATTCAGTGGCTACTACCGTCCGGCTATATTTTCATCAACAGTCAGTACAGCAACGAGCTGCTCGATGTTGAGAATGCGATCGAGCATCCGATAGCAGATGTACGCTCGCCTCGCATGTTAGCAATAGCGGCTGACCCGTGGTGCAGATGCCACATGGCGTCCGTGTCTACCCTGCGTCAGCGACGACCGTCATGCTCCCGCTGACCCCGGCGAATAATTGGACTGCAACGCTGCTTTTCTGTGGCGGCAACAACTTGCAAGCCGACGTAGGCGCATCGGTTGTCATTGCGTGCTTGTGCTGACTCGGGATGTACAGCAATGGGTCACCACCTGGAATATTGCAGCATATCCTGCCATGAACAGCTGCGTGCGCATCACGCCAGATGTCAGCGCCAACTTTGAAGAGGACGACGATATGTTGGAGAACCGCATCATGGGCAATGGCATCATGCTGCCAGATGGTCGTATGGTCGTCCTCAACGGTATCGGTGCTGGTACTGCCGGCTATGGCAACAACAGCTGGTCTATCGGACAGTCATATGGCTCGATCCCCATCTACGCGCCTGCGTACTATAATCCAGAGGCAGCCCTCGGCTCGCGCTGGACTCGCAGCGGCATGTCCAACAGCACTGTTCCTCGCATGTACCACTCTTCGGCCCTGTTGCTGCCCGATGGCGCCATCTGGTCTGCGTAAGCATGCTAGCCATCTGCCACTTGACATTCTGACAAACAAAAATGCAGTGGATCAAACCCCAATGCGGACTTTGTCAGCTCTGGCACGACTGGCTATCCATGGGGAACTGAGTACAGAGTCGAGAACTTCCGTCCTGATTACTACAGCAAGCCTCGTCCGTCAGTCACCGGCTTGCCGACAACGATTGGCTATGGCGGCAATTATATCGACATCACCATGGCGGCGAACTCGTCGTCTGCCTCTTCACTCGCAGCGACCAAGGTAGTACTCATTAGGACAGGTTTCAGCACGCATAGCATGAACGTAAGTCGGTAGCTCGACCGTTCTATACACACGCTGATCGACCACTCCACGCACAGATGGGTCAGCGCTTTGTTCAGCTCAACAGCACTGCCACGCTCAATGCCGACGGTACATCGACGATACATACCTCGCAGCTGCCACCGAACCCGAATGTGCTGCCGCCCGGACCTGCGCTCATGTTTGTCGTCGTCAATGGCGTACCCTCGATCGGTGAGATGGTCATGGTTGGCAATGGGCAGATTGGCACACAACCTACCAATGCCGTCGCAGAGCTGCCCATGGGCAACATTGCGATCTCTGCTAGCACGAGCAGTGCATCAGCCAGCAATCCCACTAGCAGCGGTTCGACGAGCACCACAAGCAGCAGTACGGGCGCGGCAGCATCATCATTACTCGATGTCCGGACTACTCTCGTCACGTTGGCCATGTCGCTCGTCGCGATTGGCTTCACGATGACGATGTAAGATTGCGACACGGCGGGCCCATCTCATCGGACTAGCTCTCACGGTAGCAGCTAATGGACATTTCTTTGCACGCTCCCATCATACTCGTTGTATAGCCTAGACAAATCCATCTGTCCTCACGACCTTGCGGATGCGCTCTGACTTTTTCTTGGACGCGTCTCTGACATCGATATGGCCCCTGCTGCTGCCGCCAAGCTCGGCGATCTCGCTCATCTGCTGCCCCCTTCATGGAGAGCCATCATCACGAGTTGGCTAGCTGAGGACACCCCGAGCTTCGACTATGGCGGTTTCGTCGTCGGTGAATCTGAGGAAGAAGCGATCCTCTATGGCAAATCAGAGGTGTGCTTCAATGCTGCGCTTGTCTTGTGTGCTCATGCATCCAGACAGGGTATGCTCGCCGGTCGACCCTTCTTTGACGAAGTATTTGCTCAGCTAGGTTGCACGTAAGACTTGATCTCATTGGCAAGCGCTTACGTTGAGATCACGAGTCAGTGTGCAATGGCGTCTCGACGAGGGGACGTACTTCAAGCCGCAGGGGAAGGTCGAGGTAGCGAGAGTCAGAGGGAAAGCAAGACACATCTTACTAGGCGAGCGAGTCGCCCTCAATACACTGGCGAGGTGCTCAGGCATTGCTACCAAGTCGGTCGAGTCATCCGAGCCATTGTGGATCCAGCTGAGGAGCGAATGCGGACAGATCGTTCAGATTGGCCGATCAAGCCAAACGAGCAGGCTGGAAGGGCATCATTGCAGGTACACGCAAGACGACGCCTGGATTCAGGCTCGTTGAAAAGTATGGCATGATCGTCGGTGGCATCGATGCGCATCGATATGATCTGAGTAGCATGGTCATGCTCAAGGACAATCACATCTGGTCAAAGGGTGTGCTTCTTCGCCCTCACCTGATGCACTTGTCGGCTTACCAGGGAATAGGCTCTATACCAGACGCGATCGCAGCCGCGCGATCCGTTTGCGGATTCTCATTGAGGATAGATGTCGAATGTACGTCAGAGCAAGAAGCGATACAGGCCATAGAGGCAGGGGCAGATGTTATCATGCTCGACAATTTCACGCCCGACCAACTCAAAACGTCGAGCCACAAGCTGAAGGAGCAATACAGCGCCCGGCACGCTGATGGACCTCACACGCGCGAGTTCCTCATCGAGATGAGTGGCGGCATCACCGAGGATAACCTGTCCTCGCACCTGCTACCGCGTGCGCTACAAGCTCAACTGCGGACTGGCTTGGCTGATGGCGATGGCAGATGTGGACATCATCTCGACATCGTCGGTACATCAGTCTGTGAGTCATGTCGACTTTAGTCTCAAGATTGTGCCGCGGCACGGGAGAAGTGGTGTCTGATAACATACAACCTGTTTTTACAATAGCGATGCCCACGAGAGCTGGCTATGAGATGATACACTTGCATCCGCCACTATGAGTGTCTGCCTCTGTACGGGTGTAGGTCGACTCTCTCGCACCGAGCGCAAGGCTTGGGTTCTTCTTCCTCGGTGTCTGCGGCAGATCTTCTACGAATCTAGGCTGTGCAGAGGATTGCTTCTCTTGCTGTTGCTGATGTTGCTCTGCCTGTTGTGCGAGGAAGCCGGCATTAGGGTTGATGGGCGCCTTTGAGTTCGCTTGTGCTTGTCGCGCTCTGATGACGGCGCGGATGAGCGAGTCGAATGCGTTTTGTACGTTGACGTTTGTCTTTGCAGAAGTCTCCGTGAAGAGGCCACCGCCTGCACGAGCAAAGGCCATGCCTTGTGAGGCTGTCACCTGCCGCTGTGTCGTCGGCAGATCGCACTTGTTGCCCATCAGCACAAACGTGAACGGGTTGTTCTCCGGCGTGTTGGCAGACGTCGGTCTTCGATCCTCGAGGCACTTCACCCTGCGTATCTTGTCCAGGAAGAAGGAGAGCCTGTCGAGTGAAGCGGCAGAGGCAACATCGTAGACGAGCGCGAAGCCATCACCCTGCTTCACGACTTGGTCCTGCCACAGATCTTGGTACTCCTCCTGTCCGGCGGTGTCTATGACCTCTACATGCCAAGTCTGACCGTCTACAGTCCTCGTGGCAGAGTACGAATCCTCAACGGTGGGGTCGTACTCCTGAGTAAAGGTGTCCTCGTCTGGGCGTACGAATCGCAACGTGCAACTCGACTTGCCCGTGCCGCCGTCTCCCACGATGACGAGCGTGATGTTGCGGCTCTTGTCTGCCGCCTGTGCCTTGCCTCCTGCCATCGAGGTCTTGGGCGTGGTGGGACGGACAGTGAAGGGGCCCCTCTCGTCCTGAGACTCGCTCGGCTGGCCAGTGGCAAAGCACGCGTCGTCCTCCTCCTCGTCTCGCTCCCTGAAATTTTTGAGACTCGACTCGCTAGCCATGTCGGGTCTGTCTGCAGGAGCAGCCTCCTTTGTGCCCGGTGGAGGTGGCTTCAGACTGCCGTTCTCCCAGCCAGCTCAGCAGCCAAAGCCAGCCAGCAGGCAGCAGGATGTAGCAGACGACTGGGACGATCAAGCTGATGCACCTCCTCTGCCCGGTCAGCCAGCTTCGACTGCGCCCTCTCTGCCTGCAGCTGCACCAGGCGCAGTAGCAGAACCCAAGACGCTATCTATAGGCGGAGCGAGTAGATCCACAGGTCCATCGCCCGGCTCGGTCGCCCAGCCCAAATCACTCAGCATAGGCAGCCGGCCGACCGCGGCACAAGCCACGCCTCCGCCCAAAGCACAGCCCAAGCAGGACGTAGCACCGACCCGAACACCCGCTGCGAGTGCTTCGGCGAGCGGATCAGCTACGCCAAAGACGCAAGAGACCATCACTGCAGATGCCATCCTGGCAGAGCAGAAAGCTGCCGCAGATGAGGAAACCATGAAGGATCTCTACGGCACGCAGAACGGCGAACAACGTCGGTCTCGCTCGCTCGCGTGTGCTGACCTGTGCTGACGGGATCGTGGCCGAGCAGCCGGCAAATCGCACGTCAACGTCGTCTTCATTGGTCATGTCGATGCCGGCAAGTCCACCATGGGCGGCAACATCCTCTACCTCTGCGACATGGTCGTAGGTCCACCTGCCCGTCTTCTACCGTCCATGCACTCATACGCGGCTGTTCAGGACAAGCGAACGATGGAAAAGTACGAGCGAGAGGCAAAGGAAGCCGGCAGAGAGTCATGGTACCTTTCTTGGGCGCTCGACTCGACACCCCAAGAACGCGCAAAGGGCAAGACTGTCGAAGTCGGTCGTGCCTACTTTGAGACGCCAGCGCGGCGCTACACCATTCTCGACGCGCCCGGCCATAAGACATTTGTGCCTAGCATGATCAGTGGTGCTGCACAGGCAGACGTTGCCATACTCGTGCGTGACATTCTTGCATCCGACACAAAGCAAGGCTGAGCCGCCTACAGGTCATCTCTGCGCGAAAAGGCGAATTCGAGACCGGCTTCGAGAAGGGCGGACAGACACGGGAGCACGTCATGCTCGTCAAGACTGCCGGTGTGCAGAGACTCATCGTCGTCATCAACAAGATGGACGACCCGACTGTCGAATGGTCAAAAGAGAGATACGACGAGATCGTCAACAAGCTCGGTCTCTTCATCCGTCAGTCTGGCTTCTCACTCAAGACCGACGTCACCTTCATTCCCGTGTCTGCCTATACCGGTGCCAATCTGAAGGAATCCGTCGGTAAATCCGTCTGTCCGTGGTTTGACGGACCGCCACTCTTGACTTTCTTGGACGAGATGCCCTTGCTTGATCGTAAAGTCAACGCGCCCATGATGATGCCAATCTCGGAAAAGTACAAGGACATGGGTACCGTTGTCGTCGGCAAGGTAGAAAGCGGTCATCTGCGCAAAGGCCAACCTCTCGTCCTCATGCCCAACAGGGTCCGTTCCGAACTCACTTCTGTATGCTGGCCAGATGCTGATGTCCTGCGCAGCACGCGGTGGAGGTAGCTGCAATCTACAACGAGATGGAGGATGAGATCCCTCTGGCGTACTGCGGCGACAACGTACGCGTTCGACTGCGTGGCGTCGACGACGACGAAGTCATGAGCGGCTTTGTCCTCACCGATCCTGCCAAGCCCGTCCACGCAGTCACCCAACTCGAAGCCCAGCTTGTCATTCTTGATCACAAGAACATCATCTGCGCCGGCTACAGCGCAGTCATGCATGTCCACACCGCCACAGAAGAAGTGACGCTGACTGTACGCCTCACAAGTCTTGGTCGTGGCACAAACTGATCGTGTATCAGGCTCTGTTGCACTACTACGACAAGAAGACGGGCAAAAAGTCAAAGAAGCCGCCCCAATTTGCAAAGAAAGGACAAAAGATTATCGCTCTGCTCGAGATTGCCGCGCCCGTCTGCGTCGAACGCTTCGAGGATCATCCACAGCTTGGACGTTTCACGTTGCGAGACGAAGGCAAAACAATCGGTCCGTCTTTGTGCTTTGTGCTCCCTCGCAGGGCTGATCGACGCCTGTGCGCGTCTCACAGGGATCGGCAAGATCACTAAGCTCATTGAGACGCAAGACGACTTGTCTGACTTGACGAAGCTATCGATCGCCTCGCAGGCGGCCGGTAATATCAATGGCGCTTAGGTCCTAGCGGCAAAAATGTTGTAACATAGAGTACTGCGGAGTCACATGCTCGACGCGTTCGCGCTATTCTCGGAGAAGGGAAACTCAAATTATATCAAAAGAAGCTCTCCTTCTTCCCTCGTCATCACCTTCTGTCCCCGGTCCGTTCATCTGGTAGGCTTTTGTCTGCTAACGCATATCAAGACACTGACGGGTCAGGTCACCAGTCAGCTCGCGACTCACAAGCAGTCGAACAACAAACCACCACCATCGTCGTAGCCTTCGACGCCTCATTCGCAAAACAACATCCTTGCATCGCATCCATCACATTCATTCTCGGCCTGTCAACAACATGATCGCTACCGTCGCAGTAGCCATCCTCGGCTCAGCAGCCGTCGCCTCTGCCAATGTTTATTACGGCAACGGTCCCGTCACGGGCGGTATGTACAAAGTCCAGGTACGCCTCTGTTGTCTTTGTCCTTGCCTGGACCCTACTGACAACAATGGCACAGATTCCAAAAGGCATGTCCATCGTCACGTTCAGCGGCGCATGGAGGAACCAGTGTGTCAAGTAAGTGCTCTTTGTTGATCACCATCCGCTCAGGCACTGACAAGGTCATCACTTGTACAGCTACGTTGGACCGCTCGGCTACCATCACAGCATTCCACTGATGGTTCCCGATAGTCAGGGCTACGTCGGCGCCTACTGTCACGGCATTCAGAAAGACTCAAAGGGCCTCTGTACGTCCCAAGCTTCAATATGGTCATTGACAGGGCTAACGCATTGTCGTGTTAGGGCATAGCTGGTCTCCCGTCAAAGACTTTACTCAACCCGCCGCGAAAGCGATAGGATGGAAGATTGTCGATACACCGGCTACTACGGCAGCAAAGAAGAAAGCAGCAGCAAGAAAGGCAGCAGCGAAAAAGGCAGCCGCTCGTGCAGCTGTTGCAAAGAAAGCAAAGACAGCTAGACTCGCTTCATACTCAAAGGCAGTAACAGTGTCGAACAGCACAACGCTACCGAACTCTACTGTGCCCGCAAGAGATTACTTGATCAAATATCCCTCGTCGTTTGAGGGCGTACAAGCGTTTGCATACGTCTGGCACGCTGCCTGCGTCGAGTACGTCCAAGCCGCTATCAATCTGATGCGCCAGTCTGACACACGCACAGCTACGTCGGACCTCTCGGCTATCACCATAGACTCGATCTGAGCTCGCACGACCGAGCGAAGCACACTGCTCATGCATTCTGCGGCGGCGTCAAGAAGGACAAACACGGTCACTGGACATCCAACGAGACCGTCGTCGACTTTACCATGAAGGCCTACAAGCTCGCAAAGGGCGTCAAGATTCTCGGCAAGCCAGCACCTGGCGCGACCACTGCGCCCGCGACCACCGCGCCCGCGACCTCCGCACCCGCTGGCTCATCATGAGCATTCTTTCGCACCTTTCACGGACTTTACGCCATATCATTATGGACCTTTGCACGCTCGAGCAGGGCTCTTTCGTCACTTCGTAGACGCAGTTGTGCTTTGCGAATGTACTTCGTCTGTTTCTAGGAACTGCAAAGCAGCATGAAAGTCTTGAGGTAGCTGATCGAGTTGTCGAGGCGACAATAGGTCGCGCAATGGAGCAGTCACCGTCATGCGTTCTTGTCGCGCTTTCGTCGGTCCTCGCACCCATTCCTGTACACGTCTGCTCGTCATACAAGATGCTTCTCGCTTGGCAGATCGCTTACGTCGAAAGTCACGCGATGGGCATGGAGCAGTATACGGTGCACCGCATCAAGGCCGAATTGCTTGCTGAGCGCGTTCATGACTTGCCGCTTGCTTTCTCTGATATAGCGATGTTCTCCGAGTATGTAGATCTGTGCAGATGCCAGATGAAGTCTGATTTGGTGTTTCCGTCCTTGTTGCGGTCGAAGCGACAGCAAACAAAGAAAGCAGTCGGGCAACTTTTGCACGGCCAGTATGCGGTACATCGTTTGAGCCGCACGCGCAGGCTGGCCGACAGCGCCGCTCAGAGACATCCATTCATGGGTCTGACTCGGCCGCACGAAGCTGATGGCCAGAGCGATGTACTCTTTGCTGATCACGCCGTCTGCGAACTGACGCGACATGATGCGCGCAGCCACTGGACCCTTTGCAAGTAAGAGAACGCCAGAGGTGGTCTTGTCCAGTCGATGGATGCTCCTCAGCGTCTCTACGGGCTGTCCGCATTGTGACCCCAGCAGAGTCAGATACGCGTGCCACGACTCTTTATCAGTCTGGGTTGAATCATTTTGCGGCGCTGTTGCGAGTCCTGCAGGCTTGTACACGCCGAGATACTTATCGCTCTCGTAGAGGATGTATCTCCGCCGCCTATCGAGCGTGACTGGTGGGCGAGGTGCATCCTTTGTGGCCAGCTTAGGCCGTTCGAGAGGCCGATGAGCCTCTTTTTCTCGTCGCCGTCTTTTGAACGAAGCAAGACTGGTTCGCCACGTATCTGCTGCAGAAGAAGCTGCGCGGGAGCTGATCGATGGAAGGCAGAGATGCTTGTGCGATCTGCATATCGCACGCTGCATCGCGAGGAAGTCCAAGCAAGTGGTAAGACCTGAGTCGACGGGTCGACTGGGTTGTCGCGTCGAATCCAACAAAGCGCTTGATTACCTGCTCAGCTCGAGCCTTTGAGTCTCTCACCATTCTGATCGGATCAGCGACACTGTCGCTCGTCATGGCCTCTTCATCTGCGTATACAACTTGCATGGACAGAATGAGAAGCTATGCAGGCCAGCCGTTACGCGGAGTGCCATCGATGACGACATCATGGGCCACATAGATGTCCTTGCCGTCGAGTCTAAAGCCCTGAACAGTGGCATACTTGATGTAGTGCTCTCCGAGATCGCCGCGCCAGAGATAGGCGAGGTAGAAGCTGACAGTCTTGCCAGCACTGTCCACGCCGGCGACGTCGAATTCGTTGATCGACCACTCCTGGAGAGGTTTGCCGGGCAGAAAGCGGAACTGGGCGTTTTTCATCTGTGCGTAGAGATTGGACCAGACCTACGCTCTTGCGTCAGCCTGGCGCCTCGTCGGTAGTAGACCAAACAGACCTGACCGTTGGTCTGTACCTGATAGCGAATACACCAAGCCGAACGGAACACGACTTGATTGGTATCGAAGTCACGCAGAGTCACCGTCGTATTACCGCCCGAGCAGGAAGCGAGACCGCTTGGTGCGACCGATGTTACCGAGGCTGTCACGAGCGTGATCGCAGCAGAGACAGCGGCTGCAGCGGCGATGAACTTCATTCCGGTTGTCGTTGTACAGTGCTATCAGCCTTGCTTCGATTAACCGAAAAGCCTTGCAGCCTCGCCGACAAGTTTCGACGTATCCGAAGCCTACCGCAGGGTTTGGCGCGAGCACCGAATGTGTCAGATATCAGAGAGCTACCAGTCTCAATGCTGCACAGAGGAGGCATAACGATGCAGCCAGGCCCATGGCTGCAACAGGGCATTTGCATCGAATCAATCGTTCCGCAATGTGCCGTCAATGACCACATCTGGGACAATATCGACGTTCTTGCCATCCAGCGAAAAGCCTTCAATGATGACGATCTTGATGAAGTGCTCTCCCAAGTTCCCATGCCAGAGATATGCCATTGAGAAGCCAAAGGTCTTGCCGCCCCTACCGACGCCGCTGACTTGGAATTGGTTGGTGGAGAAGCCTTTGACCGGTTCATTGGAACGGTAGGCAAATCGGCCATCGGTCATCTGGGGATAAAGATTGGACCAAACCTGCACCGTTGCTCAGCCTCACGCACGGTCGAGCGCAGAGCAAGCAGACTTGACCGGTAGCCTGCTCTTGGTAAGCGGATACGCCAAGCTGACCGAAAGACGACCTGTTTGGTGTTGAAGTCGCGCAGTGTTACCGTCGTATTGCCGCCCGAACATGATGCAAGACCGCCTGAAGCGACCGGCGAGGGCGATGCTGCTGCGAGTGCGGATGTAGCAAGAGTCGTTGCAAGTGTAGCGAAAGCCTTCATCTCGTCTGTCGGTATTGGAGTGATTGCTGCTCGCTACTATACCAACTCACGGACTGCTTCAACTCGAGATCTGTAGCGATCGACCCTCGAAATAAGCCATGAAGAGGCGTAACTGCACCGAGCCCCAGATCTTGCTTATCTTAGGATCCAGGTGGCGCGATTCGTATCTTGGACAGTCGAGGTAGAGTCGGCAGGGACGGCGGCACCGTCAAAATTGCTATTGCATCAAGACATATTCGACCGTCTGAGCTAGATCCCCGGCTGGAAGCAAAGCTCTGCCAGGGCGTCTGTATGTGACGACCGAAGTGAACACGGCGTGCTGCGCTTCGTAGCGCAGTGGATGTTGCGGGCGGTATTTCAGGGCAGCTGAGAGGGATGGCAGCAACAAGTGCAATCGTTCGTGAAGCTACAAGACACTCGCCAGGTCTAACCATATCGCTCAGAATGGCCAAGGCCCGACCACAGTGCCTGCCTGCTCTAGTACGTAGTCGATGTCGTGGCTCTTGCCGTCGAGGTCGAGACCGGCCACGGTAGCGCGAGTGACCTTATCAGTCGCAGTCTGGAAATAGTAGGTCAAGAAGAACTTGAAAGGCTTGTTGCTCTCATCTGATCCGGTGACCTTGAACGAGTTGAAAGCAAAGCCCTCAGTCTCGGCACCGCCGGAGAGGAATGCAAAGTGAAGCGAAGAGTGTGCGTCATAGTTGTTGAACATCTGATTGAAATCGCTCAGCATTGCAAGACGATTTGAAGAGCTGGCTCACCTTGCCACTGGCTTTGGGCGAGTACTCGCTACACCAGTGCAGCTTGATGAGAGTCGCTTTCGTATCAGTATCGGTGACGCTCAAGGAGACTGCGTTGCTAGCCGAGCAGCCACGCTTATCGAGTGTGCGGGTGTGCGCGGACTTGATTGAGACAGGTCCGGCCAGAGCCAAGCTGATGGTGGCGAAGCTAGCTATGATCTTGCAAGCGATCATCTTCATTCTGAGCACATCGAACAGCGTGTATAGAGAATACACATCCAGAGTATCACAGAGGCAACCGTCGTGGTGTCAACAATCCGTGACGGCGTCGCGAGGAGTTACTGTACCTTGGAGATACGCGAAAGGAATTTCGTGGCTTGCTGCCATGCGAGCGAGGAGTCCTGAAGGTGTCATGCATTACGATGGCGCAGTGTACCGCGAGCACGGAGCGAGCGGTCTAGCGCATTCAATGCGGCCAATGTTTGCGCCGTCACTGCCAATGCAAGCGGTCGATGTAATCGATCTCCAGATTGAACACCATCAGGCTGTCCGCAATGATTGCATCCCCGCGTGTAGCGCCCCACAGGGACGCGAAGTAGATCGATGCTCCCTTGAAGTAGACGGCAAGCGTAAACGAGAAAGGGATGCCGTTCTCGAAACCGTGCACATTCCACGCATTCATCGTGTAGCCGTCTCGTACGAGCGCGGCGCCGACGAAATGAAAGTGTGTGTCTGGCGTCGAGGGATTGATGTTCTGCCAGCTCTGCGGGCTACTCAGTCTGAAGCAGCATCAGCGTCCGGCTCACTCACGCTTCCATCCCAGCTTGTTCCGGGGACACAACACCAGTGGAGATCGATGACAGGCAAGCTATCAGCTTCCTTTGCGAAAATGGCGAGATAGGTCACGTCGACCGCCGGGCAGAACCGCTTTGTCAGCGTGCGGGCAGTGGCCATGTCATATGCAGGCGCAGCGAGAACAGAGCTGATGGCGGCCAGTACTGCAGCCATGAACGCAAAGGACATCTTTGTATGAGAAGATCGACGTAAGGAGGAAGGCACGCCATAGGTGAAACACATCGCTCGGTCTGATTGCCGCGAAACGCAAACTTTGACCGATGAAAACCAGCGAGATGCAATCTTTGAGGCTGCTTACTTCCAATGGAGGCGTTCGATACCATCGATGACAATCTTGTACTGGATTTGATCCTGATTGATGACCGAGGTGACATACATGACATCCCAGAGCGAGACAAAGTAGATCGAGCGGTCTTTGAAGAAGAAAGCAAAGGTGAACGCAAAAGTAATGCCGCCCTGCGTTGCACCACGGACAGTCCAGGTGTTCATTGTGTAGCCATCTCGGACATGCTCGACCCCGCCGAAATGGAAATGAGTCTTTGGCGTCGAGGGGTTGGTGTTGGACCAGCTCTGCGGGCACGGTGAGATCCAGTGCAGCGATGGCAATGAACATAGGCACTCACGCTACCGTCTGCACCTGCAGCGACAGAGCTGCACCAGTGCAGATTGACGATAGGAACGCCGTCGGCAATGATCGACAGGTAGGTGAGATCGGCTGCAGGGCAGTCACGCTTGACCAGCTCGTTTGAGGCAGCTAGATCGGTCGCAGGTGCACCCAACACGAAGCTGATAGCAGCCAAAAATATAGCAAGGATGGCAAACATGCTGCTGAAAAAACGTGCTAGGTCGTAAAGTCTGTCGCCCAACGGGAGTGGCCTGGCAACAATGCGACACATTCATAAGTTGCCCCTCGCAACGAGAATCTCTTGATCGCATATACCGATGGATAGCTGGTATATCATCGTGCGCGAATCAAGCGCGATGTGCGAGGTAGAAGGCATCGTGGCGTCGACTAACGGGGGTAGTGCACGAGGGTTCGCGCAATCGCAGCAGCGTGAAGTGACAATGGCAGTCTAGTCAATCCTTGGGCATGTTAACTTGCGAGATGATCTGAGATGAAGACGGTTTGAGGGAGTGTGTTCAGTGCTGAACGGTAGCAGGATGAGCCGCCGAGGTTAATGAGGTTGACGCGGTCACGTCGATCACGTTGATGCAAGCGCGTAAATTGGGTGAAGTGGCCAGCGCCGGTCTGGCGGGATGGACCCATCGCCGCTCGAGAGCGTCCCCTTTGTAGCTCTGCGCGAGGCTCAAGCTCATGCGACCCATGATCACGCTCAACATGGTGCGACACCGACAGGAGAGATCGATTGGCAAGCTCGCTACATCGAATTGCGCGAGACGTTCAATAAGGATCTAAGCCGAGCAAGAGACGACTACCGACGACTCAAGAGCAAGTATGATCTGCTACTGATCTCACTGGAGACGCTGGACAGCAATTACTCTAACGACAAGAGAAAGTGGCGTGCTTGGAAGCATTACCTTGCCCAGAGTACTCACAGGAGGTCGCCTGAGCTATTGGCCGAACCGAACTCGTCAGCTTGCGCAGCGCCAGCGACAGTCGTCACTGCGGGCCATTTCCGCACCGTTCAAGGCTTGTGCACGCCCACTTCGTCGCCGCTCTATCCGACCACGCTGGCGATTGTGCCCTTGCCAGATATGGAGCTCCCTTTGCAAAGGCAGCTCATGTCCCAAGCTGTCATTTCTCAACCGATTGCCACACAAGAAGAAGCATCGCAAGAGCTCGTCCCTGCTTCTTGCGAATCGCTCAGTCTTCCGCAAGGCCCCGCAACAGCGGCTGCGCCTGTCGCTGCTCTTAGTCAGAGTAGCCGACCCGGCAGCGAACCTTGCGCATTTCCTGTTCAGTCCTTCAACGATGTGTCACATTACAAGCCACAACTATGCGCCTCGCTAGCGGGCTCCAGCAGTCAGCCAGCGGACTCGCAAGATGAGCCGATGCAGGATGCGAGCGAGCTGCTAGACATCATTCTCGCGCCTACAACAACGACTGTGAGGCAGAGTCCTGAATCTACAATCACTTTGTCAGAGGCCAGTCAAGAACCGCTACCGATTGTGCCTTCAAAGCCAATGATGTCAAGGCTCAGACGTAACGATACGATCATCACAAGCGCTCCATATGTCCCGAAGACGCCACGCAGAGGCGAGCCAGATATCAGTACAGTGTGTGCAACCAGCGGAGCGCCCAACCCGGAGAAGAAGAGACTCGGAGCGACCAGATCGGTCCCTGAGCAAGCTCGATCCCGAACAGTGCGTTCGCGCGAGCACTCGACGAGCGATGCAGACGAAGAGCTTTCGCCAGATCACACGCGCAACCTGAAGCGGGCCAGACAGAGTCTGCCAGGGTCAGGCTGGTTGAGACGGCTCGAGGAAGATGCACCTGCGCAGCCGGGCGGGCAATCAAGGGCAAAGAGCGTCCGCAAGAGCATGTCGGCTGCAGATCATACCACTCGCAAACCCTCAAATGATTGTAAGCTCCGAAAGCCATCTGATGATCGCAGCACTCGCAAAGCATCAGCTGAAGGTAGTGTCCGCAAAGACGCTTCGACTTCGACGTACACGCCTTTGATGATCTCGCGATCAGCCCCAAGGCTCTTGCATCGCTCTGCGCCTCAGCACTTGCAAAAGACAGGCTGGATCAACACGCGCAAGCTACCAAGAGATGACTTTGATTTCGGATCAAGCGACGAGGAGCTGTCAACACCTCCCGCAGACGAGCCGAAACGCATGCTGCTCAGGAGCAAGTACGCCGACGCAGCTGTCAAGTGAGCCACTTCAAGGCCCAGGCAATTCGAGCTGATGTTGCTCACAGGGAAACGCGCGATACTTCGTTCAATGACTTGTTCATGCCGAATCCGGCATTGCATACCGAAGGCGAAGGCGTCTACCTCGATGTCGTACGCAAGAGGAGCGACCGCAAGAAGATGCACGCAGGTGCATGCGAATGCTGCGCAGGCTACTATGCCGAATGTGTCGAAGAATACGGCGGCGAAGCACGTGAGCACATCGATCGCGTCTCTCGTCACCGCTATCAGTTCCCAAGAGCGCAAACACCTCCCGACTACTGGCAGATGGGATTCCCGGATACCCAACGCGTTGAAGACATCAAGCGCCGCGCAGATGAACAGAAGCAGCAACGATTGCTCGAGACAGCTCGCCAAGCAGCTCGTGGCGACGGTCCCTTTGTGCTTCGTCCAGGCATGCGCAAGGAGCTCGATCGCTTGCTAGGCAAGGATAATCCGTTCAAGACATCGCGTGGCTAGATACGCATGCAGAATACAGGTATACATGTGCTATAGGTGATAGTTCCTGTTGTCGTCTAATTCTACTGCTTCGTTGTCGCCGATTTTGGCAGGTTGCCTGCGTGTGGGTTGTCAAAGACCTGTCGTTCTGGTGCTCGAGTAGAAGGAGAGACGAACTCGTCTGGCTTTGGTCGGAGCACAGGCGACTTTGGATCTTTGAGCGGCCGTGGCCTTCTCGCAACGCGCGTCAACTCATCTGTTGGTCTCCGCTAGAGAAGCGCCGCTTACCTGAGAGTATCCACTGCCTCGATAGGGAGCGTGTAGCGCGTCTCGTCGCAACCGAAGGCACGTGGAGTGAGCTTGATGACCGTGTGAAGCGGTATGGAGATGTACGGCAGCTCTTCTTGATCGAGACCGTGGAAATAGGCGTACAGGCATCGAACGACGGCCTGATGACAGACGAGCAGAATGTTCTCTCTGCAGACGGGCAATGAGTCCTGATCTTGAGCTACTAGAGCGACTTACTGTCTTTCGAGCTCCATGATGACAGGCTCCAGGCGGACGACAACGTCGCGGTAGGACTCGCCGCCTCGGTAGCGATAGTTGAACTTGTCGTCATCGCGAGCGGCAAAGTCTTCTGGGTATTCCTGCTCAATCTCTTCATAGGTCATGCCATCGCACACGCCTGCGTCCAGCTCATCCAGCGACTTCCAAGTGAGCTTCGTATACGGCAATGCTTCGGCCGTCTGTATCGTTCGCCGTAGTGTAGAAGTCCAAACCTATCGCGATGTCAGTATGAACCGTAGCATAGGCATAGAACGCTCACGGTGAGCGGCTTGTCGCCAATATGCTCTTTGACAAGGTTTGGCAGGGCGGCAGCGTACTTTGCGCCGCGTGTCGACAGCGGTGCGTCACCTCCAATCTTGCCCTCGACATTGTACTGGCTTTCGCCATGTCGAGTCACAAAGATTGCTCGAGGCGTCAGATGTCTGTGCGTCACAAATAGTCCTCAGTATCAGCTGACGATACTGACGCTTCTCACGCACAAGTTCATGAGGTAGAAGACGATGCGGGATTGCAGGTAGCCATCGATCTTGTTGACGATGACTTGGTTGCCAATATTGATGATCTTGCAATAAGGCATCTGAGCATCTTTTTGCGGGTCGATAGGTTCGTAGCGTGCCTCATATTGCTGTATGCGCTTGAGGAAATCTTTCCTTGCTTGCTCTTTGGGGATTCCGTCGTAGTCTGGATCGCCCGAAGCGACTTTGTGATCAATGTTGGCGCTGATGACATCTGGATCAGTGCAGATGGACTCGAGAAAGATCAGGCGTAGATTCGGCTCCTTCTTCACTCGGTCAATGAGCGTCTGCCTTCTTGCTCGGGTGGTATTTGTGGCATCATGGATGCCAACATTGCCACCGTCTTTGAGCCATGTGATGAGACTCTCTAGGCATTCAGCTGCTAGCTCTTCTCGTTGCTTGTTGGCTTCCTCGTTCTTGTTATCGAAGAAGGTCGCAGAATGATCCTGCTTGTTACCGTACATTTGTGTCCAGGCCTGAGCCTTTTGCCGCCTGAGTTGTCCTACATTGAAGACCTGTCTGACATATCAGCGAATGCATCAAGTTGCGAATGGGTCGCTTGCTTTGACATCGTACTCTAGCCACTGTGAAGTCGAAGCATCCCAAGGTCAGCTTAGGTCTAATGTCAGTATGCAGAAGTTTACCCTCAAATATCTCTGAAGCTTGTTGCTGAGGTAAGACTTGCCGCGCGCAGGTAAACCGACCATGGCCACGACGATCTTGGCCTCCGAATAATCTGGCTTTGCGACTGTCCGCACAGCGCACTTCAGCTTCGTGTGTGAGCTTGAGGAAACATCAACGAACTTGTTGAACCCGCGCTGAAATCTCTTCTGTCGCCTGCAAAGGAGCTATGGCGGGATAAGTTTCCAGATGCAGCTGCCCTGACTTCGGTCATGGAGCTCGTCGAGCCGTGTCGTCTGCCATGCAACCTGTGCCTTAATAACTTAGCCGTGCCGTACTCAGGTCATCACGCTGAACGACGCTTGCCATGCCGAGCGGGCCTCTACATCTGGACTCTGCACAGGACTTGGATCTTCCGATGAGGAGATGGAAGCCGCTGCCGAGCCGGCGGTCGTCGCGGGCGCAGACTGTGTACCTTCAAGTGTGAAGCCGGTCGTTCGTCTTGCTTCGTTCAGCAGCTTGTTCGATAGCTTAGGCGATGACGCCAGCTGCCTCGGCGATGTCGTTGGACTGCTCGCTGGATTCATGACTGCGACTCGTCGGGGCGAGCTGCTGCTGCTTAGTCGCTCTTGGTCGCGACGATGAGTCTCCAAATTGCTCAGCCAAACGTGATCGACCTCTGACTCTTTTTGGCCTCAAAAGCCATCATCCTCCATGCTAATACTCTGAGACGTATCCATCCAATCCCTTGTGGGCAGCATTCCCGCAGTCAGGCTTCTCTGCGTTCCTGAATCCCGGCTTGACGTGACCAGGTGCAGCAAACGCTTTGCTACCTCGAGACAGTTTTCATCAGACGGCTCGCTCGAACAGCACTGCTCCAAATCAGACCATCGCGGGGATCACAGCGACTTGGCCTTGCGCCATCTCATTCAAGATCGCAATTGCTGTCACGGTATCGCTAGCGCGTCGGGCACGGCCGAACGCATCGGGCGTCTCGCTGCAAAGTGCATTCACGTCCACTGTGAGTCTGCGACCTGAACACAAGTGATTCAGACAAGATATCATCGCTCAAGTAATCGAAAGCAAACGTAAAGGATGATCAGCACATCATGATCAAGTTCGATGTAGATGCAAGCAGTTTTTATGAAATACGATACATTGCAGGCTCGTGATATAAATACAACATGCTCGTGAGCAAATACAAGTACACACAAGCCTATGAAAACAGAAAGCAAGCCCAAGCCGGAAAAGAGCGCGCCATCGCAACGAAGCAAGGCTAATGAGAAACCCACCGGATCATAAGGAGCAGCAAGAGCTTGAGTGAGCATGAGCGTGATATTGCGTATTGAGCAGAGCGCAGGCGATCGTAATGTTGACAGTCTGACAGTCTTGAGTCGCGATCTGAAGTTGGCCTGCCAGTCCTGGCAACAGAGAGCCACCCTGCGCCAAAGGACCGGACTGACAGGCAAAGTCGAGAGAGGCGACCGGCGCAAGATGATACACACAAGGCGCCAGCGCAAGATGCTGCAGCCGAGCACCGCTCGGTACTGCGTCGCCAGGACCGGTTGCGATACAGCAGTCTGCCAGCACCGCTGACAGACTGAGGACGTCGCCAGGACGTCGACTTGCAGACGCACGCGCCTGAAGCCGATGATAAAGCGCCGAGCCGTTGCTGCTCAAGGCGCTTGGGAAGTGCGACAGAATGCCGCACGAGACAGCGCGCCAAATGTGCGCGCCAGCGATGGCTGAGTTGGACCTTGGGCTCGACGTCTTGCAGATGGTTGTCCTTGCCGTCTGCGTTGGTGGTCGTCGTCATGAGCTGCGATGCTCTACTCGGCTACGGTGGTGTCGACTTGGCTTCCTCGCATGCAAAAGCTTCGGCTGTCGCGCTTCGTCTCCGTTGTCGGGCGTTGATCCATCAGAGCTCGGAGCAAGTTCTTCAAGCGAGCAGAGGCAGGCCTTATAGCTAGCGAGGTTCTTACCGGGACTTATGTGATGCTTCCACGAGATTGAACGAGGCTGAGAGAAGAAGTCGAGGAGGAACGCAACCCCAGACCTAGCCGAAGCTAGCGGGACTGACGAAATGCCTGCAAAAAGAGACCAGTCAGCATTTGATCAACAAAGAAAAGGTGACAGCGACTTATCTTTTGCATTCGGATGATGGCTTAGGAAAGTCGCGGAGGGGGGAAACGGGGGAGGGGATATCTGCGCTCTCACTCTTGTGGTCTTCAATCTTCATGCGCGGTTGGAAGCTTCACTGCCCGAGCCTGCTGCCTTATGACCTCCGCCATCTGCTGCCATCCGAACCTGTCCGCCCTCATCAGGACGCCATCAGAGGGAAACTTAGCGCTAGGCCTGGGCGTGCACTTGAATTCACGCAAGCCGACTGAGCTGACCGAGCGAGATCTGACTGACTGACAACGACCCAAATGACGACGGCAAGGGCGAGCGAGATGTCGAATCCTGAATACCCAAGGTCAATGCTGCAGAGACGAGTCAGCTTTTGTCTGTAGCAAGCCGAATGGGTGCACTTACATTGTGCCATCGCTAGCACGGGCTTTACGATGTCCGACGCGCTGCTCGAGCGATTGACTTGCGGCATACACGTCTTAGAATACAGCGACTGTGCAAGATGTAAGCAAAGTCGCGCAAGAATCAAATGACCNACTGACCAGCGCAGCTGNCGAGGATGCGATACACGGCCCAGCCGAACTGATACACAAGTAAGATACATACTCTGCAAAGTCGGTCAGCCAAGTCAGCGGAGAAAGGAGACGGCGACTGACCAGACCAGCTGAAGACACCAGGCGAGCAGACCAGCTGATCAAGACGATACAGACTGATAACATACAGCTCGTCGCCCCCCAGAAGCGACGAGAGACGCCCACGGTGGCTGCCAACAGAGTCAACTCAATCCAGAGAAGTGCGAAGAGGAGCATACCTAGCCATGAACGTCTGGATGCGAAGAAGAAAACGACAGAACGCGAGAGCTGCCCCTGACCCGTCCTTGAAGTCGATGGGCGGCAGCTTGCTGACAGAATATCGCCAGTACGTCGCCAGTATCATGCTCATGCTCACTCATNCTGCCCCTGCTAGACCCGGNCAGTNAACTCATCAGTAGAACACCTCCGCTTGAGGCAGAAGCATCNTNNNNCCTTGCTCCTCGACCCNGCCCGTCATNTCGTACTCTCCAGACAGATTGCGATGTCCGGAAGATCTACGCATGAACGACAGTGGACGAGGTCGAGTTGCGACGGGCGACTCGACGGCTGACTCGATCACAAAGGCCGAGAGAGCGCCGAGCCCTGCNAAGAAGCTTGCATCAGTATCANTAGAAGGATGAAGGCGCAAGAACATACTGCGCCGCTGATCCGTCTTGACTTGCACCAGACGAGACCGCGTATCGGCTAAGGACCAAGTCGCCATGGAGCGAGGCATATGACTGGTAGCCAGGCCGAAAGCGATCTCGCCGGTGTAATGTCCTTCAATCTCCCTATCCTCTTCTGCATCCCTCCTCGCTGCAGCCGCCAAGTGCAGCTGCAGTTCGCTGCCAATAAGAGGCTCGAAGTCACCGAGAAGAGAGCAGAGATCCTCATCATCGCTAGTGTCGACACTGCTTGACGACTGATCTGCCGAGTCATGAACGAGCTCGGGCACAGAAGTCGAATCGTCTTGAGAGAAGACAGTATCGCACGCGTCGTATCGCTCCGAGTCAATCGCATGTCTTGTCGCGCATTTGAGGGCAACGACCAAGACCAGAACGGCAGAAAGACTCAAGAAGAAAGAGCGACACCCGAGACGATGCGACCGCTGGAGGTAGTGCAGCGCAGGTGCAGATGGGAGCGCCTTGGCCAGCTCGACCAGATGACCTTTCTTGAGCGCGCAAAGACCAGGAGCGAGCGGTGTTGAGGCGCATGTCTGAGCACTGAGCAACGCGGGACTAGCGACGATCGGATGATCTTGAGGATCTTGAGGTTCGCCAGAGTACGTGCAAGTGCCGACTGCGCGAGGAGAGGGCAGACAGACCCCTCTCGTCNTTGTCGGGAANNGCATCGACACTGCTTCGACGAGATCGAGCTTGGGCGTCTCGCAAGCAAGACAGACAGCAAGATCGTCGTCGAATGTACTGCTCGTATCGTCGTCTGGTGTTGACCACGGAGAGCCGACCGTGCGCCATGCGTCATGATCGACCGCAAGGCGCTTGAANTGATCGAGCTCGAATGAAGCACGCGGTCGAGGAGCACCCGTCTTGGTTGGCTGGTCGATAGACAGAGCCGAAAGCCGAGACGAGCCACCAGACGAAGACAATACGAGCGTAGGCGTAGGCTACGAGTGTGAGAGTCAGCCTTAGGCGAGATCATCAATGAACGAGAGACCCACGAGATATGAAGGACCATAAGTAAGGACCGGCAGCATGGTCGGTTCGTGAGCGACGCACTGTCGCGCAGTGGGGCATCAGCTAGATGTCATGGCGGGTGGATGAGGATAGACACTGACCCAGCTGCCGAGATCCATGCACGAGAAAGTAGCATTGACGGGCTGAAAGACAGGCGCCGCCGTAGCCTGGCAAGCATGTCAGTCATGTCCGAGCGTGTAGAGAGCAGTATGAGTGACTGACCATGGGAGCAGAAGGCATGAGAGTATCAGACTGATCCTCCGGCATCATAGACAAGATCGCCATATGAGCCATCATGATCAGCCGAGCGACTGCCATGGCCATGATGACCGATAGCAAGCNAACTCTGAGCACGCTCTCGCACGCTCTAGNACCAAGGACNAAGTGCTCTCAGGACAGCAATACCCCCAAGGAGTATGCACACGAAGTCCAGCGGGAATTTCGAAGGACCCGCCCCTTTTATGGTCGAGCGGCCAGCCGGTCACCTGACTTTTAGCCGAGCTCCCTTCAATAAGTTCACGCTGAGTTCCTTCTTCTGCATCACAGGCGACGCAGCGTGCTCGCCGAACGTCCTTGCCCCTTCCGAGCCGCTGATCTTCATTTGAGCCATGACCAGCATGAGTTCGTAGCGATCGCGTCGACATGACCCCAGCTTGCAGCTGACAGTGCCTCTTTGCTGGCATCCCTGCCAGCTGTCCATCCAGTCTCGAGCGCTCAGGTGATAATCCTTCAGGTCCATCGACCGCGGCTGCCTTGCGATGAGCCATTGCAGGTCGACAATCTCTGTAGCATCCTTCTCCACATCACCGACGCGTCGAATGAACAGTCACCGATGCCTTGTATCGTGTCTTCTATCGTTCAGATCTCGGCACATCCAGAAGACACGGTCAAGATTGGTCATGGCCACGACACAGTGCTCAAAGCTGGGCCGGGCCAATAGGTAGTAGAGTGCTCGAAGACGGCAGGAAAGGGCAAGGGAAACGTTCTTCCGACTCGCTTGGTGCAAGAAAGGAAGCAAAGAAGTACTTGAGACCAGTCTAGCACTCCTCTTCTCCATGCACAACACCTAGATTGCCCGGGACAATGTGGCGTTACCAGCTGATCACCGTCCCATCGGAAATGGAATTGTCATAATGAACTGCCGCGCGTCGCGTGACTTTTGTTATCGCGCTCTCTTTCGTGTTTCATCCTTTGGTCGGCCGACAAAGGGGCAACGAGTCAAAAGCAGGAAGAAGCAAGCACAGCTAGGCATCATACACACACTATGGGCGTGCACACTGCATCTCAATCGTCTCGCAATGGTGATACAACAGGAGGATTCGTGAACTATGACGCGGCAGCAGCCGAGGAAGAAGTCTTGAATGATCGACCGCTCATCCTGCCGTTGACATACTCCTGTGGCAGGCATAAGCAAGCAATAGTGGCGTGCAAAGCAAGACACTCGCCTGACCGATGATGTCTACTCCCCGCCTGATGACTTCGACCATGTTGTCTTCCACCCACTGCAAGCGCCATAGCATTATCCACTGAAGCACTGCTACATGATCTGAACCTACTTCATTCTCTTCAAATGGAATATCGAGCCAGTGAGCCGGCATGGTCTGAGTGAGCGTTTTGTGGACGAGGTCATTTGTCGGGTCTTTGAGCAACAGTATAAAGTAGAGATGACTTTCTTCTTTGCTTTGTGCCTCACCATCGGCAGAAAAAGGCAAGGGTGCAAGCACAGGCTGTATGCGCATGTAGACAGGGCAGTAGCTGACTGGTACGCTGACATTGGATTTGCTTGCCGATTTTGCATGATGAGTGTTCGTCTCTTCAGTCGGCTCAGCAGGCTTGTACGTTTTGGCTATGAGTCGATCGAGCGAAGCAGAAGCGAGTGCATAGCCTTCTCTGAGACCTTGAACGGCTTTGATGTCGCGTTCTTCTTCGATGGAGTTCCGATCTGTCGACTTACGCGCTTCCGGATCCTCTCGTCCGCGATTGACGACGAGATCGCCTCCGTCCACTTGCTCCATCACCTTTGTGAGCGCACGGAAGACGAGCGTTTCTACGCCGTCGTAGCCTATCATATCGTGCGAGAGCGAGACCTGAATGACTTCGTGCTGGCTGATGGGCGGCGCGACAGCATTCATCAGATCCGTCAGCGTCTTCATTCCTTGCTCTGTTATGTCCTTGCCTGATGAAATACTTGCGAAATCAGCCTGACCCTGCAACGATATCGAAGTCATACACGCACGTAGCTTGTCGACGTCCATCGACTTCATATAGCCTAGCATGCCTTCTCGCCACTTGGCAGCTTGCGCGCCTTGTGCATCTACTTGCGCTTGCAAGCCTTGTGGCAGCTGTGGCAAATTATGCAAATTCTCTTCTGCAACCGTTCTGGCTTGCTGTATGACGGTCGAGGCGGAATTCCAGACAGACGACCATCCCCAACCGCCTGCGCTTTCTTGCGCAACAGCAGGTGGTGAAGCCACCGGGGCAGGTTTGGGCGAGGCACGCTGAGCAGCAGCTTCATTGGTAGATCTTCTCTGTGCTCTTGCTTGTTCGACGACGCCTTGTGCTGCTCTGAGACTACCGCGAGAGGAGACCCGCGTGACGGGTTCCTTTGGACTCGCGCCCGAATGGGACGCATTCATCGATGTCGAGCTCAAGGCAGGTGACTCGGGCCGAGAGGAAGGTTGTGTACTGGTAGGCATAGGCAAGGGCGTCTTGTGAGGACTCGAACGAAGCGTCGAACGTTGGGATGCGCCGCCTAAGCTCGAACCCGTGACGGTATTGGACGACTTGAAGGCAGGGTTGCTCGGTCTGACGGCTGCTGTGCCGGGCGTAGACGGTCTGGGAGCCTGGGTGATCTCGTCGAGGAAAGCCATGACATCGTTGGCCTGGTGCGCTTTAGTAGCATCGCCCGTCGGCGTGCCTGACGATGCCGTGGCAGCAGAAGTGGGCGCCGTGTAGGCATTGAGATCGTCGAGGAAGCTCAGCACGTCCTCTCTGGACGTCGCTTTGCCTGCCATTGCGCTCGCTCGTCAGGCTGCGTGGCTGCTTGCCGGGCTGTCGTGTAGGTCGAGGTCGAGTCGAGTCGAGTCGGGTCGAGTCGCGCCTATTGCTTCGTCAACCTGTTGGCGTGCGACAGGCAGATCTTGCCATCATGTCAGCTCGACCGCCGGACGCAGACCGCAATCAGGCAAGTGCGTTTCGGTCAGTATTGATCGCAAGGCTGAGTGCAGCCTGGGTTGGCAGGAAGCGACGATCTACATGGCAAGCAACTCCGCCAGTCCACTTGGCTCCCGTTGACTTCTCAGCCGTACAGGGCAACTTGGACGAGAGAGTGACAGATGCGCTCGTATGGGAGCTCATGCTCCAGTGCGGACCCATCGGTACGTCGCACCCAACTCTACACGCAACCTTGCTCAGGCTCTTTTGCCCTCCCCTCGCGAACAGGCAATGTCCATCTGCCAAAGGACAGAGTCTCGATGGCTCACCAGGGCTACGGCTTCTGCGAATTCCAGAACGAAGAAGATGCAGAGTATGCAGTCAAGATCATGAACCAGATCAAGCTGTTCGGCAAGCCAATACGAGTCAACAAGGTCCGCGCTGTCCTGCTCGCGATGATGCTCTCGTCTCAAACTGACATCGTCGATAGGCATCAAGCGATAGAAAGCAGGTCGATATCGGCGCAAATCTGTTCATCGGCAATCTCGATCCCGCCGTCGACGAGAGGTTGCTCTATGACGCTTTCTCCAATTTTGGCACGATGACCAATACAGCCTATGTGAGATACGCCTTCCACATTCCCGATCTAGCACTTATGCATAGCACAGATCCCGCGCGAGACGGGGACAGGTGCAAGCAGAGGACACGGCTTCATCAGCTTTGATACGTTTGAAGCTTCAGATGCGGCCATCGAGGCAATGAACAACCAGTACCTCATGAACAAGTACGTATGTCACTCCACCCGCTGAGAAATCACTCAAAAAAATCCTCTCCAGACCCATCACAGTGCAATATGCGTTCAAGAAAGACACAAAGGGCGAGCGCCACGGCAGTGCGGCAGAGAGATTACTTGCAGCTCAGGCTCAGAAGAACTCTCTCATCCAGCCTGGAGGACCTCGGACGGCCATGGGCATGCCACCGCCTCCTCCGCCCATCCCGGCAGGCTTCCAAGCCCAAGCTCCCACACCTCAGTTCGCTCAACCGCCCCCTCCTCCTGGATTCGGTCAGTATCCAGCCGGATTTGCACCACCGCCTGCTGGCTTCGCACCACCTCCTGCAGGGTTCGGTCAACCTGCCTATGGCTACTAGCGCTCACGAGGCGCAAAGGAGAGGTGGACCATTGTTGTACAATCATGCAAAGTAGTAACAACATCTACAAGAGGACGAGTGCAGGCAATCCTTTTCGTGTTCACTGAGTGGCATCGTACCGCGCACGAGAGGCTGCAAAGAGTTGCTCTTGCTTCTGCAGTAGTTCTTCCTCCGTCATGCCCGACGAGTCCAACTTTGTCGTCTTTTTCGCTTTCTCGCGAGTCTGCCGTTGGCTGCTCTTCAGCATGACATTGCATACAGAGGAAGCGCTGCAGGACCTTTGCGTTCTGCTTGTTCTCTGCTGTCGCTTCTTCTACTTCTTCCACGTATCTCTCAAAACCAAGTGACTGCATGAGCGCGTCAGTCTCGTCAGGTCACGCGAGCGTCGGACGTACCTTGAGCGCTGCAATGACATGCTCTGGTGCGATCGTCTTTCTCGAGCCTTTCTCACAGATCTCGTTGGCCTCAGACGATATCAACGTTATGAATTCTGTCCAACACGAGCATCAGCCTCTCCCTTCAACCTGGCCGAGCAGCATGACAGACCTTTGCAAAAATCGGCAATGAGGTCCCGAGACTCCTTTGAGCATGTGATATCTTCATTGGCCAGGATCTCTGTCGTCCATACCTGACAGGTCAGCGCGAGTGAGGGTGATAGTGTGGATGTCTTGCCGGTGATGACTTTGCCGACGGTTGCCTTTGGCATGCCGAGATCTTCCTCCAAGGCCCCAGACGGGCCCGCGAGCTCGTCATCTGCCATACTCATTGGCTGACACTGGCCCGTGCAGCTCTGGCACTGGTAGCTAGCAGGGCTAAGCGCTAAGTGAGCGCGCGATTTTCCTTGCTTTGGCCACGGCAAGGACTCAGAATGGCTCCCCAGGCAGGCAGACTAAGCTCATCGGTGCATTCCAGCCGCTGACGAGACGGCTGGACGGCAGATCACGAACCCCAAGCCATTCCTGCAAGACAGGGTGGGCAAGCCAGTCCAAGTCCGACTGAAATGGGGAATGGAATACAGAGGCTACCTCGTCAGCATCGACAACTACATGAACCTACAGGCAGGTCGCTTCGGTCAATGACACCCCGTGTGCTCATTGTCGCGAGCATGCTGCAGCTTGCAAATACTGAGGAGTACCAGAACGATCAGCCAGCAGGTTCGCTAGGAGAAGTCTTCATAAGGTATGCCGCTCGCCCTCACACCCGCCAGCCGGGCTGATCATGGTGGATCCGTGCAGGTGCAACAATGTGCTATACATGTACGAGACTCCCCGCGCCTCTACAAGCGAAAACAGCCTGACATCCTTGCAGACGGGCAATCGACGAGTAGAGAGGCCAGGCACGCGACAGACGAGCGATGTAGCACATGCAACGTTGCGCAGATAGTGACAATACACACAGTATAACTTGAGTAACTACCTGTTCTCTTCATCCTTGGCGATATAGTAAGTGATCAGATGGACCTGTGACGGCGCCAAGTCTGCCAGGAGCTCGAACAGCCTGTTTGCGTTTTGCAAGGAGCGCTGAGCGGAGACCAGGCAAGCAACAGCCGCTTGACGGAGCTGCGGATGCCTCGCATCATTGAGTGCTCGTAGAATCAGCTCTCGAGATAGTCGGAGCTCTTCTTCGATATTCTGGGACGGGAGGCGAGCGAGTATCTTCCCCATCGCTTCTACGCCCATAGCCAAAGCCTGCGCCGCCGCTTCTGTCGAGTCGTCTGGGTTGCGCGAAAGAGATGTTCGTAGGCACTCGAGGCCAGCAAACGGCTCGGTGAGCTCTGCCCATTCGTCCAGGACTGCTTCTGCAGCTGCTTCGACCTGCACTTGTACTGGTCAGACCATGTCAACGCAATCTGAGCCAACCCACCGATTTGATCCCGCTCCTACTGCGTTGAGACAAGCAAAAGTCGATCAGCGGCGCGACTTGCTGACCGAAAAGCGAGTACTGATGCAAGACCAGCTCTCGCAGCAGGAGCATGAGCGAATCTTGCATCGTCTCATCGAACGAAGGCGCCGCTGAGAACATGGCGCCGAGGAGCGTCTCGAGTCTGGTCTCGCTCGTCCACAGCGTTTCGCTCGAATGATCGCCAAACGAGCGCGACGCGGATACGGCATGCCGAATATTGTCTGAGCTAGCCCGCTGCTCTTTCAGTGATGATAGCATGCTGTCTAGGACTGCCGCCGCTTCGTCCAAGCTATCCGAGGGAGACGCAGCAAAGGCTGCAGTCTTTAGGATGTCAGCACGAGACACATCATCGAGGATGACGAACAGCGTGCCTTTGCTAGCCTGCGCATCGGCATGGACTGCCCACCAGTTCTTCTTGCCTGCTCTGCTTAGGTTCGCGATGACAGAGGGAGCCTCATGAGTGTCGCCATTACTGACAGACACATCAGCGAACCGATCAGTCAGCTTCTTCTCGGGCTCAGCCCCGTCGGTTGCTGCTGCCTGCGTTTGCGCGGCTTTGGTGCTGCTTTTAGCCAGAGTCCTCGACAACTGTCGTGGCGCGCCATTTGCGCGCGGCGACGCAGTAGGCGACGTGTCAGTTACACTGTTCTTATGTGCAGGCATGATCGGCTGATGCGGCATTGATGGCCGTTTGACAGGCGAATTATTATTCGATTTCGCAGCGATCATCTCTCGGATAGACATGCGTTTGGGAGCAGGCGCAGACTTCTTTGCGGCGCGAGGATTGACAGCATCTAGCTGCCTCATCGAAGCAGCATCCAGAGCATTCCTGATCTGCTCCAGTTGAGAAGGGAAAGTGGGCTCGGATATCCAGAACGTTGCTCGAGTGATCTCTCTGACATCTGGGCTCGGATCGGCCAGACCTCTCGACAAGCATGACTCGACGAGAGAAATAGCACTTCCGGTCTCGATAGCTTGCTTGTGGGCCGTTCCGTGTAGCTGGAGAAAGACTTTGAGCTGGGTAGCCGCCGCAGAGCGAGCTGAAGCAGTCTTCTCGCTGTACCCTTGTTCGATGATGACCAAATGACTGGCAGAGAAGCTGGTATTTGTCAGCAGAGCTGAAGATGCGGTGACGCTTGCTTGGACGACGAGCTTCTTGGTCTGTGCAGATATTCTGAGCAGTGCAGCAAGCAGCTGCTCGACGTGAGGATCCATCAGTTGCCTCAGGCTCTCTGCTAATTCGGTTATGAGCCGACAGGTTCCTTGTGCTAGACTTGTACGCAATGTCGCCAGAGACTTGAGGATACCTTGCATCAGAACATCAAGTTGGCCTGCCAGCACATTTGCATACTGAGGCGAGAGGCCGCCTTTGAGGATGCCTCGAAGCTGTATGATGGATTCCTCCCGCTGTTGCCAATTCTCTTCGCTCTCCCTACCCTCAAAGTACGGCAGCATACGATGAACGAGCTGAACGAGCTCTTGTTCGCTCTCGACTTGGTGCGCAGGCACATCGTCAACCGAAAATATACTCTTGTGACCGTCTAACGGAGCTTCGGCAATGCTCGCGCTGATCGCATTGAGTATAGCGTCTACCGTGGCAGCTCGAATGGCCTGCCTTGTCATCTCTTTGTTGAGATCATTGCGTGCAGCGGCAGGCAAAGCAAGATCGGCAAAGATGTCTATCAGACTCTGTTGGGCCGCGTCGCGAACATCGGGGTCAGTATCTTCCAAGGCTTCCACCAGGCTAGGCAAGTATGGCTTGAGTGGCAAGCCAGAGCGCTCTTTCCGCCATGCTGCGACAAAGCGAGCGGTGCACTGTCGTGTCTTTGCTAGCTTGCTACGCAGGCCTCTTTGCAGTAAGACGCGCTCGAAGTGGCTCAAAGGCAGATCGCTAGCTTTCGGTAACGCGGTGCTTGAATGGCACGCCAACTGAGCAAGCTTCATGAGGGCAGCTTGCGCACCATTGCTGAGCTCCGCGTCTGCTAGCTTCTCGAGCAAGCCGCCAGATTCGAGAAATGAGGACAGGCAATCTGTCACTGCAGCGGCATCGATCACTGCAGGCTCGGTCGCGATCTTGACCAGGTATGTGTTGATGCAGGTCAGTGACACAGCCGCAAGAGGTGCGTGTGAGCTCTGCAAGCAGCTCGAGAGTTCGTGTGATAGCCGTTGGATCATTTGTGCCTCCCTGGCGCTGTCTGACCATTCCTGCAGCTCTAGCTCCAAAGCTTGCACTGCATCCGTCTCGGCTATCGGGTCAGAAGTGCCTTCGAGCTTGTCAAGCGCTTCGTCGAGCGTCATCCGGCTCACACGCCGCTGGCCAAAGTCGCGAGATGTCAATTCGAAATGTCAAAATTTTGCGCTCCTCGACAAGTCGAGTCACCGATCGACATGTACCGGATTGCGAGCTCAGCCAGGGTCAATAGCCTCAAGGTACGCGTATCCGAGCTTGTGGCCAGTGCGCCTGCTGACGTGCACCCCGGTCAGAGCAAAGACCAATTCCGATGCATCTGTAAGGCTAGATCGAGCTTCTCCACGACGGCACAGAGCCATGCGCCATCGGCCAACTCGCAATACCTCAAAGTGACACACTCGGACGAGACTGCACCGACAGACACGTTGCAATCGCTCGCCCGACATGCTCGTTATACCCTCAATACCTATGTACGACCGCCGATCATGTTCGAATCGGGCAAAGGCATGTACCTCCACGATACGCAAGGAAGGGAATACTTGGACATGTCGGCCGGCATAGCCGTCAACGCACTCGGTCACTCTGACGAAGGTGTGGCAGAGGCGATGAGCAAGCAAGCGCGTCGCCTCGTCCACGTCTCCAATCTGTATCATAACGAATGGGCGGGCGAGCTCGCCCAGCTCCTCGTAGAGAGCACGATCGCCTCTGGCGGTCTCGGTACATCTTCGGATACGTTCCAGTCTCGTGCAGATAAGGACACCACGTCTGGCCTCAAGGTTTTCTTTGCCAACAGCGGTACAGAGGCGAACGAAGGTGCACTCAAATTTGTGCGCAAGTACGGCAAGCTCACCGCCGAACAACATCCCAAACTACACGGCAAGGTCAGCCCGCACGACAAGGTCGAAGTCGTCGCTTTCAGGGATGGGTTCCACGGCCGATCGATGGGCGCGCTGTCCGTCACTTTACAAGAAAAATACCAAGCGCCCTTTGCGCCCCTGATCCCCGAGATCATGCCTGGACAGCTCAACGACATCGAATCGATCAACAAGGTCGTCACCGAAAAGACCTGCGGCGTCATCGTTGAGCCCATCCAGGGCGAGGGTGGCATCCTAGAAGCGACCGAAGAGTTCATGCGTGCTCTCAGGAAGCGATGTGACGAAGTGGGAGCTGCACTCATCTTTGACGAGATACAGTGCGGACTGGGCAGGACTGGCAAGCTATGGGCGCACTGTGAATTTCCGGCAGATTGCCACCCAGACATTGTGACAATGGCCAAACCGCTCGCCAATGGCATGCCCATCGGCGCCATCCTCATGACCGACAAGATTGCAGACATTGTCAAGATTGGCGATCACGGTACTACCTTTGGGTGAGGTTCTGTCATAAGATGCAGCAAAGGGTCACTTGTGCTGAGCCATGGTGGATTCGCAGCGGTGGACCTCTGCAGACTTGCGTTGGCCATCATGTCGTCTCGCGCATCACGAAACCAGAGTTCCTCGATCATGTCAAGACAGTCGGCGCACAGCTCAAGCAGCGTTTGTCAGCGCTGCCAGAACTCTTCCCCAAGCTCGTAACAGGCGACATCCGAGGACGAGGTCTGATCCTGGGCGTGCCCTTTGCGAGCGACGGCCTGCCGCCCAAAGTCGCCAAGATGTGCAGAGAGCGCGGCGTCATCGTGCTCACGTGTGGCAAAGCCACGCTTCGATTCGTACCGAGTCTCATCATCGAGAAAGCTCAGATCGATCATGCTTGCGATGTGCTCGAATCGGTCTTGACAGTCATCCAGCAAGAAGCTCACTAGATCCGCCATGCTTGTATGTAAATCCTGACGTGCAATGCAATCGACCCAGCCACTATGGTCTTCTGAAGCCGAATGAGCATAGATTGACAGGCGGAGTAACATCGCAATCGTGTTCGTCTGGAATCGTTTTAGTGCTTGTGTGCACGTACGCGCAGGTGCCTACATTTGTTGGGCCAGAAAGCCTCGCAGATAGCAGGCGCGCCTGCCGCATTCTCGCAAACGATCTTGACACCGCATGCAGCCCATTCCATCGATCCTGTGGAACATTTATGAAATGTTGTCACGTCGTCTTGATCCCGCTTACGATACGAGCCGAGAGACACGAGAACTCTTTGAGATGCTTCAGCATAGCAACATTTCGAGACAAATTCGGGCACGTCTGCGACCGCGTAGGCCGGGTACGAGATCGCGAGGTCGTAGACGAGACCATCTGTACAGATTCCCTAAATGAGTGCCACAGATGCTGTGCACAAGGAACAGACTGGGCGACTGAAGCTCTTCGTTCTTTCTGCAGTGAAAATCTCTTTCGGCTACCATGTCGGGCCATCTAGAAGTCTGCAACGAAACGGAAATTGCAGTCAAGCGAGGCCGTTCGCTCGAAGAGTACTGACGCATTGGAAACCTTGCTTGTAGCGAGCAGGCGAGAGGGAGACTGTCACTGTCGTTATTCGCGATATAAATCGGATTGGCTCTCCGACGAATAGTATCGGACATGAGGTATTACTGAAAAGGACAGGGCTATAAACCGCGCGATTGACCTCTGGAGCGGCGCTGACGAGCAGAGCAGCGAAGCTGAGCAAATAGATCGACGCGTTCATGGTAAGGCTGTGAGCGGAAGATGTTTGATGATGCTTGGCAGCAACGCATAGGGGCCGGGGCGGATTGTATGCATCCTTGCTACGTTTACATGACGCCTCGCTGGAACCACACCAAGCATGTCCCTACAGCAGGTCTCGTATCGCACTGCTTTCTCACTGATCCGACGTGAGCTTGACTGAAGGTGGCAGGCGCGGACACGGACCTGCTCCGCCACCGTAGAAGAGCGCACAGACGGCTGGCGCATCTTTCTTGTTCTCGCACGTGGCTATCATCTCACACGACTGAACCTCGAAACTGCGAGCTGGCTTGAAGGCCGCGAAGATTCTTGCTCGGACTTGCGCGCGGCAGCATTTTGTGATGAACTCGTATTGAGGATCTATCTGCGTCTCATCGACAAGCGCAGGCAAAGAGATTGTAAGGTCGTAAAGGATTCCATCTACTCTGATCGAGACTCAGCGCGAGTCGTGATCATGTCAGTGGCCGACCTGTCATGTGTTCCTCTGGCGCGTTCTTTGTGCATTCAAAGTCTGTCCCAGCGACGACGCCGTGTTCTCTGCAACTCTGCCATCGGGCATGAGATTGACCGAGAGCAAGAGAAGCGAACGCACACAGCTAAAGCCGATTCTGTATTTTACGGGCGATATGCCCAGCTGAAGCGCCAATACGCGAGACTGGAAAGCCACGCTGTCGACGACAAATGGCAATGGGCACAGGCCGCGGGCGAACAAAGTCGGGCTGTAGTAAGAGATGTCCTTTGCAGCGTGGATGATCGGTAGAAAAGCGAGCAAGAAGGCCGGATGCATGTTTCTGCGGGGATCTTACAGAGAACTTCGCAAAGGCAGGGGAATCAAAGCGACATGTGATGACGCGATAACGACGAGGTCGCGCTTCTGTTCGACGCGTAGGAGATTGCCCACATTGCCTGACTATCAGATTGCTCGAGCGCTCGAAAGCTGGTCGCGAAGACGGTATGGCTCATCAGCATCCTTCGAGCTCAGACGATCCCGCGGTGTACTTCACAACGCTGCCCGCAGTACGACAATCCCCCTCACAAGCAATTCGCGCGAGCTCATGCAAGCGCACAGATCCGCGAAAGATGCCGAGCAGTATTTGACATTGCTTCAGCCAACAGACTCCAATACTGGAACGTCGACTTGTCCCAGCAAGACGCTATCGTCGACTTTTGCTGTGCGCTGATCGAGGTGCGCTCCTGTTGAGGAGGGGAAATAGAATGTGCTGACAAGTGTACAATAGCGTGACTACGGCAACAAGTACGCTTCCATACCGCCTCATGGCCGCATGCGGCATTTTGTGGGAGACAGACTCACACCTCTGCTGGAGCGATGGCAAGACCAAGGTCGACTGGAAGCATGCAGAAAGATCGTCGATCTCCTCGTCGTGTCCGTCTTGCTCGACGCAGGCGCCGGTAGTCAGTGGACCTATCGGCCGAAGCAAGGCACAGAAGCAGAGCGAATCAACGGCATCGGGCGCAGCGAAGGTCTTGCAGTAGCTAGTCTCGAGATGTTCGAGCAAGGTACTTTCAGCGGCAAGCCAGACGATCCCTATCGCGTCGACGCGCTGGGCTTATCGAAGATCTCGACGGATGTCATCTCACAAGGCCTGCAAGTCAACGATGAAAATTGCATGACAGGTATCGAAGGACGAGCAAATGTGCTCGTAAGGCTCGGCCAGGTCTTGCTCGATCCAGAGAACCAGGAATACTTCAGAAATCGGGAAAATGTGCCAGGCCAGCTTGGCCTTCGACCTGGCAATCTTATAGGTCAGTAACCCTATGTCTAGCGCTTGTGCGCGGCTGGAGGCAATTGTCGTGGACAGACTACCTCTTGTCGCATCCGGAGGCGAAGCAGATGCCCTCGGCGACTTCTCTTCCCATCTCACTACCAGTCTCTGCTCTCTGGACAATCATCACGCAAGGACTGGGCGGTGTCTGGCCTGCATCGCGTACAAAAATCGATGGCAAAGCTATCGGCGACGTCTGGCCTTGCGAGAGCTTGCGCAAACGGGTCGACAGCGATACAGCCGCTCTCGTGCCCTTTCACAAGCTCAGTCAATGGCTCTGTTACTCCTTGCAGGAAGCAATGCAGTCCATACTGGGCTGGCAGTTCGAAGGTACCGAGCATCAGACTGGTCTGCCCGAGTATCGTAAGTCAATACGTCACTGCTCGGGTCCCGAGCTGAATGCTGCCTGCAGGCAATGGTGGCTTGCTCGTCGACTTTGGTCTGCTGACTATCAAACCCGAGGCCGTGCTACAGTCCCTTGACAAGCCTGTGCCGTCCGAGCTGCCACGGCCACTTGACTTGCCGCCTTTGCCGGCCTCTCACAGCGCCATTGTTGAGTTCAGAGCAGTAACAGTCATCATGCTCGATCGTATCGCCGAAGCTATCCGTGCGAAGCTCGGTACGAAGCTGAGCCTCGCACAAGTCTTGGAAGCCGCAACTTGGAAAGCCGTACGTGCTTCTCGGCTGCTGGCCTGCTAGTCTGATGCCGAGCAGGGTCGGGAGATTGCAAAGCAGAAGCGCCCGCCTGTCGGCGGCCCGCCCCTAGCAATCGAACTCGATGGAACGATCTTCTGAGCTAGATAGTCTTGCTCAGTCTCCATGTCATGTACGCGGCCACAGCGGCCGACAATCCGCCCAGTCTATTCGTCAAATCAGCATGCATACGTGCATAGCACCAATGACCAACCTGAAGATGACCGCGACGCCATTCCAAGATGCCTGGGGAGCAATGTCGGTCTCGCCCGATGCTTGCGGCGTCAAAAACGCGAAGATCAACGACGACAAGAAGGACACGAGCAGTTGCTGCCGACGTTTACTTCAGCAGGCGATCCTTACGAAGCAGTAGAACTCACTGGAATGACGATGAAAATGTTGTGAATCCTATGCAGTCCTTGAGCATACGTCGTGACGGCGCAAGAAGGCTTACCCGAGGATCACGCCCGCCTGGGCGGCCGTAGACGAGCTTGACTGTGAAGCGTTATTGTCTTTCTTGAGGGCAAATGTGCGCATAGCAATCTCTGCTCTAAGACGAGTGGCATCTTCATCGAAATCGAGCGAGTCATCGTGATGAATCGTCAAGACTCTCGCTTGCGGCGTAGGCGTATAGCCTGACGTCGGCGAAGTCTTGCCGTCCGGTGTGGCAAGAGGTGCAGATAGTCCATTGCTTTGCTGAGACATTGCCGAGTGTAGCGAATGCGAGCGCTCTCTAGGCTGGAGTAGAGCAAAGTTCTCCATGCCGGGCGTTGCAGGCGGCTGCATATCTGTCACGTTGGACGTGTCATGCAGAATTGCTTGCGAGATAAGCGTGACGGGACACCAGTTGGTGATAGCGAAGCAGAAGCCTGTCAAAGCGATGATTGTGCTCGCGCCAAAGACTGAGTCGACTACGAATGTCGCAAGCATCAGCAGGGTGAAGACAATCCTGTGCAGCCAATGAAAAGCACTCAGCAGCCTTCAAATCGCCGAGATCTGTTTCGACGCACTGTGATATAAACCATGTCACTGTCAAAGTAAGCCAAGGTAACGGCAGAGTTGGCAATCTCGAGCTAAATGCCTTTGCTGTCCTTATCAGATGGCTGACAAGTGATGAATCTTGTGGTGGTGTCCATTGACTCAGGAGCTCGACACGCGAAGGACCCATGGAAGGTCGTACAAAATATGGCATGATGATCGATGTGGCCAGGGCGATGATTGCGTGCCAGAGCATTGCACGACTGCCCGCTCGCTCGGCAGCTTGCGAGACTTCTCTCGGGTCAGAGACTGTCGTCGTGTGCTTTCGATCGTATATCTCTCCGACGTAAAGGGACGCGAAGAACAGTATCGGGAACCAGCCAACCCAGGATGCGAGTTGTATGAAGCAAATCTTGCGAATGACATTGGGCATCATCCAAAATGTGGTGTAGATCGTCTTGAACATATGTAGAAAGCCAGTCTGGGTACCCGGCGCATCCTGTAGCAAGACGCGCTCGCTGACCGCGAATGCCGTGATGCAATGAGCGACGATGAGGAAGAAGCTAGCCAGAATGGACAAGATCTGTAGCTGAGACGAGCCGAAAAGGGGCAACAGTTTGACCAGATCGATGTTACCGACAAAGAAGCCAATGACAGCGCCGACACCAAACATGGCAGCCGCGTAGACATTGGCTTCTTGCTGGTGTTGCGCGGGCAGTGTATCCACGACGAGCGCGCGGTCACTGGCCTGTACCGCGTTGATGCTAAAGTCGACCAAGTAGATTGCAAAGACGGCGATGCAGATAGACAAGGTCGCGTTTGCTCTTGAGCCCTCTGAGGTCGACCAGCCTGCAATTTGCTTTGCAAAGCCCAGCATAAGCAAGGCAAACGCGCACACGAGACTGCCGCCGAGCATGAAAGGTCGTCGTCTACCGAGTCTGAGTTTGCATCGATCGGCTACTGAGCCGATGAGAGGTTGCATGATCAAGCCAGACAGGGGGCCAGCGAGGAAGACGAGCGACATGAGTGACTTTGACATGCCCAGCGAAACCAAAAAGGGCGAAGCGAATGCCATCTCGGTAGACCAGATGAGCTGCAGGCCGAGCATGGATACCGTCAGTAGACAGTACCGAAGCCAACTGTAGGCTCCTCTGATCTTGGCCTGGCCGAGCCATGTCGGCTGTCCCGGTGCTTCCTCATCATGTTGTGCTGGCGCCGAAAGCATCGGGACGGCCTCGCTCGCGCTGTTCATGGCGATGATGGCTCAGCTGCCGGCTTGTGCAGGCTGTGAGCAACAATCTCGTGCGGTCAAAGGGTGTGTGCCATGCCTCATACTCGGTCCCGAGAGGACCATCGGAGCGCGTTGCCAGCAAGCGCCCCGCGTCACGAGCAGGCTCTCAGATAATCTGGTCAGAGGATCATGCATTGCCCGCACTGGATTGCTCTGTTCCCCGTCCCCTACCTCTGCCCCGTCCGCGTCCTCTCGCCTGACCTCTGCCGACAGAAGCCGCGCTCGGCGTTGGCGAATCTGTACGCGTCTCACTAGTGACCGGCGGCCCGTCTTCATGTGTAGACGCAGCCTGCTTGGGTTTTGCTTTCGATGGCGCTCGCTTAGGCGGTCCTGTACCCAACGCAGCACCGAGAGCCGCGCCGAGCTGTCGTCTCTGTGCTGCTTGATCGCTCGCGTTTGTATTTGTTCGCCTTGGCTGTTTCGGTTTAGGCTGATCGTCTGCAAGAATCTGGCCTGCCTGTGGCTCTGTGATGACCGCGTCTGGACCAGCAGGGGGCGGTAGATTATCGCGCTGGATGATCTGCTTGCCCTTGCCTTTACTCGATTTCGGCGGGGCATCCGTGACGATTTGAGCCTCAGACATCTCTGTGTTCTTTGCGAGCTTGCCCGCTTTCTTCTTCTGCGACGACGTGCTAGCTTTAGCGTTCCGTTTGGCAGCTCGCGCTTGTTCTCGTGCAGCCAGGTCTGTAGCTCTCTGCTTTCGCAGATACTCGAGCAAGGGCGTGCTCTTCTTTGCGTCTTTGCCTGCGCTCTATCAGAGGACTTTCACTGAGGCGAAACGTTACTCACTGGCGGCGGCGGCGGCGGCGGCGGCACTCGCACCATCGGCAGTCTCCGCCCGCTCTGGTGCTCGCAGAGTCTCTACGAAAACGGTAAAGTCAGTGTCCTCGAGGATGCTGTTCTGCTTTGGATCTGCTTTGGCTTCTGTCTGGGGCAGCGGCAATTTCTGATAGGGTGCAAACTCTACTTGTGCTCGACTGACATTGCCTGTGAATCGACCGATCGTCAGCCTCGTTGTGAGCCACTGTCCCAGACGCATGACAGACCTGCCGAATCTCTGAACATATGGCCGTCATAGGCTGAGCAGAAGGCTACGAGCGTATCGAGCTCTGTGAAGTGCAAGTACGCGCGCGAGGGAACATCCTCCTGCCCTTTGCTGTTCTGTCGCATCAGAAATGGATGACGGTGCAGAGCTGATGCTGACGTGCCTCTTGCGAAGCTTGCCAGGGTAGTACGCTTGCCAATCGATGACACTCGGGCTAGGTTGCGCTTCATGCACTTGCTCGGGCGCGTCATGGGTCGTCGGAGCCGTGTCTGTCGATGCAGAGAGCTGCACACCGGGCAGAGCTTGTTGGACGCTCTTCCAGAAGAGATGCTCGGGCAGGTTGGGCGGCAGGTGGCGGACGACGATCTTCTGTCGAGGCTTATCTGGGCCGAGAGGTGCAGCTGGTTCTTTCGTTCGGATGGCATGTCCGCCTATGTATTCCTGTGTCTGATCACCCGGAGGCGCATGCTGGGCTTGCTTGGCTTTGTCTTTGTTCTTGTAGAAGCGTTTGCCGCCTGCCATTGGCTCGTTGCCGGCCAGGCAAGACACCAAAAGTCGCGACACTTTCTGGCCGGCAGCGAGCGATTCGGCAACTTCGACATCATGGGTGAGCCTTGGCAGACGTCGAGCACCACATACAGATCATCTGATGGATCGCAAACAGATCAACAAAACCGAGTGGGCAGCAAGTTTGGCGGAGGAGGCATAGCGGGTGCCAATGAAGCGGGCGTTGACCGTCGAGAAAGACTGCGCAAGCTCGCTCTCGAGACGATTGATCTAGCCAAAGTAGGGCCTCGACGGCTTTGATTGGGCTAGATTGACTCAATGATGGCTTGCAGGATCCGTATCTGCTACGGAACCATCTCGGCGGACTGGAATGTCGACTTTGCTTGACTCTGCACACCAACGAAGGCTCCTACTTGGCCCACACGCAAGGCAAGAAGCATCAGGCAAGTAGCCCTGATCCCATGTCGCTGCTCAAAGTACGAATTGACAAGATCTGCAGACCAATCTCGCCCGTCGTGCCGCAAGAGAGGCGACAGACTCGTCCGTCTATCAGTCCCAGCTACTGGCTCAGCAAGCCGCCGCACAACGTTTGGCGCCCAAGAAGCAGTTTCTCAAGATCGGCTTGCCGGGCTATCAGGCTACCAAGATCAAGGATCCCGAGTCAGGCCAATTGGGCTTGCTCTTCCAGATCTTCTATCCCGAGATCAAGCCGGATTCGATACCGATGCACAGATTCATGTCGGCATACGAACAGCGCATCGAGGCGCCCAGCAGAGATCATCAGTATTTGCTCATTGCTGCAGAGCCGTACCAAACGATCGCCTTCAAAGTCCAGAGCAGAGAAATCGATCACCAGCCAGGCAAAGGGTGGAAGCATTTCGATCCAGATACAAAAACTTATTCGCTCCAGTTCCTCTTCGTATGAGTGATCATCTGTTGTCTGTAGACGTACTGTGTCAGTATCTCTGCCTTTTGCATGCAAAGCGGATTCAGCAGCACAGTGAGAGGTCAGTGTAACTATGAACAATATCTCACAGCTCCAGACTCGCCGTCGGACCTCCAGTGCTTGCGCAAAGGCGACCATGAGTAGCTCGTCCGCCGACCTCGAAGGTGAAGAAGAGCTCAAGTTGAAAGGTAATGGGATAGTTTTCATCGTTCGGAGGGCTGCAGAGTGCGTGAAGAAAGACAGCAGCATGACTCACACAGGATCCAGTGATAGCAGCTGTCGCTGAAGAGACGTCGTTGATTAACATCAGATTTGCGCGGCCAGCAAGAAATCTTTTTCAAGCTGAAAAGGGTCAACCCCAGATGCGCGGGTTTATCCTCGCTATACGCTGCGAGAGCACCCCGGCTTGCACCGACATAGCGCATTTGGACAGCCTTAGCGAGAGGGCGCTGCTATCCAGAAGAGGAGCAGCTAGCTCACTGTGAGCTGTCGGACAGTCAGACGCGCAGAGGGGCGAGACAGGCCCAGCCGGCAACGCAACACAACAAAGTCGCACAAAGGCAGCGCTTTGTGCAGCTGCAGACGATCACTGATACGTCTACCGCTGCTTTGATACCCTTTCTCGACGAGATTGTGCTGGCCTTGTCGTCACAGAGCCGTGTTGCTTGCCATACACGACTCCGCTTCGTGACCGCATCACCGCCGAACCGCAAGGCGTCCCATCAATCTTCATCGTGACGCTAGCGCTCGTCACGGGTCTCTAGACGTCATCAATCTCCAACGAAGAACTCTGCAGGGATCATCTGAGCGAGATGGCAACGCAACATATCGTTTCCTCCTCGTCGGTACCCAACTCTCATTCGGTTCAGGGCTCCTCAAGTGCCAACAATGTCGTCGGCGTGCATTTCCGCATCGGCAAGAAGATCGGAGAAGGCAGCTTCGGCGTCATCTTTGAAGGTATCTGCCAACTCGCTGATTGCCTCTCATTGCCCGGCCTCACGCGACTCGTTTGCAGGGACAAACTTGCTTAATTCTCAGACGGTCGCTATCAAATTCGTCGGTGTCCAGATCGTCAGTCAAAGTGCTACGACTGACTCTTGGAGATCAACAGGAACCGCGCAAGAGTGATGCGCCGCAATTACGCGATGAGTATCGGTCTTACAAGATTCTTGCCGGATCTCGTACGTGACTGAGCCCATTGAGCAAAGCTGCATTGACGCGTCACACAGTCGGCGTACCCCAGGTCTACTACTTTGGTCAGGAAGGCTTGCACAACATCTTGGTCATGGATCTGCTCGGTCCGTCCCTGGAAGACCTGTTCGACATGTGCGGGCGCAAGTTCAGCATCAAGACTGTCGTCATGACGGCCAAGCAGATGGTGCGTGACCTGTCCTTGCAGGATATGCTCAGGTGCTCACCCGACGAGGCAGCTGTCACGAGTGCAGACTGTGCACGAGAAGAATCTGATCTATCGCGACATCAAGCCTGACAATTTCTTGATCGGTCGACCGGGCACAAAGCACGCTCATGTCGTCCATGTCGTCGACTTTGGCATGGCGAAGCAGTACCGAGACCCGAAAACAAAACAGCACATTCCTTATCGAGAACGAAAATCACTGTCCGGCACGGCGCGTTACATGAGCATCAATACCCATCTCGGCAGAGAACAATCGAGAAGAGACGATCTCGAAGCGCTCGGTCATGTCTTCATGTACTTTCTCAGGGGCGGCCTGCCTTGGCAAGGCCTCAAGGCGGCCACTAACAAGCAAAAGTACGAAAAGATCGGAGAGAAGAAGCAAAGTACGCCCATCAAAGAGCTCTGCGAGACCTTCCCAGGTGTGTCTTACGGCCGATTGACACGCACATTCTGACCCTTGCGTTGCAGAGGAGTTCAGCATCTATCTGAACTACGTGCGCAAACTCGGGTTCGAAGAGACGCCAGATTACGACTTCCTGCGAGAGCTGTTCACGAAGGCCTTGAGGAACACGGGCGAAGCAGAAGACGGCATCTATGACTGGATGCTGCTCAACAATGGCAAAGGCTGGGAAGCAGGCTCGTCGGCTTCGAACCTTCTCGCGCAAGCCAACGGCCAACAGACTTCACGCGACCGTCACCGCTCGTCTGGCCTACCCCGAGACCAACGCGAGCGAGAACGCGCGGACAGGCAAGCATTGAGAGCATCTCAGACTGCGCTCGCTGGTGATTCGGGCATCATCTCACCCTCGCCTGCACTCGTTCGCAATGGCTCGAGAGGCAGGGGACAACCTGGCGGTACCGTCACGCCTACTCATCCCAGCTTGGTCAACAGGCGATCTCACAACCAAGCTCATCCTTATGCGCTTGGCACAGCTGGCGCTACGACCGATCAAAGCTTGGGAGATCCGCATCAGCATGCCCAAGGAGGCAGGACGGGTGGCTTCGATAACGGCCAAGGCAACGCTGATTACGGCGATGACACCGAACAGAAAGGACTGGGAGCGAAGATCCTTTCCGTCTTGACCTGTCGATGCGCATAGGCATTCCTCTCGCTCGAACTCGTTGCATCGCATCACCGCAAAAAGCTTGGGAGCAAGAGCAGTATCACGCCCTTAGGAATACCTCATTCCCTCCAACGCAGACGGTCTAATTCGCTTCGACCCTAATGCAAAGACCCATCGACATTTGTACAACAGCATCTCAGTAGACCCCTTTTCAAGATCAAAGACCAAAGCAAAGACGGGCCTCTCTAGACACGAGTCGGGCTCAGACTCAAGCAACGCAAGCAGGGCTCTCCATCCGCTCGCTTTCTTCTTTGGGCCTCACGATTGTACATTGCAGTCATGAATCATCGGTTTCTTACAGTTTGGGCAGTTTTGTTATCATCAACGCGGGCAATGGAGAGAGACAGAAACAGTGGAAATGAAGATCGAATAGTGAGCGGGCGGACGCTCTGTAGATGTCTTGTCTAGTGGCCAGATATAAAGGTCTATTCGGCTTTCTGACGAGGCGCCGAGCCTGACCATGACCACCAGCCCGATGTCTGTCGTGTGGGCGTAATCGGCACAGGATGAGTAGGGATCTCATTCTTGTCGATCTGTTCGTAAGAGTCTGCTGCGGTCCTGAGGTGCTGTATAGGCTCATCATCGTCAGATTGAGTTCTAAGATCCGCAAGCTCTTTCTCGAGCTTCGCTCGTCTCTGCCGTAGGGATTCTCGAGTTGCGTGAGCAGGTTGCGGCTGCGGATCTGCTACGAGCGAACCGGAAGCTGACAGATTGGCCGTGTGATCGCTTACTTGGCGAGTCTGCATTGGCGCTAGCAGTACGTTGCCGGCCGCCAGTGCAGCGGGCGCATTCTGACGAAGCCAGTTGCCGAATGCATTGATGGCATACGCATTGGACTGAGCTTGCGGCTGCGTTTGAGGGCCTGCCTCTCGAGTGTTCGCGTCGCGGGTCATGCCGGTCTGCAAGCAAGTGGCACGAATCAGCCACAGAAGGGACGCAATCGAAGGTATGGACTCGCCTGATCTAGCGCCGTGGCGGCATTGGCGAGGTCTTGACCGAGAATGCCATGTCGGACGGCACTGAGAGCACGCTTGATGTAGTCCATTCCGGCAGCTCTTGCTTGTGCTTTCGCTCGCGTCGTCGTGTCATCGATCTCTCTCTCGTGCTCGAGCAGGAAAGGATGCACAAAGGTGAGATAGACATAAGTCGAGCCCTATCGCGTGACCTCTGTCAACGCTGCTGTCTCGCGCAAAAGCAAGAGACCGACTTGTATCTGTGGTAGTGCTAGCCATACGAAGACGAGCATCTTGACTTCAGAATAGAACGGGATCCTAGCACGACACGCTGCAGTCAGCAACGAGTCCCATCTTGCTCAAGTTAGCACGCTGACCATGCGACGGTCCATTCTACCGTCGCTTCGAGTGTGCCGATGAGACCCATGACGACCCAGTACATGAGCCATCGTTCGAGGAGAGTGGCATCATTGATCTTGATAGCCTTGTAGGAAGCGTAGCAAGGATAGATGAGGCCTATCAAAATGCTGCACATACGAATCAAGGTGAGAGTCCAGTGAGCTCGTGCCGACCGATACGCACCATAGCAGTCTGAAGATGAGGCCGAACATGGCGAGGTGGAGCGGGTAGAGGCTCCAGATTGACGCGAGGCGATAGTGGTCACGCGAGTCTCACTCGAGGAGATTGGCTATCGTGACTTGCTTGCTCGAGCGGGCCGGTGTGTTCGGTCCGATCGAGAATGACCGAGTGCCTGTGATCGTCGGAGTGAGGTTCCCGGGAATGGGCGTCTAACAACCCCCGTGCTCGACCGCTAGAGCAGCGATAGACACCGTGAGAGATTTCGCGTCTCTATCCGACCAGCGGCGAAGTGCAGAGGAACCCGTCAAGTGAACGCAGACGACGACACTTCCATCCGGCAAAGCTCATCGACCATACACAGTCCCGGGCTAGCTTGTTCCGATAGCTGACGACACACTCAGCCCACTGGTCCACACAGACGAAAGAGCTGTCAATTCATCCCGCTAGCTGTCCACTTTAGACATGTCTACAGGTCACGACCACACCTTTACCTGGTCCGTCTTGGCTGACTCGTCATGCGCATTGTATACTCACGCCGCTTGCTTTGACATCACAGGGCGAGCACGCATCCCAGCTCAGTGATTGTACGCGCCTCTATCTACTATCAACCGTCTAGCTAACGCTTGTCTCTGGCCAGGTGACAGGCACTTTTGATAATGTGAGCCAGTAGATCACACACTACGAGCCAGACTGAGCTCCTTGCGATCAGTGGGCTTCGACCGTACATCTCACCAAAGAGGAATCTGGCTTCCGGGGGTCTGTCAAGCTACCGTACGGGGAGAAAGTCCTCTTCAAATATATCGTCGACGGCCACTGGCAGACTCAGCCAGACGAGCCCCAGGAGAACGACGGCTCTGGCAACGTCAACAACGTTCTTAATAGTCTGTTGCCCTCTCTCGGGCGCGGTCAGCCAAGCTGAACCGAGCGAGTAGTACCCGCGGAGCCTGCAACACAGAGCACAGCAGAGCCCGTAGCAGCACTGGTCAACGAAGACAAAGTAGATGGTCTGTCGCTTCCTGCTCATCTTGTTGTGTCAGCTAAACCGTATAGTAGATTCACAAGTCTCCGAGCTCAAGAAGAGCGATGGGAGCGCTGAACCAGCATCTGATACCCTCACAAACGATGAAGCCACGAAATCCAAAGACACCCCGACATCCTTGCTCGGCGCCATCGGCGGCCTAGCAGTAGCTGCACCCGCCGCAGCCATCTATGCGATGACGGGGCACGACATCTCTGCAGCGGGCGCAAAGTCAGCCGAGCAGCCACAGGAAGCCAGCGGCCTGACAGTCCCCCAAGATCTACAAGAAGAAGCACCTGTCGATCCTGCACCTACGCCCTCTGTCACGTCGCCCGAGCAGAAATCTGAGCCTACCGTGCCGAGCAATGACGATATCAAGAGCGCAGTGCACGACACATCTGCAGCTCGGCCTGAGAAATCTGATATCATTCCTGTCGTGCCGGAGAAGGAAGCGCCGGCAACCTCAGGGACGACAGAACATCAAGTGGCGGGTGACAAGGGCTTCAACGGCCAGCCAGCCTTTGATCTCACAGGAAAGCAAGCGGAAGTCATGGCGGCTGCAGGCGTAGGCGCCGTTGCAGCAGGTAGTGCCACGGCCGTAGCAGTCTCCAAGTCGAGCTCGTCCGACAAATTGTCGTCTATCACGGGCGCAGGTGCGAATGGTAGCGCGAAATCTCAGAAGAAGTCCCTACCGCCTGCCATTTCTATGGCGCACGAGAACTCACCAAAGCTCTACGAAGAGGGCAAGCCTGTCGCACCCGTGAAAGTAGACCAGCCAGCCGAACCACCTAAAGCTGCAGCGACAACCGCAAAGCCAGCAGCAGCAGCAGCAGCAGCAGCTCCCGCAGCTGCCGCCGTACCAACAGCCGCAGCAGCCACTGCGACAAAAGCGACGGCAAATGGCAGTCCGAGCAAGTCGACATCACCGCCAACTGTTTCAACTGCGTCTCAGAACAAGCCAGAGGTCTACAAGGATGGCAAGGCAGCTGCCAAGCCAGATGCTGTCAAGCCAAGCGAACCCGCATCAAAGTCTCCAGCAAAGGCCCCCGCTACGCCTCGCAAAGCCCCGAAATCTGCAGCTGCACCCGACTCGACTGCTTCTAATATGACTGGCAGTAAGGGTGAGCAGTTCACTACTGCCCCTTCAACTCCCGCCACACCGACGCACAAGAAGAAAGGACTTTTGTCCAAGATCAAATCTGCCATGTCGCCCAAGAAGTAGGACACGTCTTCGTCATTGTACATGCTGTTTCTCGATCTTGTATTGCACGTTGCTAGCGGAGAATGACGAAGCTTACCGTGGGGAGAGTGACTTTGGATTTCTCTTCGAAACGTCCACGCGATTGGCGTCGAGTCTGACCGCCATGTCTGCTCATGTCTCCTTCTTCCCTCTTGCTCAGCAACGCAAGTCAGATGAGAGCGTTCATTGTTGCCTACTTCGCAGTTCTCGGCTCGGCCATTGCCCTGGCCAGTGCTGTCGAGTCCATCAAAACCAGAGAAACGCGGGCTTGCCCACCCGCCGATTTCACCCATCTCACACTGTACCCTGCCAAATCAGAGAAACTTAACCCTGCACCGCTACTCGAGCTGCGATGGTGCACTGGCTACGCACCACAGGCTTCAGGTCAAGCGACTGGATCATATTTCAAACGAATTGGCCAGCTGATCGCTGCGCTCAGACTTTCCACAACGACCAGGCCAATGCCTCTATCCACTTCCTCTGGCGTCATACAGGCAAAACAGGCACTTACAAATACAATCTTTTATCGTTGGCGGTGCGGATCAGCAAGGTACTTACATCGAATTCGATGTCAGATATATCTACAAAGGCCCTTCTATCCCCTTCATGATTGTAGAGTCAGCAGTGATTGCCGACATCCCATTTTTTGACGAGCCGATCAAGTATGTCATTGATATTGGCGGAGTGCCTAGACCACACTATACGGGCCCTATCTCAGATTGATCGGCTATTCATCGAGGTGAATTCAGCAAGAATGCAATCTCTGCCATTTCGTATCAGTTGCTAGAGCAGATCGTATACGCCTCCGTCAGAGACTCCCTTTGCGGCAACTATCTCCCCTTCCGTGTGCTCCTGGGGGGTAACCGGCTGTTCGACATTGCGCCATTGAAGTCTACTTCGTCCGTAACTCTCCGCCTGCCATCGCACGATCATCTCCATTGCGATGGGCGATGAAACCCTGACCATAACCTTCTCGTTCTGGCCAAAGAAATAGTGAAGCGACTGCGAAGATGCTATTTGCCACCACAGTCATCGCCATCGTATCATGCGCAAGCGTCCTGACGCTCGCATCACCAACGTCGCCGGCCGACAATGCTCTCGACAGACGATCGTGTCCTGAAAGCGACGTTGCCCACCTTCAAATCACGGATAGCAGAACGTCGCTCGATGTGGACCTGACATGGTGCAGTGCTTGGGC